GTTCTCGACGCAAGACTTGCAAAGTCGAAAGTTGAACTGATTAATCGGAGGTAAAAGTTGTTTTCGCAGGTTTAATCTGTGAGGCAATTTCAACAACCGTGATTGCGCATCAATATGGTCCATGCACCACTGTGCTTACGTGGCTTCAAGCCCCTCTCTTAATGTATATTTGGGCACCTGCGCTCAGGTGAACCGCATCTTTTCTGTTTTACCGCCGTGAAACAGAAAATTTCGCTACCCACCACATATGCCTCTCCCTTCTTTCGTAGATAGCGATCTAGACTCAAATTTTGTGCCTTTAGCCCCGACAAACCCAAGCTGTTCAGCTGGGTCATCGGGCTTGCAAAATACATTTGTTTCTCCGCGGACACTCTCGAGCTTTAGTGCTGAGGGCCCCATTTATAATATTGGTATAAACTCTGCAGTCACATACATTAGCAGTGTGTTCATCCATGTAGGTCAATAGTTTGCACTACCTTCTTGTGCATTTTCACAGATCAAGCAACAGCAGCAGCCTGTTCTGCAGAGAGATCACAGATAGCAACCCCAGGAAACAGAACATTCTCCTCTGGACATTGTGCAAAAAAGTGCAAAGAGGTTGTTAAAGAAAACAACACATTCATTGTCATCATGACTCAAAGTATGCTGGCAACAGTGTCTGCAGAAATTCATCTTGAACTTGCCATAAGGGTTTTTTCTGCTGCTTGGCAGACTGTGGCTTGGTAAACATGGACTGATATTCAGGCTGCTTCTTGTCAGCTATGGATAAGAAGCAAAAATGAAGGTTCCTTACAATGGACATCATGGTAGTTATTGACAAAGCAGTGAACACATAAGAAGCAATGTCTTGTTACTCCCTTCGAAGCTTGGCCTTATTAAGGTTATCAGTGTGATGGGATGATAGAGCCAGTGCACTCACAAGGCTTACATTGCCTGCACTGTAGTCTGGAATAACAAACCTCCATGATGGTAATTCGAAGCCATCTCTTTGTCAATCTCACTCATAGCTGAGTAGCACCATAATTCTAATTCTTCCATAGCCATTATGATAGCCTTAGATCAACACATTATACCTGCTACCATTGCAATGCAACTAAAATCGCTGTCAGCATCCAAAGTCTCAGAGCACAGATATTCTTGAGCACGCTCCAGGGTTTCAAGGTGTTGAGAAAGGTGTTCCCCTGCTCAGTGGTCTTGAAAGTTATGCACCATCCTGTGGCTCAAAGGCTCAAGTTTGGCACATATCACAACAAGCTTAGATTGAGCATCATCAATATTACATCTGTGGAGAGTATACTAAGTCAGTGATACCAGAAATCATATGTGTGAAGTATCGCACACAACACCATTCTTCTGGGCTGTTGTGCAGGAGGGAATACTAAGTGATGATAACCTTGGACTATGAAGACTAGCAGTTCAGACATCCAACGATGTGGTAAGCTCAGCATAACATAGACATACTTGGGGGCAGCTAGTTGCTTGGGTGTATATATTTTCAATGTTTCATGTGAATAAATTTGTGTCATTTGAAAAGTCGTGTCAAAGGGCCAGCTCTGGCATCCATGATATCATTTAAGCGAATGTTTTAACAGGACCTTTAAAGCTATGCTTTCCCCACCAAAACCAGTTGATCGTGATTATGAACAAAAGACCGCCCACAGCAACAATTGAGTAGTTCATGTTGAGGACGTTCACTGGGTATGCCGTAGGTAGGACGAATAAAATGCAGATGAAAATGCAGAACTTCACAGATAATCAATGGCTATTGTGTAATGAATGAGGAATGTACGCACCGAGAAACTTGCAAAGTTCACCGGCCATGACCATTTTCTGAGGCAAAAAGGTCCAAAGTCTTCAATGCTAAATTCAATACATAAGTCAAGCGAGGCTCGGATACATGATTTTCAACAACGGACGAGTTAGGCCAGAACACGCGAATGACGATGGGTTGCAAATAGCTCAACATCACCGATGTGGCTGCTGAGGATAAGATGGCGTTAAACTGTGAATGTGGAAATGTTATCAGAACAAAGCATCTGAATAAACTGGACCGACTGACTGCAACAGCAGACCCGATGTAGGCACACGATATAATGCATCCTATCAAGACGCTGGTCCATACACCCCAGTATGGCGCTTGGAATCTGTTCAAGGTCATAAATTGTTTTTTCAACGGGAACGCATTATCTCTTGCGAGCGCATAGAACAGCCTCGAGCTTGCAGTAAAATTTGTAATCGCAGCCATCACTTGGGCAAGCGTCACCACAGCCAGACACAATTGCGCCAACTGGGGCCCGACAGAATCGTAGAAGAGTTGAGAAATTGGGATGGCGAATGTTGTGGCCTGAACGGACGCGATGTTCTGGACTGCGAAAAGAAGTGAAAGCATGTATACGAGACCGATCAACCAAGAGCCTGCAATGCTGCCTACGACAGCGAGTGGGGCCAGGATTTCTGCGCGTACAGCTTCTTCTGCCACTTGAGCTGCTGTTTCACATCCCTCGAGCGTGTATACAGCCTACAGCACGGTAGCACTGTGAGTCACATTGTACGCCATGTAGACATAATCAAACCTGACCTGAAGAAATCCAAGAAGCACAACAAAACCTCTCGATTCCCAACCGGTGAAGCTAGTCTGCCAGTCACTAACTTCATCCTTTGCAAAGTAAGTAAAATCTTACTTTTGAAAATTCGTGAACACGAAGTCAGGAGAATTCTATCACACGGGATCAGGTTTCGCGTGGAGAAAATTCGTCATGCAGATTGTGAGAACTTTACCTTCACAGGCGCTTTCACAAGCAGGGTGACGGCTAGCACAAACGTCCCGCCCAGCGTCCACCAGACATTAAACGTGCTCATTCGTCCTATAGCCTTCGTTCCGATGGTATTGATAATGCCAGAGAATATGTTCATGGCCCATGCGATCGCAGTAATTTCTACTCTCGTCAAAGTTCTTCCTTGTCCAACCTCTGCCATCGATGCAAGGTATAGAGCGACACTAGATGACAATTCACAGGTCGCGGATCATGTAATACAAACAAAACTTACCTCAAATTTCCGGAAATGCCAGTAAACACCATAGCCATGGAATAAAGCCAGCCAGTGAAGACTGATTCATGAGCCACCGCGTGGAGAGTAGACGCTGAACTTACAGCCAAGGATAGGCATATCTGGTTTCATTTTGCAAACCCAAAAGTAGAGTCCTCCCATTGTTGGGCTATACGACAACCTAAGACGCGGCTCTGGCAGGGTATAACGACTTGCTTACTATGTACTGCAAATCTCTGCAAGACTTAAAGCGATCAGAAACATAAAGAAACTGCATATCTATATAGAACAGCAGCTTGCATCGTTTCCAGGCGAACTGAAGCGCAGAACTTACATTCCATCCCCAGAACAGGCCAACCGGGCCTCCAGAGAACAACCCTGTCTGAAACGCACTGCTCATTCCAGTCAGAATGCCAATGGCGCAGAACGATATCCCAAGCACTCCGAAGAGAGACATCTCGCGGCGAAATTCGGCCCTGTAGCCCAGGTCCTGAAGGCGTTGATCAGTCATGGCAACATCGCGTGCTTCTTCCTTGTCCTCTCCTGCACTGGAATCTCGACGTTCTGACTTGAGCATGGTGGACGTGGCACACGCTGATTATCGTGAGCAGTTGAGGGGGCCAGCGTTATGTAGTGACTAGTAAAAGAATGAGAGCAAGGAGAGATAAGGTATCACAAAGTCACTCGCCTCCAGATAAGCAATGATTACTTTGGACAGTAAACGCTATAATATATAGCTCCGAATGAGCACATGCGAGTACTCAAAACGTACTTTAAAGTTGACAAGTAACCGGTCGCCGAACTTACCGACCGGGACGTCCTGTCAAGTGTATGTATTGGTGTGAATCATGAGGGGTATCCTGTGATCTCTGCAGAAGTAGAGATAATGAGTTTGTAGAGCTTCAGGTGTGTCACTTGACTCCTTATCGCAAATTGTTAGAATAATATTAATCACGTTTAGTAAGGTTTTCGCTGACCTTGAGAGAAGGCGCCGTTACACGTACTAATCAGTATAAAGTCGTGTGTCGTGTAAGTAATTGTGTGTTAGTCTGGCTGCACAGAGGCTTCGTCGTGAACTTGGCCAGCGAGACGGGTGCTCCAGGGACATACTACGACAAACCTCTAACTTATGAACCAGGTAGGCAAGACATCACCAATAAACTTCAGCCTTGAAGCCTGACGGACGTCGTTTCTCCTGCGATAAGGTGAGTTAGCTAATCAACTGGACGATACTGAGCATAAGAGTTCGTTTGAACGCCCGTTATGATCAGAACGGCTTTTCAATCATCATGAACATAAATGGGTATTCGAACATTGACAACACCTGCCGCTCCCCGATACGTTTGTAGGTAGTGATGGTGTGACACCTGCGACGTTCTGCTACAGTAGTCTCCCGGGTCCCCTAGCCAGGTCAATCGAAAGAAGAATCTTAGCAACAAGTACACTTCGAGCCTCTGAGTTTGTCGAACCTCGATCAACGGAAAGTAAAACACTGACGTCGGACTAAACGGTGCCAGTGAGCGCGGAGCTCACGCTTCGGACCGCATGTGAAATATTGACTCCATGATGGTTTGGTTTTTTGATCGATATATCGTTCTGATGCCGAGGCGGAACAAAAAATTATTTAGTTTCGATTGCCGCGGCAAGACCCGGGAACCAGACAGAGATGTCAACAGAGGTCAACGCGAAACTCCCATAACGGAAAGCTCAAGACACTGCATGCAGGAGACCACAACATCTCTCAGAGAGCCTATCCGGTAAGGTTGATTATCGTTCAACGCCTGTGTTAACAAGTTTTCCATCTTCTCCGAGATGTCGGCTTTCCGAGTCCTCTATTAAACTCCTTAGCCTGTACTAGCCCTGCGTTATACGCACAATCTTCAATAAATTTGGAATTTCACCGTTGAGAGTGGCCTTCAAACTGAATCTTAGACAGCCATCCGTGAAGTAATTGAAAAGTCGACAGGCTGCATCACTATCACCATTTCAGATGACTGGTTACCGATTATGCATCGGCCTCCCACGGGGCGAGCTACTTTCGCTGATGGTGACCGACTATGAGCATCGGCAATGACACACTTCGTCCAAGGCTCTCTCGTTAATCAGGCGCTTATTACAATCATACCAAGTTACCAACGTCTATCGTCCCGAACTGCCATCGACAACATGGATATACGCGTGCAGCATAACCTGAACCCTCTTACATGGACTTCATCCACAGGCCCTATATCCCTACCTTTGTCTCGTCCAATCATCCGCGTCCTTTTTCACCGCGCCAACCTGACCTCTAGCTTACAAGTTCAATCTATTAGAATTGAACGTGAGTCAATCCAAACCGTATTCATCTCATGATATTCACGTTCTATCAACAGTCATCAGCGGAAAAAATCTCAAGGTCCCCTCTGAGTGCATACCCGTACGCATATATGTGTTCATCAAATTCACCGAGACGAGACACTGGGGATCAGCTATCAGAGTCCTATCATCCGATCAATCTGTAGCGTTGGGCGACCCGAGGACTGACCTTTTGTTTGTAAATAATTGCACGAATCCCTGAATTAGAGATCAAGGCCTCTCCCGAGTTCGATCAAATGCTAGAATGGGGAAAACTCGATGGCTACTTCATCATCATGACCAGCTTTTGGCGAGTGATCTGCGCGCCGTCCATGCACATCTACTAACTTCTCGACCCAGAACTCTACATGAAGACCTCGTGTCCACGAACCCCGACTTACCTTAAGGTTCTACGGCAGCACAGACTGAGCTGCAGCTGATCAAGCAATACAATATAGGTGGCTTGCGACACAATGGAAAGCTACGGTGACTGAAATCCGCAATATTCAAGGTTTCTCGCCATCCCCCCCCCCCCCATCATTTGCAAGTGGCAGTACGCCATAGGCCAGTCATTATCCTCATTTTGAGCCAGTACTCATGCAACGCCCTCATTGTTCCAATGTCAGGCGAGCTACCATGTTCAAATCCTGTCTCTCACTCTCCCAGATGTCAAGACGCTCAAGGACGACTTCGACAAGGAGATACGCCACGCATCTTTCATGAACCCAAAGGAGTCGAGGACAAACTTGATAGTACTCTTGAGGAGAATCTTGGATGAGGTTATGCCATCGCCAAGCTCCTCCATCATGATCTGAAATTGCAGCGTCGGTCTCGCATCTGGCCGTGTCCGACTGCAGCCCTTAAATGAGGGAAGGTGGGCGTAGGCGGGAACTCTGCCTAGAGGAAATCTACATCTGTTCTCATACGCTAAGAATTTCAGCTCTGATCTTATCTTGACAGACGACGAAGACGCACGTGACGCCATCTTTCGCAGCTGTCAAAGCCTGTCCATGAATTTGTTCTCCCGCAGGTCCAGTTTACCCATCTTTTTGGCGGAGAAGCTACACAGGCAGGTACATTCCATGCTTTGCGACGCAATACCTTGGTACACCTCGCTTTTCATAGTAAGCAGGACCGCAAGCTGAATTCATTTTCTTGTTGGAATGTCATACTTCTGCCGTTGATGAGGAAACACCTGACGATGTTATTCACCTCGCTCGGGTTCAAGTGTGTCATTGGTACTCTGGGTAGTCGACGAGCTGTTACAAATCACGTCACCGAAGCCTTCCACGACCAGATGTTCAAGAATTTATGGGAGGAGATGCTTGACTGTACGAAGGCGGCCTCGGCACTCAACGTTCAACCATGCTATGCACTCGATGAAGAAGTAAGTTGCCGCTCGAGCAGAGAACTGTTTTGTTCATATGGGTGCGTAGTCCAAGGCGTAACAATTGGATATGGTACAGTTTTACTAGTTGGTGTTGGATTACCTTCATCTTCATTAGAATCACCCCTGATATTCATGTCTTTTTTATGATCCCTCCGAAGTATTGTTGTCCACCAGCGGATATATATCATGTTGGTCAAATGGAACCGAGACACAGTAAATGGAATGAAAAAGCCTTCCCAGGCCTACTAAGTATGTAATGGTAAAATCATCCTCATTGCCCTCGAACGCTTCCCTTATACTAACTGTGATTCTTTGCTCTTCCTCCTAGCACGTCACCCGACTGATTTTCAAACGAACTTTCGCCATGCACTTGCATGGTTGCTTCCATACTGAAAGGAGGTGCACGAACTTCAGTCAATCGTAACGAGTGAGAGACAAGCTTGTGCCAGCCATGACCGAGTTCATAGGTGCCGTGCCCCAACGGCCCTTCAGGACCACATTAACCTGTGTCTATGCTGGTCAGCTGAACTTATGTAGGAGATCTGCGAGTCGGAGATGGTATATTCACCTCCCCGCTTAGGAACTCGTCCCTCCCATTACCGATTGCCTCCAAGTACTGCCAGTGAGCGCTGAATCAACGTCTCGTTCTTTTCGAATTCGGTCAGGACTGGCGTTTTCTCCGTTCTATCGCAATTTCGTCACACTTATCATCAATTACGGATGAAACAGGCACTTTCAACGAATCACGCTAGATTCCATGATTGAATTAGCGACAGAAGCGGTGTCTGATATGCTTTATGCTACTTCTGACTTACCGACTAGCCTTGGATAAGCGAAGCCCAAAGCTAGAGCGTCTATCAGAGCGTCGCGAGGCAGACCTACGTTCTTAGCACCCACTGCCGTCACCCGTCTCCTAGGAATAAGAGTCTGTTAGCTAGGGTAAGAGGGACGCTAGAATGGCAGCGGTTTCGAGCCTGCGTCAGGGGGCTACCGCTACCCCAACCGCGCCGATCTCCTCCTTCTGTTTAGGATTATACTACTGAGCCTACTACATACCTAGTAGGAGTCCAGGCTCTGTCGCACGACTGCATCTGCGAAACGACGACCGGCCAGCTGCGTCCAGTAACCATGACCCACCGGCAGGGTAGTTTACGGTTGGCCCGGGGAGGGCCGAGGGCTAGTGGGGGGTAGGAAGCTTCAGGTCTGCAGACCTCGAGTCTCGCGACCTTCAGCACCCTACGCAGATTTTTGTGATTATGTGCTATATATTGTTATATATGTTCTTCTCAGAGATCCACCAGTTCACTGATGCTAGTACTAAGGGACCCTTTTTCGGTCGTTTCCGAATCGAACAGGGAATTTGGTGTCTGTGCAGAGACGATGCTGGAATCCAAGGCCTAATGCGCGATTAGTACGTATTGCTGTGTATGTAAGTACAAGTGTCCATCCCAGATCCCTCCACTTCCTATTTCCCTTTGTGCTCGATATAATATCTGCTTTATGTCCAACGACGCATCAGATAGCTGTCTGGCTGTGATATGCGCCTCCTGTTGTGGGTCAAACCGTTCTAATTGTGCATCTACTTTAAACTTGGACCAATAATTAGGCGCAATTATCACAACTTCACTCCAGCAATGGTGTGATACCCGTGAGTCTTCCTTGATCTGTGTCGTTCACATCGGTCATGACTGACACTGCATACACTTAGATGCATTGGGCGCTAATTGCAAATGTTGTGATGGCCCGCGCGGGTGCTGTAATAGTTGTTTCGAGTCGTCCTTGAACGAGGACAATTTTGAGAGACAACTCAGAGAAGACACGGAACGCAGAGAAGACACGGAACGCAGAGAGGCTGCTGCTCGACGACTTGTTGATGCTCAACCTGCGCCCACTAAAGGCATGAACTCGGAAGGCTCCACAGACAAGCCGGTCCCGTTGAAATGAGTGTAAGGCCGTGCTCTGCACTGCATAGTATCCAAAGCTGATTGTGAATCTCGTTCAGCCTATGACATCATCGTACCGCATGAGAACTCATAGCATTGAAAGTTGCGTACGTTCAATAGGATGCATGGCCTTGGGGAGATAAGCATGAACTTGCGGGCTAGACTTGGGAACATCCCCTCTCCTTCAATATGATAACGAATTGTGTTTTGCCTAGGCGATCTTCTGGCTGGGGTAGTACGTACTTAGTTAGAGTGTTAACGGGATAAGCAAACGTATACGTAATGATAACTCGGGCACTCTCAGGTTGCACTTGATTCTAGTTAGACGTTTTGTCCATTGCTTTACATTTATCGGTCATGCATATATTTGATGCAGGATGTTTGGGTTCTCTGTGCGGAGGCTGCTGTACGCCAAAATGTGTTCCACCAATTTGCATTCATTGACAAAAATACTTGCATAGGCAACGTACTACCAACAACTGCTCTAGGGTGCAACATAAGTTCGTTTTCACTAGTCCCATGTTGACTCCGGACTAAACTCATTGCTTGAACAGATGCGTTTGGCGCTAACGCCAGGTGCTGCGGTCCGCAAGGATGTTGCGGAGGTTGTTGCCGGGAATCTTTTGATGAAGATCATTTCGACGAGCAAATGAAAAGGGAGATGGAGCGGACGAAAGATACCAGCCAGCCTGTCGAAACTCAGCCCGGGCCATCTGTTAATATGACTGCAAACTTGACGGAGGGCGCGAGAGGAGGCCCTAACAATGCTTCACCAGCGCCACAACAATGATGACCGCAACATGGGCTCGGAAAGCGTGAGCAAGATACAGACACGCTGATCGGTTTTAACAGCTCGCGGGTGTATTTGAACTTTTGTACGTGGTGAACCTAGGAGGTACAGTAACTTGTCAGTGTCATGACATGTGCTGCCATTTGTCAAGGTTATACTAACTTACAGTGTCCAGTTTTCCAAACAGAATGCATTTCTGAACGTATAGACTTGGTATTTGCGGCCGATACGAACCTATAATCACAACAATTATATATAATCATCAGAAAGCGTTGGATTCGAGGCGCTACAATGATTCGTGAACTTGAAAGAGAAGCAATTCCCAAAACAGTACTCACAGTTTCGGAATTCGGACTTCGGAAGGACCTGCTGCCACTTCTCTGAGTCCTAGTGCATCCTTGCGTCATCTACTGTGTGGAACTCTACGCGGCACCTTCACTGACCAGTCGTCCTACAACTTGAACCTCACGGTTAACTTAGAACACAGAGAATCTACGCGTGTCTCCAACCTATTGCGTTACGACCGACTTTGCAATCATTATTCAATCTAACCCGACTCTCCATTGAATTGGATTCTTCGACAAGTCACGCAGGTGGACATTTGGACACATCGACAGAATACTGTACTCGAAATTATTCGGTCATCTAATTTGCAAATATAATACCAAAGCATACGAATCGAGCCTAGACACTGTATTGCAGCCCCTGGAGTCTGGACCGTCCGAGCCCACTTAATATTGATCAAGAAACTTGGGCATAGAGATGGGGAACGTGCAGTCAGGCTCCACACTTACACGGACAAGTGGAGCATTGGATTCATTTGTCACCGAATTGGGAGGAGACATCGTTTATGACAAGGGGTGAGTAGTCGTCGTCCTATACACTCCTCGCATGCGCGTCCACTCTTGCTCATTCCCGCAGACTCAATCAGGCGCGTTTCCTCAAGACCGTCAAATGTAGACACAGAAATGGATACCTTGTTGTCAAGATATTCATCAAACAAGATCCTGGAATTAGTCTCAGGACCTACCAAAGAAAGCTGAAGAGTATGTGATTTCAAGGCACAATGTGCAACCTGCTGAATTCGAGCAGCGGATAGGGAGGCTCTTCTGGACATCCCAAATGTCTACACCTATCAAACATTCCTTGAGACAGAGAAAGCGGGATATCTCATTCGTCAATGGGCCGCAAGTAATTTGTATGATCGTATAAGGTGCGACCCGAGACGCATGTCTTGGTTGTTATGCTCATTTGCATAGTACTCGGCCATTTCTCTCTCTCATTGAGAAAAAGTGGATTACTTACCAGCTTCTCACCGCACTCTCTCAAGCGCATCTGCACAAAACACCGCATGGAGATATCAAATCAACAAACATCCTGGTTACTTCGTCAAATTGGATCTACGTGACCGACTTCGCTGGGTCTTTGAAACCTACGCGGCTTCCTCTAGATGATCCTTCGGATTTCTCATTCTTCTTTGATACCAGTGGACGGCGGATTTGCTATGTCGCCCCAGAACGATTCTATAAGGTGGAGAAGGAGACAAGGAAAGCATGGGCAAATGAAGAAGGCGAAACAAAGGAGCCCATGGTGACTGAGGCGATGGATGTCTTTAGTCTGGGCTGTGTCATCGCGGAAGTATTTCTTGAGGGCGCATCCCTTTTCTCCCTCAGCCAGCTGTTCAAGTATCGTGAGGGAGAATACAGTGTGGAAGCTCAACTTTTGGCAATAGGTGACGAAGGTATACGAGTAAGTGACGACCAGTGCCAGGTTTCTTTGAAAGCTCACTTGTCTTCTATGATCTAGTCAATGATCAGACAGATGATTTCATTGAATCCTGCTGCACGACCTACCTTTGATATACTCCTAGCGGGTGCACGAGGGACCGTTTTGCCCGAGTGCTTTTACTCTTTCTTGCACGAATATATGGCTTCAGTTGGCGAGCGTCCTTCTTGCCTCCCTTTTCCCTCGTCATTCTCCGTGTCAAATACTCCTCCCTCCACCTATTTCCCAGCAGCCACTCCAAATGCAACGATCAAAGTACCAAGTAAAGAGACAGCAGCATCGGCTGCTGGCGCAACAGGGAATGACAGTGTACTTCCTGGTGATAGCGACCACAGATTGGAGCGAATTTGGGAGGAATATGGGAACGTGGACCCATACCTCCTTGACGACACAGACATCGAGAAGACTGTGATGGATGTCAAGGTTGAATTCGGTAATAATGTTGCTGGACCATCCAAACCTTTCCAGGTATATTTTGCATTTATCACCGAGCGAGCTGAAATTTATCCATCGACTTACATCGCTTGTAGGATGTCTTTCCTGTCTCTATGTACATTCCATCTCATTCCGCAAATCGGCATCCAACTCCTGCTGAAGATGGACCCGCGCTCATACTTCTCTCCCTCGTTTTAGCCAATATCCGCAACTGCCTTCTCCCTTCGTCTCGCCTCCGTGCTCTAGATATATTACTCGCTCTATCGACTCGGCTGACTGATGAGGCCAAGCTTGATCGGGCCGTGCCATACATTGTAGAGCTGTTGCGTGACGAGGCTGCAGTAGTCAGGACAGCAGCAGTGAGGACTCTGGTTCAGATTGTGCGTACTCTTTATGTTTTCAATTATGCTGTACTCACGAGTAAATTCGTTGCAGCTGACTCAAGTAAACGTCATCACTCCCTCGAATGCATCAATAGTGCCAGAGTATATCATTCCGAATGTGCGTTATCTTGTGCAAGACCCAGAGGTGTCGGTCCGGGCAATGTATGCGCAGTCCATTGCTCCCCTCGCTCAGACTGCCGACCGGTACCTCGAGATGGGCCAAGCCCTTAAAGCACACGGTGTTTCTCCTGGGATCAATGGTGACAGACAAGAATACGAGGAAATGCACTTCGAGGCAAGCCATACGAACATTGTTTTATCTCTTATCTAAATCTTGTTGATAGGTATCGTACGATGTCATGAAACAAGACCTCCTCCTTTCCATCCAGGAACAATTGTCAACGCTTCTCATGGATCCTTCTCCCATTGTTAAGAGAGCGGTGCTGCATAATATCAATGCGCTTTGCGTCTTTCTGGGCAGTCAAAGAACGAACGATGTCGTCTTGAGCCATATGATCACGTACTTGAACGACCGAGACTGGCTCCTTCGTCACGCGTTTTTTGAGAGCATCGTCGATGTCGCAGCATGTGCTGGAGGTAGGAGCCTAGATGAATATATTCTGCCGCTGATGGTGCAGGCACTTTCTGGTGAATTTAACTGCACTCATGCTGGAATGTTTCTAACACCTCTGGTTTCAGATGTGGAAGAAACCGTAGTAGCACGGGTACTCGCCGCCCTCACTAGCCTGTGCGAGTTGGGTCTGTTTCAGAAGATGCGCATTTGGGAGCTGATGAGTGCCACTCTCCCGTTTTTTTACCACCCCAATATTTGGATACGGCAGGGTATGGTTTTCACATCCTTTTGGTCCGCAAAAGACTCACAGTTTGTGCAACTTCAGGCGCAGCTTCCTTTATTGCGGCTGCAGCTAAATGTCTACCTCAAAGTGACGTCTGGTGTATCCTGTACCCTTCCTTGCGTCATCTGTTGCGTTCGGATGTGAAGGAGGTTGAAGAACAGAGTCTTTTGTCGGCAATGAAGTCACCGGTAAGCCGGATTTTCACAGACCTGGGTTCACTGCTCATGATTCGAAGTTGCCACGTCCCGTTTTTGATGGTGCTGTCCAATGGGCAATGAGGGCGGAGAAAACAACCTTTTGGAGGGCACCTCGTAGACCAGCATCGAAGGTGGAATCCCCGAGGGAAAGCATAGTTTCCATGAGAAAGGGGGGAAGCACGGCTGGTATTGGACGTAACAAGTCAGAAGAGTGAGTTCCTCGGTTTCAAGCCTCCGCGGGGCTAATATACACAAAAGAGATGAAGTGCAGTTGCTGAAACTGCAGAACCTTGGTATGACATCCGCCGATGAGGCGAAGCTCACGGCGATGCGGGATTACATCCTCAAGCTGGCTAATAATGCATCAAGGTTGGTTTTTCTTTTACTATCTGCTGGCTTCTTTGATCGAACTTGTGGTAGTTTCGCATCCAGACCAAGAATAGAACCAGAATTTGAAAGGAATCTTCGTTCGATGGGAGACGTTGAACTGCAGAAGTTATCTGTTGTTCCTCAGACAGTCTTCCTCAAGTCAAAGTCCTCTGCGTGCGATCTGACGCCCAGACCTTCTCGCTTGACATCCTATTCACGCAGGCCAGGTGACTTGCTAGGACGCCTCGGTACACCACACATAAGCAGGGCTTCCAGTGTCGACCATGGAGCAACTAATCCTGCACTGGAAGACCTAAAGCGGAGATTAGCTGCTATCAACGGCTCTTCGTCGTCACTCAACCTCACCGCTACTGCTCGGGAACGCCAGGCAGTACAATCCCCCTCTCTCCCGCCTTCGAACTCGCAGCCAGTAACTCTGGCGCTTCCTGCTCAGCCCGTGGGACATGATCGCCCGAGCAGCCCAACAGATTCGGTGGTGTCTACTACTAATTCGTCGACTATCCGAACTGCGCATCGGTTGCATGTCGGAAGTACAGATGGGCAGAAGGCTGCTCCTGCGGTTGGTTCATCTAATATGAATGCAGTAGGGTTGCTGGAGGCGCCATCTAAGATGCATGCGGAAGGTTCTCCCGAACAATCAGGAAGATCGTCACCAATTTCACTTGCTGGAACTGCAAGAGGTGTGACCCGACCCCGTATGGCCTCCATGCTCCCTATCTCGACCTATGGTATGTTGGAAACTATCATAGCTGCTCCCTGCTTACATGATTTCTGACATGGTTTGTAGATGGGCCGGAACCTGGCATCAACAATCTGCTCGAGAACATGTACTCGGACAACAACCGCGAGTTGCAGCATGACTTCGGTCCAAAGGTGCATGAAGGACCTGTTCGTCGACGCAATATAGCCAGACAAAGCTTTATTACGCGCGATAGCAGCAATCGGCGAACAGAAGCCACCCTCATAGCTCACCTCCAATCCCACACTGACTGCGTCACCGGCTTGGCTGTATCTCCGGATCATGCGTTCTTTGTTTCATGCTCAGATGACATGTCTGTCAAAGTATGGGACACGGCACGGCTGGAACGCAGTGTGACGAGTAAGCCTCGTTATACGTATAGCCAGCATCACGCGCGTGTCAAAAGCGTATGCATGCTGGAGGGTGTGCATTGTTTTGCTAGTGCAGCGGAAGACGGAAGCTTGCATGTCATCAGGGTGCACGTCAACCAAAGTGGGTCTTTGCCGAAGTATACCAAACTTCAAACCATTCGAGAATATCGGGTGGACTCGCCTGGCGAATATATTACATATATGATTCACTATAATTCAGGTAAGACTCCGTCTGATTCTAGCCTGCTTGGTGAAATAATGTTCTATCAGATGTCGCCTCAAATCTTGTCTTTGCAACAACACACTCTGTCATCACCATCTTGGACCTGCGAACCATGCGAGTCTTACAACATATGCAAAACCCGCGTCATTTTGGACCCATCACTTGTATGTGTCTAGATCGCAAACGCACGTGGATTCTCGTGGGCACTTCTATGGGTGTGCTCTCACTCTGGGACCGACGTTTTGGCCTGCTTATCAAGAGCTGGCAAGTCGGCAAGACTTCTGCGGGAAAATCTGCAAGAGTAAACCAATGCATCATCCATCCAACAAAAGGGAAAGGCAGTTGGGTAATGGTTGCCGTTGAGAGCTGGAAGGGTGGCCCGGAGTCTTCACCCATAAGCCTCGTCGAGGTCTGGGACATCAAAAATGGCGTTCTGGTGGAGAGCTATATGACAAGGACCACATCTACGCCAACAGAGTGTGTTCCTGAACCTGTGGAGCATTTAGCAGTGGAGGCCTCGCAGAGCCCAGCTGCCGCCATTGCTGCTCTTGTCAATGCTAGATACCCGGGTGGAACTGCGCACACCAATGCGAGCAAAAATGGAGGACCATCTCACGGCTATCAGCGTGATGAGGCACTTCCGGCACCCTCACATGATATTCGTGCAATCGTAGCTGGTGTCGATTTTGGACATTCCGCATTGCATAGGTCAGAAATCTTGGATTTGTCGGTTGATACTCCCGCGTCGAGCCGGAATTCTAGGGGGTTCATGGTGACAGGTTCGGAGGATAGAAGGATTAGACTGTGGGATCTCAGTAAACTCGAACGAACATCTGTGGTGGCTGGCCCAGAGTCAGAACATGACAGGCCATCGTACAGGTGAGGGACTGCCTGATTTACTAAAGATGTTTTGCTCACTATGACTTCAAGCACTGTACGAGCCGCAGATGGTTCGACGTACGTCAGTAACGTTGAGACTTGGGCACATTCGTCCAGCTCAGTTAGTCAGAGCAATCGACCTCCGCAAAGGATGTCGATGATTACTCACAACCAACAGAACCTTCTCAAGTCACATCAGGATATCGTGACGTGTCTGGCTTGCATTGATTCCCCATTTCGAGGAGGCATTGTGAGTGCTGACAGAGCAGGGGTGATCAAAGTGTGGAGGGTCGGAGGCACCGACTAGTACATGACCCGCTAGATCTTGTTTACGTGTTTCCCTGTACCTTGCATGCTATCTAGATTTTACCGTAGTGCTTGTTAATTTCACCCAAATTTCACCAAATTTGTCGTGAAGAGTGACTCGAAGAGCGCGCCTGATAGCATCATGCTAAAAACAGACTTGGTCCTGACTCGGATGCTCAGATTTCTGACTCGGGCTCCCCCATATCTAGCCCGTTGTAGCATCTACAGGTCACAAGTTAGTTTTCTTCGCGTTTATTCGACAGCCATGGCTACTCCAATCGCGTCTTCTTCGCAACCCGTCGCCCTCGACGGACCACACACTGGAAATGCAAAGAAACCAAAAGAGAAGAAGGATAAAGCGGCGGTAGCAGCGTCTCAGTATTCACTTGAAGTCAGCGATCTTCACAGATGTTCTTTAAACTTTGACTGACTTTATGAGTAGCTCCAACCACCGCCAGGGTTTTTTTGATCATCGCATCAAGTTGTTTGAAGAACTGTACGCAAAACACAATGAATTTGTGAAAGGTATGCATGTCATCTATCCCGAGATCAATTATCCTGATCACTGTTTCAGCTCAGCCTCGGGAGGAGATCGTCATCACGATGCCTGATGGTTCAGAGCGCAAGGGCACTAGTTGGGAGACTAGTCCCATGGATGTTGCAAAAGAAGTTTCAAAGAGTCTGTCGGAACGAATTGTGATCGCAAAGGTATGTGACTGCACTTATTGATATTTAGATTATGACATGATTCGTGCAGGTCAATGGTGGTCTATGGGACTTAGAACGACCATTGGAGGCTTCGTGCAAACTAGAATTATTAGACTTTGAACATCCAGAAGGTATGCAGGGATTTACACCGCCTTTGCACCTTGTGATTGATTATTGCAGGCAAGAGAGTCTTCTGGCATTCGTCGGCACATGTTTTGGGTGAAGCTGCTGAGCGGCATTACGGTTGTCACCTATGCATTGGACCCCCAACCGACGAAGGATTCTTCTACGAGATGGCTATCGAGGACAGGTAATCGGTCATAACTAATACTGTAATGGCCAAGTATTAACTTCAGCAGAGCCGTTACCAATGCAGATTACCCCGCTCTGGAGAAGCTTACAGAAAGTGCTGTCAAAGACAAGCAGAAATTCGAACGCCTCGTAGCGTCGAAAGAGGATTTACTGAAAATGTTCAGCGTATGTCCTTCGACATTTTCTAGAACACCCACCCATCTAATACCATCATTAGTACAACAAATACAAAAAGCACTTGATCGAGACCAAGATTCCAGACGGCACCTCCACCACTGTATATCGTTGTGGACCGATGATAGATCTCTGTATCGGCCCTCATATACCACACACCGGCAAGATCAAGGCATTCATGGTCACCAAGGCAAATATATAGTCCGGAATTCGCTCGATATCATTCTAACCCAGCCCTTGTAGAACTCTGCATCATATTTCCTGGGTGATGCAAACAACGACTCATTGCAACGCATCTACGGTATCTCGTTCCCAGATAAAAAGCAGTTGTCCGAGTACAAAGCATTCTTGGTCGAGGCTGCGAAACGGGATCACCGCAAGATCGCTCGGGAGCAAGAACTATTCTTCTTCAATGACCTCAGTCCTGGAAGCTGCTTCTTCCTCCCTCATGGTACTCGAATCTATAACACTCTAATTGAGTTGATGAGGGTGCGTTCAAGCTTGAAATAGTAGGAAGTTAAAACTGACATCAGCACAGTCCGAGTACTGGAAACGCGGATACCAAGAAGGTGAGTTTATAGATTATTCGAACGACATCTGGTGCTGAGCAATCGGTCAGTCATCTCTCCGAATATGTACAACTCAAAATTGTGGGAGACTTCTGGGCATTGGCAAAACTACAAGGACGACATGTTCATCCTTGACGTGGAGAAAGAGAAGTGGGCATTGAAACCTATGAACTGCCCAGGCCACTGCCTCATATTTGACTCCCGGGACCGAAGTTACAAGGAACTTCCAATTCGTATGGCTGAATTTGGTATCATACACCGAAACGAGGCTTCTGGCGCTCTTACTGGTCTCACTCGTGTTCGGCGGTTCGTGCAGGATGATACGCACGTGTTCTGCCTGCCCTCACAGATAGAAGATGAGATCAGTGCGCTATTTGATTTCATGCAGCATATCTATGGTCTTTTTGGTTTCGAGTTCCACCTTGAGCTATCCACTCGCCCTGACAATTACCTCGGCACCATTGAGGCTTGGAACACCGCGGAAGAGGTATGTTCCCCCCACAGCGCACCATAAGCGGTACACTTACCATCTCGGATGCATAGCAACTCACCAAAGCACTCGATAAGCAATATCCAGGTAAATGGGAAGTCAACCCTGGCGATGGTGCATTCTACGGCCCCAAGATTGACATCACTATCCGTGACGCCCTCCGCCGATCGTTCCAGTGTGCGACTATACAGCTCGATTTCCAACTCCCCGAGCGATTCGACTTGAAGTACCGCTCCGCGGACGAGATGACCAATCCTGATAAGCCCCCTTCACGTCCTGTCATGATTCATCGTGCGATTTTGGGAAGCTTAGAGCGCTTCATTGCGATCATCACGGAGCACTTTGCAGGAAAATGGTGAGTCCATGTTCTGTTTGTCTTCTTTTAACACTTGACTCATACCGAGTCAAGGCCGTTTTGGCTTTCACCCCGTCAAGTGCTTGTTATTCCTGTTGCTGTGCCGTATGTGAGTATACCCTGATAGAGCGTGACAATCCAATGCTGACACGTATCACTTTCACAGAAAGAATATGCCCAAGAGATAGCCACTCGTCTGGCCGATCTGGGTCTTTTTGCCGATGTCGATAACGGAGCAGACACTCTGCCGAAGAAGATCCGCAACGGTGAAATTGCACAATACAACTTCATCCTCGGTAAGAGAACCGCATTGTCCTGCTAGACATAGCATATTCACACACAACTCAGTGGTCGGGCAGGAAGAACTCGATAGCCGTTCGGTTAACGTACGAAACCGGGACGACGTCGGCACCAAGTCCAAAGGCGAGATGGCGCCAATCGTAGAGATTGAGCAAAAACTGTTGGCGCTGAAAGCAGTCACGGAGTCTCGCAAACAAGTTGGTGTAATAGTGAACGCAGTGTGTAGCAAATATGGAAGATAGGTAGTCAAAGAATGCGAAAGTGCATCGATCGGCGGTAATCGGCTAGACACAAGCTGTCGCACAGCATAGAACTTAGAAAGTAGCTATTTTTAGAATACTAAGATCTCATCTGACGCGCCGCGGTTCCGTAAGGTTCGAGACATACTCGTCAGACATCCACTACGCCGAGATACCTCCCAAAAATTGATTGCGCTTTCACCCGGAGCAGGTGAGTGAAGATGTCCAAATGTAGACTCGTAACAAACATACCAAGTTCTGGATCGCTTCTCGTTCAGAAGGTGGCAAGCCATTGATCTGGTCTGGAGTTAAGCTGAGTACCTGCATTAGCATTTGCTGTACATCCAGACACATGAGTTAAACATCTAGATCAGGCAAGGCAGATCAGAACAGACCCTTTGACCCGGATCAATATTTAAGTCGGGCATCGGAGCCGAGTGGGGCGGGGGGTGCTGCGTGTGGTGGAGGCCGATACCAAGATTGTTGCTGCGGTGGAGCTGGCATGTGCGACGGGGGCTGTTGGTGCGGGTAGATGCTCGGTGGAGCAGTTGACGCCGGCGGGGGGGCGGACATTGGCGGAGGCATGTGCGGTTGAGGCTGGTGCATGGGTGGAGGCTGCTGGTATTGTTGCATTGGGTGGTGGGGCTGTTGAGAAATTCCTGGACCTGGGGGAGCTCCACTACCCGCAGTTGCTTGGAGCATGCGCTGTGCAATTGCCATTTTGCTCGACGGTCACTCCACACCGAAATTAAGAGAACACACCTGAAGAACACTCTGGTCTACTATTTTGTTCAGTAGCAATGCTTGGAATAATGCATACGCATACTGCGGATGCGCAACAAGTAGTGCCCTTGCTTGATCCGGGTGGGTGATTACAAAAGCCTACACAAACAAGATCCGCACACACATCAACAATTCTGTATCACTCGCCGGTGCGAACCGCAGCACACCTTCATCTGGGCAAGCACTTCGACCAACTGAGCTGGGCTCATAGTTGCAAGTGTCTGACTGATGGTATCTAATGCAGTCGACCCAGGAACTATGGGAACACCGGGTGGCAAACTTGACAAGAAAGAATTTGACTCTTGAGATTTGGGTTGATCGCGAGGATTATCAAATCGGTCGCGGTCGCGGTCTTGGTGCTCACGGTGATCACGCCAGCGGCCTCTTGGATCACTCCCATCGAGCAGCTCGCCTCGCACAGTGGTCTTGCCTTCAAGGAAGGGGTCGGAGTCCGCGAGGTCAATTCGTAAAGGGCGGCCACCGACGTCGGCATTATTGAGGTTCCGCACAGCAGATGCAGCGGTTTCATGATCTTCAAGGCACAATGCGAAAACACAAGTTTGAGTCCGTGTGTACCGGTACGGGTAACACCAAATGACAAGGTGAATCGAGAGAGACGCGTTGAGAGGCACAGATTAGGCGGGATTGCGAAAAACAGCCGGTTTGAAGTCAGACATGCATCAAAGTGTACATCAAGGAAAAATGAATTGGATGTACCAGCAAATTCACAAAAGCCATAACCTCTAGGTTTCCCTGTCTCTCTGTCAAAGACCAGTCTAAAAAAAGCATTGACGTGAGCTGATGCTGTAGGCTATGGAGAGCATAGAGACGGACCTAAATCCTACAACTTGACCGACCGACTTAAAGACATCGATGAGTTGTTCCTGTACAAGAGGTTATGTCGGAATGGTATGACATGAAGGATAAATAACTTTCCTCCCCCATGTTGTAGGGGACATTTCCCACTGCAGGGAAGAACTCGTTAGTAAAAGCATTGCGACATTCAGTGTGCACATACCGAAGACGACCTTACTCATTTCGAGACTCTGAAGAAAGCTATGTAGATTTGAGATGCTACCAGAACGGTGTCGAAAGTTCGTGACTTAAGCCGCTAAGCGCTCACAATTATTTCGGACAAACGGTCACGGGATGTGTGACATTGTGACATCTCATGACAAAGAGAGAATTTTTGTATTTGTCACTATACCGTAATATTTAACCCGGGCGAACCCGGGCTTTCCAGCTGGGGGCACCGGCCAGGAGCGGCCAGGCTACTAATCTGTTTCTTGGATACTCTCGAGCTCAAGTACTGAATATCCTATCTCGTGTTCTCGATACAAGACTCGCGAGTCGAATGTAGAACTAATTAAAGAAAGAACAAGGTCTAGATGCGGTGGCCTATGCCATGGCTGTGTTGGGTGAATATAAGGTGTAGGATAATACGAATGACCGAGGGGCCCGCGTTTAATCTCATGAGCAACTTAGTTACTTATGATGAATAACTTGGCTGATTCATATCTGTTTCTCGGAGTCCAGCCTCCGAGACTCATGAGTAAGACGCATGACTCGATGTTGCCGCTCTGTATCATGGAGTCATGGCCCGGGTGACTCAGTCACTGCAGCCTTGCCGATGGATTTTCAGTCGATGGACCTTGATGTCGGACCTCGTTAATATTAATCGTTCACGGATCACCGCAACTTGGGGAAACCGACTCGGGATCTCGAACTCAAGTCGGACTCAGATCGACTCCTTCTTACGTAGATCTGCGGATCATAGCCTTTTGGTGCTGTGGAGTCAGCTATGCCATGATGCGGAGTGCACAGCATCCGCGGCCGGAGATCGAGGCAGCATAATATTATAGTTATTACGCCGATGGGAACGGCATCTTGCGACATATAAAGAGTCGAAGTGAGACTGCAAAATCAGACCGACAATACTCGCTACATATATACATGACAGTCACCACTTCTACTCGTCGCAAGCTGTCTTCTCACTCCGGAAACACCGACGAACAATTCCAAGCCTTGGATCGCGCCTTGGCAAGGAGATATGTCTTTCGTCTGCTTCACGAACAACGGTTGCGTAGAATCCAAGAGCAACCTCAAAGCGACGTGATATTCAGACCAAGGTAATTACATTGAATGTACACTAATCGCAAACATCTCTTCTGACATTATCATAATTTAGAGTGGAAATATGTGATGACCCATCTTCCTCACGTATCACTGCCACGCTTGAACTTCCTGGCATGAAAGCAGACGATGTGCGAGTCACACTGGAGCGCGATAGCCTTCTCGCTATTTCGGGCGAACGCGTGTCTAAAGCACCTTCCGATCAGCCCACGTCTGTCACCTTTCCTGTGAAGGAGATCAAGTACGGAAAGTTTCTTCGTACACTGGATGTTCCATCCGGTACAATGGTGAGTTCTATGGATTCATAGCTTGTTCATTGCTTATGATCCTATTCATCCAGATGAGTACCATATCAGCGGCAATGAGTGATGGCATGCTGCTTGTATCATGGCCACGTTCTCCTCCTGGCGTCAGAACTCGTTCTCCGCAGTGATCGTTCTGCCACGCTGTAGCATCATGTTGCACCTTATCTATTCTCTTGGACCACTCTCCCAGCTCCTATATTATGATTTGTATGCTATGCACAACTTATAATCCTAGACGGATTTCTGATTAATACAGGGCATAGGGGTTAATCGTTACTATAAAAATACTACTCTTATCTTGCTTCTTGCTGCACTTTTGATTGCCGTCTCATCATGACTCGTGGTCTTATAGTACATACCCGTAGCTAGAATCATCGTTCCTGTGTTGTATGATAACACTGGAGGCGCTTCGCTGGCACTTCACGTACTCGTTTGTGGCAGATTCACACTAACCATGTATCAGTACAACTTTTGGGTTTTATCCACTTTGAGAGAACAATGGAAATGTATGGGATGAGTCAGTATGACTCTGCTTAATTTCACAAGACTGCGCTTTGCTAACGGCGAATGCACATCTGACGGCTTCCGTCACAGGCCGTCCCTCAATATAGCTACCACTTACATTCATGGGTCCTGCATCACAACCAAAATTTAGTCGAATTCAGTGTACTGCTGCGATTACCGGTGCGCACGAAGGAAAGCTAGTAAGCAATGATTAAGCTCGGAGGCGAATGAGAGTTCGGTGAGTGTTTGCGGCGTAAATGTCGCAGAGCCATTGAAATTAAAATATCATTCCTATGAGCCTGTGCTTTTAGTCAAGATGAACTGAGTGTCAGGTTTTTACCCGACGCTAGTGCAATTAAACACCATTCATTGGTTCTCCGCAGCATGTGCTACAGCGTCGGTATTGCTCGTTGAGTTGGGTGTGTTGTACCGATAAGTCCAAGCACTATAATAAAGCGAAGAGGGGCTGCCGGTGCCCTTTCGCTGACGCGTACAAATCGGGTGTTATTAGCATGACTCAAGGGATATAGCGGTGTAAGGCTCAGGCTTACGCACCGCACATCAATTCATTTTCTCCTGTGGCCATCTGCAACCGCTGACTCGAACAATTAAATCCATCTACTGGATATAGTCTGTGAAAAGAACTCCTAAATGTCTGGTCTGTCAGCAATTGGAAATATCCTTAAGTTCCAGACACACGCTCGCCTGCCAGAACGAGTCTCGTTGGATGTTTCGCCGTAAAATATTGCCATTGGAGGGAGCACGGCACCGAAATGACTCCAGTGCCATACTTAACTATAAGCGTAACATGAACGAACTCATTGCGCTGTAACTTTGATTAGTAGGGTGTCCACTAATCAGCACGCCATCCAAGACGGAGTGGAATGCATTATACAACCCGGAACTGCCTCCCGTCAGCTGCGGAAATGAATGCTTTGCATAGAGTGGGCAGAACGCACAATTTTATCTGGACTGCATCATCCTGTGCTTGTGCAAGCGCGTTGACGCCTTTACCACGGAGACATGTCATTTGCTGCGCCACAGAACCCGTTCCACACCCTACATACGATGCGTAGAACTGGAAGAGTGGCTGTTAAATGGGCGTCAGAATCTTTGGGCGCTCAAAGCTCAGCGCTCAGCGCTCATCCAGTCAGCGCGCTTAGCATTACCGTGCGGAGCACAATGTTGCGTGACGTGCAGATTCAAAATAACACCAAAGAAATCTGACTCGTTATGGTATCAAAGGCAACCTGACACAGTGAGAAAACAGACGTCATAATGAAATCCGGAATATACCATTCTCACGGGCGTCTAGTCCCGGCCAGCACTCCCTACATAGACTCGCGACCAGCCTGGCGTATATCTCAAATCGACGCATAGTCAAACTGGTTACGAGTCTAGTCCCTACACACTATCGAAAAGGTCAGTCGCTATCCGCATACTAGATATCGAGACTGACCAATTACGTTGCAAACAAAGCTGAGATTTCATCCGCGGAGCCTTGATTCTCAACGAACATCATACACACTAGACTGGTGACCAGCCCCTCTATGAGGCAAACCGTCGATGCCTCATAGAGGGGCTGGTCACCAGTCTACATACACACTCCACACTGTCATACTAGATATTCAATAAAAGCTATTCAGTGGTCTACAGCTCCGAGATCTGTTCTGAATATCGTGCACACCTCGTAAACCTAAAAAGGCAATCGCTCCGCACGGTCACAAGTCGGCACCGCCGACCTAGTACCTGTTGTTGTTCAGGGGTGGGAAAGGGCATCCTGAAGACAGCTGCACGATAGCAGCTCTCGCTGGCAATCACGCGCACGTGTAGCTCCACAGAGCTACTGCCCGCGCTTTGATAGTTGATGGTCTTCGGTCGCTACCGAATTTGCCAATGTACAACTCGACCCATTTGAGTGTTCGACCTGATCCTTGAACCCCGTAATGAAGTCCCCGTTCGGTGAGTGGTTAAGAAGCCGAAAGAATCGAGACGGTAATAAACAGACACGATGATAACATTCGGACTTCTGATTGATCCAGCTATCAAAGGGCTAGTTCGTGGATTTCGATTTCTACGAATATAACCTGTCGCAACGATGAGTAAATATGTACGGCCGTCCTTGTCGCTTGAGAACGCGACTTACCTCCGCCATGAATCTAGGCCAGTACAGGCGCTACACAGACCCATTAGAGTAGTGAGAAAATAGTTGGACATTTGAAACGGCCTTCTTTCGAAGGCACCGCAGGGTGAGTAAATGTTTGACTTTTAAGTCGTCCTCTTGTCCTGCTCTTCCTACATCTACAACTGGACCACGGCCCGAGTCAGTAAAAATATTTAACTTAGTTGAAGACAATCACGAGTACAACCGTGACCCGTTGTCCTCCGGGTACAAAAGTCAGGGTGGTAGGTTGCATCGACCACTAGCTGCTTCCTCGTTCAAACTGTTCTCTTCATACAGACACGTAATGTTCAGACGGACAATTGCACGGAAGCGCAGGTCGCCTACAGGGGACTCGGCACACGGTATCCCAAGGCGTACCACCGTATTTAGGTATATCTGTTTCCTGAGATACGTCGCATACACCAGATCGACTATGGGCACATTGGAGGTCTGCGCAAGTGCGCCATTTAATAAGGCAAAGTTCGGAAACGTGAATATTGCGCTAGGCGCTCTTCAGTGGAGGAGATCGGAGAGTCATCCCCCTTTGCAAGCGCTGTTTTTAACCCGCCTTCTGCGGAATGGTCCATTATTCCGCGGGAAGTCGCCAGTAAATAAATAACCAGAGCAGCTATCGAATATGGTGAGGATTCGTACGTACGGTGAACCGCTGGGCTCATAGTACTTCGAAAGTCGTTTCAGTACACCGAGGATAGTGAAAGATCACCCTGCTTTCGACTGTACATAATATTACGATGGGTGTCAGGACATAAGTTTCGAAGGGGTTCGCGGTAACGAAGAAGTCGATGGTAAAGCGGCAAAGCTAGCCGCAGAGAGTCAGTAAAACAAAAGCCATCACAAGATTCGCAACCACGTCTCACATTATCTCCGCGGACCGCCACAGGTACACGGTCACCTTCCTCTCAACAAACACCCGTACCGATCGGGAAAGCTGCATCCCCCCTTACAATTGTCCCCAATCCGGAGGGGGCAGTGTATCATTCCTGTTCGGCTGCTTTCCAATGCGCAGTGCATAACATAGCGTCCAAACGCCCTGGGACACAGACTTTGAAGTCGTACAATATGTAAACGTCTTGGCGTTGTTCATTGAGAAATTACAGTTACCGTGCTCACCGTATCAAGGACTTCAGGGAACCGAGATCCACGACCTTCCTTCTCCAACTCCAACTGGCTGGACACTGACATCATATATACATAATGATAGAAGTAATGAAAGGCTTAGCTTGCTATAATGTACGAACACATTAAAAATGAACATGCCAAATCAGCGATATAGTTACAGTACTTGAATCAATCGCATCGCACGAACAGGTGCAATCAGCAATCGCTCAACGAGCTTGTGGACCGAGATGGGAATATCCTAGAGGAAGAGATGCATCATATACAAAGGAAGACCACTTGTCATCCAACATCAAATCCCCTTGCTGTCCTTGTTGGAGACCGTGAAGCGAGGGAGCGCACAGAGAACGAGAGTATGATGGCCCAGGGATCTCCGGGTGAAAAAATTCCAACTCAGGCAGCCCGACCGCCCCTTCCCCAAGTGCAGAGTCTCGAATCACGGGGATGTTAATAAGATGCGACTGATAATCGTTCCGTTGGTTTGGGGAACTATTTTGAGTCGCTGTGGAACTCGCAAGTTGGATTGGATGTTGGGGAGACCATGAAACGTTCTTGGAAAGTTTTGTTACTAGTAGTGTCCGACCGCCAAACACCTCTAATTCGTCGGGTTCATCCTCCGATCCAGAAGACCTTGAAGGTGGTTTGTGGCTGGCGTGTTGAAGGGGGTCCATCCTCGCATGGACCGCTTTTTGATAGAGCCGAAGTAAAATTGGCTTCAGAGGCGTGTTAGTGAGCTCTGGCAACTGACAGATAGATACCCTTGCTAGAAACTCACCAGCGCTTTTTTGGCGCGACTACAAGTCTGCGCCGCATTGCGATATAATGAACACGCCTTTTCTAGTTGGTCAAATGGGTCCGGGTCCAATTTTATGCCGAGTCTTCGGATGGCGACGGTGCCAACGATAACCTCAACAAATCATTGTCAGCACAACCCGCTAAAAAACATAGATTCGCGTACTGCTGATGAGAATGTATGGGACCATATTCGCCACATTCGGGAACACAACATGGGCTGTAGCTCGAATGTGTCGATAGTTACTGCGATCAGTGCACAGGCACATTGGTAGGCAACCATGAATGATCGGCCTACAGGGCTTCTAAGAGGATCTGAAGGAAAGTCACCCATGGCCTGTGCAAAGAAACCTCTGTGCAAGAACATGAGCGCTTCATTTCAAGTCAGTTAATAGGAATATGTGAAACCACTGCGACACGCACTGAACTCTCTGTAACGTGATTGAGCAAAGGTACGCATGTCTGTGGGCTCACGGTCGGAATGAGGTGAATGCGGAGATACAGGCACAGAAAATTCCCGTATTTTACGATCCAACTCGAGGATGGTTTGGTAGTTAGGTGGCTTTACAGCCTGAGTCGCTTCAACGACTGGTGCTAGGCACTCCGCTGTGAACCGAGAACTCCAGCTGCCAACTTTGCAATGGATTAGAGCTCTTTCCCACGTAGTTATGTGGCGAAATGACCTTACATGTAATAGGGATTTCTCCCAACCGGTACGTAGCTTCGTCAAATTCACCCGGGATTTTACAGTCAACCACAGCTGGCATAATCGCGGGAGGGCGTCCAATGGTCAGGCTTTGCCAGAGAGTTTGAGAAAAGAGAGCCCAGAAATATGAGCGGCGTTCGTAGGCTTCTCTCCCCTCAAAACCCCATCGTGAAGGATCATTATCTACATAGTGACATTAGCCACGTATCAATGGTTGCCTTGTGACATAACATACGGAACCCAATCTAATGATGCTCGTCAGAGGTCTGTCTGATGATTGTGACGTCTGTAGCTCGAAACTAACCTGAAGTGCGACTTGACCAGCAAGGTTGAGAAAAGAATAACAAAGCTCCGCGTTGCTCTCGACGCCACTCATGCCGTAGTACATACTCATAAGATGCAATACCTTAATCGTGACAATAGACCGCTTCGAAAATATAGATTGCAAACCCAAGGCAGCGCGCGCCAGTTTTTGATAGTGACGAGCTTCGGAATTATACGGGGGAAGGGCGGGATCAAACAAAGCTCCGACCGCTAGTACACTGAATAGCAAGGCCAGGTCGTGTGGTCCGTAATGTGGCTGCTTCGATGATTTTATCCCCAGCCTGTATATCAATGGGATGAGGTCGTCAATAATTTGCTGTCGCGAAACTATTTGGAACGTCCATGAGAGAGACTTTAGGAAAGTCTCACATAACGAAACAGCGCGCCGGATATCCGGTAGGTAGGATTCTATTGTCTCTCGCAAGTGTTCTTTGGGGAGCCCTGGGGGAGGGAAAGGGAAGGCATGGTCAAGCTTGCTGATGTGAGGTGGCAGGTAATCAACCTCGATTTCTTGTGTTTCGGACAATGATGTCGGAGTTTCAGGGATAATTCGTTTTCCAGTCTGTGATCATTGTTGGCTAGATGTTCTAGAAGAGTGAATAAGACAAACCAGCAATAAACTCTAAAGCTCAAGTAAGTGTCTTAACGTGCCACGGGCAAACGTCTGTTCCGCACCTCAGAACCTCCGGAAGGTCCGAAAAAACGAGTAGTACCAGATTCTGGGTCACCATCAAGGTGCAAAGTGCCTAAGGCATCTATCAGACCTTGTGAGTTGGATTCTGCCATCGTAGGTGTGGTATCGACGCTACTCCCACTATCAGCCTCTTCATTTGACCATATTTTGGTCAGCAATGGGTGTGGCTGAGTAGAAGTATTAACCTGCAGGATTGCAAGAGCGTCCTCGAGTGAGCGCATTCGCTCTTCCAGCTTGATGGCCTTGTGACGTAGATATTCTTCAGCGACACCAACGAAGCTTATGGGGAAAATGACATCTTCAGAACTTGGTGCACTTGTGCATGTGGCGGCACCATACTTACCGACTACCTTTTCCTGGAGGCATCGTGCCTATGCATTATTTGTATGAAAGATTTGAATGTTCGACGTCATGAATGAATTCTTACCATTAGGGCAAAGCATACTGCATCCTCTTTTGACGCAAGTAGAGCATGGCACTATGGGTACGATCAGTCCGATGTCCAGGACAACTTTAAAGTAAGAGATTTACCTTGCCTGTCACATCGGGCTTTCAGTCTGATGGATTATCATATAAAGTAAATATCCCGACAAAGAGGTAAATGTGATGGAAAACATACCTACGACACTCTGCGCATGCTATCTCGCCTCTTGTCCGCTGTCTTTCCTTGCTGCTGCTCATCACAAAGGAATTGAAACCAGCGTCGGAGTTTTGACTAGTCCCTATTCAAAATGTCGTGGTTTAAATGGGATCCAGATGCGGAGCATTAATTGTTAAAAATAGTATCAAATCCTTGGCGAATTCAAAACGGTGACCTGAATTCGAAGATTGTTATTGAGTTCTCGGGTACTGTAATTACGAATTATTATGGCATGAAGGGTTAAAGTTCGTATCCTATATTTATCACATGATACAGGTTACTCGGCAAATCATTTTAGCGACCACGATGAAAGTTTCACCCGCATTAGTAGTACTGTGTTCAGGGATTCAGACTTCCAATGAGATCTTCATATCAATTGGATCTCTCTCAATATCAGAGTAGGACAAGCTTGTCATAAACCCTATCTTAGTTAGTAGAAAATGATGCAGCTAACAGTAAGTATTGCCGGACCCGAAATCATGGTGGCGGCTATTACCGAACCTTCAAGTTTCCTGGGCAGGTCGGAAACACGCATGGTCCTCATGGACAAGAATAGAACCTCCGCTCTCCTGCGCTCCACTCTTTTTGCTGGCACCATCAGATTGGTGAATACCAGTGACCACTCCCCTGGAGGTTACAGGCACTCCGTGAGATTAAAGCCACTGCCTGCTTCATGGATCCATTGTGCTATATTGAGAATGCAACCTATGATACAATAACCCACGAGGCTTTGATATCCCTATAGCTAGTAAGTAGTTACTAATCGCCTTCAACCTATCCCCTTACGACAGCCAATATGAATATGATGCTGTTACCACCAATTGGACTTTGAAGGGCACTGACCCGAGTCGTTCGTTGTTAATTTTTGAATGGCCACTACAGAGCGATGCTTCCTGCTATTTTGTTACTCGCGGAAATGTTCTTTGACCCACTCACGATCACCGTGACTGAGCTATGAATTATTGACTCGGAAACAGCATACTAGTAGCGCCACATTGCCACAGTGAACATTCACGCGAACATCGCGACGCGCGCTCTGAAGAAACTTCCGGCGGTCATCGTGCCACTCCTGTCATTACGATTACTTACTCAATGTAAACTTCAAGTCAATATCACTATGCCCATCTAGAACAAAGTCGAGGCAGTCCAAAAGCGCTTGAGTCCAAACTTCAAACATGTTTTTGGACTTATCTTTACACAACTTGCTCCAAGCGAGCCAAAATTCCGGGAACTGTCACGGTATCTGGGCGTCCGTCGAGTCCTCCACGGACCAGAGGTAGCCTGTGTGTTACAATTTCAATAGAGATCAATCGTGATCACTTGAGCTGTTGCTGATTGACAGATTTGAAGTAAATACACACCGGAACTTCTGGACCACTGGGGATAGCATATTAATACTGTAGGGCGTTGGTCAAGGTTTTGACCATGATCGTGATTTGATTTGAGTGCCGGCGAGTCAGCGACAATAGATTAAAATAATATTTTTTCAGTCGTGGTTCAAGACTGCGGCCAGGGCGAGTGTAAAAAAATTATATTCTATCGGCAAGTTAGGATCGTGTATAGCTAGGAAAAACATCATATCAAGGTAGCTCACATCTCAGTCGATTAGTAGACAATATCATGTTTGTATGCGGGGAGGCCGACAAAATCGGCAGCGGATTGATGTCCCCTGGAAAAATGTTAGCAGTCAGCGCTACACAACACTTGTTACTTGCCAATGACTGACCAAAAACACATGTTCAAAACTCGTGCAGAACTTTCTAAAAATTTGCAATTTTAAAGACCGATCGCGACTGAGGCCTACTAGAATCCACTGCTCAAAATTTTACAGTTTTCCCAGTTGGTTTCCAATGCAAGACGTCAGCAGTTGATTAGGCTGCGTTTTTGGTTACGTTATATATCCGACTGGATACCGTGAAGAACGTTGTAACGAATTTGCAATTTCAGCACCCGAATGAAATGTGTCCATGGAGGAGGCCCATCAATCAATATATAACAGTTTATAACCCTGTGATTCGTGGTTCGGTGACTTGGAGATAGGAGATAAGGATAATGCGATTAGTACACAAACCACCTGGCTCTTGGAATAACGTTTTATTCCCAATCTATGATATGCACTGTTACCTCATCGACGACATTGCTTATTGTCCCACTAGTGGGAGGACTCTCGAGGAGCATCCTTAAGGCCAATGTAAGACAATGAGCGAGGCAGGCGGTTGCTGTGGGGGCGGCAGCGATGATGGGTAAGTGAATTGTCTGCTTAAATATGAGTCTTACCGCAGGTCTAGCTTCGATGTCGGAGCTTCAAATCCCTTCTCCATTTTCCATATTAATATCTGTGCAAGAGGAACGCACCTGGCGGTGATGTTCGCGGGAGCATAAGCGCTATCGAGTGGGTGTGTCATATAGTTCAAGTGGTCGTATCCACAGCCGAAATGAAAAATTATTTGCTTGTGAAGTTGGAGTGAAATTACAATGTATTTATTTGCATGAGCGACGCGGTGTTATGATTCAAACAATTTCATTGTCGGTGATGCATGCACGGGTGACTTTACCCGTACTCATCTTGGGAAGATTAAGTTCCGTGCTGGCAACAAAATGAATGGTACTCACAATGATTGCCCAGCGACAGCTAGCATGGGGGATCGTTGGCGATACGTCGGGATCGAGCGAACTATGTCAAATAATTGTTGACGTTATCGACTTAATGGCTTGCATGTGTCGAAAATGGCGATCCGGGTGTTGCTGTAAGTTTCTGTGAGAAGGAGCAACGAAAATTCGCACTCCCAGAAAGTAGCGTATGCGTAGTCATACCCACGTTCCTAAACATCAACTAGTGTCCACCCAGACGATTTCGAACATTCGGATGCTTCAATTTTATCTAGAAAAACCCTTGTTGCGTGGGTACCAAAAAAAAACAGCGCAACGAGGGTGGTAAGTAGAGCCAGCATGTGTCTCGTGCGTCGCTTGCTGCGCAAGACAGATTGTTGTTCCTGTCTGTGGTTCAGCTCGACCTATCATCAGCTCAGCCCACCTCCGAGTTGGTTAGTCAACAACGATGAGCGCTAGCCTCGAATTTGCAAAGTGGGTACCCTCTCAATAACGCGGCACTAAATGCGAGGCTTTCGCAGGCATAGACTGCACACCCTGGACAAACTGGATAGAACGAAGACAATCCTGTTTTCCTTATCATGCTGACTGTCTGGAGAATGAGCACCAAATTTTTGAATATCATAGAACAGAAACAGTACGTTTTTTTCGCTCGAGAAGTGCTGATATTGTTACTCAGCATGTGACAGACATCGAATCATTTTGATATTACCCTCGAGCCGTCGGATGACACTGGTTGGATGGAAGAAGCCTTACTGTCATCACGACCGCGACAACTGGGAAAACATAAAACCGCGCATATGTGTAGAGCGGTGAATTAGATGGCAAGCAGTAACTTATAGGCTCTCGGGAAGATGGAAAAACCTAAAACCACGCGCATGTGTAAGGCAGCAGTTTAGACGACAAGGAGTAACTTACGAGCCCTTGTGGTGATGGATTTACAGCTATGTAGGATTGGGTCAAAGTATCTCCGTCAATGCCTTCACCATCCTGCTTATCTTATTAGATATGATGCAGTACAGGCGTTAAATTCTTGCAGCCGCCAGAGGTGAACATGCACGATGCCAAAGTTCAAACAGGAGCAGTATGTATAAATTGATACGAGCATGGCAAACGCACGGCAATATTTGAGGAGCCGCACCCAGAACCCACACCAAATCGTAATGAACCGGAACATCCATCTTGGCGATCGCCACGGAGACTAATAAGCAGGCTATTAGTATTAGTAGTCCTGGTGAATGAATAAGTCTGTTGGAGGGGATCGGATCGTGATGAAGGACAACCGAGGAATCGATGTTTCGAGGATCACTAACGTTATTCTGTAGAAGATCTTCGGGAAAGCGGATGACATGGGGGTTTGGGTGTATTTGTGTTCGCAGCGTGGACCCGTTAAGTCCGTTAAATGTCAGGTCCCTTGGGGGTTGTCATCTTTTTTCGGATCGGCGGGTACATGCGGAGGCACTTCTTCATTCCTTCATTCCATCGTGTTCCATCGATTATATCGAGTGTTGAGATAGTATAGAGGACTGCTAGACAACGTTGGAGACGGTGTTGAGAGTAACGCCACAGCGAGATAGATACTTTAGCGTGACATGTGACAGGGAAGTGTGACTGTACATTGTGTTGACTGTTGGCTTGTTTTTTCGCGCAAGCAGGCAAGACACGACAACCATTGGCGACCTGTCACTACGCCATTCTAGCTTTTAGTTCAGGGCATCACAGGATAACACAAGAGACTTCAAATTTACTACTTTAACGCTCCAAGTTGGTCTGTGCGTTGTTCTTTTGCCGAGTTTCGTTCCCTGGGAACAGCTCCGCAGCAGTCGTTCCGAGTTACTTTTGACTCGGAGTCGCAGGACAGGTTTTTTGTTGGTAAGTGAAATCCATTAGTGTAATCAAAAGTAAACGCAGGAGCATGCCCGCGCTTTCCGGCCGGTCAATAAAATCTCATCATATCCATTTTCTCGTTTAGCATTTTGTTATCACAGATCTTCGACGCTATCTCTCGATCCGAATTCCTCTAACTTGGTCAGAACCTGTTGTAAAACGTAAGTTCCACTTACCCCCTCTACCGTCCCCCCATGTTAACTATATATTCCCTTCTAGCACTAACGTCTGGGTCGGGCGCTAACGACCCTAAACTCGTGCGTCCATCGTGTATGCTGTAGTTGGACATTCTGTCCTCATCATCTAATAATTTAGACGACTCACAATGAACTACCCCCCGCAAATAGCACCCCAACCTGGTTCATCTCAACTAGGTCACAACCAATTCTCCCAACGACCTCCCTCCTCGAACATGTCCTTCGGAATACCCATGAACGCCAACCCCGGCATCTCCCAAATGAACGGTGCAAACATGCCCATGAATCCTGGCAACAACATGGGTGTACCTATGAACCCAGCCATGTCGATGAATCCGCACAACATGCCAATGAACATGAACATGAACAACATCAATCCATCATCCTTTCTCGCCGCTTTTCAGAACTCCCAAAATTCACAGAATGGCATGATGGCCAAATTTCCAAACTATCAGACCTCGCAGCAGTCCATCCCCCCTTCTACACCCAATCTTGGCTCCGCGCATGGCCAGGGCCAGTCCATATCGCCCTCGCAGCTCATGTCAGCTTCCCCGTCACAGCTTATGGCTCAACAATCACATTCACAAGGCTCTAATTTGACGCTCACCCCCGCGCAGCTCCTTCAACAACAACAAGGTGGCATGAGCCAAGCCTCTATGGGCACTATGAGCGGGATGGCCGGGATGAACATGGGCGCCGGTGGAATGCAGAATATGAACATTGGCAACACCATGTCCAACATCAGCGGAGGTGCGATGAACATGCCTGCCGGCATGCAGAATATGCAGAACATGAGCGGGAACATGGGCATGTCCAATGTGATGAGCGGTATGCCAAACCACAGCAACCCTCAGGTACGCACGACTATGACGCCTCAGCGTTGGGCGCAGATGTCGCCGCAGGATCGTCTTATCTTCCAGCAGCAACGGCATCAATTTACCCTAGCTCAACCGTCAAGCGCTCCTAATCAACAACACCACGAGCGGGGCCCAAGCCTGACGCACGACCGCCCACCGAGCCAGCATGGGAGACACGACCGTGCTCCAAGTCAAACCCATGACAGGCAGCCCAGCCAGCAACCGCAAGATGTCTCTCAGGTCACCGACCGCCCCTCCTCATCCGCTTCTATTCGCTCCCACCACTCTCATCATAACCTTGACTCTGGCCTGATGCCTCCACCGTCCTCTCGACCCGGTACTTCCGGCGGCGGCATGGGTGTTCCAAACGTTAATCCACGGATGAATCAGCAATCCATGAATTTAAACCCGCACCTTAACATGACGCCCGGTGCCAACATCAATCCTAACATGAACGCCAGCAGTAACATCAACCCTCACATGAGCCAGGCCTCGAATATCAACCCTGTGATGAACCCGACTCAGGCCCAGCAGGTCATGCACATGAACATGGCTCCGTCGAATATTAATCCCGCAATGAACCAGGTGCAGAATCTGAATCCGCACCTGAATCGCCCTCCGACGAGAGCAGATTCTGCGCATGGACTTGCTGCGTCGCCAAAGCAATCGCCGAGGATGTCGGGGATGATGAATCTTGCTGGTGGCCCTCCTGGAGGCATACCCGGTAGCATGGGCGGCCAGATCAACCTTGGAATGACAGGCATGCCAAGCGGTGCGATGGGAATGCATGGTGCCCCCATGAGTGGCGCCCCTGGTGGTGGCATGATGAACATGGGCATGGGCGGCAATATGAATGCAGCCATGGGAACAATGGGCAATGCTAGTCTAGGAAGTATGGGGAATGTACCCAGCATCGGCAACATGAGTAATCTTGGCTCGGTGAACATGAATCCTAACACTATTGGCGGTTTGGGAGCCGGTGGCAGCATGCTAGGTGGAGCAGGGGGAGGTCTTATGGGCCCTCCAGTGATTCCTCAATCCATGCAGCGGCCAGAAAGAGACCAGACGATGCAGAGAGAACGCTCGAGCTCGCTCCATGGACGTGAACAGGTGAGGAGTGCATCTCCGTTCTTCACGTATCGTGAACTGACTTGACAAACGTTCTTTTACTCGTTGATGTGCCATCGTCCACTGTCGTGCTCCAGAGTATGCCTCCGGCGTCTGTTACACCGTTTATGGGTCAGGGTCTTGATAACGTCAGTGTCCAGGGATTGGGAAATATGGCTGGTGGTATGGGTGGCATGCCTCGGCAGCAATCCCAACCGCCAATCAATACACATCAGCAATCGCCTGCCCGCCAAATACCCCCAGGCCACCGCTCCCCCATGCCTCTTGTTCGGAAAGCCGGGGAGATACCCGCCACACCGGCGCTTTCCGGGACCCCAAACCCCGCCGCACCACATCCAGGTGCAGCTGTGGTACCGAAACTTCCCCCTCATCTTGCAGGGCTCAATCCCGCCGTAACCAAGATTTCGTTCATCCCTTACACTGTACACTCGAAACCCGAAGCAACCACCGATGGCGAAGACGAGAAGGTTCCTGTCGAAGGTGCGACTGATTCCGAAGACGCTGGTGCTTCCTCGCAGGTCAAAGTCGAAGATCCAGTGAAACTGCTGACCCCATCGGAGATCATCATGTTGAAGGAAATTATGAAACGTGATACAGCATACGATGCGCTGCACCGTACCAAACAAGCACGTATGGCCCAGGAGTTGCGCACGCACGGTCCTGCGTCGCGAAGCGCCTGGTGGGAACGTGATCATGTTCCGGCCATGGGCATGAATCGTAGACCTGAACGTTTCGATGTGAGATATCCAAGAGCACCCAATGCGGACCGGGGGTCGAATATCAATTCAAGGAAGAAGGGTGTGAGGAGAGAAGGTATTCGGATGTGAGTTCTTGCTGTCTTCTTTTTGTTTCGGGGGATTGATTCCCGCGGCTTTAATAGCCCTAGGAAACTTCCTCCTCAACTGGCCAACCGCCCTGAGCAACTCGTGCCGATCAGACTCGAGTTCGATGTGGAGCATCATAAGATGCGCGAGACCTTTGTATGGAATCTGAATGGTACGCTTCTTACCTGGAGTGGTATTCGTTGCTGATGTCGTTGTTTAGATCCCGTCATCACTCCAGAGCATTTTGCCCAGACGCTCATTGAGGATTATGCGCTGCCCCAGAGTTACCAAGGTGTCATCACGAGAGCGATTCAGGAGCAGCTGAGCGACTTCAAGGCTCACATTGCTAGCGTGGACGGCGACTGGAAACCTCCATCCTCAGCGAGGGAGATGGTGACTACGGATGGCTATAAAGCAGACGAAGAAGACGGGAATGACGCGGACGTGCGGGAGATGGACGCTGAAGACGTTACCGACAACTATAATCGCAAGCTTCTTGATGATGATGACCTGACCATGGTGGACCAGGGTAGTCTTGACGACGAGGACGTGAAATGGTGGGAGTCATGGCGCAAGCGATCACGGCAAGAAAGCGCATTTACTCGTAGCATATCCTCGAGGAATCAACGTAAGCGTCGCAAGGTGATCTCGGTCAAGGTTGAGGAAAGCGACGCATTCGAGACTGACAAGGAAATTCCACACACCGCGGATGAGATCGAGGTCGATGAGAAGACGGTGCATGAAGATTTACGTATCTTGATAAAGGTATTTGTTTGATCCCCGGTTGCGTTTTGTGAACCAGTGCTAACCTTGTAATCTTAGCTCGACATCATCGTCGGATCTATGAAGCTGGATGATCAGTTTGAATGGGATCTTGAGAATGCGGATGCTTCCCCTGAGCAATTTGCGGACGTGTATGCGAAAGAGTTGGGCCTTGGTGGGGAATTCAAGTGCGTAGGGTTGCGTGTCCATGACTTCGTCGCTGACCTCTTCTCTAGAACGGCCATCGCGCATTGCATACGCGAACAAGTTCAAATTTATCAAAAGTCGCTCTTCCTCGTCGGCCACCCCTCAGATGGTTCTACTGTCCAAGACGATGACCTGCGCATGTCCTTCCTACCCAACCTCGCATCCGGTGCTAGAGCAATGGATCAAGTACAATCGTTTACACCACTGCTCAACTATCTCAGCGACGGCGAGATTGAACGTAGTGAGAAGGAGAGGGAGAAGGAGCTCACCAAGCGCAGGAAACGGAATACACGAGGACGTCGAGGTATCGCTTTGCCTGATCGGGAGCCTAATCGCACATACCGCACACCTGCCTTTGGGTTCCCAGAGCTGGACGCTGCAACCCTTGCGTTGGCCGCCGCGAACGCGCCGACTTCGAGACGTGCTGCAGCTGCGGCTGCTTCTCTCACGATTGCCAACATGGTTGCCTCAGAAAATGGCACGAGCGTCATGCCGCTACAGCTGCCTCCCCAGCAGACCATATCCACCGCTGTCGCTGCTGGAAAAGAGAAGAAACCTAAAGGGTTGTTCAAGGCGCCTTCGTATCCTTCCTCCGTGCTTCGGCCTCGTGCTAAAGTCACTGCTCCCACACCGTCGACAGCGGTTGAATCGACGTCGATGTTGCCTTCATCGTTTCTTGATGTTGAAGCACCCACCTCCTCGGTTAGTATCCCTGCCCCCGATTCGCGAGCCGTCGCAAAGAAAGCCAAGGAGCTCGAAAGGGAGGCTAAAGAAAAAGAGTTTGTCGATGGACAGCATGCTAATGTGATCAATGGGGTGTGGCACTGCTCCAACTGCGGCTGTCCGGAGAGCGTTGCTATCGGACGAAGAAAGGGTCCTTTGGGCGACAAATCGCAATGTGGTACATGTGGTGCGTTGATACTATTGGTTAATCAATAATACACTTCTTCCTGACGCTTCATCGTTATTCAGGCAAATACTGGCATCGACACCGCAGACCCCGCCCTGTAACATATAGCCAAGATCCCGATTACCATTTGAACCTGAGGCGCGAAACAGAACAGGTTAAAATCGGGGTGAAACGAAAAGGACGAGCGCCGAATTCTCAGGTGGCTGCTGATGGCCAAGATACGCCTAGTCGACAAAAATCAGACCTCTCCGTCGATATCTCTACTCGATTGCCCGTACCGGCTTCCGAAGCCATGTCACCAGTATCGACTGCCTCTAGTGATACGGAAGCTCCTCTAGCCCAACGCGTCACAAAAGTCAACGGCGCCAATCACACAGGACTTGCGTCGTCATCTGGGACACCTCCTCCAACAAGCAACGGGATTGCACGTCCTAAGTCACCCAGGGAAAGTAGTGCTCCAATTTCAAACGGCTCATACGTGAGCGTTTTCCCTCTGAGACCAGGATCTTATTGATGCTGAATGTTAAGTGAACAGGCCGCTCCAACATGGCTAACCACAGCAATTCGTTCGCTTCAAGAACAATATCCAGATGACAAGTTCGAAGCAATCCTGCGTCGACCTGCCCCGCGTGGTATACCAGAGTGGAGGATGAAATGTCTGGATTGCCCCGGCAAGGTTCGTCCGCACCACTAGACCTGGACCAACGCAGACTTAAATTTGGTTTGCAGCTATATAACTCTGGGCCTGGGGATACGCTGCAGAACTATGAAGTCCATCTTAGAAACCGACAACATCGCTTACGGGTGAATGCTCGTCTGACGCAGGCGCCAGCATCATAATATTGGACGGTTTACATTGTATTGGCTGGCTTGCGCTATTTTAGTATTTTCTTTGTGCCATTTGTTGTCCTCATCTGCTATCTGTATAACGTATATACCTTTGCTTGTAATCGCTATTGGATTACTTAACCCAAACTAAACCCACGATGAAGTTGCGATGAAGTTCACCACTCAGTACTCAGATCAATCAAACGACCAGGATGTACATGGGGTCTTTGTGACAGCCCTTTATCTTTCTACTGACAATACCTGACATGATACCTTGGCGACCAGAAGATGATCCAAACATCAAACCCCCGCTTCAAGAGGGCCAGGTATACAGACCAGACATACTCAACGTGATTGAGACGTCAATCGACGGACTGAGCGGGGAGCTGAGGGCACTGAGTCTCGATATCCACGGTAATCACCATACTTCCATTTCGTATCAACGCATCTTCGAAAGACCATCCAGAGCTGAGGTTCGAAGAAAAGTGCGTTGTATCTCATCGTGTCATACGCCATAGCTAAGAGCATCGTCACAGATATGCCCATGACGCATACACTACGTTCATGGAAAAACATGGTTTCGCAGTTACTAAAAAATATCATCTTGAGACTGCCTGGGTGGCTACATACACCCATGGACACGGAGGGCGCGTTTTGGGTATTAACTCTGAGATGGATGCGCTCCCTGGAATCGGACACGCTTGTGGACACAACCTTATTGGGATATCCGGAGTAGCGGTAGCTCTTGCAGCTAAGGCTGCTATGGAGAGGCTGAACATCGATGGAAAGGTGGTTCTGCTGGGTACACCTGGTGTGTCGTGTCTGCATTTGTGATGTTGACTGCGGATAACACGGGACAGCCGAGGAGGGTGGCTTTGGCAAGATCATGTTGTATGAAAAGGGGGCATACGACGAGATGGATGTGTGTCTCATGTTAGTTTTTCTACCAGTGATCCATATCAGATGACCAGCATGACTTAACCTACTTTGGAGGTGCCATCCCACACCTGGCCCCCGCCACTCCATTAGTCTGACTAGCTGCTTGGCTTTTTGTTCCTTCACTGTGGAGTATCAAGGCCATACGTGAGCGTCTTTCATATCCTTCATCAACTAGTGGGATCTAATTATTTATATTAACAGTGCTCACGCTGGGTTAAGGTTGGGAAGGACGAAATGCACTCGATGCGGCTGTCCTAGCATATAATAACATCTCTCTTCTTCGTCAGCAGATTAAACCTACTCATCGCGTGCACGGCATCTTTGAAGGAAAGGATTGGGGTCCAAACAGTGAGATTTTCACACTCCGTAGAAACACTTAGAAGATAATATTTGGAATATCAGTCATCCCGGACCAAGCTATAATGCAGTAAGTCGATCTCAGCAATCACGCGCTTCAAGCACCTTAGACTCGAGTGTAGGTGGATAGTCCGCGCTCCCACGACGTTGGAGATGGAAGACACCAAGCGACGTGTTACTGCCTGCTTCGAGTCAGTATCCACTACCAATATGTTCAATTGATCAAACATCATCATCTCTTTTCTCGTCGCAGGGCAGCTGCACTCGCATCTGGATGCAAAGTCCAAATCACGGTTATATCGACACTCAACGAAATCACGCAAAACAAAGCACTTGGTATGAAATCACGGAGTGCAGTGACTTAGTACTGAATGTTATCCCAGGTGATGAGCTTGCTGACGTTGTTCTGAAGCGCTATGGTACTATAGATTACGAGTGGGGTATCAAGGGTGCTTCTACTGATTTCGTGAGTGTTTCGCACACCCAGGAAGCGCGACAGAGTTGATGTTTCGGACCAAAAAGGGGAATATTTCATACTGTGCGTCTGACTTCCATGACCTGGGGTAGGCGACCTTTGCCAATGAAGTTCTTGTTCGTCAGTGATGCCTGGTCTTCACCCTGGTTTTTGTAAGTAGCACAGCTTCTGGATGAACCATACTAATCGTTTTTTTCAAGCCATCCCGACTATTCCAGATGGCGGGAACCATACCCCAGGATTCACGGAATCTGCACGTTCCGAAGTATCCCATGACGCCTGTTTGGTGGTCTCGAAGGCACTCGCGGCCGTCGGCATGCGAGTGTTGACTGACGAGGCGTTCTTCCAGAAAGTATGTGTTACGCGTCGTTCAAATAACTTCGGTTTGACTGCGTTTTGCAGGTGAAGGACACGTTTGAGGAAGATAAGAAACTAAGAGTGTAACTGCTGACTTGTGATAGGCATCAGAAGGAAGAATTTGTCTATGTCAAACATAAATTGTTACATTGAGGTTGTTCTCTTCAGTTCCTCAACTAACCTCCGATAATAAACGCATGCATGATCAATTCGTCTTAAAACGACTCGTAGAGCCCAAACATGGTCAGAGTTGCCAGTAGGTTTTGATGTAAATTTAAAGACTTGCTACGCCGTGGCTCAGCGTGGTACTCCGCTTTTCTTCATTAGCTCTATATAAGCTAATAGTAAATTTCTCGTTAAACAGACTTATATTCCGGAGCAACGGCAACAGTATGTAACTTAGCTAGCTACGTGGCCATGGCAGGACTATCTCACTGCGATGTTTCACGATTTCTTTACGCAATGTTTGCACACGCCGATCGGCGGCCCGAATCCCGACTCAGCGCTTTGAAGGACACCGTGACGAGGTTGGTTTAGCTAGACGCCCAGGCCACAAGATCTTCTAATCGTGGAAAAGAATCTTGTCCAAAGATGCGAGTAGCCGGCCTGGAGTCTCCGCCAGTCTGGAATTAACTACCATTAACTCCTTGTTTCTGACGTGACAATGGTTCAAGCTGATGTTCTTTGGCGGCCAGAAGATGACTATAAGGTCAAACCAACGCTGGAAGAAGGGGTCATTTATCGACCAGATATCCTTACGGTCATAGATACTGTTATCGATAGTCTCAGTGGCGAACTACGGGAACTGAATCTCGATATTCATGGTAAGATCATGACTACAAGAAACACCGATGTGCTAGTAGGCTATGCTAATTCAGATACGCAGATCATCCAGAGCTTAAATATGAAGAAAGGTGCGCCCACATCTCGAATCCGAATTGCAACTAATCGCCGTGCGATCGAACTAATTATCGGTCGCTCAGATACGCCCACGATGCATACACCTCTTTCCTAGAGAAGCACGGTTTCGAAGTCACGAGGCATCACCTCCTGGAGACTGCATGGGTTGCGACCTACACCCACGGGCGGGGCGGACACGTTCTAGGGGTGAACTCAGAGATGGATGCACTCCCGGGTATTGGACATGCGTGTGGGCATAATCTCATTGGAATCTCAGGCGTCGCTGTCGCCTGTGCGGCAAAAGCAGCGATGAAGCAGCTCAATATCGACGGGAAGGTGATTCTTCTTGGTACACCTGGTATGTCGTTTTCCCCTGATCGCAATGGATCGATCACATACCCTCAATAGCCGAAGAAGGTGGGTTTGGAAAAGTGAAGCTGTGGGAGAGGGGAGCATACAAAGAGATGGACGTGTGTCTCATGTCCGTGGCCAGGCCTGGCTGACTAGTGTTGTTTTCTCGTTCACTCACGTTCGTGACAGGTGCCACCCTGCTCCTGGGCCCCTTCATTCCATCAGTTTGAGCAGCTGTCTTGCAGTTATACGTCTGGAGATAGAATACTCAGGCCACACGTGCGGTCTCCCAATGTTCATCATCTGGCTTGAACTCTGATTTGTGCCCTCACAGTGCGCACGCTGCACTTAGCCCCTGGGAAGGAAAAAATGCGCTAGATGCAGCTGTTCTAGCATATACAAACATCGCTTTGCTGCGCCAGCAGATTAAGCCTACGCATCGTGTGCATGGAATCATTGAGGGCAATAATTGGGCACCGAACAGTAAGTGTCTGTCATTCAACGTTGGACATGCATTTGAGAGCGTGTACGACAGTCATCCCGGATAACTCAAAGATGTAGTAAGTGTGGGTTCTAGCTCCAGAAACTTGATGCAGGTGATGACATGCTTCAGTTATTATATCCGTGCGCCAACCACTGCTGAAGCGGAAGAGACGCTCAAGCGTGTCGTTCCCTGTTTCGAGTAAGTCACTATCCGGCATTCACGTCACCCCAATGCCAGACTTCGCGCAGAGCAGCAGCACTTGCAACCGGGACGAATGTCAAAGTTACCAGAGGATCCACTGGGAACGAACTTGTGCAGAACAAAGCCCTCGGTGTGTCTTCTTCATGGTAACCCCGCGATTCCTCCTAGATTTTGCGCAGGTGGCGAACTGTCTGATGTGGTCAGGAAGAAGTACGGTGTCATTGATTATGAATATGGGATCAGCGGTGCATCGACCGACTTTGTGAGTGTGCTTGCATAGTCTCTCAAGCAGGTATACTGATTTCACCCAAGGGGAATGTTTCATATTGTACGTCGTGGTTGTAATGTCTGGCAGAGACTTTGAAAGTCATTATCCACCAGTGATGCCTGGCCTACACCCCGGGTTTTGTTCGTATAGTTTCCTCTTCTGTCGCTGATAATTTCTGACACCAAAACCACGTCTCAGCGATACCGACGGTCCCGGAAGGCGGTAACCATACTCGGGCATTCACCGACTCCGCACGTTCGCAAGCCGCTCACGATGCATGTCTCGTTGTCTCAAAGGCCCTCGCACACGTTGGCATGCGCGCAATCACGGACCGTGGATTTTTGCAGCAGGTAAGATAGATTCTGTCTAACCTTCTAATTGCTACGACACATTGCACCGCAGGTGAAAGACTGCTTTCGAGGAACAGAAGAGCAACAGGACGTAACAAATGAAAACAAGGCGTATACACCAACGACATAACTACATAGCAAGACTTACGAATCCAATGATTTCTGATTGTACTTTGACTCCAGACCAAAACATGCTGGTCGAGTTGTTCACCACTTTTCGTGGGCAGGACGCACTGTTCGGAAAAGAGTGAAGACAGGGTAATGGCAAATCGCAATTACGCTTACGGTCGATTTCCCAAGCCCAGGCTGAACTATCTTGCTCCACGAGGTGCAAGTAGGTCTGAAGGGTGTGATCAATTCAGGCGCGTATTGCCACAAGAATGCTCGAACCTTTGCGATAGAATTGGGGTCAAGTCGAACATCCTGATTAGCCTCCCAAGAGGGGTCCTTGCGTTGAGATTTGGTGCGGTCGGTGAGGATGCCTTTTCCTCATTAGACGTTACTTTATAGATGCTGACATTATGTACTTACCGCCGTCGATAATACTCTGAGCAGCGTGTGTGAATGTTCATAAGTACTCTTTACATCAGACGACGGACACTCACATGAGCAACCTAAGAGTCAACATATCAGTCCACAAACAATCCCAAGGTGATGCGGAAGACACCCACATGTATATTCTGCTTGCCGAACTCCTTGGCTAAGCTCTGCGACAAAGCCCTTATCGCAAACTTGCCCGCAGAAAACGCAGACGTTGTGGTGTTGCCTCGGATAGAAGCCGTTGCGCCGGTGAAAATGAGGGTGCCCCTTTTACGAGCATCGCCAGCAACTCCACCGTCGTTCGGGGTCTCAAGCTCGAGCTTTGTGAACTCGAGAAGGGCCGCGCGTGCAAAGGCAAAAGCCGCTAAAACGTTAGTGTCGATCGATTCACGGACTTCGTCTTCCGTGATATCAAGGAATGGCTTCCAGACACCGTAGCCCGCGTTGAAAACCGCAACACGGAGAGGGGAGGACGGCCAGTGAGACTTGATGGAAGCGAATGCGGACTTGATGGATGCGGGGGTGTAGTCATTGAGAGGGAATGCTGTAGCCTGTTCCAAATGAGCTGGTGCAACATGGCAGTACACATAAGGATAGGAGTAACTTAATACAGTACCTCTGCGCCTGCTTGGTTGAGCTCTGTAGCGAGTTTATTGAGATAATCTGGTCCTCGGGAGATCAGAGCTACTCTGTAGCCAGATCTGGCGAAGAGACGGCTGTGTGTTAGTTCATACACTATCAGTACAAGTTAGTGAAAAAGGACGTGATATTATGTACGCGGTTGCAGCTCCGGTCCCTGCGGCATGAGACGTCAGCCATACGTGTTTGTATTCACTGAGAAGGACTTACCACTGCCATCGCCGATACCAGCAACCACGAACAAAGGGCGGACTGAAGGCATCTTTCAAATTGATGAAGCTATGAGAAGAAAAGAGAGTAATGACAATATCGTGCTAACTGGGTGGTATTTATACATTATAAGCCCCTCTCATGATCAGTGATTCTTTGGCGCAATTAGTCGTAATCATGATCAATGACATCGATGATCAGTCATCTTGGCGTATGACACATGGATTGTTCATCCACCTCGTCTGAATCAGCATCAAGGACCTCAGACCGGAAATTGAGAGCAATTGCCCTCGCCTACTGTTTATCGGGTCTCGACTCTCGATCAAGTCTCAATTGGCGTCTATCCTTTCCACATTCTAAGTATCTATACTTGATACTCAAATTGGTGACAGGACTCGGAGCCGTTTTGATGACTTCCCAAGGTTACACAAATCACTAGCGTTCAGGTCAGATTGCTCCTTAGAATGACGAATATTAGGCCACCGTTTACTGGTATGGTATCATCAAGTTACGTATAGGAGTTAGAGTTCAGCCAACTCGAGAGGGAAACGAACAATCCGGTTAAGACACGCGCCCAATTACTTATCAGGAAGACGTGTGCTTTGAAAAGAAAACAAGTCTATTTCAGAACTGGCGAATCTAACATGATGCCTCAGTGGTGACCACCCAGCGCAAGATGTCCAGCCTTGCTGTTCTGCCAAGCGTCACGGCGTTTGGCCCAAGTGTATGTTCCATATCCTGGAATCCAATGAGGTGGTTTATGAATGAATACAACAGTAACACGCACCAATAGCAAAGGGGACTATCCAGTAAGGAACTTGGGCAGCAAGACGCCTGTAGCCGTTGAATAGCCAGCCTCTAATTACGGCTTTTGAGCCCCGCTGTCTGAATGGAGAGACGCCTGCCAGTGCCGAAATAAGGGAGACAAAGAGCCCGCATCACCGTAGGAACACGACGAGAATTGACGCGACAAATAGGAAGCACGAGCTGAAGTTAGTGACTTGTTTCAAGAAGACAGTGAGATAGATGACGCACTGTAAACAACCACTCCTCTCTGTTTTTGCATGCTGGTGTCACCCCACCAAGGGCACTATGGAAAAAGAGGTAAGAACAACAGTATGATGCTTGCCATTGACTGCATGATAACTCACAAATGTTTTAGCTGTAAGCTCGAAATTAGCACAACTGTTCCATTAGCAAAAAAAAAAGAGAAAACATACGTCCAGGCATTCCCTCTAGACGTGCAGCGGTGGGACGCATGATGGGCGAAGTGATACACCGACGTTGGCTGAATGGTAGGTGCGGCGTTGGATGTTTAGACCCGATGTTTTCCGGCAGGAACAAACAAGAACAACTAACGCCAGATTTGTCACGTCACACATATGTGACATGTTCTGAACTTGCTTTATTTTGAAGTGTTTTGACCAACAACGACTACCAAGCTCAAAGTACGTGTCATATGTCATAAACTGGCGACCTCAATGCCTGAACCATGATTGACTAGGTCACGCCCACTCCTTTGCTTCCAAAATGATTAGCCACCAGACGCTGTACAACATGGCGAATTATCTTGGTGTCCTTGCTATGATCACCGTAGTCGCATACCATTTCGTTGCTGTGAACGCAAGATATCTTGCCAAGAACGGGGTCAGCAGTTGAACTCGTAGAGGGTGTATGAATCATTGTGAGGATTGCATACGTAAAGTATGTCGTCGACTCAATCCTTTCCAGCTTGCGTCCGTCCACTGATACGTATGTATTTAAATTGTCCTTTCATTAGCTCTACCCTTTCGTCAACCATACCGCGACTGCCCTCTCCAATCTATGGTCTTATAGACAGTGAACGACAAAACCAATATGTCCATTGAGCGTCTATGCAGCATGTTGTCTCATGTTATCTTGACCCTCTCCACTGATCTGCTGCGACCTCCGGGCTTGCATCATTAGCAATCATGGGGTCCTTTCTCCGAGGCTGACTTTGCACAACCTCAGGGAATACCATTTCGAGATCTTTGTCCTGCTTCTCCTTACAACAACAATAGGAGCATACAGCAGGGTCTGTCAGTACCATCTTCGTGAGCGAGCCATTTGGCGCGAGGCGGATAGGACCTCCTACCGCTGGCGCAGATATTGCCGCAGACACCTGCAGCAATGTTCATTAGTGAGAAACGACTGGGATTAGTATCCGCATCACTCACAACAACAGGCTACAAGGCTGAGGATGATATCGCAGCAGTCGGACATGGATGTATTGTCTGAGCAAAAGTTGACGACCTTTCAAACATGCTTAACAACCGGTCGTGACATCCGTGGGTATCGATATCTTTGATCGGCTTGAAGCCACCAGGACAGGTTGCTCATTGGGCACGCATTGGACCTTGGGAATCATCATGTCCCGCTACCGCAATGCTGCAGGGCGTCGCGACCATCAAACTATGTACCTATTTCACTTTTGAAAAAACCTCCTCCTGGAACAACAACAATCTCACGCTGCATAGCATGCCCGTCCCCTTTCTTTAAGACGTTGGACTCTTGGGACCTGATTCGTGCTCGGCAGCGTTATGAGTGCCAATGTGTCATGACTTGAAAGGTTCACAGAATTCATGCCACCTGTGGGTGCTGGTATTGGAAGGTTTGAAGTTCGGCGCTATTAATGAATGACGACGCGTTACAGACTCGATACGTACTTCTGATTGAGGCTAAATCTGACATGTCATGCGAGTGGGTTATGCAGAAGTGCTGTCGAGAAGTCTGCATGTTCAAGCGTCGAACATTTATGTTGCTCCTTGGACCCAAAGTTAGCTGCGCGTATATTCAAAATTACATTCCCCAAGTCGTGGATACATTGATTCTCTTGGAAGTATCCATAGAACACGGTACCAGGCATCCGAGTCGGTAGTCATGACTGTACATGCTATTTAGTAACAGGCGTCGCAGTATTCTCCGCAGAAGATGAGGCTTCAATATCCAATCCCGAACAAACAGCATCAATCAAAGCATTCAAGTCAGTAACGCCTAAATCGCTTTCCTCCTGGCTAACTCGTTCCGTCATCTTTCCCGAAGTTGTCCAATCGGGAAGAGAGTCGACGCCACCTCTGTATCTTGTCCAGTATGCGACGAAAAGCTTCATTTCTGGACGATACTTGCGACCCTTCCGATGTGCACTCAAGCTGACCAACATTGCAGCATAGGAGAGCTGATACAGCAACTGCAAGTCAGCGTCAGACGCGCCAAGACGGGCTACTTGGTTATTCAGTGCAATGTCTTGATGTTCCATGCATGCTACAAGCCAATCTGCAACGAGAGCATGGCTTGAATCAGCCAGGAGGAGTGCCAGCTCCGTTGCAGCGTTGATATAGTTCTTCGGAAGCGATCCGTAAGCAGCTTCCATCTCGTCCTTGAAGTAACTGCGTAGGACTTTGGAAGGCCGAGGCCACTGGACGCTTTTCTCCTCAAGTATCTTGATGTCCAGTCCAAGTATAAATATCTTTGGGGCGAGCCCCTTGTTACGGCCTAGGATGCCATGAGCGAGGCACACAGACTGGCCATCATGACCAGAATCAGTGAGCGGAGACGATTTCAACAAGCGTGACGGGACAGCCAATATCGCTCGGCTGACACGGGGAGAGAACCCGATGTAGGCTCCCCATAAAAGGGAGGCGGATTGTTTCTGACGGACGGGCTCGTATAGACCAGTGCGATTATCTGGCCCACGCTCTACAATTTTTAACGATTTTTCTTCTTCTTCTACGGGCTGCAGCCCAGACATTCCTGGGTCAATAATGCGCCTTTTCGCTTTGAGGATATCTGTAGGGTCATCGGCGATGAGCCTGGATCTGAAAAGGCGAATGTCGACGGGATGCTGCTTCATGACTTGAACCCCCTTGCTGAAAATGGGCCAGGGATCATCGCCTTTTACGAGGGGAACCAGAGCTGCATCAATACCTGTACGGCTTGGGCCAGTCCATGCTGCCCATCGATTAGAGCAGTAATGCCGATTACGCCATGCAGGCCACGCATAGCGGAATACAGCAAGAGAGGATGCGCTGGCCAACAAGATAATGCCAAGCGAATCACTGTTATTTCCTGCACAGATATTAGTTAATGCTACGTGACCCCAAGTACACGGGTCACATACCGGCAAGGAATGAAAGGACCATACAACCTAATGAGGCGATAAGAGCCAACGCTATGCCTGTCCACCATAGGTGCTCCTGACACTCAAGACTGAATCTGATTGTCCAGAGCCCCTCACTCTCGCAAATTTCGACAAGAGTGGTAATTGCACCTTAAACTAAAGAAACGGCCACGGCAAGAGCGGTCGCAATCCAATATATTTGCGTGCGCTTTGCAGCAGTAAGTTTGCTCATAAGGAACGCATTGCCAGCGGTGGTATCAGAGGAAGAGGATAATGCTGAAGGGACACTGGTAGGGAGGGAAGTAGAAGTTGGGGAGGCCGCAAGTTGGGGTATATTGCGATGGTAAAACAGCGGCGTACGCAATCGCGACATTGATGATGACATTGAGCGTAGGTTTGATGGTGATCATCATGAGGAATGTCCTTGAGCTCTCGAGCTCAGAAATAACTTGCAACCTGGCGGCGAGAGTTTTATACCGACATCGTGCGTGTCCCCATGCTGTAGCCTGAAGCGAAGGTTTCTTCAAATCAATATCTGGGCAGTGCGAGAACCCTCGGGAGATAAATGGCTTCAAAAAGTTTGATGATTGTATACTAGTAACAAAGTAACTACGCCATGATTAGCCTTCAGATCTTTGTGTCAACATTCTTCCAGAAATGATCCCTCGTACACACCTGGTAATAATTTCCTAGTAGACCCAGTACCCTTCCAAACCACCGAAATCAACTACTGCCACATTAATCTCGGTGAACAACCCACCAGAAGTGAATAGGGTAGGGGTCTGATCAAACTTCTTCACCATTTGGTAGCTGCAAACGCTTCAACACGCTCTACTGCATTTCTGGTGAATATGCCATAGACGAGGTACTGTGTGTAATGTTCCAACAGAGTGATCAGATCGATCATGATTTGGCACGAGGATACTGAGCGTCAAGTCGATCCTGCGGCTGACTAGGGGAAGACTAGCTGGGAAAACGGAGACGAATCTGACTTAGCTGGAAGGGTCGCGGGGGTCCATATGATTATGTCGGGGACCATCGTGATCGATTGATCTCTGTGTAGCACGCGTGACGTTGAGATTGGAAACATGGTGGGACTTTGTGTCCCATAGTTGTGCAATGCCGTTTGTGCCCACGCATGTCCTTGCGTTGTCAATTACCCAAAAGGTGACCGGAATCACGAGTTGCGAGCGTCAACGTTCAACGAAACATGGCCTTTGTAAGCGGGTCCGCGTGAAGATCCTCCTGCTTCGATCTTAATGAAGCACACGCCTCGCTCGCCCCGCCGCTCGATGATTTTTGTCCACCTCGACCAGAGGCCAGCGAGGAGTGAGCTGATAAGCAATATATTACTACTGTATGTTAGCTCGTTGTTTTGTAACGAAAGGGAAGAAGAGAAAACTCACATCTCAGATCTCAGTCTGGGGAAATGGACTGAGATGGTCGTACGAGTGAGTGAGTTTTATGTGTGTAGAATAGTTGAATAGATCCAGCTCAAACCATGCGATAATACATTGTACAAAGGCTGGTCAGTGGTCACAAACACACACAAACCAGATTCAGGCTCCTAGCGCTATATAGCCGAATTAGCGAAATATTGCTTGCTTATTGCTACTGTGGCTGTCGAATGGGCCTTTCTACACACCCGCTGGTGGGTAGCCTGCACGCAAGCATGATGTAGTAAGAACCGAAATTTCTTCCTCCGAATCTGATCAGTACTAATGGCAATGTGGTATCATATAGATCCAGCATACCTCCTAACAAGCTGTCATCGATCGCCATCGTTCACAGAAAGAATGCAGATTATCAGGACGCTTCAGCAAATTTCTCTAAGGGTTAGAGAAATTTGCTGAAGCGTCCTACTTATAAATTGCCGCCCCCAAAATTCTGGAGCAGAAAAGGCTTGCACTGGCGTAACCTGCTGTACTACATGATGCTGTCAAATCTCAAGACGCTCGCGATGAGGAGAAGATGATCGGCTCGTTTTGGTCCATCCTTGTGGCACTGGCGAGTCTTACGGATAGGATTTATTTCCACCCTGCCCTTTCAAGTTCGTCTTCTGAACTACGGAGACATGGATTAATCGATACAGAGCATCCTACAGCGTTTCACACTTCTAAGAAATTGGTTATACACGATAGTACATATATTTACACCACTGCAACTTGACCGGCCGCTATGCTGTCTTTAAATACCTGCAAGCTTGACGAATCATCCTCATACACCAAGGTGCTGACCTCTCCATGAGGAATATAACCCTGATCAACGTCGAGGAGGACGTATCTACAATCGCCATTGTTAACGACGAGCTCTGTCAAGCTGGTAAGCTCGGCAGCCCATCGTTTCCAGATGGTCGACCACTGCCTGACATTAGTTGCTGAGTCCGGTACGTAGCATGCGCATGATTGCAGCTCAAGTCGCTGCAGGGTATGCTTGTGACGCAGGACAAACTCCTCAACGCCATCAAAAGAGGGCGTATGATCGAAAATGATATTTTCGAGCACGAGGGATTCGAGGGATGGATAATAGAATGAAGAAAGCCGAGTAGCGAGGCTGTGGTAGGCGCCCTGGGGGCTACGTAGCACAATTGATTTCAGAGTGGGATTGGAGGGGGGCAAGAGTGCTCCAAGTGAACCGTTGACGTTATTTGAAGCTGACCAAGTACTGACTTCGGCATTGGACACAACAGACACAGAAATATGCGACAGGGGCGAGTCTGTAAGGGACGACACAAAGTCGTAGCTAGTGGTAGGCAAAATCACGTTGTTGAGAGACAAGGTGGTCATACGAGATGACTTCATGCCGTGATGAATGGCGTGAAGGAGGGTGAGTTGCCGATTTATGAACCAGAATGGGTTCTCGCAGACTTCTCTTCCCGACTCCTGGCAGAGAAATGACGGCCAAAAGTTGAGCACGACGCTTTCAATCCTTGGAAGTGCGGTTATTCCGCAAAATGCATTGGTCAGTACTTCTTCAAGCTCACTGACAGCATCCGCAGAATCTATGCACACGGCCCTGATTAGACTCTGGAACGTGGACGAATGGAAACTGACTTGCCTCCGTTGTCGGGTGGAAGCCGGAAGCGCTCATTGTCGCGAGAATCGTAGACAACTTCTCGAACATGAATAGCAAGGCTTGCGGTACCGATGATCTGGCGGAAATTTTGCGCACTCTGTATACTATTTTTGATGTGAAGCTTGCTGAATGTGCGGGGAGTGACCAGCTCTCTATATGACCGGTTCAAGCTGCGTAAATGAAGAAGATCAACTGTCGCGGAAACGTCCTGAACGATGACGCCAATAAGTTCTACGGGTAGATCTCGCATTATATGGAGAGGGGGGATGGATTTGATAGCGTGGGGCTGAAACTGGTTCAGTCAGGTCCCATTCTTATAACCCAGGCGTAACCGTGTGGTAAGACAGCAAGAATTCCTAATCGGAAATGACCGGCATACGTAGATTCTTCAAATTCATACGCGCTATCATAGGCTATCATGGATTTGAGGATAGAATGATGATGTATGCAGCACCAATGAAGAAATTGATTCGTCACAGTCCCCTGGGAAGCCATTGATCTATCAGTATTGCTATCGTTCCCCGGTCTAAAAATAGGAACACACCCGAATACTCTGACGAACTGCGCAACGCTGCGCATCCAGATAGATCATACAATCATAATTGAGGTTCCCACAGGCTGCGCAGTAGTCATGATCGCGTGATACCAAAATTTTACTAATGGCCTTCTCTGGCTCTTCAGAGAATTCAGATAAGTATTCTTAAGAGGGTTGATGAAATACTTACTATTGCTCTTGATCCTTCGATCTTCTGGCGATGAGGAAAGTCCTGCTATATTACTGTAGCGCGCTACATTCCTACCCCACTTGATTTTCCCTCGAGTGTAGTCGCGTGGCTTCGTTTTCAAGAGCGGCGAGGAATGCATGACACCGACTTTCTCAGCCGCCAGCGCCAATGTGTCCTGCCCTGAAAAGTTCATACAGTGACATTGTCAAGACGACAAAAAGAGTTATGAATGCATTCAAATCTGCTCTTAAATTCGCATCTGAAATAATACTTCCGAGGGAAGTTGACTCAGCTGAAAAAAATGGTGATCCCTCAGTACTGATTCCTGAAATACGATCTTCAAGTTCATACATCATCCCGAGAGACATCCAGATGACCATGGTATTGTCCACCCCTAGTAATGAAGCTAGCACAAGGTGTCGGTAAGGGCTGGGGGGATGAGGTTCCGAATAGTCAGACCTTGATAGAGGAAGATGGCTGTCCTTTCCGAGTCTAAATCAAGTGGACAACCTGCACTTGAGCTAGGGAAATGGCTGAAGTAGCTCAACGTTCGACGGTAGAATTGAGATGTATGTGCTAGAGAGTCGAGGCATTGAAAATATTCGTCTTTGTAGTTGGTCTGTTACATTGAAAACATTCGATGCCTTCGATCGTCAAATTTGGTCCAATAATTTTCGGCTGCTTGAATTTGGGTGTTGCGAAGATACTAAGCTCCATGTCTTGACTACATGCATCGGTCGCTGGCCATCATGATGGCTAGCAATTTAAAAGGCCAAGGACATGTGCGGTGTGCGGCACCAAAAGCCATTTCCAAAGAAAGAATCTTGGACGGACTCGCGCTTAGTGGATTGTTTTAGCTCAAGCCTCACAATCATTATTCCTTTCCGAATTCCGACAAATAACATCTACTTCCAGCACGTCCAAATTGACCCTGAGCCTATGGATATGGCATCAGAAGCAGACCTCAAAGCCTTCATCGGCCGCCATCGTGAACTACTCTCAAAGGAACGCGACGCAGAGATCGAGCGAAGCGCTCTGCTGCTCACAAACTGCGGCCCAAAACTTCTGGAACAAAAAGGGCTTGCATTGGGGAGTCTTGGTGTGGTTGGAATCAACATAGGCCTAGGCGGGAAAACGTGTGGTGTCATTCATTTCCTCCTGCCTTTCCGTTTCCTGATTACAATCTTACGGAAAAGCGCAGATTAGTCGAACTGGAGCGTCCCACAGCGTTTCACACTTCACAGTCATTTCCTCCTCATAACTTCAGGTATGTCATTGATCGCATACGTATAGATCTTGTAGTTTAGGTCTCAGAAAGACCCGGAGACCTCGCTCGCATCGAAGAGAATGTATCCTCGAATGCTGCTGCCAAAAAATCTGCAAAAAGTAAGAAGGTTGCATCTGCTGGCGCTGAAAGCTCCCATACTGCAGAAGGTGTGGTATACAAAGTATGACCTTGTGTAGTTCAGTTAGGTGGTCACTGACCTGCGCACTCCAAAATAGGTGTCAGATACCCGCATCGTCATTGCAGTGGACCCTTCAGATTCCAGATCAGACGATCTTGACCTTCCTGAGCGTTGTCGAGTGCTCAAGTTGGCCAATAGCGTCACTTATGACAGGTAATTGCGTCCTTTTTTCCATGTGACTATTCTAAATTGTACCATATTCAAGAATGGATAAAGCACTTGGCCAATTGGAAAAAATCAGCATTCCTTCATCGAGACAGGCAACTAAACCATATAGCTCCGCTGTCCTGATTTGCTAACAGCAGCTCAAACAGTCCAGTGACAAAGGTGACTATGAGCTGACACCTCTCATCCGAGTTTTACTCGGAATATCACCACCCTCTGAAAAGATTCCTATTGCGGAGCTTAAGTTCTTCGACGATTCTCTGAACCCGAGCCAGCAGAAGGCTGTCAAGTTCGTTCTTGAATCCCGGGAAGTCGCTTGTATCCATGGGCCACCTGGTAAAACTATCGGTCCTCCCACTGATATAACCACCTGATGACAATAATAGGGACAGGGAAAACACATACCTTAATTGAAATCATACGCCAACTCACCTCTCCTTCGGAGCATAGCGCCAATGAGAAACAGCAGCGCATCCTTGTGTGTGGCGCTTCCAACCTATCTGTCGATAATATCCTAGAGCGTCTTCTTGCCATACCACCCCCTGAGAAGGGCAAGAGAACACCCTTGACAACTACCCGCATAGGCCATCCCGCGCGCGTAATGGCTAATCAGGGCGTCTTAGAAGCAACGCTAGAAGTGAAGGCCAACAAGAGCGATCAAGTGATTCTGCTTCAGCATCTGATAAGGTTGCTAGGGCTGAGACTTTGAGTTAGGCGGCACTTGCAAAGGACGTCAAATCTGAGATTGAATCAACGCTCGATGTGCTTGCTGGGAAGGGGAAAGGCTCCAAGAAACCGAGAGGTTCGGAACGGAAAAAGATGTGGGAGGAGGTAAAGGCTCTCAGGAAGGAGTGAGCACAGACCCCTTGCTCAGACTCGGCGTGCGTACTCACTACTAGTTCAGATATAGGCAGCGCGAAGGCGGAGTCGTCAAGACTGTCCTCGGAGAGTCTCAGGTATGGCCTATAATACTATCATGAGTTACCAGGACAATCATCAATTAACTGCAGGTCGTCCTTGCTACATGTCATTCAGCTGGTAGCAGGCAGCTCCGTGACCACAAGTTTGATGTAGTCATTATTGACGAGGCAACACAAGCGCTCGAAGCAGTAAGCTCATTCTGTTCCAGACAATAGTCGTTGATATACCTCTGCAGGTGTGCTGGATCCCGGTATTCAAGGCGAGAAAGCTCATATTGGCGGGCGACCCGATGCAATTACCACCTACAATTCTCTCTATCGACAAACACAAGAAGAAAACATCGGAGACTGCGACACCAAAAAAAAGTGCAAGTACTGCGAATGATCAGAAGAAGTCGCAAGAGTCGACAGCATCAAAACCTCAGCTGCCTGAAGAAGATGAAGGCACGAGTTCCAGTGATGCAGATTCCGAAGCGGAGTCGGTCAAAGGAGACAAAATCATGGCACAAGACGCGACAATCGAAGTATCCGAAGGAGGATCACAGTCGAATCCAAAGCCTGAAAAAAAAACTCAAAAGGAGGCAAAGGGACGAACTGGCTTGCGACCACCTCGTACATTAGAAACAACACTCTTTGACCGGCTCGAAAGGATGTATGGTCCAGATATAAAACGCTTGCTCAATGTCCAATACCGGTAAGATGGAAGTCATTCTCAAGTTGCACTTAGGCAGCTCACAACGCACATCTCTAGCATGCACTCGCAGATTTGCCAATTTCCTTCCAAAACGCTCTACGCATCAAAGCTCGTGTCCCATCAATCTGTAAGATCTCATCTCCTCAAGGACCTACCCAGTACCAGCGCCTTTACTTCCTCTGAAGACGAGGACACCATCAAAGAAATACTGGGAACGCCAGTCGTGTTTTATGACACTGCGGGTTGCGAATACTTCGAGCGAGTAGACGGAGGTAGCGACGAAGGCAGTCGCTGCAACGAGAACGAAGCAGCTGTGGTGTCAAAATGGGTTGAAAGGCTGGTGGGAGCTGGATTGCTGCCATCACAAATTGCCCTGATCACTCCGTACGGGACCGAATTCTTCTGAGCTGAGACATGCAAGTCGGACTTATTATTGTGAATCAGGTACCAAGCACAAGTTACTCTTCTCACTTCCTTGCTTAGACCAGTGTATGGTCTTGAGCTTGAGATTGGAACAGTTGATGGGATGCAGGGGCGAGAGAAGGACGCTGTCATTATTAGCTTGGTGCGCAGTAACGACAAGGTGAGATTCATCTTCTCTACTGCACCTTCCATTGAACGTTTCCAGCGCGAAGTTGGGTTTCTGAAAGAGAAGAGACGTATGAATGGTGTGTGAAATTATTTTCACAGAATACCATCCTCATTAAGTCATCCGACAGTTGCCATGACTCGAGCCAAGAGGCACTTGGTAAGAATGCAAATGTTTGTCCTCATGGTGTTGACTAATCAGGACTCGCAGTGTATTGTGGGCGATTCGTCGACTGTGAAACATGGCAGCCCGTACTTGAAGAAATGGCTTGCTTGGCTCGAGGCAAATGCGGATGTGAGGTTTGCGGAGTTTGATTCCATCTAATAGGGGACCTGGCTCCTGATTAGCCGCGGTGTGGACATGATCACAATCTATTTCTGTGATTGCAATTATTGGGCGGTACAACGCTAATGTACAATGAACCGCCTTGCAGAACGAATGGCTCTATCGCATCATACGACTCCAAAGAAGGTTCCATCTCGCCAGCGAGAGCATTATTACATGTAAGCCTGTACAGGACTAATGCAAGACATGCGAAGCAAACTACTACAGTACAACAGTCAAACAATGAAGGCAATGTCAAAATGAGGGAAATGATGGATGAATAACTTAATAGATACTTGTGATAGAGTACGCCAGGCAAAGGCCAGCCAGCCACTCAGTACTCCTCGACATCGGTAAAAGAGGCGTAATCAGATAATGTCCGCACATCTTCATATTCCAGCACAACTTCCCGCATCGCATAGCGCATGATCGGCGTCAGAGGCACAAGTTTGGGGCCAATCACTTCTTCCTCCTCGTTTTCCTCCTCAATCTGCCCGAGCTCCCGCGTGGATATATTGACTGGATTCATCGCCATCATATCGCCGTCTTCTGAGGACGCACCAAGTGTGCTGCCGCTCCCGACATTGATAGGGCTGGGAATAATACCAACTGGTGGACTAATAATGATGGACGTTAATGGTTCCACGCGGGCTAGCGGTTCTCCCTCGTGCGTCACTGGGTCTGTCCATTGTAGATTCAGCACCCGCCCCCTAACCATCCCATCCACCGCCCGCACACCAAGCTCCCGACAAAGCAAAAAATATGGCAGGTGGTTCGTCCCCACCTGACTCAGTTTGCTCATCACCTTGAGCAGTTGCATTGCGCTGAAATCGGCAGAATATTCATCGCTAACGCTGCCGGGGTCGCGGAAAGAGTTTCGAACAGGAGGGTATGTCTTGAAACCAGCAGGGTCCGAGGTTGGCATGCAGGGCGTCAGGCCCTGAGGAGCGTGGGACGGGCGGCAGGTGTGCTGGGCGTTGTGGGGTCTTGGCCGCTGCCAGGTCACTGTAGTGGCTTGTGAAGAGTGGATGATGTGAAGGTTGAGGACCGCATGTGCCTGAAGGAAGTGGGAGCTTTGTTTGACTGTGATACGACGTTCATAGCTGCCAGTGTGATATAGTGATGTGTACTTACTTTCAAAGTTTCCACCTGCATTGACTGTGAAATATACGTCAGCATTTCACATGAAGAGACAAGACAATGATAATAACATACCATAATCATTGACATAATCATGCCAGTGCGCTAACTTGCCACCAAATGCATCATATAATGAGTCGAACGACAAGCTTGCGCGTAGGTTTTCTGGAACGCGAGGCAGCATCTTCTCAACAAAGAAGGCACGCGTCTCTGCCTTCGTGCAATCTCCGATGGTGATGATCTACATCCATAGTATTAATAATCGACTCCTGAAAACCACGCAAGGTGTCAAGACGTACTTTACAGTGTTGCATTACGTTCAACTGCCGCAGCCATGCTTGATAGAAAGGATCGCTGGTGGCGTGAATTACATGACATAACCTGTCTTGCTTCGTGAGCACCAGCATTGAATCTAGGATGCATTTCATCGCGTCAGATGACTGAATCAGCGCCGGGCTGCAACGGTGACTTATCAGCGCCTAATATATATCTTCAGGTAGGTGTACCTACAGTTTATGTGCTTCGTCGAAGAACACTATTGGGATCCTCTTGGTGGCCTTCCCATGCTCTTTTTCGCGAGCGTTGGAGTTGGTCACCAACGAGGACAGTTCGTGGTTCTGCTGTCCATCGCTTGGCTTCTTGCCTTTGCGTTTGAATAACCACCGGGATTTATGCGAAGGCGTACTTAAAGGTGATGAACTGTTGAGTTTTGTCCTGTCTGAGGACACATCGGAGTCCTTCTTACGCTTTCCATTTTCTGGTGGCTGTTCTGACGGCTCAAACTCGCTGTACTTGAGAAGCGAACTCTGAATCAAAGAAGTCAGTTAAATACGTATTAGCAGGTGGAAATACGCGCCTGGAAGAGCTCCATGAGTCTTGCAATATCGCTCGTCCTGACTTGCGAACCAGAGCTTCCAACAGGAGAATCGTTAAGCCTTCGTTCGACGTTCAACCTGTCGTGCTGTGATAACATCAGGAATCCCATTCTTCAACGCGATTGTTGACCGAACCTTGAATTCCAGGCTCTCCTTCCGGAATTCCTCATATCCAGGCGTCGCCTTCGATATTTCGTCAAAGTACCGCTCCATTTGCCGCGACATAGTCATGTAAAGACTCGTCATATCCGCAAAGCCGGGTATACGTAAATCGAAGTGAAGAACATGATAGATATTCCGCGAGAGAATTTCTCGCAGGAGCACAGTCTACAATCTTTTGATAAACGGGTGATCGCACTGATAAGTTGAGGAACCAACCTTCCCAACCGAACTTGCACCGAACAAGACGGTAAACGAAGGCTCACCCTCCAGGATACGTTCAATCACACGGATCTCGGTTTCCCGCGGAAGAAAGCACGGAAGGCGGGTGAACGCGTGTTTTGTACGCAACGGAGAGCGCTCGTGCGAATCGCGTGTCTCGTTGATTTCGTTGCGGGCTTCCTCCAGGAGACGCTTTGACTCGCTCAGGGAGCGAAGCGTCTCGGAAGGCTGTGAATAATTGTGAGTGAGTCAGTTTGCGCAGTGGTCGGAGACGCACATTCAGAAGAACACCAAATACTTCGCTCATACCAAACAAATTCCTCCTACCAAGGTCAGCACTGTATGCAGCAGAGCTTCTGCGATGGGGTAAGTTTGAGCGGAAGAGCCAGTGCATGGCGTTGGAGGAATATTGGGAGCGTGGGCGAGGAACAGGAGAAGCAGGGTTGCCCTTGGTTCTGGTGCGCATAGCAGTCGAGGGGTGTGGGCACGCCGGCCTTATAAGGAAGAGAAGTAGCAATAGTTGGTGTGATTAGAGAAGTGAATGAATGGCTAAAGCGCAGGTCCAGGGTAGTTATGAGTGTACTTGCAGTCAGGAAAGAAGCACAAAGGGACCATACATCTTACGCATGTTTGTGCTTGCGTGAAGGACTGGAGACTGCCCAGCTTGCACAGCACTAAGTCCACGCATCTACATCGTTTGCATGAGCGCGGTTGATCGATGATCCACGTGGTTCGCGCGAGGCAGCAACACCCCAAAAATGGGTCCAGTGGTACGAAAGCATGATGACGAGAACACTAGAGCCTAGACGCCACATGCGTCTACCTGATTCTTCAGAGCTTCAGATATGACATTGTTCTTCAAGCAAAGAACTAAGCTTGGGCCCCGTCACATCTGTGGGCTGCCCGAGTCATCACTTTGAATTCGACTGAGCCATGAAGTGAATATAGGAAAATTAACACTACAATTCGCAAGCGGGCCGGACTAATTGACATGGCACAGGGATAGAGACGAAGAAAAAGAGAAATGCGATTCCAAGCCATAGTCAACGTTTCAACGTTGTGTAGCGCTCATCAGTACCAGTGCACATTGTCTAAGGCGCAAGCGCTGCTTACTAAGTTACTATTGACAAAGCACCATTCAATTTCAATGGGGATAGGCGCCACCCGCAACGCCTCAATATGATGCATATCATTGATCAAATAAATCTAGTCAGATCATCGTACCTGACATAAGCTCAGCACCTGATTGGAGATTCACTGATACAAGGCTTGACGTCCACCCCGTAAAAATGCAGTCTGCCAAACTATTGTCTCAGGTGAACAAGCCCGAAGTATCAAACCATCGAAAAAGGAAATGATGGCAATGACCGACGACCGTGTGCAAGCGCTCAGCGCACTGAGCGATGAGCGCTTGAGCGACGATCACGGACATACTTTATGTAAATTATATGCGAGCGAGCGGCTCATCAAAGCGGTGCAAGGGGGAATCCGTCGTCGGTAGGTGACACTCCTCGTGTCAATGTGCTTGCGCACACAACCAGCTGTCCGATAGCACCCACTATCGCCGATCAGAATCAAACTCAGTAGACGTCTTCGCCTTGCGCAGGACAATTGAAGGTCTTCGTCAGCGACATCGAATCATATGGGATTTGGCAACAAGATTTGGGAATACTCGACCCTAACAACGTATTAATGGGACGAAGTTAAGATAAAGCAGGACAAAGAATTAGATTACCTCGCAACAACGATTTTTAGGGCGGCGGCCTTTTCGCAAGATCTTTTTCATACAGTTGGCAGTGAGATGGAACCTAATTCCCATAAAATTATTGTTAGGTTGAGGTGCTGCTGCGACTCCCAAAACGGAGTTCGCAAAACTCGCCCGAATTCTTCTAAGCGAGAGGTACTGCGGCGATAAAGGGCGATAACAGGATTGTTTGCGTCTCACTAGAAAATTACATGCCAGTTTGATCAAACGAAGATGCTTTCTATGTAGGGAAAATATTATTTATGCTCACGGGTCACTGCAGGTCACTGGCCACTACCGTCCGATGAACCCAAGACCTCAACCTCATCATCAGATTCAACAAGGCGTCCACGTCTTGGACGCGAGGGTCGGACAGTAACAACGCCATCGAGCTCGTCTTCATCTTCGTCGGAGGAAACTACAATGGGTGCTGTTCGGCCCGGTCTGCTGGCAAGTGATGGTTCGTCTTCCTCAGAGAGGAGATCGGCATCTACGAGCGAACGGTGGTCTTCATCATCGCTGTCATCGGAAAGCTCATATATGTGCGGCAGCTGTTGAATAGGGCCTGGAGGAATTCCGGTGTCGTGTTCATCATCGATGAAATCGCTTTCATAAGCAGCTTCTTCATCTCCGTCGTCTGCGTCGTCTTCCTCCTCATCCTCTTCATCTTGCTCATCAAAGCCAAAGCGCCAACGGAACATTGGCAAACCTGGGTACCAGTCGGCGATCGCTAGGCCATCATCTTCGTCATCCCCCTCGCCTTCTTCGAGACCTATCCAGCCTGGATCATCTTCAGGGTCAAACTCTTCTACTCCTGGGCCAAAGTCTAAACCGAGTTCATCGTCCGACCAATCCTCCCCTCCTTCATGACCAGGATACCGCCTACCGCATGATGTACACACGCCATCCCAAATCTCATGCATGCAGTCCAGACATCGGTATATCCCTCCATCCTCCATATCAAGCATACCGACGTCTTCTCCGCGACGGGGCTCGGTATCTGCATCGTCTGCTAGTAACCAGGGAAGGAAACCATGGACCGACTTCCGGAAGATGCCATCCCAAGGATCCACGTCCGCAGGCCGATCAACGTTAGCTTGCACCTCGGGACGAGGAGGCACGTTGGCAAGACCACTCTTCCCTATGACGTGCGCTAGATTCTTGATAGTCCATATTTCTGCGGGACGATCTCGCACGACTGCTCGGCAATGTGGGCATGTCTTTTTCCGTACAATGGCTGGTACAGCAGGTCTATTATCAGCAGGTGGAGCGTTTAAACCATTGGACAAGGCAGTCATAGCAAGCCACGTGACCACACGGAGCGAGTGCATAAGGCTTGTACATCACATCGAGGCAAATCTGACATGTCAGAGCTTGACAAATGTTGTTGAGAACACTTTGATGCGCAGCCAGAAGCTGATACGATAAAACATTTGAATTAAATATTAACTGCTATGATGGAGTGCGCACCTCGCCCTTCTCTGTCAATTCCTTTGTTAGTTGCGAAATCCTGCCTTCAGGGTCAGCATCTGAGGAGTGTTGCGAGTTGACATTTGGGGACTGTTTCGTATCACTATAATTAGCGGTTTCTGATGAATCGTTTCCATTCTGTACGATATCGTGATGAGGGAATCAAAACAGACAATGCTTTAGACATACCAGAATGGTTGATTGTAATTTCCCTTCAGAATTCTTTTCGGCATCACTCTCGTGATCAAGATGGTCTGATGGAACTTCGACTCCGACCCTGCTTTTGCTTCCTGGATCTGGTAGCTGCGTGGACGTAAATCGAATGATTTCATTGCGAGCCGACACTGGCAACCGCTGCGGCTGTGACGAACTGTCCCCCATGTGATGACGATCCAGTTTCGCAACTACTGGTTCTTTCTTTCTCCTCTTCTTACGCTTCTTTGTGTCCCGTCTTGTGTTCGATTCTGGAGACTGATCGACCCTGAGTCTTTTGGGGTTTGGAGGCGCTGACTGGGGGGCCTCTACGTCGGATGTGGATCGCTTGAGACCCAGGGTTAAACCACTGTGTTCCGACATAGTTAGACACGTCAATGGGAACTCTGCGTCCAGAACACGACAGTCCGGAAAAGACAAGATACCTGATGTTCGGCGCTCGCACGAAAGGATGTTGCTTAGCTAAGTCCCAGTAGTGAAAGGAATGTTGCAACTTACACGTGATCGTGGGAAAAGAGTCAGAGTCGTGAGCTTCGTCGACGGTCTGGTTGCCATTAAACGTCATGTATACAGGCTGCCACTACCTGGTGCTACAAGGAAAGGTTTTCATCGAATCCGGTGTAAACGGACGACTTCCCGCAGTGCTTGGAACGTCGTTCTAAATCTGCGTTGTGAAATCCTTGTGTCGACACCAAACGTCAGTATTTTACAAGTCGGCCCATTAGTGAACCGGTGAGTTCTTGCTGGCGATTATATATGCTGATTACGGTGCATTTACATGGCCATATATTAATTGCTTTATATTCCAATGTGTCGAGTTTAACTTTATTTACACCAGGGTAATTGGACGAGCGTGCTCCTCAGCAGCTTTATACTTCGGGTCTTCCCGAAGAGATTACCTTTGTTTAGGGCCAGTCCCTTTGCCACCTTTGACCGATGCCCTGTGCATCTCCCAGCATGTCGTCCATGCCTCTTTTTAGGGCCAGTCCCTTTGCCACCTTTGGTCAATGCCCTGAGCATCTCTCGACGTATTATTCATGCCTTCTTTCGGGCCAGTCCCGTTGCCACCTTTGGCCGATGCCTCTGTGCATCATTCGGCATGACTAATATGTCTTAGGCGATCCTCATTGCCACCTCCTTTAGTGGAGTTAACAGTCTATGTCTAGCGAGACTGGGTGTAGCGGAGTTCCTTACCTCTTCTCACTCGAATTACTTGTCTCGCTAGGTACGCTGTTTTTCAGTCTTGAGTTTTCGTGCCTCTTCTCACTCGAATTACTTGTCTCGCTAGCAATCTTTTGCGCACTAATAATACATCGAAGTTCTTCTCATGTCTGACAATGCCAACGGATCCGCTCCTACCCTTTCGTCTAACCCCTCTTCAGGAGAACACCCAGAGTTTGACCAAAACTCCGTTAACCAATGCCTTAAGTTCGTCGAAGACTTTGGGAAAGGGCTTATACAGAAAGGAGACGCATTGTTGGAAATCCAATCCATCCTCCAAGCCGCTATTGGGGAATCGGATACGCTCACGCAACTTGACTTTAAACCAGGCTTCAAACACTTCCTCGAGCTCCTCGACCTCGATGCCTCTGAAGACCTTTCTTCAGCGGAACGATCCAGAGTTAATGTTGAGAACGAGCCCACCAGAGGAAGCTCCAAATCCCCAAGTCAATCAGCTAGTACCTCCGCTCTTGTTAAAGAGAAAGATCTCCGAACAAGACTACGAAAACGAGTCCAGTCCGAAGAGGAAGAAGATAATGAGTCCAGTGATGAACATGAGTACGTTTTGCGAGGAAAGAGACAGAAGCTTACTTCCGAACGCGTTCAATTCTATCCCTGGCTCCAACCAGAGGAGTATCGTCATATCTCCAGTAAACAGGCCGAACAGCTCACCCTCGACTGTTATGAAGAGTGGTCAGAGGATTCTAAGTACTATCGAGGACAAGTCACCGGTACCCCCAGGATGTCCCAGTTTTCCCTTGTCCCAATGGACCCTCCTACTCGAAGGACGAGCTCCCGACCTTGAAAAGGTCTTGTCCGGACATTATTCCACCTCCATTGATCCTAAACAAACCCAAACTCTTGGGAAAGGGTTCGAAATCACTATGTCTCAAACGACTACCTCCCACAAAGTTAAAACATATGGGGACTGGAGTATTGCTACCGAATTATGGATTGAGGCGCTCACCTTCATCATGCCCTGGAAAGAATCTGAACTACGAGGATACAAACGTTATCTCTCCGGGTTCTTTGTTGACGTCCATTACGTCCTCCACTCCAGAATTATCGACTTTGATAAAGCCTGCAGGCTCAAAGTTGAGGGGCAGAAGTATCTCAGATTCGATGCCGTCTCTAAGTTCCGTCGACTCGAGGTCACTCACCTCTCATCCCTTGGAATGGTCGCATACACCGAACTACAACAACTCTCTGGATCGTCCGGAGAAAGGACTTCGGGAAAGGGTTCAGGAATCGGAAAGAGATCATCTCGTCCAGAGTCTTTCGGACGAGGAGAACCCTGCCATAACTGGAATCGAGGAGCATGTGACAAGTCTACCTCGGACTGCATGCGGTTCCATGTTTGCAGCAAGTGTAGAGGAGGACACAAGCGTGGGGACTGCCCCGTGGCAAAGACAACTAAATGAGACTATCGCTCGAGGACAGCGTTTTAGAAGACGAATGATTTGGGGGGACGAAGCTAAGTCTCTTAGTGGAACTGCCCAATGGACTGAAACTGCTGAACCTCTTCCACGTCCACCTCTTGCTGAATTCGAAAACGCCGCCGCTATCTCTACAATCACCAAATATCCTCATCTCTTCCGTGTTTCGACTCCTATAAATGTTGATCGTTTCGAGACCCTTCTCTTACATGCCAATCATCCTAATCCTCCGTTCGTCCGTTCGGTTTGCCAAGGGTTACGGGAAGGTTTCTGGCCTTGGGCTGACACTCAGGTTGGGATTTATCCTATAACCTGGGAAATTCCATCCCCCTCTCCTTCATCCGAACTTGAACGCAACTTCATCCGCGACCAGATTTTTAAAGAGGAAAAAGTTGGAAGGTATTCTTCTAACTTTGGTCCTAACCTTCTGCCGGGTATGTACAGCATGCCGATCCACGCGGTCCCGAAGGAAGGAGGTAAATTTCGTCTGGTCACCAACCATAGTGCCAGCGATTTTTCTCTTAATTCTATGATCGCGAAAGAAGACATTGCCGGGGTTACACTGGACAATGTCCAGGACCTTGGAGATGCCATTCGTGATTACCGTCAACGTGATCCTACCGGCGACTTACACATCTGGAAAGCAGATGTCTCTGAGGCTTATCGCCATATGCCCATGCACCCACTCTGGCAAATCAAGCAAGTTGTTTCTTATGAAGGTGAAAGGCGGGTCGATCGTGCCAATGTGTTTGGTGGACGTGCATCTCAACGTATCTTCCACGCCTTCATGTCACTTGTGATATGGATCGCAGTCTTTGTACGACTCATTCAAGCCTTCATCTATGTCGACGATTCTTTTTCTTTCGCCAAGGTTGGCGATATGTCTTACTATGTCAAGTATCGCAAGATGCTTCCTACGGATATGGTTGCTCTCCTTCTTCTCTGGGATGAACTGGGCATCCCACATGAGGAACGGAAGCAGATTTTCGGATCTCCACTCCCCGTCATTGGCTTTGAGGTGGATCCGAATTTGATGAAGATATCCCTCAAAGAGGAGTCTAAAAAGGGTTTAGTACACGAACTTCGTGCGTTCGCAAAGCATAAGCAGAAGAGATCACTTTGGGACTTCGAGCACATTGCCGGCTCCCTCAACTGGGCGTTGAATGTTTGCCCGCTCCTTCGGCCCGGGCTTTCAGCGGTTTACGCCAAGATGAAGGGAAAGACTAATTCAAAGGGTATGCTATGGCTAAACCGAACCGTCGTCGACGAGTTGCTCTGGGCAGCGTTTCACCTTGCCCGCTCTGACGGTATTTACTTACTCAAATCGGTCTCTTGGCATATTCAACCTCTTGGCCCGGATATCCTTCAAGTTTTCTGTGACGCCTCGGGTTCAGGCATGGGATTTTGGTATCCCAGTTTTAACCTCGGGTTCCAATCTAATCTTCCCAAGCCTTCACCTGTCCAGGACATCTTTTTCTTTGAGGCTCTTTGCGTGGCCTCTGCTATCCACGACGCTGTTACACGGCTTCCGGAGAGTGGTCGTCTGGCGGTATACACCGACAGCCTTAATACGGTGTTCTTGTTCAACTCTTTGTCGGGTGGAGCAGGGTATAACCGTCTTCTAATGGATGTCGTAGAGGTTATCCTTGCCTACAGCGTGGACTTTAGAGTTTTCCACGTATCTGGCGACAACAATGTTGTTGCAGATCGTCTTTCTCGGTGGCGTGCTAGGGAGGCTACAAGATGCTCGCCTGGATTACGAATCTTCCCTTTTCAACCCCCTCGGAATGCGCTGGGGGCATCAAAAAAATGATTCATGCGTCAGTTGAGGCGAAGCAGCCAGTTCGTGCTGCTTGGCCAATGGAACGCCTCATTCATGAGCGTTCCATTAACCTCGGTCTTGCTCTTGATAGGTCGACTAATCAATCCTACTCTTCGGCACTCAATTCATATGTTACTTTCTGTGATTTGCACCATCTCGCACTTGATCCGACCAGTTGACACCCTCTCCCTCTTCGTCACTTTTATGTCGGCTCATATTAATCCTCGTTCAGTGGACAACTATCTCTCGGGTATTTGTAGTATCCTGGAGGAGTTCTATCCGCACGTCAGACAAAATCGGCGTTCACGTATCGTGTCCCGCACATTACGTGGAGCTAAACGTCGTTATGGAGTTCCTATTCGACGTAAACTGCCTCTTACCCGCGCGGATCTCCAAACCACCTTGGCGTCTATGCCAAGGTCACCATCTCATGATGATCTTCTTTTTATTGCACAGCTCTTTGACGGGTTTTACGGCCTTCTGCGTCTCGGTGAACTTGTTTGGCCTGATAACTCGTCCCTGCGGTCGTTCGCAAAACTTACTCTGCGTACCTCGGTAATTCTTGCCGACTCTCATCACTCCTTCGTCCTTCGGCGGCACAAATCTGACGTCCAATTCGAAGGTAGTACCATTGTGATACAGCGTGCTGAATCCGCTGATCCTCATGGTGCCTTCATCTCCTACCTGCACATCTCGCGACAAAATGTTTCCATTCAACAGTCTACTCTGGCTACGCAGTGACGGGTCTACTCCCACACGTGCGTGGTTCATCGCTCGTCTGCGGGCATTGTTTCCTGATTCCATATCGGGTCATTCCTTGCGGGCGGGCGGGGCTACTTCACTTGCAGCTTCTGGTGTTTCGGCTGATCGTATTCAAGCTATGGGGCGTTGGTCAAGTGATTCGTTTCGAATTTACATACGGAAAAATCCCGCATTACTTCATGCGCTCGTTTTCAACGGGCGGTCCATCCATGATCCAGTAACACCGTTCCAAGCCATCTAAAAACATCTCTGAGTCAATTATCTTGATCTTTATCTTTATTTACTTAATCTTTCTATTTCCCTCCCTCCCTTCCTCATAGCTGGAGTGTTAGCATTGTATATTAGGTACGGGCTCGAGTTTGCGGTTGTTTGTGACCGAATCCATTGGGGGCCTCTTGCTCTCGCAATGGGGTCCTCGTTTTGCTGGCTAAATCCTCGTCGTCTGCGTTCCAACGAGACTTGAGTGAGGACAATTAGTCGAGTTTAACTTTATTTACACCAGGGTAATTGGACGAGCGTGCTCCTCAGCAGCTTTATACTTCGGGTCTTCCCGAAGAGATTACCTTTGTTTAGGGCCAGTCCCTTTGCCACCTTTGACCGATGCCCTGTGCATCTCCCAGCATGTCGTCCATGCCTCTTTTTAGGGCCAGTCCCTTTGCCACCTTTGGTCAATGCCCTGAGCATCTCTCGACGTATTATTCATGCCTTCTTTCGGGCCAGTCCCGTTGCCACCTTTGGCCGATGCCTCTGTGCATCATTCGGCATGACTAATATGTCTTAGGCGATCCTCATTGCCACCTCCTTTAGTGGAGTTAACAGTCTATGTCTAGCGAGACTGGGTGTAGCGGAGTTCCTTACCTCTTCTCACTCGAATTACTTGTCTCGCTAGGTACGCTGTTTTTCAGTCTTGAGTTTTCGTGCCTCTTCTCACTCGAATTACTTGTCTCGCTAGCAATCTTTTGCGCACCCACCCATTTTAGTACCCTCCCATTGTATATTAGGTACGGGCTCGAGTTTGCGGTTGTTTGTGACCGAATCCATTGGGGGCCTCTTGGGCTCGAGTTTGCGGTTGTTTGTGACCGAATCCATTGGGGGCCTCTTGCTCTCGCAATGGGGTCCTCGTTTTGCTGGCTAAATCCTCGTCGTCTGCGTTCCAACGAGACTTGAGTGAGGACAATTAGACGAAATCCTTTCCTATATATTACGATATATAACGATATATGACAATAACTTCTCACCGGTTCTCTGATGCGCCCCCCACTCTGCATGTCGAAAAACACCCAGTTCTAGTGAAGGGCCCCGGGGCTGTATGTGTTCTCCTAACCGTACCAGGTCCCTTTCCCACCAAGGACCAGCCATGTACATGAGATAGTTGGATACCTCGAACCCAGGACTCACCGCCAGCGGCTTCAACTCCGAGTCCGGCAGCAACTGCGGAATTCTAGAAGTTAACGTTGTCTCCGTCGAGTATATGTCCTCTCTATGTCCGATCAAAGTGCCTATCAGGAGCGTATGACAGTCTGACTATTATAAGGTCCATCCGTAGCTAAATGTTTGGACCGTTGTTACCATCGTAGACGGTACTCGTAGCGCTTTGTCAGCGCAAACCCTTTAAGACCGGCCGCATGCCTGACCTATAGCCGGCCAATCATCTCATGCCCCATGTGCTTTTTAAAAACTTAAATCGGGGACCTTAACTTGACGTCCGCAGTATTACGTACTCCTGACCCATATATACTAGAGTCTAAACTTAGCTATATATTTCAATTTCCCCCCAAACAACAGGAACTGTATATCAAACGTATTATTTGGTTCCTTGAACTGTTGAAGTTTCTATCGCCGACTTTCCGAAGGAGAGAGGTTCAGTTTCAGTCAAGACTGCGGTTGATTCCTGCTCGGAATTGTAAGAATTGAAATAGTTGTACGGAGGAGAGTCTCAGATCTCAGACATGACCTAGTAGAATTGACCTGTCGTTCTCGGTGCGGCCCGTGCCGCTAAGACTAATTAAGGTTACACATCGGTTACACACATGTTTTGGGCGTCTAGCAGGGTTGGCAGTTGCTAATAATATTACGGAATTCGAATCGATATTCAGCAACGCTTCTACCACCGTTTTCGCACTCTAACATGTCCTCGTTTGAGGAGGACCAAAAGTTGGCTGCCATATCATGCCAGTCTCAATGTCCATTCGTGCCGGAAGTCGTTGGCTTGGACAAAGCCGGTCTGACTAACGGGCAGCGTCCACGCGCTGCCCCGACGCTTGCTCAGACGTGTGCCCGTGACGACTCCGCCGTCCCTGTCAGATTCACTACATTCTCTAAAGGACGTTTACACAGACGGCATGAGTCACATGCCGTCCTATCTGGGCAGATCTCAGATTTATTCTCGACTCCAGATCCTCTTCCGAAGAAATGGACTAGTAGCCTTATTCGTCAACATGAGCGTGCCGATTTTATAGCACAAAATTCCATTCAAACGTCATATCCGCAACCGCTTACGGTTAGCAAAGAAGACGCGTGGGGCTCCTACAGGCACACCTCGCAATTCTCACTGGCAGGTTTGGCAGGTTTGTCAGGTTTGGGTGCCGATAAAGGACACAGGCGTCACAGCTCTCTTATATCTCGCCAACGCTTTTTACGTAGCAGCAATCGTCTTGTTTCACCATCGTCACACGCCGACATGCAAGACCTGCTACCTCCCCCTGTCGTGTCTTCTTCTGATACACGTATACCCATCCACAATGACCCTTCGGAAAATGAAAAATATACCCCGCTGCCTGAAACAAATTCGCCCTATTCCCCATCCACACGCTACTCGTTGGCATTTTGGCTCATTCTTTACTTTTGCTTCAACCTCGGGCTTACCTTATACAACAAGGGTGTCCTCATCCACTTTCCTTTCCCATACACCCTCACTGCCCTACACGCTTTCTGTGGGACCATCGGAGGGCTCATATTACTCAAAAATGGTACATTCGTACCTGCTAAACTCACCGACGCAGAAAACTTTGCGCTGGTGGCATTTAGTGTATTGTACACCATTAACATCGCCGTCAGCAACGTATCTCTGAATCTGGTCACTGTTCCAGTGAGTGATGGTATACCTTGCACAAGCTAGAAGCTGATGATGACCACCGCAGTTTCATCAAGTAGTTCGTGCAGCCACGCCGATTTTTATAATTCTTCTCTCCGTCTTCTTATTTGGCACCCGGAGTAGTAATCACAAGATGATATCCCTGATACCTGTCATAGCTGGCGTTGGCTTTGCGTGAGTCATTTTTCGCCTCAGAACGTCACCTACTTATATCCGTGTAGGACGTACGGAGATTATTCGTGTACAACAAACGGACTCATTTTGACCGTATTGGGAACGGTGCTTGCTGCCATCAAGACTATCTACACCTCTATCCTGCAGTCGACCCCATCACCGACCTCTCCGCAGCCGCGCGTAAATTTTATCGTTCCCCCGCGGTTACAATTACATCCGCTAGACCTCTTGACCCGCATGGCACCGCTTGCATTCATCCAGTGCGTTTTCCTCGCATACGTCACGGGGGAATTATCCCGCGTGCATACATGGAGTCTAGAAGAGATGACACCAGTCAAAGCGACGCTCCTTGGGGTCAATGGCTTGATTGCGTTTGGTCTCAATATTGTCAGTTTTACGGCGAATCGGGCAGCAGGCCCTCTGAGTATGACTGTTGCTGGTGAGTGACCATTTTTGTACATACAACGGCGCATATGCTGATGAGCTTACAGCCAATGTCAAACAAGTCCTCTCTGTATTTTGTGCGGTCATTCTATTCAAGCTCACAATAACGCCGACAAACGCGCTTGGCATCCTTCTCACGCTCACTGGTGGAATGTGGTACGCAGCCGTTGAATATCAAGAAAAGAGAGGTAGATGGAGAAAGTAGATCATGATTCAGGTGATTTTTGTGCTAGAGCTGTTCGTTCTTAGTGACTGCATTCTACTGTAGCCCCTTCGCTCTCCGACATGAACATTATATATGCATGTCTCATCTTTTGGCACTCACACTATACCTGTAATATAGATATATATCACCTCTGGCACACATGCCAATTTTTAAACGGGTTGCACTAGTTCGCTTTTGCAGGACGTGTCACAGGTTATGTCCGCGCTTATCGAAACGTCATGCTCATTGAAATTTGAAACGCCGTGTCCGTTCGACGTGATTTTTACTAATATTGGACTTGATCGTATCCTGTGTGGGCGTTTACAAAAGGACCGTGGCTAGAATGACACCGCACCTGCACCAGAACCTCTGAAACATAATATTTCCGTGATTTATGCAATGTCGCTGCTCGCATCAAATCGTCTTTTTTAATACTAGCTCCGTACAGTTGCGACCCTATTTTTCTTGTGATGGAAACCATGCGACTTTATACAACTTTGTAAGTCTTCTTCTGTTGGTCTTGTGCACCATTCCTTTTGCAATCCTTCTAGAACTCAGCCTCGTTGCACTGAAGCTAACGCAAACATTCTTTGAAAAAAATATCTGACGTCACACGTCACACAACCACAGAATTAGCCGCCGCTAGTGTTTCGAAGTCAAGAAGCTCAACGATATGTAGTAACTGCTGTGCACTAGAAGCATGTCTAATATCGACTTGGAAATTTATCGGTATAAAAGTTACATAAATCGATTACTTATCGTGGCACGTGAGGTTGCCGCCGGGTGCCCATTTGCCCATCAGGCAATAATGAAATTTTGATCCATATTGTACGATCCGAATACCATCTTATCTTATCCTCGACTCAAGCCATCAGAATATTATTTTTGGCACTAGTCCTGTAGCGGTGGCATCCCTGACTCCGTTGTCTATCGCGCTATTTTTAACCATCGTTAGTTCGAAACGTCCAGTGTTTTACCTTGTCTTACATGTATCACATCTAGCATGCATGGCTAATCAGATGCCTATACAATTCTGCCAACCGTTAGAGTGGTCTAGACCTGATCGCTAAGGAACCTGCATTCTCCAAATGAGACACGAGAGTGAAACAGACATGTCCGACATGCAGTATAATCATGACAGCAAAATGAAATACAACCCGTGAGCATATAAAACTGCCACAGGGCCCCCGGGGGAAAAGAAAATCATTTAACGCGCATACAAAAATAGTGCCTGGACGTTTTGATCTGATAGAACCTTCGTGGAGTCGGGGCTGTACAATTGTCAATTGCTGGAGTCTCCCGGGGGCTTAGCTAGATAGAACAAAAGAATGTATCAGAACATTTTAAGTGAATGAAAACCGATCAGACGCTGTTGCCCCGTGATCATGCCACAAGGTGCTGCACTGAACTTTGGACGTGCTTTGGCTGGTATCGTGGCGCAAGCCTTTCCAAATCTGCAAGTGACGTTATCTGTCGGAAGTGACCGATACGATCATGAGCCTCGAATACGTTTAAATCAGTGCATTATAGACTCATTCGATTCATTGCCATATGAAGCTTGTCTGCGGTCGTGTTTACTGCGGGTATGCATATTTGATTCGAATGTAGTCAGTGGAGTGCTTTGGTTTATGGCGCAGACGCTAAGCTTGATGGGGCATAGAGCAGTGCATGTCAATATATCAGGCCTCAGGCCTCAGACCGGTGTGAGCGCTATTTAGTATTCTACACATGTCGACATGTCGACTCCTCCTCAGGCCTTAACCTTGTCAACCCGCGGATATGTCGGACCGCTAACTTGCATCGTGGCACAGAGGTACTGGGACATGAATGATGTAGCTTGAGTTTGCTGCCTGTACATTTCCTGATTGCCATTAATATCAGTGCTAAAATCAGTCGCCGCCGATGCCACCGTATCATAGATAATACTCATACTGACATTTGAATGACCACGAAGACGTGATGAGCACCCCTATTGACTTTGCGCCCGTATTCTGATTGCACGGCAACCATCGTTCTCTTTCAAAATGGACTCGGCGTTTGAATAAATACATCTAAGGTCAATGAAACACTAGAACAAGCCTGAGATAATCAGCAATGTGATATTGATAACGGGTTGGGTGCGGACAACGTTGTAAATCACAATTATATGGCTACCGGTGAATGTTGACCGGTCGACCGAAGACAGATGGTGTTTGTACCTTTATCGTAACTGAACAGAATATGCCACGCTCTGAATGATAATGACCTCTTACCGGTTACCCTGCAGGACCTCTCTTATCACCATTCAACTCAAAGATACAGGAGGAGTTAAAAACTATATTTGCAGCGATTCTGATGTTCCTAGGTCCAGTCGAATATTTGGTACGATCCCCCATTTTGGGCCTTTCCAGCATTGAATCGTGCAATTACCGCTCAGTGTGATTTCCCGACCACCGCCATCGAAGAGAAAGTGGCATTTCTCCCGTCGACACCGGGGAGTACTCAAATCATCTGAACGAGCAAGACGGTTTTCCGGCATCTACCATCAGCTTTGGCAATCCTTGCTGATTCAGAGCATGCAGTTGCATGCTCACAGAGGGCTTCCGTTGCAGGAAGAGGTCGAAGTTTCACGAAAGACGGAAGTTGCAGTACCTGTAAGATGGAAACAAGCCCTTAATGTAACTGTGACACACCTGTGGCGGCCAATATTGACCGATGGTCAAGCCATCGAAATATGCTGTTGAAATGAATAGAATTCTATATCAAAGGCTGTGTGTGCCTAGAGTTTGGGTTGTCTTAATCCACCGAGAGTCTGGTTTTGGATGATAGCCAGCAAAGCATACAACGTTTCAATACGCTGCAGCGCAGATATCAGCTATGATAGTATGTAGCAACGGCGAACACTGCTTACTGGCACATCTACCCCCATTTCCTTGGCCAATCTGACCACCTCCCCAAGAATCACCTCCACCTCGATAGGCAGCCCATTCTGGGCATCAAGGAGCATGCTCGGGAGAGCTGTATGGGCAGGGTCTTTGTGTAACTCTGCAGTACGTAATATAGTATTGTCAACGAGGGAAGAAGGTAGACCATCTTCGTTGTCCGGGTAGCCCAATGCACGCCCTAAGAAAAAGGTAAGACATGCAGAGAGATCATACAGTTCGAAATTACCAAGGGTAATCATCTCTTGTAAAATCGCACGTAGGACAGGAATGATATTAGGTGCTGTCTGAGGTGCAACGTAAGGACTATATGATTGACCCTCTTTGGGTGGAGGCCGGAACATCGCTGTAGGAGGAGATCCAGTGAGGGTCGAGAAGGAAGAAAATGCAATATTCCAAAATGTCTTGGCGAATTTCTTGCGTTGGATCTCTGTTGCAATGGTCACTTCTGAACCTCCTGTCTTAAGCATGGTTCCAAGGTCCGTCAAAATGGCATCTTCTTCAGGAGAATTAGTAGTGGTCAGGTGGTCTCCATGTCTGTACATTCCAATGGTAATACGATCCTGTGTCCGCACGAAATCTACGTCAGAAATCCGGAAGGGTTACTCGACGTATGAACTATCTTTGCTCACAAAGTCGGTGTGTTCGACCACATTCTTCTCCACCAAATTCGTTCCAATCCATACAACAGTGCTGATGATCTTTGGTTCACCTTGATTGAGGGCCTTGACGCTATGATACAAGTCTCGCTCCACTCCCAGTCCATTTTGAAGCAAGACATAAGTAGGCTGAGGGTGCCTTTCACTATATGGACTAGAAAGCAATGGTTCTAGAACCCGAGATGTCTTTATCACCTCTGGAATCGCCTTGGTTGTCAGGATCACATAGGAATACGGCCTATCAGCAGCCTCTGCCACCGACGATACTACTATAATTCCAAGATGCACAGTGATGATCACCGCGGGGAACATATTGGTCTTGCTTACGACGATAAGGTCTCCAGCTCTCGTGAGTGCCATACTTCTTGCTCCTGATGTTTATGCCCTTGGCTAGAGTCGGATCAGCTTTGAAGTCAAATCTCGATGAGACGACGTAGTAATTCACCATTGATAATGTCATAGTTACTTCGAGCAACAGTAGTGACTCGCGCAAGCTTACTGCTTTGAAGGATGTAGGAGTCTACCAGCCTGAGTGTCAGTACTATCACTGTATACGAAATATCCAACTTGATGGTTGGGAGGAATAAGGATTAAGCTTCAAGTTGCTTGTGACTTACAGATTGTTCCAACTGCTCCCAGGCCAACAAGCAAAACGTCTTTTGTACTCATCTCACAAGAATCATTGAATGACGGACACTAGTACTACGATCTGCCGCGGCAGTTGCAGGATTCTCCGAGTCACGGCCCGTGACGCGTGACGATCACACACATATACCCGATGATCCAAAAAAGTCTGAGTCCCCTTGAGAAACCAGATAAATTACAATCACGATGCAACGATGTGAGTTGTTAGTACTAGGTTGTTGTTACTTAGCTTATTAACGGTTTGGGGTAATGTCCAATATACTGTAGACAATGCACGCAATATACTACGGCAGTTCGTCTAATATCGTAGATGACAAGAGTATAATTAAGAACCATTTGTTGTTGCTATACTTCACGGTAGAATGACTGCATACTCCCAGTCTTCCGAGTAGCAAATGGTGATATGGGAGCCATAGGGTAGGTACAGGTATCCTCGGTGACATCGATCTGGACTGGTGCAAAGGTCACTGTAGGGCTCGACGATTTGTCGAAATGTGTGCCTATGCTAGTCAGGCCAAGGCCGAGACGGGTGATGATAAGAAGAGGCGTCGTGGTCTAGGACGATATGAGACGAGAAGAAGTTAAGCATAAGGTACCTACAGCAATTTGAACAGTAACATTGAATGCCATGAAACCAGACGGGCTGCCAGTTATATCCAGAATGAACATTATCAAAGTGCAGCTGGCTATAAGTGCACCGGACTCGATGACGGTAAACATGGCAGCCTTGTAGGCATTGCGGCCAGTTAAATCAGATACTTCTCGCCCCGCAAGCCAAAGACGATACGCGATTCCGAATGTGACACAGGTGTTGAGAAAAAGACCCAGCGACCAACTGGCTTTACCAAAAGCTTGAACACTATATGAGAAGAGGTGCTCGTTAGGCTGAGCTATCAGAAACACGGCTATAATAGCACAAGCTACGCAGAGATGATAGATAATCTTAGTACTTGATCTGAGAGCGAAGCAAAGTTCGTAAGCCTACCGATATGTGCAACTTCCAAAATCAACTAGTAATAGACACATTCATAAGAAAGACGTGACATATAGGATAGAAAGATATCTTACCGAGGGAATGACAAGCTTCCAGCTGTGGTTCCAAACAACGTAAAGCCTCCAGATCTGTTATCATGCGTGTCACTTCAATATCCCAACAAGCTGGATTTTACTCACTAGCAGCAAATCTTGAGCGAGTACCTGAAAGAAGGGACGATGAGAAGCGATTGAAGCCAGAAAGATGGTATACGCACATTGGAGACAAACAATGCCAAATTGGCCAACATAAATGTTGTTGGCGCGACGAAGTACATGCTGCTTCCATTAGGGATAGATGTTATGGAAGAGGTTGTGAATCCTTGCAAGGACAGAAGAAGGGAGATGATGTTGTGTGCTGTTGAGACTAAAATGTGGAAAATACACGACATAAAAAGGACCCTGATCAAGAGCTAAGCGCTGGTGAGTGATTGGCGGCTGTCTCGAATCACGAACCTATGTGACTTTCTGTCCCGATTCGCCAAGATATATATACATGCACCAAAAAGCACGCAGCTGTCAATGGAAATGAGCATAAAAAATTTCCGAATGTTTGAACCCACTTGATTCCTATGAATGAGAGTTTAAAGTCCAATGTCAACGCTCGTTACAGAGGAATGCATACCGTAAACTATACTTTCAAACCATACTGAGGTTATAAACATACGGTCGAGGGCAGCCATTTTCGTCTGTCATAGTCAGAAGGAATACCCAATGAACGGAACTCAGCGTCTTATAACTTGTCGGTGTGCCTTAGCAGCCTTGTTGTGTCTTGAAGCAACCTGCCACTGTCTCAGGGATATTGACACAGTCAATTGACAAAACAATGGGAAAGTTAATATGCATGGACCTTTCAAAATCTTTTCTGTTTGTCTTGATTTTTTGTGGTGGTGTTTCAGGGGAGAGTTGTCTTTATTGTTGTGGGTTGCAGTATGTTGGACTCGGACGCTTGCTACGACCGTGTGCGCTCGCCATGATCAGGAGGCTTCTGGACATGTACGGCGAGGAACTCGGCGGGAGAAGGCCGTAGATATTCACCGTACTGCTCGACGACGGTGTCACATCTCGACTTTCAAGTGTCTCGAAGATTTCAATTGGCTGATGTAACTCAGGCCTTAAAGTAATTAATTAATCAAGTCATGTAAGCTCACGTGATCTGAGGTAGTTCCTGTACAAAACCCTCCTTTTTGGCGCTTGTAGCATGGTCCTTGTACTGAACCCTGAACCTCTACGTTGCATGCAGCAAACTATACACATTTTATACATTGCAGTAAACTTACCTTAAGCATGGCTTACAGAGGCGATCGAGGACGGGGTGGCTTCGACAGAGGGAGGGGGGGACGAGGAAGCCCTCTTCCCAGCGACCGGGGACGGAACTCACCCTCTGGCTTTCGTGGCGCTGACCGCGGTGGCAGGGGTGGGTTTGACGGAGGGAGGGGTGGACGTGGAAGCCCCGTTCCCAGTGACCGGGGAACGAGCTCACCCTCCGGCTTTCGTGGCGGTGACCGTGGTGGCAGGGGTGGGTTTGACAGAGGGAGGGGTGGACGAGGAAGCCCCGTTCCCAGTGACCGGGGAATGAACTCACCCTCCGGCTTTCGTGGCGGTGACCGTGGTGGCAGGGGTGGGTTTGACAGAGGCCGGGGAAGGGGTTTTGGTGCTCCAAGAGAACAAGGCGGGTCAGTGCTACGTTTGGAACGGTGCCACGCTCAAATTTCGTTTACTAAAACTCCTCTGCAGTGTATTTCTCGAGAACCAACCAGCTACCGTTGACGCTCGAATAGCTGACGACTCCGACAAGGCGCTCGTCGCTCGTTTGCGAAACACTCAGCTTGGGAATGACCCTGATAGTATGCCCTTGCGCCCAGACTTTGGCACTGTTGGGGTTCCAATCAAACTTCGCACCAATTTCTTTCCTGTGCGCGTTCCCAAGGGACCGCTCTATGAATATGACGTCGCAATCACGCCTGCGGCTGGAACAGCTAATCGTCGCGTCAAGCGTCGCATATTCCAGCTCGCAGAGCAGACCACTGCGTGGCAACACTCTGGGATGCGTGGTACCGTCGCACACGACAGCAGTGCAAAGCTTATATCAGCTCGTGTTCTAGCACAGCCTCTCACGATCAAAGTACCATATTACGACGACGATCAAACTGGGCCTCCGGAAAAGGGTGGAAAAGAATACACACTTACAATCAAGTTTATTCAGGAAATCAACACACAGGATCTCATGAGGTGAAGTGGGTCATGTGTTTCAAAAATCTCTCTGACGTATATCTTGCAGTTACTTGAATGGGGATAACCAGTATCGAAACTACAACACCCTTCCCGTTATCTCCGCGTTGAATCTCATTCTTGCCGCGCATCCGTTGCGCAGCGGCATCAAAGTCGGTCAAGACCGCTACTTCTTCCGCTCTGCTGCTGTTCCAACAAATCTCGGCGGCGGTTTAGAAGCATGGAAGGGCTTCTACTCTTCCGTGCGCCCAGCTCATCATCAGCTAATGGTGAACGTCAATGTCTGCACCACAGCGTTCTATACCACTGGAAATCTTGCGGTGCAGATGATGGCTTTCAACGACTCCAGTTTCGGCGCACGAATGGAGGCGTTCTGTAGGGGCGTCAGGGTCAAAGCTACCCATCTTGGTTATCGAAAGACCGTCAAGTGTCTTGCACGCCAGAACGCACGCCAGTACACCTTCCCGTGCGACGAACTTGGAGGACGCGTCTCAGTAGAGCAGTACTTCTCGCGCAGTGAGTACCATGCTCTCTCCTCCAAATACTGACGTTGTATTGTTCATAGAATATAAGATTAAACTGAAGCACCCTGACCTACCTCTTGTTGATGTCGGGGGGCAGAAGAAGAACTACCTGCCAGCCGAAGTCTGCGAAATCCTTCCTGACCAGCCTTTCCGCGGCAAGCTTACGGATGAGCATACTGCAAATATGATAACAGTCGCATGCCAACCACCCAATGTCAATGGCAACGCTATCGTGAACAACGGACTCAAAGAACTTGGGTTTGTAAACCCAGGGCCCACACTCGGCTCGTTTGGCGTATCCATTGGGCCTGATATGGCAGTTGTCCCCGGCCGGATCCTCCCGAGACCTGGACTCAAGTATGCCAACAACGTGTCGCCCGTGGTTGATGACAAAGCCTCGTGGAATTTACGGAGCATTCGTTTTGCTTTGGGTGCGCGCCTGGAGAAGTGGGCTGTCCTACTCATTGGTGATCATGGTAGAGACGAGTTTCAGGGACCTCAAGATCCTGCCCTCCGTACCGTTATCAGCGGGTTCATGGCCATGTGCAGGAATAGCGGGATCGCTGTATCAAATGAGCAGCCCCCGGTTGTGGCCGCAGACCTCCCGAAGCAAGATAGAAGTGATCCGCTTAGGAAGAGCGCCATCGCAACCATACGTGAGAGTCTGATGCAGTTGCGTCCAAAGCCTTCCTTGGTGCTCGTGATGCTATCAAATGGCGACAAGAACATTTACGAAGGACTAAAACACTTATGCGACGTCTACCTCGATGTCGCCACTGTGTGTGTACATGTGGGCAAGATTAGGAAGGAGAAGGGGCAACCGCAGTATTTCGCAAACGTGGCCTTGAAGGTGAATATGAAAATGGGCGGCGTTAATCATAAACTCGATGAAAACACGGGTCGGTGGCTCTCCAGCGAGCCAACGATGGTAGTTGGAATGGATGTGACCCACCCTGGTCCTGGAAGCGCAAGAGGAACACGTGAGTGCTACCTTTGCATTGTTCGAATGAGTACTCATTCCTTCGACAAAGCCTCGATTGCCGCAGTAGTTGCAAGCGTGGACAATCATTTTGCCCAATACCCTGCAAGTCTCGAAATCCAGGAGTCGCGGAAAGAGGTATGAACTTCAATGCAATTCCTTTTTTTGGCCAATAACGACCTACCTAGATGATTACCAATCTCAAGGAGATGATGGTAGCGAGGCTTCAACTTTTCAAGCAACGTAGTAAAGTGTTACCTAAACGTGTACTGGTTTATCGCGATGGCGTTTCTGAGGTGCGATTTCTCCGCTGCGAAGCTGGGTGCATGTTGCTTATGCTAAATTCAGGGGCAATTCAATATCGTCCGGGTGGAAGAGCTTCCAGAGATAGTGAAAGCCTTCCATACCTTCGATCAGCCAAAGAAGCCTTATCGCCCCCAGCTGACTATTGTGATTTGTGGCAAGAGGCATCATACCAGATTCTATCCCACCGAACGGAAGGATGCTGCAAATGATGGTAATCCAAAGCCTGGAACAGTAGTTGATCGTGGGGTCACGGCAGTATATGACTTCGACTTCTTCCTCCAAGGTGAATTTTGTTCCTTGAAGCAGCGTTTATTCAGTTACATACATACTTTTTGCAGCCCATGGCGGTTTGCAGGGTACAACGAAGCCGACCCACTACTATGTCGTTCATGATGAAATTGGCTTCAAATCGGACAGTCTTCAGGGCCTTACGAATGCCCTGAGCTACATGTTCGCGCGCGCTACTAAGGCTGTAAGCCTTGTATCTCCCGCATATTATGCTGATGTGGCGTGCGAGCGTGGGCGGTGCTACTTGAGGAAGCTCCTCCAGGGCCAAATTGGGGATGGTACAACGGCCAGCGGTAGCGCCAGCACCAACGAGCAAGATGTCATGCGGGAGGCACAGGCACTCTGGCGTAGCGGTGTCGGTAAGAACTTGAAGGATACCATGTTTTACTTGTGATCATGCGCATCTACTTTCCTTTTGACTACTGATCGCCATGGGCACTCAATCGTTAATAGCTATCATTCCCGAGTTTTGTCTTGTCTTGTGCTGTCGAATTGCTTGGTGTCCTGGGTGACTTCCAGCTATATTTGCTGTAGTTTCTTGTTTAGATATCTAAATTGATGGATCTCCTGTGATATACGAATTGTATCTTGTTGAAGCAATGTATTGTCTTGCATAACCTTATGAGATGTTCAGAGCAAAGTTCGAGTACTTCTGAGCACCGCTGACGTGGGCAGGTACTATTCAGACGATACACCACTTTGAGTTGCATTCGAACTTCTCAATTTAGAATGAGTTGTGTATCATCATTTGATCAAAGTGCGGTCGTTTTTCAAAAGCCGAGATTTTTCGGGGATATTACCAACGAGGAAATCGTGACGAGAAGGCAACGCATGTGCACTACGCACATGTTCGATTCCATAATAATCGACGAAGGCATTACGAAAGTATAGGGCTTGCGTGCTTTACATAGTGCACTTCTAGCCACCTCTTGGGTCGGATCATGCGTAATAAGGTACCCTCCAGGTAGCCCCTAGATCTACGTTCTGCTTGGTAACACCGCTAGTTGGTCACGACGATTAAGCCGCGGACTTACCTGGCGGCGAGCTGCACTTTGTTTCATGAACCCTGTTCCAATAGCCAACATCGGACTCTCGGAACGGATGTGAAACGCGTGAGTCAAAATGCCTACCTTTGCTCCAAATATTATTGTTTAGATCGTTATCATGAGGTCATCCCGACATATTATCCTCGACCTTAATTTTTCTTGTCGTGGAGCCATGTCTGTGTTATACAGGAAGGTGACCGGTTCTAGAATGGCCACCGACACTGCCCCAGTATGCCGATGGGCCACCTTGGTTGGTGAGTGGCGACCCTCAATGAGCCAACTCCACCTCCCTTGGCATATAAAAAGGGCCTTAAAACTTCAAGTGAAGCCAGCAAACCCAACGCAAACAAACCACTCACTGCCCTTCATCTTTAAGTATCACGCATCCATGTGTGCACTTGACACAACCGTATCAATGACCGATGCCCGCTACCAGAGCACCGTAAAAATTCTGATTTGTCGTCCTGTAGCGCGCGATACTGACACATTATTGCAGGTTGCTCCTATCATAGCGAAGAAAGACATGAAGTGTTCTACCTGTGGTTCCCATGATCCTCCAGCAGTACATGTCTGCCCAGGTCCAACTGGTCCATCTGGGAAATAAACGGACAGAGCCCGTATCGAGAAATGGTGGAAGAGACTGCTGAGGAATGGCTACTTGTACCCATGTGTTGATCCGTATGCGTCCCCTTGGCACACAACATATCCCACAAGCATCCATACTTCCTGTAATTCATTTGTACACATTGTGTTAGCAAAAGGAGGTTTCAAAATTGCTGGAGCGAAACCCAGAAACAAGTTCACCGCTGTCAATCAGATATCCTGCTCTTTGCTCCCTCGTACTCCATGTTCAGCAATTCGGCAACTTTGTCGCACGTGGAGCAACCATGCAATCGAAGCTGACCGGACGAGAATTGAATCCGTTGGTATAATTCCGGGTGTCTGGTAACTTTTTTTTGCTCCGATGACGTCGATAGAAGGGGTAGTATTAAACGCCCAGAGGATACTGGAAACATTGATGAAGAGCGAATTGATATTGATACATGCCGGGACCCGCGTGCCTACGGGCACTGATATAAATTGATGCAAACGTGCAAATTCTAGGTCAAAGGCTTGAAGTTGTGGGTCAGTACTAGCAGTAGCCGCTCGGGTAGGAAAATCATCCGGGTCAGGGAACATAGTGACATCGTGCACGATACCCCTAATGACGTATCTTTCGAGCATCAACTTGGCATCTCTGAAAGGAAATCAAACCTACGCCAAGTTAGCAAAAACCGCTGAGTTCTTAGGCCTTAGGTATAAACCTGGAGAAAGGTCAGCGGTTCTCATTCATGTACCGAATAGAACATAGCGCATATGCCCTGATATTCATTCTCCTGTGTGAGAGTATATGGCGTTTCCCATAGCACAGCGACCGACCGCCATCGCAGGGTCCCGTCTATGAGCGCGTCGGTGCACAGAAGGCTTTTTCTTATAGTAGAACTCTGGAATACGATCAGGCCCGATGACATTATGTAACTGAGCCTGTGCCTTCCTTATGACATGAGGAAAGTGAAGCATTGCTATCGCAAGCAACATAAAGTCAGCATAACTTTATCGAGTATAGAGACACGACGCACGGAAGAAGGTACTACAGTCCATTGACAAATAAAAATAACTGACAAGCTGATGCAACCTCGAAAAGCTGGCCGTTGGAGCAGGGCCAGCGGCCTAAGCGCAGAGCAAGGCTGTAAGGACCGCATATTCTCTACGCGCCGATCAAGCTTCAAAACAAGACGCTCGAACCGAAGTCGTCCACGTGACTTATTGATGCGAAGAGCGCATCCGAGTTACGTGGATACATTGTCTTACTTCCCCTTTTCGTTCTCTTTCGTTATCTCACCTTGTGCTCAGAATTCACGATCCCCTTTCTTCACCGAAGTATTTTCACCTCGCCATATGCTCCTTATGCTCGTTCCGGCCTAGTCAAGTACTCGAAAACGTAAATATACCGCCCGTGTACACTCATACCTACAGCGAATTCTACAGTGAGATCCCCGCTCCAAGAACGACCGAAAAGCCTCTCGAAAAGTCCTCGCCTCTAGTCCTAGTCCCATCTTCCTTTGCGTTAATACCTACTAACACGTCTCGTTTCTATCTCGTTTGGTTCGGAATTCCCTGCCGAACTCATAATAAGCCTTACAAGGCAGACATTTGCCTGCCCTTGGGCTGGTCCACCGTTTAGATTCCAGCACCAAACAAAGACAACACCGAATAGGCAACCCCCACTTGAGCATTTCGTCGATTATTTGCGTTGTTAGACAATCTTTAGGTTGGATGGTTCCTTTTGCTACGCGTGCTTTGACATCTCCTAGGAGATGCATGTACGAATCAATGTCCCGCTTTTGGCGAGCTTCAGGCTCAGTATGGAACCACTAAAGTCCACGCTATAAGTACATCAGTAATAGCTGGAGGCTAGTGGTCATGTTACCGCTCACAGGCAAGTGAAGGAGCCAGGACCACAATTCTACAATATACTTTCCTGGTGTACTAGGCGAAGGGCTTAGGTGCCTTGTAAAATAAAGTCCCACAGCTTCACTCACCTGACACTAAAATTAAGAGTTGCCAAAAGGTTTACCCGTGATCGTTGGAAACACACCTGGTCAGATCTTGATAGTAATATCGTCAAGACTTTATCGACGTTGTAGGAAGCACAGAGAGGTTGTACTCACTGTCCATAGCTTTCATGTTCCCTTTTACAATCCACTCGTTGATGTTATTGACACGCCTACCATACATGACCGAGGTAATAACGCTCGCCGCATGTCTAAAATACGCCCATAAAAATATGGTTATCTATGCTCTAAACTGGAACCTTTGCAAGTGAGCTTCCCAGTGTTTTGGTCTACAAGAATATTGTAGAGACGACTGTATGTTCATGTACGCGTCTGATTTTCGAGCATGCAAAGCCGAGTAAAGGGCCTAAAGGACTTAATTAGCAACATAGCTGAAGGAGCACCTCAAAATATGTCACCTTTCGCCATTTGCGCTATGGCTCCCCGTACGGTGACATAAGACCTTTTTTGTTACCCAAGAGAATTTGGCTCTTAGGTATCATACATTGTCCAACAGGCACACACCATTGTGAAATACCACGACTCACGCAACCACAGATTGTGGGCTACTGGAATAAATATCTGATCTCGTTTCTAACAGATCCCAGGCAGTTTGAGCTGTACCTAAGACTGAAGGATTGGAAGCCTAGCATAGCTATGCCAGAACCGGGGAATAATCACCTACGACAGGCGTGCGTCCGAGGAATATAGACATCACTGGACCTTGAAGATCATATGCATCAGTATCAGAGGATTAAAATTCGGGTAACGATCAGCGCACCCTATTGCTCATTCCATGCAAACATTCTGAAAGGTTTAACAGTAGATATCTGATGTCTATTGCTGATCCAAGACAGACAAAGTGGTCCAAGGAGCATTGTGCGCCTCCTGATAAACCATACTATCATTGAACAGCACCGAACGTGCAGCACAAAAGGTACCAATGACTAGTAATGTGCCCAAAGAGTGTGACACCAACACGCAGCTTCGAGTCGTGAGATCTTGAGAAACTACTACACCAGGGAAGGAAGTACTCACTACTGCCACCAAATCTTGTCCTAAACGATTAACCCGAGACTCATACCTCAGATCCAACCAAACCTTCGCTGTTCCGACTCCGAACTTGTGAAGAGTCCGAGAACTTTGTCGTATAGTTGCTCGTGAGGAGGTGCTGGGTTTCGAGTTTGAGGTGCTGGACCCTGGACAACTCATTCATCAGATCTCAGTGGATGGCGCGTTGAAGGTATCAGTAAATAGTAGTGGAAGTGCAGATTACAGTTGCGCACTGACCGTACTCAGAGTAACTTGCCGTCTTAGAAAGGCGAGATTTCGAGTGTTTGACTATCACATAGACTGCAGCTGGTACACATTGAAAAGGATTTGGTCATGTACACACGTCCCCACCATAAGCACTGCCAAAATAATAAGTCCCAGGATCATAGCACTGAGCAGAAGGCCAACAGAGGGCCGTTCGCAACTTTGTATCGTGTTGGCTTGCGTAATACGGTGCACTTCGCCGTTCGGCAATGAATCGGCAAAGTTGAGGCCTAGGTTCGGCTACCGATCAATCAACTTATCAAGCGCCCATTATCCACCCGTGAGTGCTTTCTTGTCTGCAAGCCACTTTATCTTTCTACTCTCGCCATGTCTGACGTAGTTTGGAGACCAGAAGATGATGCAAAGATCAGACCACCACTTCAGGAGGGCCAGGTATACAGGCCAGACATACTGAACGTAATCGAGACGACCGTTGATGGACTGAGCGGAGAGCTGAGGGCTTTAAGTCTCGATATCCATGGTAATCACCTCTTAGAGCGGTGTTTCTGTCTTCTCCCAACGTATTTTATATTCACGCATTTTTGAAAGACCATCCAGAGCTAAAGTTTGAAGAAAAGTGTGTTGGATCTCATCGTACGCCATAGCCACGCGCAAACACTCAGAACATCTTCATAGATATGCCCATGACGCATACACTACGTTCATGGAAAAACATGGTTTCACAGTGACAAAGAAGTATCTTCTTGAGACTGCCTGGGCGGCTACCTACACCCATGGACAAGGAGGGCGCGTTTTGGGAGTCAATTCTGAGATGGATGCACTCCCTGGGATCGGACACGCTTGCGGACACAATCTTATTGGGATATCCGGAGTAGCTGTAGCTCTTGCAGCCAAGGCCACTATGGAGAGGTTGAACATCGATGGAAAGGTAGTTCTGCTCGGCACACCTGGTGCGTCAGTGTCTGCAAATATATGCGATGGTGGGCTTGGTGATAACACTTGAGGCAGCCGAGGAGGGTGGTTTTGGCAAGGTCCTGCTATATGAAAAGGGTGCTTATGATGAGATGGATGTATGCCTGATGTCAGTTCCTCTCGCGGTGGTCCAGATCAGATGATCAGGATTGCTGAACCTGCTTTGAAGGTGCCATCCTGCGCCTGGCCCCCGCCACTCCATTAGTTTGTCTGGCTGCTTGGCGATCTCTCGCATCACGGTGGAGTATCAAGGCCATACGTTAGCGTCTTTCATACCCTTTATCAACTAGTAGTTTTTAATTCTTCGCGTTTACAGTGCTCACGCTGGGTTAAGCCCTTGGGAGGGACAAAATGCACTTGATGCAGCTGTCCTTGCATATAATAATGTTTCTCTTCTCCGTCAGCAGATCAAGCCTACTCACCGCGTGCACGGCATATTCGAAGGAAAGGATTGGGCTCCAAACAGTGAGATTTTCGCTCTGTAAAAACGCTTGAAAATAATTCTTGAAAAATCAGTCATCCCAGACCACGCTATAATGCAGTAAGTCAATCTCAGTAATCCCCGGCTTCGAGCGCTTAATATACAAGTACAGGTGGTTTGTCCGTGCTCCCACAACATCAGAGATGGAAGATACCAGGAAGCGTGTCGTTTCCTGCTTCGAGTCAGTCTCTCACTGTCGATATGTTTGTTTGATCAAGCGACATCATCTCTATTCGTCACAGGGCAGCTGCACTGGCATCTGGATGCAAAGTTCAAGTTACGGTCGGATCAGTAGGAAACGAAATTACGCAAAACAAAGCACTTGGTATGAAATCGCGGCGTGCAGTGGCTTGGTACTGAATATCATATCAGGCGATGAGCTTGCCGATGTTGTTCTGAAGCGCTATGGTGCTATCGATTACGACTGGGGTATCAAGAATGCTTCTACTGATTTCGTGAGTATTTCGCACATCCAGAACGTGCGACAGAGCTGATGTTTTGAACCAAAAGGGGAACATAACATACTGTGCGTCTGACCTCCATGACCAGGGAGGCGACCTTTGCTAATGAAGTTCTTGTTCGTCAGTGATGCCTGGTCTTCACCCTGGTTTTTGTAAGTAGCACAGGTTCTGAATGAACCATACTGATCGTTTTTTTTCCAAGCCATCCCGACCATTCCAGATGGCGGGAACCATACCTCAGGATTCACGGAAGCTGCACGCTCCGAAGTATCCCATGACGCCTGCTTGGTGGTATCGAAGGCACTCGCAGCTGTAGGTATGCGAGTGCTGACTGACGAGGCGTTCCTCCAGAAAGTAGGTGTCACGCATCCTTCAAGTAACTTTATTTTGACTGCGATTTGCAGGTCAAGAACACATTTGAGGAAGATAAGAAACTAAGAGCGTAAATACTACCCTTTCATGCGCACATTGTAGGATCAGAAAGAGGAATTTGCATATGTCAAACATAGTTGCATTGAGTGCGTTATCTTGAGTGTTCTTCTTACCTCAAACCAGGCATGCCGGGACTGACATCGAGATAATCTTGAGAGCGAAGCAACCACAATAGGAATCGCCAGCGATGTTGCTCTTGAATAGCAAACTTGAATTGATGGTCGCAATAGTGAACGCAGCAAAGTTATGCGGAGGCAGCAGGTATCAAGAAAAAGAATAATCGGATACTTGTCAATCTTGCAGATTTAACGGGCCAGGACCATATCTTTAATCGACAGCATGTGATGAGACTATAGTACAGTACACAGTGGGTGCAGAGAGTGAAAGTGCAAATTACAAACGATACAGTGTCATACGTGAGTAAACCTACCAGGTCAGCTATAGAAAAGTGACGTGAGGAACGCGTGCCAAAAGAATGGATTATGCAGCAGAGAATGCGAGCCAGAAATATGAACACGGAGTCTGTTTGCATCAAGTCGAGCCGGAGGGTGCCATCAAGGAGCGCGAGGGAGAAGGAGGGCTGTCTTCGCGTTTCACTTGATCGTTGGCCTCATTTGCAATGAGGACACCAGACCCATCCGAATCGTCGTTGTCTTCAGGTTTCACGCCGACAGAAGTGAAGTGTTGTCTTGTTTCCTGGGCCCAATCTGCGATTCCAAAGCGCCCCTGTGTTTGAAGGTGTTGGCCGAGACGAAAGGTAAGGTATGCCATCGCGCAGAATGTGGTAGCAGACGAAAGAGAAAAATAGTAGACCTCCTAGTACCAAGAGGAGAACCGTGGCTATGGGAAGGTCAGCGACTCATCATAACTTGGGAATGATGTGTAATGTTTACCGAACATGATTTCCAATGCGACGACAGCCGCGAATCCGAACGTAAGAGCAATGCACATGGAGCTGCAAAGTGCGAAGATGGATAGGCCTCTGAAATCTCGTCAAATGCTGTCATGTCGCGAACAAGCAGTCAACGCACATGAACGACAATACCGGTAGGATACTCATAACAGCGAAGAGGGCCAGAGCCGTCGTGATCCATGTCTGATAAAAAGATTACAGCCCACTCATAAGATCCCCCGAATGTATAACGCACTGTTGTCAACGGTTGACCCTGGAAGTGTCTGGAAATTTTATCTAATGCCGGACGCGCATACTTGCTCTCGAAACTGCCCAGAATCAGTGAAATTTAGAAATGGTAGTGAAACGCGACCTTACACATCAGCGTACGCTAGGACGAGAAGAGTGCTTCTTTCAAGGTAAGAAGTAAGTTCATCCAAGCCCGTAGTTAACGAGTTTGCTGTTGTAGTGGGATTGTCGTTCATGTCCCGATATTCGTTACTGAGCCCTGACGCTGTCGAAACGAACCAAGGACGAAGGCGTCAGATGAAGTGAGCAGTGAGTACTGAGTTCCAAGTTCGGCGTGGGCTACATGTGACTTTAGCGAGCCACGTGACTGATTGCACCTAATCCTAATGAGTCAATGATGACAGTCACTACTTTCCGACTCGACTACCTGATCGATCATCGATAGTATCTACTCTCCCCACCATGAGCGGGCGAAAACTCAATCCCGAAGAGCAAAAGCTCCACCAAGCTGCGCTTTCCAGCACAGACAAGGTGAGCTAAACTCTCCCTATCACCCATAAGTACCACACTGATCATACTCCCAATCATTCATCAGGTTTTAACGTCAAAACAAGCTGAAAAGATAATCCCTGATATGGCCGCACGTACCGCAGCCATTAACTTTCTCCTGGGAGCCGTGAGTACCTCTACGTGATATCTCTTTCTATGGTCCTGACATGCAAACCCGAAGGGCATGCTCAAAGTCCTGTCCAACGCGGCAGGTATTATTTCGTTCCGAGCCGTAATGAAAAAGGAGATAGAAGTGTATGTACCATATCTCCATTGCGTCTTCCCCTAGAATCCCCTGATATGTAGAATACAGGAAAAAAGATATGAGCGGTGAAGAAGCCATGGTGCTCGGTCATATCCAAGCTTCCGCAAACGAAGGTGAGTTCTACGCCTCGAATCGAACACCGAACGGCAAGACTTATCTGATTTTGTGTAACGCACAGGAATATGGACCAAACACTTAAAGACCAAAACCGAACTGCACCAAACCGTCATCGACAGGTGCCTCAAATCACTCGTTCAGAAGCAGCTCGTGAAGGCTATCAAAGCCGTCAAGGTACATTTCACCTTTCAAATTTCTAGGCACCTTTTTTCATATACGCTTGCGCTAGCACCCAACGCGCAAGATCTATATGCTTGCGCACCTAGAACCTTCAGTCGAACTTACAGGTGGGCCATGGTACACCGACAACGAACTCGACACGGAATTTATTAAGCTCCTCTCAACCGCATGTCTGCATTACATCCGTGACCGTGTACGTCCCTCTCCTTCTCCCTACAATTCAAACTTATAGCATTAGCAGTCCTTCCCCAAACAAAGCTCCAAAGCCTCCTCCCAAAACGAACACAGACTCTACTCCATAAGCGCCGCACCCACCTACCCATCTGCTCAGCACATCCAACATTTTCTAAGTAAAAGCAAGCTGACGGAGACGCAATTGGGCGTCGAACATGTCGAAATGCTTTTGAGAGTACTGGAGTTGGATGGGGAAATTGAGAAGGTTCGTCACTTGCTTCGTTTCATTCTCCTTGTTATCTGATGGGTTGATTGATTGGTTTATAGTTACCCGCATTCACAATGCCGTGGGACGCTACAGTCGACTCCGACAATGCAACTTCTTCAGACTCGGACTCGGACTCAAGCTCGGACTCAGACTCGGACTCGGACTCGGAATCAGACTCAGCTACTCGCAAGAAACGTAAACGCAGCTCGTCCAAAAAGAAGAAGAAATCCAAATCCAAAACGCGAAAACGGCGTCGTACGGATAGTTCCAGTGACAGCGGCGATGACGACGAGTCTGAAGAAGAGGAGCGGCCGAAACGAAAGAGGAAGAAGGAAGAGAACGAGAGTAAGGGGAAAAGGAAGAAGCGGGATGAATCATCTGACGATGATTCTGAATCCGAATCCGAATCCGACGATCGTCGATTCAAAATCGAAAATCAAAATCGAAGTCGAAGTCGAAGAAGACTAAAACGAAAACGAAACCAAATAAGAAATCATCCTCAAGTTCGAAGCGCGTTAAATTCGAGGCTCCGGAGGAAGATGACAATATCAACATCGGAGGTGCTTTCGTCTACCGAGCCATCCGCCAAGAACGAGTAGCGCTGGGTTGGTCCCAAGCTCCATGCGGTAGATGTCCAGTATTCGACTTCTGTCGCGACAAGGGGACCTACGAACCCACAAGACTGCATGTATTACGAGGGTTGGCTTAATTTTAAGCTTGGGTACTGGCGAAGAGGCCCCATAGTTTATAAATTTTCACGATGTAAATAATAGTTATTTTACATTTCTGCAGCGATATAGCACACCTTCATCAGGTTCCTGGATTTCTGTATCCTTGCTGCAATTCCTGTCCAGTATTTTTCACGGCCCTGTGTTTCCTGCACACCGTGACCCAGCTGCAGTCTACTGCACGAAACTTCGTATGAGTGCCTTCTCAACATGACACCAGCACATATTACTTACTTCTTCCCATCATGATCAACACTATCTATCCGAACGAGACCACGAACATGACCAAAAGTCTGGTATTTAGCCAGTCTTTGGGTGCGGTTAGTGGAGACTCCGCTGTACATCTTAGCGTCAAAGGTCTGTCTACCCCCGCCCGGCGCCATGTTACATCATCCCCCAATCTCCTTGTTGCCCGCCACGTATCTGGTCATGCACGTCACCTTCTCACAGGCCGCAGGTATCATATACCCACTTTTCTATTGCGTGCTGCCTTTCTCGGTGTCTCCCCTCCTAGCCACACAGGACACCTCACATATTTTCACATCATTCTAGTATGATTTTCCCCTTCTGTTAGCCCAGGTCAAATGCATGCGCTCGTACGACAGCAGGCGCAGGAATTGCTTAGCATTTACTCACAATCTTACTGGCTCAACCCGTCTCGCGGTCTTTTGAACGGTGACAATGGCAGTTCTCCCGTATTCTTGTGATCAGAACGTCGAAGCTTTGGTTTGGTTGCCATCCACTTCGCTAGCATCGCAACGAGGATCGCTAGTTCGCTTTCAAGGTCTCCTTAGTTGAGAGTGTCGACCGAGGATGCTCTGTGCCGTGGCAGTATAATTGTGGGCCATGACATGAGCAATGGGACAAGGAAATGCAAGTAAGTGGATGTCTAAGTCTTGTTGCATTATCGTTTTCTAGATGCAATGAGGCACTGCGATTCTGGGACAAGGACAGTTGCATCTGGTGCCAACAGGGTACTTTATCCTGTCTAGAACTTGACAGTCGAACCACAGTATTACCACGGTCATCCGCTGCTACGGATCTCACGTATTGCTCGTCAGACATTGCCAGCGCATATCACTTCTCCGCATGAGGTGACAAGCACTCTGTGCGGCCACGATTTTCTAGCAACCCACGTCTGGCAAGAGCGTCTTTCGAATATCTATCTCTCGCCTGTCATCTTGTCGGTAGCTACGACAATGTTTCTATGGGTTTCAAACAATATGTTGTCGAGTTCTGGCTTGACTGCCCTCTATCACCACAATAGGATGATGTCCAAATATCACTGGAGCAGGCGAAGAGGAATGTACTGGGTTGGACACAGAGGAGGGGCGGGTGGCGAGTGCTGCAGCGAGGACAGGACAGCGCTAGCGTTCGAAAAAGTAAGAGCGCTATACTATTGTGATGCATTTGCGCTCTCCCGCGCTCATACTAGGCCTCCCGCGAGCAGACATGCCATGATCCACTAGCAATCTGTTTTCGCTGCGTCGCAACAAACAAATATTGTGACAATCCTCTTAAGAAAACTATGGTACTGGTTCTTGCGAGACCACATTTAAAAAAAAGCCAGACATCGACTGATTCCGTCTGTGGACGAGAAGTATAGAATTCGATGTTACTGCTACTTTACTGCTACCCCTTCTTCGTCCATATAGTGACAACCCCTTCATCATATCAAAATTATTCCCATCAGGCTGTAAATCGATGCCTTCCACCTGTCGGAACTGTGCGCAACAACCAGTGATGGAGAGTGATACCGACGATGCGGACGCTTCTGTGGGGAGTCCGGTTCGTTAGCGTGATGAGCTGGTCACTGTCTGAACCATGAGTAAGTACGAGTAAATAAAGTTGAACATAACAGAGACGTACGAATGCAACCGTGATCGGAGGTATTGGTGTGAAACCCCCGTTCCCCATTCTGCAAAAAAGAACTCCATATGCACTCAAAGGAGGTGAGAACTGCTGCTGCTATGCGTTCTACGGAGAGCTCTGGGATAGGTGTAGATGCGAGTTGGGCGAGTGAGGCGATGGGTGGTGCGTTTAGGACGTTGAGGTCACTTCCTATGCATCGATGAGCGCCAGCCTGTAGGTCACAATAAGAAGGGGATGGAGGTACCGTACCGATTACTACATCTACTACGCCTCCGCTAAAACTCGTGTTTACCAGTATCCCACCAAATTTTCTTGGTTCTTGCTTTAAACGTCGGTTTGGAGGTCGGGAAAAGGGTATAAGTGTCATTTAGCCATTTGAGACAGACTTTATGGGCCCATTGCTCGATATCAGATAGTCGAACACTAATGAATAAGAGGTGTGTAAATCTCACCTGGACCTGACGGAGACCCTTTCAGCCCGACGCGAACCTCAAGCGACATCTGCAAGCACCCTGCAGGCCACACATTACCGCCCCTGCCGCGTCCTACCAATTGTACTGTGGCGATGGAGACGATGGGAGTGGGGAGTGCGCAGGGAAAGGATGGGTTTCTGCTCAGAGGGTTTCAGTGAGCGGTGCGATGGACATGATTGAATAAGACACACTTGTTCAAGCATGGTTTGTGTGCTAGAGACTACTTCGCCGCATATAAGGGCTTCGCCAATGTGCCAGGAGTCCAGGCTTGCGCCTTGGTCGGTGATTTCTTTCCGTGAGCGGAACTCGTCTGTGGCACGGAAGAAGGCTGCGGGAGGGTTTTTGAAGATACAAGTACGTATTTAACTTTCAATTTCGAGTGTGAGAGGGAATTTGGTGGAATGAGTTCGAGTATGGGGTGATCTTTGGATCCAGGTCTGTGGAAGGGAAGGATGGGAAGTAGAAGTGGAAATCATCGTTGGCTTCTTTGAACACAAAGGACTCCCTCCCAACTTGGGATTCATTACCGACAACCAAACCTGGATTTAGATGATCGAGAAGTGCCTTGAGTCTTGACGACACTATGCTGGACGTGTCACGAATCCAGGCGAGCCAGAACTTAGAAGAAGCAGGTACATTCCCCTCTATGTAACGACTGAGGATGTGTGCTTCAAGGTCCAAAGGACACACGGGTAGTCTGGATACAGATACCACCGCGCCGTTTATCGAGGCATCTGCGCTTGTTCCGATAGTAATTGAGAATGAGATGACTTGCACCATGCCCAAGCCAACTTAGCCAAGACACACGGATAACGATCCAAAGTCGTGACTTAGTCCAAATATAGTGCCTTTCTGACGCTGACACCAAATGCTAATATCCTACCTCCGGACTCGAAGTATTTACGGACAGCTGCATGATCTGTGAGAGGTGAGAGAAATAGGGAGGAGAGCACAATATCAGGTGTGGGACCATCCTCCAACTAAGTCGGCCTCTTCCAGAAGTTCCAGGGACATCCCTGTTGTTCAACAATGTGTTACCGCCCGTTTGACCTCTGCCAGGCTCCAGCCATCTCAGCTTGTGACACTATACGCCTGGCGACAGTGTTCACGTAGGCCCAGGAAAACACGCCGGCTCCTTCCAACACACAGGCTACTAGCTATGGGCATGCTCAACTCTCCCTCAGTCGTATTCACGCTCTTCACTTGCATTTAAATTGTCATGCTTGCACACACCGTCAGCCTTGTTTCCACTATTCGCTCGATCATCCTTTCAGAGGCCTGGGTGTCCCATTTTCGCGAATGCAGTGACCTCGTCATCTTTGATCTTGGCGCTCAGTGTAACTTCAGGATAAGTGTTTATCATGCCTACTAGCCATCAGCAACATGGAAATGCACGTGGAGTATGCCCTACACCCTTCCCTACACCCTTCCTCCTCACCCCCCCACTAGCTTGATCCCCAGTCTATATCCCTACCTATCATTCTTCCACTACTCATTCCGCAACTCTCAGTCCATCCACTTCGTTCGCCATTTGCTGCATCGTGTCATCATGACTGGTACATCGAAAGGCCAATCGATCAGATTTGAAGGTGGGCCACTCCATGTTACCTTGTTCTACGTGTTTTGCGATCTTCACAATCTATCTACAGTCATTAGCGGAAACAATATCAGTGTACCCTCTGGTCGCATACCCGCAGGCATTTACGTGTCCGTCAACGTCAGCCCGAGGAGACGCTGGAAATCAGCCGCCCGAGTTCTATCGTCCGATGCCTCTGTAGCGTGGGGCGATACCGTGACCTTGTAAAGCCTTCCAGCTAAACTTGCAGGCCCGATCCCAGTACTCATCATCGGCTTGTAGATCACGGGACGCATTGCTTACTAGATTATCACTGGAAATATGGGCATCCTTTGAGCTCGGTCGAATGCTGGGTGATGGAGAAGTTGTTAACACACTTGAGACCTCGTGGAATGAGTTGCTCAATCATGGAGATAAGCCGTTTGGTGAATGATCCGTTTCCTGTTCATGCACACTACTGACTTGCTGTAGATCTGTCCTTCCCACCTAGTTGTGATGCGCACCCTTCCCTCACCCTGAAGGCCTCCGTTGTCCACACCTGTGGTATACGACTCGATGTAAGCGACAACAGCTCCCTTACTTTCAGTTCCCACTGACAGAACAAAAACTACAGTTCATCACTGGAAGCATCATTACTCGTCGCACAGACGCAGGCCACACACAGTTTGCCAGATATGTCACAAACAAGAGTGACTTTGACCTGAAAAGTGCTGTACACCATTTCCAGTTCGTTCTGCACTGGTGTCCTGTTGGCCATCCTGACCGTGCTGCTGCTCTCACCAACCTCGCGCGGGCCCGCCTTCTGGGTTACATTCGCAAGGATATTCAAGACATTGATTCTACCGCCTTTCTTTTCCTCCACGCCCTTGCATTGCGTCCGCAGGGCCATCCCGATCGTCCATCGTCTATCTATCATCTCACTGAAGCGTTGATCTGGCGCCACAACAGGCAAGATACCCCCGCTGATATCCGTGAATCCGCTCAACTCTACCACGAGCTACTACCTCTCTGTCCCAAGAGCACCTATCTTCGGAGCATCGCAGCAGGGGACAATGGTCTCGATTATGTGATCAACGAATGCAACAATCTTCCAATAGTTGCATCTGATGATGGCATCCAACTTCGACGAGTTGTGCTAGAGCTCTGTCCTCTGGGCAATCAACACCGCCGTCCCAGAGCCCTCGCCAAGCTTGCACGGGCAGTCGAAGCACGCTTTGATGAACACGGCAGCATCGAGGATCTTGAAGAGAGCATAAAACTTGGTCGTGAGGCCGTTTCTCTGTGCCCCGAGGGACATCCTAGTTATGATACCTGCCTAAACAACTTGGCTTTTTCGATCAGATCCCGCTTCAATCAGCAAGGCAAATCTGATGACCTTGATGAGGCCATCTCTCTATTTGAAGAAGCACTGCGCCTACGTCCTAGTTGGGCACGAATTTCGTGATATATCATTGGGTAACCTAGCGGGCGCTCTCCGCAGCCGTTTCAACCAATGCAGTGACAATAACGACATTAACGACATCAACAAGGCCATCAGCCTCTTTCGTGAGGCATTGACATTACGCCCACCTGGGCATCCACGTCGTGACACCACGCTGAACAACCTTGCCTTCGCGCTCAAAACCAGATATGATGATTTGCAAACCAGCGATGATCTTGACGAGGCCATTGATCTGTTCCGCGAGTCACTTCGGTTAATACAGCCTGACGATCCAATGCGTCATCGAAATCTTTACAATTTAGGCTCGGCACTCCGCTCTCGTTTCACGCACAATCAGGCGAATAAAGATGTTGAGGAGGCCATTGATCTCTGCCAACAATCATTGATGGCTTTGCCTCTATTGCACCCAGATAGATATTCCAGTTACATGCGGCTGCAGGAAGCCTACCTGTCTCGTTACCAGGTGCAGCACGATCCTACTGATTTGTCACTCGCAGTGAGGAACTTCAGACTGGCATCAAGGCACCCCACCCAAGGATATCCATGCCGCATTGAGGAGGCTATTAACTGGGCGCTCCAAGCGGAAGTCCATCAACATGAATCTGCCCTCGAAGCATACCAAATGTGCTTGGAGCTTTTCGACAGTCATGTTATGACGCGATCTTCCATTATCTCGCGGCGTGATGCTGCAACCGCTTTCCGTGGTGCACAGACATTGCCGGTAGACGCAGCATCATGCGCTATTCGCCGCAATGATCTGCAACGAGCGGTTGAACTTGAGGAGCAGGGACGCGGTCAACAATGGTCGCTGGCCTCGCGACTCAGGACTCCGCTGGACGACCTCAAATCTGCAAGTCCGCCCCTCACCGACAAACTCTCAGAGCTCAGCAAGCGCCTATCTAATGCTCAGGGTTCCACGGGCAGCGCAGACAGAGCTGCTGCTGATCGGGCAGCAACAGAGTACAGAAAACTTACGGAGCAGTGGGAAGCTGCGGTAGCTGAAGTCCGCAATCTTCAAGGATTCTCGCGATTCCTTCTCCCTCCATCATATGAAGATTTGCAAGTGGCAGCGCGTCATGGCCCAGTTATCATCCTCATCGCGAGCGAATACTCCCGCAACGCCATCATAGTCCCAACATCAGGGCAGCCCCACCATGTTCCCTTCCCAGATCTCGCTCTCGCAGATGTGGAGCAGCTCAAGGACGATTTCGCTAAGGCGATACGCCAAGCATCTTCTATGGGCCCAAATGAGCCGAGGACGGGCCTGAAAGTACTATTGCGGAAGATCTGGGACGAGGTCATGCTACCCATTGTCAGGGTACTCTTGCGTGATCTGAGATTGCCGGGTCGCTCTCGAATCTGGCTGTGTCCGACAGCAGCATTCACGTCCATTCCCCTTCATGCAGCTAACCCGTTTCGAACGAAGGCGGATTGTTCTGAGCCGGAACTATGCTTGGAGGATGTCTACATCTGCTCTTACACACCTACGCTTTCGGCTCTGATCAGAGCTCGACAGACGATGAAGACGCACTTGACCCCATCCTTTGTGGCGATTGGGCAGGGTCAACCGGGTGCAGGGCAAGGCAAGGAGCTCTTGGCTGTCGAGAGTGAGCTTGAGCTAGTCTGTTCGCTTGTCCCCGAAATGGTCAATCCTATCACTCTGTCTGGTGATGCAGCAACACGAGCAGGTGCATTGGAAACCTTGCAAAACAACACATGGGTGCACCTCGCTTGTCATGGCAAGCAAGACCATGACCAGCCATACTATTCACATTTCGCTATGAAAGACGAACCCCTGACGCTGCTTGACATCATGGAGAACGATGCTCCGCAAGCTGAATTCGCATTCTTATCGGCGTGTCATACTGCCGTTGGCGATAAGAAGACGCCCGACGAAGTTATCCACCTCGCAGCTGGTCTGCAGTTTTCAGGGTTCAAGAGCGTCATTGGCACGTTGTGGGTTGTCGACGACGCTGTCGCAAAACACGTCGTTGAAGCTTTCTACAAGAATCTGTTCAAGGATTTAGAGGAAGGTGATATACCGGACTGTACGAAGGCGGCCTGGGCACTCAACAAGGCTACGTACGCTGTGAAGACGAAAGTGCCGCTCGAGCAGAGAATCGTTTTTGTTCATATTGGTGTGTAGCTTCATATCGTATTGCTCTGATGTAGCGCAGTTTTACTAGCCGTTCATATTGTCGTATTAGATACTCTTTCTTCGTTGTACTCCCGCAACCTCTTCCCGCACTCCCTCGTTTTATTTTCTATGCTCTCCTAGATAGAGCCTTTGATGTTTCTTGAATACAATCTTGATGCTCGTGTATGACAGTGTTTGGGTCGTCGCAGCGTATGTTATTATGCTCAAAGTTTGACCGAAAAAAGTGCGGGGAGATACGAAGTTTTTCCTAAGTGTTGCAATACATTGCGCTCTCCCGCGTTCATACTAGGCCTACTCAGCTGTGCCATAGTAAGACAGGTTCTGGCGCAAGCAGACATGCCGCGCGATCCACCAGCCTGAGCGATCTGTTTTTAGTGCGTTGCAACAACAGACATTAATGTGACAATCCTCTTGGAGGTCAAACTACGGTACTTACTGGTTCTTGCGAGACCCCGTTCTACATAAAGAGCCTAACATCGATTTATTTCCGTATTCAGATTTGCATTTCTCCTACGATCACTGCTACTCTTTCTTCTTCAATATCAACGCTTTCAGCATATCAAAATCATTCCCATCTGGCTGTAAATCAATGATCTCCTCTCCACCCATTGGAACCGTGCGCAACAACCCATGATCGGAAGTGATCGTATTCGGGGGGGAAAGGATCAACTACTCTACCAGTAGTTAACGAACGGTTTAAATACTGTAGAGTTAGGAACACTAAAGAATATAAGAGAAGGAATGAAACTATGGAGAAATGATGCCTTGTTGAGATATCGGTATCGAAGGCTTTTTAGGAACGCTACAGGCTACAGCTCTGTCCGTACGAGTAAGTAAACGAACGTAAAGCGAAATATAACAGAGACATACGAATGCAACCATAATCGGAGGTATTGATGAACAGAACGGGTGAAACTCCTGTTCCTCATTCTCCAAAAAAGAACTCCATGTGTGCCCAAAGAAGGTTAGAACTGCTGCTGTTACGCGTTCTACAGAGCCCTGGGGTAGGTGTAGATGCCACACAGGATACCTCACGTATTTTCACATCATTCTAGCATGATTTTCCCCTTCTGTTAGCCCAGATCAAATGCATGCGCTCGTACTAAACAGCAGGCGCAGGAGTTGCTTAGCATCACTCGCAATTAATCTGACTGGCTCAACCCGTCTCGGGGTCTTTTGAACGGTGACAATGGCGGCTCTCCCGTATTCTTTGGTGGATGCAAGAACGCTTTCGAAGGGCGCCCTCATGGCAAGCAGTATAATTGTGGGCATGATGCCCGGCGAGCAATTGGACCATAAAATGCACAGTAAGTGGTATCTACGTCTTGTTTGCCTTATCGATATCGTTTCTATATGCAATGAGGCATCTGCTGACTTCTGACAAGGACAAGTTTGCATCTTGTGCCAACAGGGTACTTTATCTGTCTAAACTGACATCGAACCACAGTATTACCACTTCATCCGCTGCTCCGGATCTCACATATTGCTTGCAGACATTGCCACGCACTCAATTCTCCGCACGAGGTGACAAGCACCCTGTGCGGCCACGATTTTCTAGCAACCCACGTCTGGCAAGAGCGTCTTTCGAATATCTATCTCTCGCCTGTCATCTTGTCGGTAGTACGACAATGTTTCTATGGGTTTCAAACAATATGGTGTCGAGTTATGGCTTGACTGCCCTCTATCACCACAATAGGATGATGTCCAAATATCACTGGAGCAGGCGAAGAGGAATGTACTGGGTCGGACACAGAGGAGTGGTGGATGGCGAGCGCTGCAACGAGGTCAGGAGGGCAGCTAGGCTACTGGGCGGGGTGGTGGGTTGCAGCGGGCCGTGTTTTTCGTGTCTTGTTCGGCATCGATGTATATCCATGTGTAGCCCTATTTTTCCTGATGTATATTACCTGAACTTGCAATCCATATATTGTCCTCGCAAATTTGAGATACGTGCTGATTGTGTATCAATGATTGACACGTAAAGTACATGCTAATGATCACTCTTGCGAAGATGCCTATCACAGACGTGATTGAGGACTTCTCCATGACGACTCCGAGTCACTGCAAGGCTGGTCTGCGTTGATACCCAGCTCATCAGCAATGATCATCGCAGCCTTCTCTCCGATGAGAAGCGCTGTCGAATATGTGTTCTAGAGAGACGGTTAGACTGCACGTCGATAATCCCCGACCAGTACCCACTGTGCCAACATTTTTCGGCGCAATAGACATGTCCGCAACCTTGATATTTGTAACGCCGTACACGTTTAACCTAGCGTCAACGACCCCTTGATCTGCCCTCGGCTTCATGGCACAAGTTCCGAGCTACACACACAAGGTTCAGGTACCTCATGTGAAAGCATGAAGGTTTCAGCTGCACATACCGAATGCCCTGTCGTTTGCACTGAGTATAAATTCAGTATTTTAACATTAGTAGCGATAGGGATGCGACATACCGCGGTCACGATGGAATCGATCGATCGCCTCGTCATCTTCTGCTGTGTAGATCAAGTCAGGCGCATTCAAGTCCACCGGCCCGGACATTTCTCCGCAGACTGCAGCGCTTCCCTCTGGGAAACAAGGATGGCCGGCGGGGGCTTCACCTCCGTATGAAGGCATGCGTCGGCAGATTTCGCGCATCCTTTTGTACCCAAAGTTAAGAGGTATGATATCGGATGGACTGTGAATTATCGTAGTCACATCGGTGAGATGAAACTGCCGACTCACTCATCCAGGTAGCCTGTATTGAAGTCGATTCCTTCCTGGCCGTTCTTGTCCAATTTGATATGAACACTGCCGGCAGATGTGGGGTACAGCTATTTGAAAGTTCAGAACAAGATTACGGGGTAGTAGATGGGGGGTAGTACTGTACAATAGAAAGCAGCCAAGTAATTGCGAGCAGGAAGGATACTCAAGGGTAACTCAGCGTATCTGGCCATCATGAGCATTCGTACGTCAAAGCAAATTAATGTGCACACACCCCTCAAAAAGGGAAAATATTGCAACAGCCTTGTCTGGGCGGTCCTGGAAGAACTCTTTCCATCGTGGTTGAAAGGCTGAACCCATGGCTTTCAGCTCGTCATTGTCAGGACGCCATTTGATTTTTGCATCGCTGCCACTGAAATGTCAGTCAATAAATATGTCACCTGCATTGAAGGTTTTGTACCAACTTTTGGGCAATAAGTGACTTGCCATTAAGTTTCCATTGTGCCAGGTTTTCTATAATGTTTGGGCGGTTAAAGGGACTCGGAACATGGCAAGAACATGTTTACCCTGGACAACACTCTCCTTCCCACGCCAGAGGGGGTCCATAGTAATAGCTCCGTCAGCAGCAAAGTATGGAACAAAGATGCCGTTGTGATCTAAAACTTAACTTTAGGTTAACATCATGAGATAAATGGTTGAACACGGACCTCGATAATTTTCTCCGACGCCAGGTAGGTCCACCAGTTGCTCAATATCGCACCGCTTGAGAATCGCTTCGGCACCGATCCCAGACCTCTCGAGAATGGCCGGCGAACCGAACGCCCCAGCAGAGACAACAACAAGCTTTGATGCTTTCACGATGCCTGATGACTGACCCGCGTCTGGGCAAGACACTGGATCGTTGATGAACTCGACTCCTACGGCACGCTTATCTCTTTCATTCGAAACAGGCATCAGCAGTTGGGCACAGTTGCAATGCAACTTGAATGTGCAACACTCACTGGAAGATCACGCGCTTCACTCGCTTGCCGACCCATATTTGCAAATTTGCATTGTGAGCTTGGTTGTAGACATAGTGGTGGGCCGCATCAGAACGCCTTCCAGTTGTCCCGTCAATGTACCTTCTTAAATATGAGCCCAATTCACAATAGATGACGAGCACAAGCTCACTTCGCCCATGGCTGGAATGAATCTTGTTAGCGGACTCTGCACACGGAAAAAGAAAATCAGTGGCGCACACTGTATGTGTTACATGTTTCTAAATCATCAGTGTCTTCGACATATTGCCTCTTGTGATACGTCATGCCAACACGGATGAACTCTTCGCTGGCACCTAGTTTGCATCCGCCAGAGGACACTTTGATAGGTCCACTGTACCCGTGGGTTGGGCGATCGGGTTGTACTTCATATGTCTCCAGCTATGCAATAAATAGTTCAGCTTGAGAAATATAAAGACGATTCAATCGAGGACCTTCTTCATGAGGTGAATCAAGTTCTTAGATTCCCACCCATCGGCTCCCCAGTCATCAAAATCTGAGGCAGGCGCACGAGTGTAAGCCATAGCTGACCAAGTCAACGTATCAGAGCCATGTTATTCAGTGCGAGGACACTACGAACTATTCACACTTGAGCCTCCACCAATGCAATGGGCGCACGGAACGATCGGAGCACGGCCGTTGAGACGTGGACTTGGATTTCCAACATTGAATGTCATGGTGGTACCCGTAGGCGCCCGAAGGCTTGGAAATCGGTAAGGCTGCACATGCGCAGCTTGATTGAGCGTGTGTTGGCCCCCTTCGAGAATTAAGATACTAAGCGAGGGATCCCATGCAGCCAGGCGGCCTGCGACAACACAAGCTGTGGTACCACCTGAACCACGATACAGCGTTACGTCAAGAGAATCCCCACAATGTAAGATGTATCACTTACCTCCTGCAAAAATGATATCGAATTCTGATATGATTGGATGAGACATCGAAGGGTGCTTTAAGCGGGAAACCAATCGTCAGCCTGAGTGCGTCTCGAAGTTTATATCCGGTCCCTCACTGAAGCGAACGACAAAGACAGCGCTGACGTTCGAAAAGATAAGAGCGCTACTAGTGCGCTATTGTGATGCATTGCGCTCTCCCGCGTTCATACTAGGCCTACTCTGCTACTTCACTGCTACTCTTTCTTCTTCAATATCAACGCCTTCAGCATATCAAAACCATTCCCATCAGGCTGTAGATCAATGAACTCCCCTCCACCCATTGGAACCGTGCGCAACAACCCATAACCGGGAGTGATACGACGATGCGGACGCTTCGGTGGGGAGTCCGATTCGTCAGTGACGAGCTGGCCTCTGTCCGAACCACGAATAAGTACGAGTAAGTAAACGGACGTAAAGCGAAACATGACAGAGACATACGAATGCAGCCATGATCGAAGGTATTGGTGAACGGGTGAAACTCCTGTTCCTCATTCTCCAAAAAAGAACTCCATATGTGCTCAAAGAAGGTTAGAACTGTTGCTGCTACGCGTTCTACAGAGCCCTGGGGTAGGTGTAGATGCGAATTGGGCGAGTGAGGCGAAGGGTGGTGCATTTAGGACGTTGAAGCCACTTTCTATTTATCGATGAGCATTAGCCTGTAGGTCACGATGAGAAGGGGATGGATGGTACCGTACCGATTATCACATCTGCCACGCCCCCGGCAAAATTCCTGTTTACCAGTATTTCGCCAGAATTCCCTGGTTCTGGTTTGATTGTTGGTTTGGAGGACGGGAAGAGGGTATAAATGTCGTTTGGCCATTTGAGACGGACTTCGTGGACCCATCGGGAGGTGGGGTCCAGTACGTGGCATGTGTCAATGATGGCTGGTACATAGAGGTATTAGATGGATACGAGGTTGGAGGAAAGGATTGTTAGGCCTGGTACTGCTCGATATCAGATAGTCGAATACTAATGAATAAGAGGTGTGTAAGTCTCACCCGGGCCTGGCGAAAACCCTTTCAGTCCAACGCGGATCTTGAGCGACATCTGCAAACACCCTACAGGCGAGAGCCACGTGAAGTGCACAGAGGAAGGGTGGGTTTCTGGGGGTGTCTTAGTGGGTGTTGCGATGGACGTCGTGATTGAATAAGACGCACTTATCAAACATTTTTTGTGTGCTGGAGACTACTTCGCCATATATGAGTGATGAGCCGATGTACCAGGAGTCTGTGCTTGTGCCTTGGTCGGTGATTTCTGTCCGTGAGCGGAACTCATCTATGGCACGGAAGAAGGCTGCGGGAGAGAATCGAGGGGTTATGAAGGTACGACTACATGTTTAACTTTCGGGCTTGTTCGAGGATGAGAATTATGAGATCGAGTATAGAGTGATCTGTGGATCCAGTGTTTACGGAAGGGAAGGATGAAAAGTGGAAGTGGAAATCGTCGTTGGCTTCTTCGGACACAAAGGACTCCTTCCCGCGCTGGGATTCATTACCGATGGCTGAAGATAGATTTACACGATCGAGAAGTGCCTCGACGATGCTATGCTGGACATGCCACGAATCGGGGCGAGTCAGAAGAAACTGAGACAGAATGTGGGGCTCAAGACTGAGATCAGCTTTGTGAGAAGCGCAGGCCGAGTGCGGATAGTGATATTAACAGCAGGACATCGGGAAGGGGCAGTGTGCAATTCCATATGACGACAAGCCCGCTTTGAGATATGGTACCAGCAGGTGCATTCCCTTCTAAGTGACAACCGAGGATGTGTGCGTCCCGATCTAAAAGACATGGGGGTAGTCTGGATACAGATAATGTCATGTCGTCTATCGATAGATCCGCGCTTGTTCCGGTAGCAGTTGGGAATGAGACCGTCACTCATTTCCATCAGCAACTCTGAGTTACATATAGTGGTTCTTTCACCATGCCAAAGCCAGGACCCGCGGATAACAATCCAAAGTCACGACTCGGTCCAAACAGAGTGCCTTTTGTGACGCCGACACCGAATGGTAACATCCTGCCTCCGGACTTGGAGTATTTATGGACAGCAATTGAAGTGAGTGATAAAGCGCTTATCCTCGGCAAACACCGGAAAGTCTCCCATGGACCTCCTTGTTGTTCAACTCGACATCCTCGCCCGTTGGACTGCTCCATAACTGATTGTCCGTTGCCAGCCATCTCAACTCGTAACACTATGCACCGGGCGACAGTGTCCACATAGACTCGGAGGCTTCCGCTCCTCAGGAAAACACGCCGGTTCATTCCAACACACAGGCTACTTCTCAACTCTCCCTGAGTCGCATTGTAATACACTCTTTTGACTTGCATTCAAACTATCACGCTCGCACACTCCGTCGGCCTTATTTCCTCCACTCGTTCGATCCTTCTTTCCCATGGCATCACCTCAATCGCTTCGTTCGAGGATTTCTTCCATTCTCAGTGGTTTGTATGTATGTACTCCACGATATACTCATTCTGTCTATTTGAATTGCAGTGTGATAATGGACTGCGACAGTGATACAAGTGTAGAGCATTATTGAGAATGCGGAAAGGGTGGTCCAGCATCTGAAGGTACTCTGAGGTGTGATCACTTCAACCACCTGCGTAAGAGTAGCCTGGGTGTCCCATTTTCGCGAATGCAGTGATCTTGTCATCTTTGTTTTTGGCGCTCAGTGTGACTGCAGGACAAGCGTCTATCGTGCCGATCAACCATCAGCGGCATGCAAATGCACGTGGAGTATGCCCCGTACCCTGCTTCCTCACTTCCAACTAACTTGATCCCCAGTTCATATCCCTACCTATCATTCTTCCACCACTCATTCCGTACCTCTCAGCCCATCCAGGTCCTTGCGCCATTTGCTTCATTGTGTCATTATGACTGCCAGTACATCGAAAGGCCAATCTATCAGACTTAAAGGTGGGCCACTCCGTGTTACCTTGTTCTATTTGTTTTGCGATCTTCACCATCTATCTACAGTCATTAGCGGAAAAAATCTACTGTGCACCCTCTGGCCGCATACCCGCAGGCATTTACGTGTCCGTCAAAGTCAACCCGAGGAGATGCTGGAAATCAGCCACCCGAGTCCTATCGTCCGATAAATCTGTAGCGTGGGGCGATACCGTGATCTTGTAAAGCCTGCCAACTAAACTTGCAGACCCGATCCCAGTGCTCATGATCGACTTGTAGATCACGGGACACATTGCCTACTAGATTATCACTGGAAATACGGGCATCCTTTGAGCTTGGTCGAATGCTAGGCAATGGAGAAATCGTTAGCAAGATTGACCACTCGTGGAATGAGCTTCTACTAGATTATGGTGACGATGATGATGAGGACGAGGATGACGAGGACGAGGATGACGATAACGAGGACGAGGATGACAATGAAGATGATGATGACGATGAAGAAGGTGTGGACCTTTACTTCACCCTGAAGACCACTGTTGTCCGTGCCCGGGGTATAGAGCTCCATGTAGGTAACCCCAGCCCCCTTCCTTTAAGTGTCTACTGACAGAACGAAAACCGTAGTCCATCACTGGAAGTGAAATTGCTCGTCGCACGGATGCGGGCCACATGCATTTTTCCAAATACATGACAGACGAGAATGAATCTGATCTGAAAATGCTGTACAGCATTTCCAGTTCGTTCTGGACCGGTGTCTTGTCGGCCATCCCGACCGTGCTGCTGCTCTCACCAACCTCGCGTGGGCCCGCCTTCAAGGTCATATTCGCAATGATCTCCAAGACATTGACTCTACTATATTTCTATTCCGCGACGCCCTTGCATTGCGTCCGCAGGGCCACCCCGATCGTCCTTCGTCCATCTATCATCTCACTGAAGCGCTGACCTGGCGCTACAGCGATCAAGATACCCCCGCTGATATCCGTGAATCCGTTCAACTCTACCACGAGCTACTACCTCTCTGTCTCGAGGGCACATATCTTCGGAGCGTTGCAGCAGGGGATGATGGTATAGATCATGTGATCAACGAATGCAACGATCTTCCAACGGATGCATCTGATGATGGCATCCAACTTCGACGAGTTGTGCTCGAGTTCTGTTCTCTAGGCCATCAGTACCGTCCCAGAGCCCTCAACGAGCTTGCAAAAAGCAGTCGAAGCACGCTTTGATGAACGCGGCAAGCATCGAGGATCTTGAAGAGAGCATAAAACTTGGTCGTGAAGCCCGTTTCTCCTGTGCCCCCGAGGGACATCCTGACCGTCCTGCCAACCTGAATACCTTGGCTACCTCAATCGGATCCCGCTTCAATCACCAAGGCAAATCAGATGACCTTGACGAGGCCATCTCTCTATTTGAAGAAAGCACTGTACCTGTGCCCCGTTGGGCATGAATCTCGTGATGCACCATTGGACAACCTAGGGGGTGCCCTCCAAACCGTTTCGGGCAACGCAATGACATTAACGACATCAACAAGGCTATCAGCCTCTTTCGTGAGGCACTGACATTGTGCCCACCTGGGCATCCAAGTCCGTGACAACCACGCTTAACAACTTGGCCTCGCCCTCGGGATCAGATATGATGAATCACAAACCACTGAGGACCTTAACGAGGCCATTGATCTGTATCGTGAATCGCTTTGGTTAACGCAACCTGGTGCTCCAAAGCGCCACACAAATCTTTCCAATTTGGGCTCGGCACTCGTTCTCGTTTCATGGAAAATCAGGCGAATGAAGATGTTGAGGAGGCCATTGGTCTCTGCGAAGAATCACTGGCGGCTTTGCCACCACTCCACCCTCACAGGCACTACTCTTATTTCACGCTAAAGGAGGCCTATATGTCTCGCTACAAGATTCAGCACAACCCTGATGATTTGTCACTAGCAGTGGAGAACTTCAGACTGGCATCAAGTCACCCCCACCCAAGGATATCCAGAACGCATCAAGGCGGCTATTGAATGGGCTAGCCAAGCGGAAGTCTATCAACATGAATCTGCACTCGAAGCATACCAAATGTGCTTGGAGCTTTTCGATGATCACGTCATGACGCGATCCTCCATTATCTCACGACGGGGTGGCTGCAACCCGCTTTTTCTGGCGCACAAACACTGCCAGTAGATGCAGCATCATGCGCGATTCGCCGCAATGATCTGCAACGAGCGGCTGAACTTGAGGAGCAGGGACGCGGTCAACAATGGTCGCTAGCCTCGCGACTCAGGACTCCGCTGGACGACCTCAAATCAGCAAGTCTGCCACTTGCTCACAAACTTTCAGAGCTCAGCAAGCGCCTGTCCGATGCTCAGGGTTCTGCGAGCAGCGCAGACCGAGCTGCTGCTGATCGGGCAGCAACAGAGTACAGAAAAATCGCGGAGCAGTGGGAAGCTGCGGTAGTTGAAGTCCGCAACCTTCAAGGGTTCTCGCGATTCCTTCTCCCACTATCATATGAAGATTTGCAAGTGGCAGCACGTCATGGCCCAGTCATCATCCTCATCGCGAGCGAATACTCCCGCAATGCTATGATAGTCCCAACGTCAGGGAAGCCCATCATGTTCCCTTCCCAGATCTTGCTCTCACAGATCTAGAGACGCTCAACGACGACTTTGCTAAGGCGATACGGCATGCATCTTCTATGGCCCAGAGCAGCCGAGGACCGATCTGATAGCACTCTTGCGGAAGATCTGGGACGAGGGTCTGCTACCCATTGTCAGGGTACTCCTGCGTGATCTGAGATTGCCGGGTCGCTCTCGAATCTGGCTGTGTCCGACAGCAGCATTCACATCCATCCCTCTTCATGCAGCTAACCCGTTTCGGCCAAAGGCAAATGGAGACGGGGCAGAGCTATGCCTGGAGGATATCTACATCTGCTCTTACACACCCCACACTTTCGGCTCTGATCAGAGCTCGACAGACGATGAAGACGCGCGTGACTCCGTCCTTCGTGGCGATCGGGCAAGGTCAGCCGGGTGCAGGGCAAGGCAAGGAGCTCTCGACTGTCGAGAGCGAGATTGAGCTAGTCCGTTCGCTTGTTCCCGCTATAACCAATCCCACCACTCTTTCTGGCGATGCAGCGACACGGGCAGGTGCACTCGAAGCTTTGCGAAGCAACACATGGGTGCACCTCGCCTGCCATGGCAAGCAAGATCATGATCAGCCATACTATTCACATTTCGCTATGAAAGACGAACCCCTGACGCTGCTTGACATCATGGAGAACGATGCTCCGCAAGCTGAATTCGCGTTCTTGTCGGCATGTCATACCGCTGCGGGCGATGAGGACACACCCGACGAAGTGATCCACCTCGCAGCTGGCCTGCAGTTTTCAGGGTTCAAGAGCGTCATTGGCACGCTGTGGGTGGTCGATGATGCTGTCGCAAAACACGTCGTTGAAGCTTTCTACAAGAATTTGTTCAAGGATTTGGAGGAGGGTGATATGCCGGACTGTACGAAGGCGGCCTGGGCACTCAACAAGGCTACTTACACTGTGAAGACGAAAGTGACGCTCGAGCAGAGAATCGTTTTTGTTCATATTGGTGTGTAGTTTCGCATCGTAGTACTTTGATGTAGCGCAATTTCACTAGCTGTTCATATTGTCATATTAGATCTCATCCTTCATTGTACTCCCGCACCCTCTTCCCGCACTTCTATACTCTCCTAAAGCCTTGGACGTGTCTTGAATACAATCCTGATACTCGTGTTTGACAGTATTTGGGGTCGTCGCAGCGTACGTTATTATGCTCCTTTGACCGAAAAAAGTACGTTTTCCCTAAGTGGATATGGATAAGACATGGAATTTCCAGAGGCGACGAGCATTGGAGAGGAGAGATACGACAAGGTATCTCTAGTTAGTATCATGGGGTGGTGCCAGTTGTACCGGGCTGAGTTTAGACGCAGTGTTATAGTGCAAGTGCAAATTGTCTCGTTAAGGGGCATGTAGTATACCTCGAACGAAGAGAATGGTCGATAGAGCGTAGGTTAACAACAGGTGAAATGACACCGTTAAGTCCGCAGACACATGTAATTTGTGAGGTATGACAAAATTATATGAATACCTGCGTAATATAATACAAACTTGTATTTTGAACGGAAGCTGCCTTCACGCACGGACAAGAGTTGAGGCCAAAAGTCCAACCATGCATCGATAAAGGCGATTACTGTAGCATTTGACGAGGGAAGAGGTGGTGGAACTAATTTGAATTATATCATCAATCAACACCCGAGTAAATTCCATCTAACGTGAGTGACGGCCAGGATTCAAATTCGTCGACCCAAATATATTGTCAAGCTCATCTTGTGGAGTCCAGCCGAGTCGTATGCCACGAAATGGACAGGTCCAAGCGCCAGGCGAAGTGGGCAGAAAAAGAAAGGCATGATTGAAGTCGATCCTGGAGGGGAAAAGGGTAATGCAAACTTCAAGTTGATAGAGTTCGTGATTTGGGTGATAGAGTATAATGTGCGATCAAGTTGTGTTATAGTCGAGGGAAGCTGCAGCACGTCCTAGCTTTGCGAGTTACGCAGATCGATCATCGTGGTCAGACGTAAACATTGCGAGTGACGTTCGTTTGCAGTTACGTCAGTATAAGCAGTGGAGCTTTTGTAATATTGAATGGGCGAATTTGACAAGCCGTCGTAGCACAATGGTAGTGCGTTGCCTTCCTAAGGCAAAGGTTGCGGGTTCGATCCCCGTCGTCGGTAGTCGGTGAACTACGAACGGTTATTTTTTCGTGATGCTCGTCGCTGTTGAGAACGGTGACCGTCGCTGCCCGCAGTTTTTGTTCTAAAAACCTTGTCGAATCGGTTGTTTTGTGAAGCCTCTCCTGATATCTTTTTGTTGGACACTTCATATCACCACACGCGACACCGCCCTTAGTGACAATTTCCCGGGCCGCCGCAGTCACTGGGACCACGGTCCACAGTGCACCCTGATAATTTTGAACATCATCACTTTCACTCACACCAATGCCTTCAGACGCTGCACCATTGATGAAGCTCGACCTTCCATCTCCAGAGGAGTTCAGGAAGAGAAAGTCGCATTACTCTCAGGTGAGTACTAATAGCCCCCTTTAAGTTCATCAGAGAACTTGGTGAGAAGAAGATATGGGCTCGCGTGACCTGCATCTGCTAGCATGAGCTAGCCTGTAACTATCAATGCTGAATATATAAACAGGGATAACCGGTCAGGATGGTTCCTATCTGTGAGTTCCTTCCTCAATCTCTAATCTAAATCCCCACTCATGTCCTTCACAGCGCAGAACTTCTCCTGGAGAAAGGATACGAAGTACACGGTATAATCCGTCGTTCTTCCAGCTTCAACACCGGTCGTCTAGAGTCCCTCTACGCAGACCAACATGAACGTACGTACACCCATCATCGTCTAACCTCCCCATCGACACCGTGACACTCCCAGACCCCAACAAGTTCAAACTCCACTACGGTGATCTCTCCGACAGTACCAACCTCGTTTACATTCTCGCCCAAGTCCTCCCTTCCGAAATCTACAACTTGGGCGCCCAATCCCACGTCAAAGTCTCTTTCGAGATGGCAGAATATACAGCCGACGTCGATGGGCTCGGAACCCTCCGCCTCCTCGACGCAATCCGCACAGTAGGACTTGAGAAACACGCCAGGTTCTACCAAGCGTCCACTTCAGAGCTTTATGGAAAGGTCGTCGAGACGCCCCAGAGCGAGACTACCCCCTTCTATCCTCGCAGCCCGTACGGCGTCGCCAAGCTCTACGCATATTGGATCACTGTGAACTACCGTGAGCATACGGCATGTATGCTTGTAACGGGATCTTGTTCAACCATGAGAGCCCAAGGCGAGGGAGGACATTCGTTACTAGAAAGATCTCCAGGGCTGTTGCTGATATCAGCGTCGGCAAACAGCACTGTTTGTACCTCGGTAACATCGATGCGCAGCGAGACTGGGGACATGGTACGATTTTGATTGTCTTTCATCGTCTTTAGCTAACGGTGATGTGACAGCCAAGGACTACGTCGAGGGCATGTGGCGCATGCTCCAACAACCCACCCCTGACGATTTCGTCCTCGCCACGGGAGAGACTCATCCTGTGAGAGAATTTGTCGAAAAGGCCTTTGCAATCGTTGGAATGACGATAAGGTACCCGTCTCATTCCTCAGGTACATACGTCGTCTTCTGACGTTGGACATGACTTGGTCTTGGTCTTAGGTGGCGTTACTCTGGCGTGCAGGAGGAGGGGTATGACGAGAAAACCGAACGAGTGGTCGTTAAAGTCGACCCGCAGTATTTCCGTCCCGCGGAAGTCGAGTGCGTCCTCATCGTGCTTCTTCCTCCAAGTACTTATGCTTGTACCCAGCCTTTTGCTTGGCAACCCCGCCAAGGCCGAACGCGTCCTCGGGTGGAAACGCAAAGTCGACTTTGATAGCCTCGTGAAGGAGATGGTGAATGCGGATCTGAGGGCTACGAAGAGCCTCGTGGAGGATCAGAACTGAGTAATGAGTGCTGGCCTGATGAGTTCCAAGGCCAAAAGAAAGCCGTATATCTCAACTGTGCAACCCATGTACGATTGACAAGGACTTTTATGGACTAATACCCTAGACTCTAGTACTGTCGCGATTCGATTCGATTATTTTGATAGGTATGAATGCGGGTTTGTGTGTCGGATGTTTTACTCTGGGAAGACGTGATAAGACTAATCAAATACTGATGCCACCTCATCACAAGGTATAAGCAAATTCATCGCCACCCCAATCTCAATCTACTTCACACCACTAGCATGCCAATACCCACACTCTCCCTCAACGACGGCAGCCAAATCCCCTCTCTCGCATTCGGCACCGGCACAGCGTTCTCCCGCCACCAAGACGCCCAAACTACTCTCGAAAGCGCCATTAACATCGGTTTTACGCACTTTGACGGTGCACAGCGGTATAAGAACGAGGCCACCCTAGGAGCTGCTATCAAAGCCTCCGAATCCAGTGTCCCGCGTTCGGAGCTCTTCATCACCACCAAGTATGCGCCGCTAACTCCTGAGGAGACAGCTAAAACGGCGCTTTGTAAGTCGTTGGAGAAATTGGGGTTGGAGTACGTAGATCTGTATTTGGTGCATGCGCCCAAGGACCATATGGACGGGGGCGGGCTGAAAGGGGTGTGGAAGGTGATGGAGGAGTGTAAGAGGGAGGGATTGACGAGGTCTATTGGGGTGTCGAATTTTGGGGTGGAGCATATATTGGAGATTGTGGAGGGTGCACAGATTTTGCCTGCTGTCAATCAGGTGAGTTGAACACTTCATGGTATGTTAGTATCAGTCCCAAAAGGTAGTTTTGACGATGCCCCACAACTCAAAAGCTCGAAATTCAACCGTATGTGTGGGATTTCGTGAAGCCTTTGATCGCCGTGCATAAAGAGCACGGGATCGTTACGTCCTCGTACGGTGGGCTTTCGGCTCTTTTTCATGCACCAGGGGGACCGTTGGATCCTGTCGTCGAGAAAATCAGAGCACGGCTTGAGGATACGCGGGGAAAACCTGTGACGAGCGGTCAAGTGCTCAACAAGTGGTTGCTGCAGCATGATATTCTGGTCGTTACGTACGTTTTCGTTCGTTGCTGCACTGTATAAGGTTCACCTGGGATCTATCTTTCAGGACTTCGACGAAGGTGGAGAGGATTGGAGAGTATGTTGATACATGCGACATTCCGGAGTTGACGGCTGAGGAGATGGGGTTGATCGAGGGTGCTGGGGCGGAGCGCCATCAGTCATTTTTTAAGAATACTAAATATTGTTTGAAAGGGATATGATGGTGTAGTCCGGTACTCTGTGTGTTAGTGCTTTTGCGATTACTGGTAGAGAGAACAGACGGTAGTGAAGCGTGAAACGCATGTCTTCTGGGATCTCAACTTTAGCCCAGACCCCTAGTGCAAGCGAAGAGGTTAAGATGAGGTGGAGAGGGTGTTGATTGTTTGAGAAACAATTAACGCTCTTTCCAGCTCATTTGAAGTTATGTTGGTGGCGATCAACTGTTGCTGCGACAACTGCCGCGACCACCCAAACGGTGAGTACGTGTAAGTAGTTAAGACTGTCGTCCCTAAACAGTTACGCCCAGACCGTTAGGCCAAAAGGCAGTGATAATCAAAGCTCAAGCTTGATTATCTCGGACAGTATTTATGTTGTGTTGGACGATACGATACGCATGCTACCCGTCCCGGAGGATTAGCCTCCGGGACTTGTTTGGTCTCATCTTCGACCACCATATGACATACGTGATACTTAATATCTTGCTCGTGCGCAGTCCTACCTCAGCGTTGTTTACCGCATCCGCTGAGACTCTGTCTAGTCCTAAGATGTTGATTATGGGAACTCAGGTAAGCAACAAGCTTACAGTACGCTACACTTACTGCTTGTATTCGACTCGATCCACAACATTTGATTTACCTGCACGAGTCTGGACAGTAAAGGATTGGTTAACAAAAACATATCCATGTACGTGCACGATCCGAATTGATTCAGATTGAATCACGATCAAGCCTTATCGTGCCCGTTCTTGGAAGCTCTGTCGGAAAATTATATTTTTAGTTGGCATGCCTTAAAATGGATTGGAAGGCCTCAATTTGCCGGCGGCATTACGACTCGCTTGGAAGACAACCCGAAAATTTTGGAAGCTGCTTGGAAGCGATACAGAAAGTCTTTCAAGTGGGTCCCAAGACCATTCCAATGCAAGGGCAAAATTTTGAACTTAACCTGATTGGAACTCATTGTAAGCGATAAATGTCCTTCCAAGGCCAAAAAGCAAATTTGGACCCATTAATTATAAATAATAGCGCTACTAATAATATCCCATTTTCCTTCCAATCTCTCCCATTTCTTATATCCCGGTCACCTTTACAATCATAATTTCCTAGAAATAATAATCCCAGTCAGTCGGAGACAACAGTCAGACACAAGAGAGAAGCAGCTAACAATAAAACGCACCTTGCCATTCTTAATTGCATGCTCGAGGAATATGGAGCGGAGGCGGATCACAGTGCAGCATGCTCAATCCAGTGATGTCAGTTGACGGGACACTTGTAGTTTTCACGCTCGATAAAAATGCGGAGTCGATTGGTTCAGAGGTTGACTGATGGATGGCGAGGGGTAAGATGTATAAGTAGTAGAGGGAGATTGTTGTGATACTGGAGGTGGGAATGCAGAGAAGACCAGTTCAGAGGTTGATGGATGATGGCAAGGGGTCCAGGGAAGATGTATAAGTAGTAGAGGGAGATTGTTGTGATACTGGAAGAATGCAGACTACATAGCTCGTTGAGGGTATGCAGGTTGAGCTGGGTATTGATACTATGTTGTCGGAAGAAGCGAAGTCGGCCGCGGCAGGTTGAGGGACTTGTGACAGAGATCTCAGCTGGGTCAGGATTTGACAATAACGACACAGATGATGCTTACCTGTTGCAGAATTTGGATGTGCCTCTGCGCAGTGGCATCCCAAGCATTCGATTGTAGGGCGTATTCCTTTCAATGGGTCAGGGTAAATTCAAGTTCGCTCAGGACTTGTGCTCTCGATATCTGACCAGACGTTGCCTAAGAAAGTATTATCAAAGTCAATGAAAACTGTAACCAAAACAAATTTTAACGTACCTGGACCATCGAGCTCAAACTGTTGCTGCGTTGTTACCGATGTTGTTGACAGAAAAACGACATGATTGTCGTCTGTGAAGGTTGTAACCAAGTGCAAGAGGGTGCAAGTTCAACTCAATTTACTGGCAATGATTATTATGTAATGCTAACCGAGAACACCTGACGACGAAAACAAGGTCTCTACCATAGAGCGTGGCTGAGGCAAACATCATAGTGAATCATGATATACTAATAGATACATCACATATAAACCGTAATCTGAATCTGATTGAGTCAATGAATCAGAAATCCGCTACTTCTTTGATCGGCCAGACCTTCGCACTTCAAGATCCTCAGCAGCAGCACCCGGGCCCTCAGCACCAGCACCAGCCTTAGTCTTGTGCCTGGGCTTGGGCTTGGGCTTAGGCTTCTGAACGAGAGGAATGGGTGGCTGTGAGCCTTTGTTGAGTGCAGCTGTGTTATCAATAGGTGGTATTAATAGCTCGCGGTCCTCTGCCATAGCAAGACCTTGCATAGCCGCAGATATAGATTGAGGTGTGCTGACGATGATTGGTGTTTTGTCAATGGCTACACTATTAGCAGTTGATAGTGGGGCATCTTCTTCAGTGAGTGGTGATGCAGCTCAAGGAACATCAGGTTCTGGCAGATCACCACCCATTTCCATCGCGCGCTCGAAATCCTGTTCCCAGGTGTCGTGCAAAGTATTCTCACCCCTCAGGTCTCCAAGGAGAGTAGTCGCAGAGGAAGAAGTAGTGAAAAGAGAGTTGTTGAAGAAGGTGTAAATGCTATCTGCCCAGGCGCCACCAGTCATCAGAGATTGACGATAATAGTTGTGATACTCCTTGTATGAGATTCGGGATTTATCGCCTATCTCGACTAGTTCTTTGTTGCCAGAAAGAATAAAGATAGCCTGTGACCTAGTTTAGTAGGTATTCCACAGTGTAGATTGAATAGACTTACAACAATTGCTGCCGCTGCAATGAGGCCTGGAGTGACACAACGCAACTCCCATATCTTAGCCTTGGTTTTGGGTGTTGGGGGTGCATTGGCAGCTAGCGAGGATCGCCCGAAAAGCGATGCTTTCAGGATCTATTGAGGTTATTCAGGATGTGCAAGTTAGAAAGGAAAAGAGCCTACAAAAACGAGCTTTGACGTTTTCAGAAAGTCGTCTCGGAATAAATGTTCTGGGCGAGGGAAGAGCACGGGCGCAAACTTCGTGTATGCACCTTGAGGGTTAAGGAGCAGGGCGCGGCATGCAGGCTCTGAATCCCGTGCATACCCTCGGATGAAGAACTTTGCGTCAAGATTGAAAATGGCAGCTGCGCAGGACTTGACATCTGAAACCATTTCCGCGCGAACACTATTGATGCCTTTGTGTCACGAATTCCAAATACAAACCACTATTCTTTCGTAAAACACCCGTTAAGCGCCCGTCACAAGCGCCTGTCGTTAGCGCTCAGTCAGCGTCTGTACCTATAACCTTCACAAACCCTAACCCGAACTCATCCTTTACATATCCGAACTTCTCTATTCCATTAGCGCCCACTACCTTTATCTCTGACATCCCTGATTTCAACTTCCTTTCACAAGCGATTAAGTCACGTGACTCTAGAACCTTCGAGAACCCTTGCACAGCAATGACACGTTCCATGACATCATAGGTAGTTATATTTAGATCATCATACGATTCCCTTTTCTATTTAATGATTGGCTAGTTAGTTCAGACTCAGATTCATTCTCCACTTCAATATATGTATATAGGTAACTCGTTGTAGTCAGTAGTTCTTCAGTTCAAACCTCTTTTGTATTAGCTTACTGCTAGCAATCCTAAGACGTCCCTGCTATCCTTTTCTCTTTGTTGTGATATCCTTTGTTTGAGTCCTAGTCTCTGCCCCTGCGTTAATTCGTTATAAGGGTTGTGACATTTTGACAAACTCAAAAGAAAAATCAGCAAGAGTGAGACCAATTCATACATTGACATACTTACATGGGAACCAAAGTTCTTGTGGGCCATCATGGCATGGTCCGCAGGCAGAATGAAACGAAAGAGTTCAGCTTTAACGCCATCCTGAATTGACATCGGAGAGAGCCACCGCTCTTTGCTCGTGAGATCAATATTAGGAGGTGGTGCATGCAAGGGAAAAATGGTGGTCTCGACCCAGAGGCAGTGTGTTACAGAAAACTTGCGCCCATAGTTCTTGATGATATCTTCCTTAGTGGCAAGCGCAAGGTCTTTATTAGTAAGCTTCGTCTTCCAGCCTTTTGAGAGTGTGGCCTCGAGAAGAGCATTCTTCTTCAGAGCCTCCCGATACTTTCCTCGCATGTCTAGAAGTAGTCTTTGCGCAAGTTCAAGCGCCTATAAGAGATTATTGATTAGCTACTATCATTCATCCATAATATATAGACTTGCCTTGCGAATATCTTCAGCAGATGCATTAAGAGGAGGTGCTGCAATTGCGTTCTGAACTTGCAGTAAATCTGTATCATTGTTGGACTCGTCACCGTCAGAATCTGTCGAGTCGGTGGCATCGGAGCTGCTATCAATGTTCGCAAGATCTCGAGTGAAGTCCCTCGCCATGGGCATGATGGTGCTGAGGCATGGTGGTTCGGGTCAGAGGATATAGTAAAGAGCAACCTGGGAACATCATAATCAGTCGGGTGTGCTTTAAATCGGCACTATTCGGATAGCGTCAGACCCTGTGGATGTAATAAGGTGGTAGGATAACACATACCCTTATCAGAAACATAATAGCCATCGTGTATCCACGTCGTGTAAGCACAAATTAATGAGCAGATGATGACTTCATGCTTCCAAGATCCCTGGTTGGAGGTGAGCATGATGGCAGATGCGAAGAGATGGTGAAAGGAGCCTACTTTGACACGAGCATGAAGCGGACCACCTTCAATGGAGTAAGTATCGTCGTAGATGACCTTGGATGTGAGCATGAAGGGGACCAGCACCTGGAGTAAGTATCGTCACAGATGACCTTGGATGCGAGCATGAAGGGGACTGGCACCTGGAGTAAGTATCGTCACAGATGACCTTGGATGCGAGCGTGAAGCGGCCCACCTTCAATGGAGTAAGTATCGTCACAGATGACCTTGGATGCGGGTGTGAAGGGGTCCAGCACCTGGAGTAAGTATCGTCACAGATGACCTTGGATGCGAGCATGAGCGGATGGTCTTTGGTGCAAGTATGAAGTGGACACACCTTAGACTCTGATGTAAGCACGAAGCGAACAACCTTGACGAGAGCGTAACTGTAATGGAGTAAGTGTTGTTGCAGATGGAAGTGATGAGTGAAGTGAAAGAACGTGTTTGAAAAGAAGAAGGATGACTCGGAGTTGGTATGATAAGCTAAATAAGGTTCCTTTGGACCCGAAGAAACATATCAGTATCCACGTAGTCGACGAGAAAATAATCCCCATGGTTGTCAAAATCTGGGACAAGTAAAGCACCACGAATAATGGAATGAAGAGTGACGAATTCAGACAAAGCTGCAGGCCATGCACGTAGTCGAGTCAGTCGCAGGTCTCGATCTAGGAGGCGCTGACGTGGTGAAGCATCCATGGGAAGAACCAAGGCAAGATCTAAGGTGCGGTTGCAGACAGTAAGCTTGAACACAAATAATAGCTTGACAAAGATATATTTGTCGTGGCCATCCTTGTCCTGTGTGCGGATTAGAGCACAGTCACGATGCTCGTGGCCATGAAAACTTGGACTGCATCGCAGATAGTCAGTGGCCAACTTCCAGGTAGCAGCTGACTCATAGTGGACTTTGAGATAGCGATGTTCGTGAACCTTTTGAAGTGTCAGAGATCTGATCAAGCACTTCAGAGTGAAGGAGAGACTTACTTGGTCATGTGCTGAAAGTTTCAGCCACTGTATTCCGTCTGGTAATGGTATGTTGTGAGAGGGCAGGAAGTGATTCAGAAACATTGCGAGCTTCTTCCTGAAATGGTCAAAGGCATGATTTGACCTGTTGTCTTCCTCCACTTGCGCTAGGCTGGTGAGAGTCCTAAGGGGCGAACTGATATGCAGGTGAGCTTCAAATGGCTCGTTGTCAGTGTCGTTGTCTTCAAGTTCTTCCCGTGAGAGCGTGAGTTTATGTCGTTCCTCATCAAGAAATTCAATACGGCTGCGAATAAACTCGGTAACGAAGCTCTTATGGTCGAGTACAAGGATCTATAATACAAATATGCGATGTTTATTAGTTATTGATGAGAAGCAAACTTCTTGGCAACGACACACCTGGTTAGCGATATCCTTACAATTGGTCTGCCGTAGGTACCAGTGCTTGATCAGCCCATGCTGCTTTTCGTTCGGTCGAGTGCTGAAGTTGCGGGCAGCACCTTTTGCGAGGATATCGTCGAAAATATGCTTTGAGGCATGCATCTTGGGAAAGTTCCAGTTCTTGGTTGCATCGGGATCGGTCTCCTCGATAATTGCGATGTAGTCCTATTGAATCACGTTTGAATCAATTTAAAACTATTGTCAGTATATTATTGTGAAGAATCCAACACGAAAATATACCTCTAAGTGCGTCTGAAACACCAGAACCTCCGCTTTTCCTGCTTGGATTGTGCTCTCTGTATGCACGTCAAGTGATACATACATGTCGATATGTAGATAACTCGCTATGCACCGTAGAAGTGCATAGCCAGCTTCGTCGTCTGTGCGCATGAGCACATTCTGAGTGGTATATAAGATTTGCTATCCAAATTGAATTTGAGTGAAGTTTTAGTTGTCAAATCAATGTGCCAATGACATACCTTGGAAATGTCTCGAAGTTTGTTACCATCGCTATAGGTGATGTTGGTAACGCGATCAAAATGATTCAAATTGCGCCAACGTGTGAAGGCAGCGAACCTGGAACCAATTGAATAGAATTGAATAGTGCGCAGATTAGTGTAATAAATCAACTCACTGATCGTCAATCTTCTTCTCGGCGCTGCGTCCCAAAGCCGCTGCATGTTGTTTAAGCCCGCCAAATAGATGTTTCCCCCATTCCCCGATATGATAAACGTGGAGGTGATCCTGCGAGATCGTTTCGTGAGGGTTAGAATTCGGGATCTGCCAGAAGACATTCTTAAAAGCAAAATCAGTATCGTTTGTAGGACATAATGAGCACCAACCATAACTGGCCGCAAGCCCCGTTTTTTTAATGCTTCTTCTCCAGCTGCTTTATTCTTCTTCCACAGTTCTACACAAGATTGCGCATCTTCAGGCGATCGGATTGGATAAGTAGATGCGTTGTCGTAGAGTTTATCCGATGGGACAAGGCAGATTGGACAAGGGCAATGACAGTTTGTCCCCCGTATGAGCGCCATGACACATCTAGTAGTTACAGTGACTGATCAGAATATTATCATCAAAAGAATAACAAATGTACTGCTCTTTGTAATCAGCCGACAAAAGCAAAATGAATGCATACAGCCACCTAACAATACCATCAGAACACAGATGTGCGTATCCTGTCTTGGCATAGAGTATGATGGTTTCAAGAAGCTTGAGAAACCCGTCATGCCACACAACCCATTTGAGGTTCACATAAGACAGTTTACCATCCTCCTTAGAGTCTTCAGGTACCTATTCAAAAGAATCACGATTCATTGACAACAAGACTAAGATTGATAATAAAGACGAACTATCGGTAGCCAGCCGACCATCCGTCCGCCGCCCAGCCCATCAGTATTTCTGATGTGAACGGGCAAGTTCCCACATCAAGCGAAGACCGGATAAGCTTTAACGGTCCCAGCAGAAGACAGATGCGTCTTGTCTGCATACAGTATGAAGGCAAAAGGGACGCCGTTTTCGGGTAAAGATGACTATAATACAACACCACTTAGAGCCACATGAATGAGAGTACAAAAAAGTAAGTCATACTTGTACATTCCACCAGTGATCTGCAGTCCAAGGCTCATGGTAAAAGTGTTCGTAATGCGCCCCGTCATGTTTGTACAACCGCTGTGCATCCCAAACAAAGTGCGGCACCAGTAATGGGTCCTGTAGTAAGTCCAAGGCCCAGTCCCACAATGGGCATGTATATACATCAAATGTAAGGTCCTCCCATTTGTGTTGGGCAGTGATAGTATGCTTCTCGAACTGTAAAAATATTGGTAGCTACAGAGGGGAAATGTGATGTTCTCCTCTTACAGGTGTCATCTGAGAGGCCGCCCTGTCCCAGGCCGAAGAAACATCACGGTGGGACTTGAACGTGAGTTTTGCGTGGCCCTCAGCGATTCTCCAAATGAGCCGCAACAGCTCGTCTGTGTGGTCCTTGTTCAAGGCGGCATTGTGTGTGAGTTTGGCAAACTCAAAGTCTGCATGACAGCTGAACGGCTGCCAGGGTTCTTCGTTGATGATGGGCAACCATTGATCTTGCTTGCGCCCGAAGGTAGAGAAAGTCTCTATAGTTGTTGCGCAACCAGATTTCAGATGGTACTCTGTCTTGAATGTATCAAGGCCGGAGGGAACTGAAGTTTCAGCTGCAATTGAGGACAGAGTAGGTGGTGTGGGACCATGAGACGATGCCATACTGGAATCAGAATCTGCACCTGAATTGTGAAAATATTGAATGAGGAACGCATCATGAGCAGTCAAAATACGCACGTTGTCGCGAGTCTCCACTGACACTCATTGCATCAACAACATTATCTGATCCCATCGAAAATGACATTGCGCCTGCGTTCAAGTCGTCGTGCACATTCTCTGTGCAATCCTCAGATAGGAGTGATGCTGAAGGGACCGACAGGACATCTGGGCCAGTACCGGCCGCTGTATCTTGTTCCTTAGGCTTGTGAAGGTGTTTTTCTCTCTCGGCGTGCCTCTGATTGTGATATTAAGTGCTTGATATCAGTATGACTTGTCAATATGAGGATATATATCCACGACATACCTTTCCTTTTAAGTTGCTCCTCTACCCGCCTGTGCTGCAAGCACTGCAAAATCATTGTTGTCCTTCTCCTTCTCCCGTCTCCTCAAGCAGCTTTGCTCGTGAGACCGTAACCCACGCGATGAGTACAGCTTGTTGCAGTGTTGGCAAGGAACCTGATTATTGGATGACGAGGGTAATACATACTTGTGTCCTCCATTTGTATTTCTGTTCAGCGCCATGTAGGAGTATTACAGGGAGATTATGGGACAAAGAGTGTAGTACAATCAAATGGGAGGAGGTGGATTGAGATGAAGGTAGACAACGAAGATAAGACAATCGAGTTAGTCAACGTTACCTGAATCATTGCTTGAATCTGGATTTGAATCCTTACCGGCTGCTTCCGACGAACTTAGAATAATTGTGTGCCAGCTTGGAAGCAACTTGGAAGTGCCAAAAATACACCACGGTCCTTGTAAGTGACGACACTAACGAAAGATCCCTTGTAAGCACCTTCAAACAGGTCACACCCCCTGGGAATACGGACCCAATGTAGTTGTCAGGTGCCTAAATGATGTCCCAATATGGAACGCTTCCAAGGGACCCATGGAGATTTCCGACATCAGACTCTGCATATCTAAGTATCTACAGCTTGTTTTCACAATCGCCTTCTCACGCTCGATCTCTCCTCTCTGCACCACTCAGTAACAGACATGTCTGTTCTCTTGTGTGCTATTTCCAGGCATGCTCATCAGGAAAATATCAAACATTGAGTATAGTACAGGTTGTAGTCTGGATCGTCGACCTCTACTATACTTGATGTTTTTAGTATGCTTCCACAATTTAGGAGGCCACGACTCCTCGCCGTCTCTTTACAACCTGGGAAGAATGACTGTAGAGCACTAGTTGTTATGAATTTGACACATAACAACGGGTACTCTACGTATATTGGGTTGAAGGTGGGAGTCATGAACAGTGTTGAGGATGTATGCAGAGAGTATCGTGATGAATGATTCCGCATCTGAGTCCCTGACACAAAGCAGAACAGGAGAGGAAATCAGGAGAAGCTATAAGGTGGCAGGTGAGTCTTCATACTATATCAGTCATAATAGCGACTTATGTATTCCTGCAGTTGCAGTTTGAGGGTCTGAGTGTCATGCTTCTTTCTCGTGTTCTCGATGCAAGACTCGCAAGTTGAATGTAGAACTGATTAAATATCATAATTTGACTAATCTCAGTGGCCCTTTACTATGTAACAAGCAAGGACGCAGGTGGCACTTCCAAAGTACTCCAGATGGATTGATCTGGATCGCATTTGGCGCCGTTCTTCCACCAAGATGCATAGAACGCTGTCGAAACCTCCATCGCCAACGGCTTCACACAGATGTCCGCGAATGGAGAGAGTTTGGACACCGCCATCAAGACCTCCAGTACGACGCGCTCCGCTCTCTTCGTCGCCACCTACAAAGCTTGAGGATTCATGGACGTGTACTATCCACAAAACGTTTCAAAGCGCTAGCCGACGAAGAATAAGCACCATTAATATTGCTTCTATAACTTTCCTCTCAATGTCTATGCGCACTTAGTTAATGCATTTGTCAAATATTAGTTAGGCATGGGAGGCCCCAAGCACAGTCCTATGAGACGCTCGCCAAAGGCGTTGCACGTGGAGGTCAATCTCCTCCAGGCAAACCAAATATCCATAGCCATTTACTGGGTGAAAGCGATACTAAGAGGAAAAAATGGGTATTATATTCGGAATGCATAAAGTAGGGGTATACATTCCAGTCCATAAAGAAGCAAAAGAAGTCCATTGTCAAACACACGAAGCGCAAGAAGCACAGCAAGACGATAAAGCTTGAAACAACAGGAGAAACAGCCTTCCACGACTGAACACAAGAAATAAAATCAAGGAGGGAAACGGAAGGATAGATGTGCGAAGCCATGCACTGGTTTTTCATCCTGCGGCGCGTTAACGCAGCACAAGGATTTTCGGATTTTCTTGGGCAAGGGTCGAAAGGGCGAGGAGGGAGGAAAACAGGGACCCATGCCAAAGGATGCCGAGGTCGGAGAAGGGGGGCGACGTAAAACGAGCGACCTGGCGAGAACAAAACAGCAACCACCCTACAGAAAACTCACAACTCAACACCGAAACAGGCAGCGAACGGGGACAAGAAAAAGTGGATGACAAAGAACGCCCCGGGCCAAATGTGGAAGACAGTATCCGCTGAAGTGATGTCGCGCTTGATGAACCAGTAGCACCCGGCGCCAAGGACGAATTAGGATGTACGAGAAAGACAAAAATGAAGATGTTGTGCAGACAAGAAAGCAGGTGAGAAAGCAGGTGACAGAGATAAAGCAGGGTATATGAAAGAGCAGAACAGGCACCGGTTGCAGATTCGAGAGATCCAACGGGAATAGGGCCTAACCTGGACAGCGGAAGGATCCAGGATAACGACCAGCAGCAAAACAGGGAAAGGCCTCGAGGGTACGACGACAACACCTAGGCAGTGAGGTCAAGGGTCTTACGTTCATCCCCGACCATTACATGAGCACTAGGAATAGGATGCCAGAGGCGACTGATCCATCGCTTGAAGCCCGAGTTTCGAGACGGGGAGCCAATTCCTTTCGGTGACAAATGCGTAGGAGATGCGACAAGGGTCGCGTTAGGCGATGGAGTGGCGGAAGAAGGCGATGGAGTGACGCGTAAATTCTTTCGCCCCGGACGAGGCTTCTCTCTTCGGTCGACGCGGCGGATGAAAGACTCGAGGCTTCGCACAGGAATTGGACCGGAATAATTATCGCATGGCTGAAGTTGTGGAACACCTTCGCCCAGAGGTGCATTACGACGCAGGAAATGACGAAACGACCAGTTCGATGAAGCACGCGAGAGTTCAGCAGCCCCAGAAGCCCAATTAGCACGTATTTCGTCGCCGTCCACCAACGTAGTCCCAGGCGTGGCACAAGCAGGACGAGTGGTTTGCTGCTCCTTCTTTTCCGGTGCCGGTGGGCGGGAGAAGAGCTTGGCAACGATTTTCTGAAGACCTTGTATGCCATTCTTAGCCTTGATTCTCCACAAGGCTTGAGCGCGGTGACGCTCCCGCTTCAACACCGGGGAAATGAAATTGAAGTTGGGCAGCGGGTCGTCCGATGGTTCACATTGGCCAAGCGAGATGGGAACTGTGGATGGCGTGTCCTTCTCTTCAACCACGGGAATGCAAAGCAGAGGAAGTGTCCGTTTCTCGACTTTTTTCCAGTCACTAAAACTATTTAGCACAGGGATCGAATGATCAGAGTAGACTCTCACATCGACGCAAAGAATGGGTGATTAAGCATAGCCTCGTACAAAGGCCTGCTTGTGACATCTTTCTCAAGCATCTGTGCAAACGTCAATGACCCTGAATGAACAAACACCAAGTGAGACGTACATTACGCAGGAGATCCTGAGCCTCAGGATGGAAATCGCTAACAAAGAAAGGCTCAAACCCAACAATGCCATCGGCTATGTGAAGACCGTCAACCGTAGCCCAGGGGGTCTAAACCAAGGTGAGAAATAATCTATCGAAGAGTGTAAGACTTACCCTTCCGGTGAGCATCTCGTACAACATGACACCCACCGCCCAAAAGTCGATTGCGAAACCATATTTGGCACCCAAGATAAGTTCCGGCGCCATATACTCTGCAGTACCGCAGAGTGAACTCGCAAGATAGGGCGCTTGCGATAGGCCGGTGAAAGTCCCCGTGGGGTTGTAGGGAGAAAATGATTTCGGATCATCGAGCGTGAAGACCTTGGCTAAACCTAGATCTGCGATTACGAGATGACCATGGGAGTCGATAAGAATATTCGACGGTTTGATATCCCTGTGGATGACACCTTGACAGTGGAGATGATAAACACCAACAAGCTACTTTGGTCAGAATGCAGATCGCAACCATAGGAAGAACGCTCACAAGTTCTGCCGTATAAAACCTTGCTTGTTCGACTGGAAGGATCCGGCGCGGATAAGTGCGAATAACGTCATGGAGATCGCCTCCTGAATAGAACGCCTGTCATAGGGCATAAGCCAATCCAACCACCGCACGTGCGATCACTCACAAGAGCTAGATAGAGGCATTGTGCGTCCTGAAAGCCTGCCTCGACTTGCATACAATGAGCATCACCTATGACCCGCTTCAGGGCATCCAGCTCGACTCGAAATTGCTGGAGATCGCATAAAGCCGCGCCTTGCCTCCTGATGACTTTTAACGCCATGGTTTTGTTCGTAATCTTGTCTTCGACACGGTAAACGACGCCGTTCGCGCCAGCACCGAGCCTCGCACGGATAATGAAGTCGCTGAGGCTTGTTTCATTCTTGAAATTGGATCGCGGTACAACTCCGTTGGGGGAGCCCGTCGAGGGGTTGAGAACTGTTGTGCCGGACATGTTCTGTTTGTATAGTACCATGCGATTAGGAGCATGAATAGGGCTCAAGATGTCCATTGCCTATGGCACCCCGTAAATAAGCACCACTGAATGTCATGAAATCTTACGTACTTTGCGGTCTTTAGCAAAGAACGCCTCAATGAAGTCCAAGATAAATACCCTTCTCCTGATATCGAGTACGTCTGGGTCGTGGTACGCATTGTCAAGACCTTCAAGCGCCTCAGTCTCTCCCACGGCAGAATCCGTGGAGGTGAGGACGGGCAGAAGGATACCAGTTGCAGAGATCATGATGCTTGCGCTAGAGGGCCACGCGACGATGGTGACAGCATGACCGCCAGATGGTGCGAGAGTAGAACCAGACACGTCATATTTAGGCACCGGGACGCGATTGACCTTATTGAAGACAAAGGAGTTCTTGGTCGACTTGATGCTATTCCATGCTTTGGACAAGGACTTGGCCTTGAAAGCGTCAGAATGTACGATAAAAACGAATATGAAGGATACTTACTGGCTTGGTTATCAAGCGTTCGCCAGCTCGTCCTTCGTAGAATAGTTGAAGAGCAACCATGTTGAGAGCTTGACGTGAATAAAGAGCGTAAAGTGTAGAAAGAACGTCGGGAATGCAGTCGATGGTGAAGATGGCGGATGGAAAACTTCATCGACAGAATGCAGTCTTTTATTCATGTCTGCCCCAGGCTGAATTACAATGGGTACGTTAGGAAGTAACAGTCAAAAAAGTAATTTGTATTCAGACTACTCAGCTGGACTCGAAGTTGCTTGATAGCATAAAAGGAAGATGGGTTCAGGAAACTCACCACAGCAATCTATCATGTCATTTGAAGACGCATGTAGGACCGGTTTAAGACATGCACTGGAACATTCTGCTCTAGACCGAGCATCCCACAGGGAACAATAACAGATATTGAACATCCATGCAGAGCAGAGGGAATGAGCAAGATAGATTAATGTGGTTGCATGTTCAGTCAGAATTGTCCTTGCACCTCGAAGATCTTGTCGACCGTATTCCTAGACCACCCAAAGTATGAAATAACTTGGAAGACCGGCCAGAGCAATGCTGCATTATCTGAATCATATCACGTCAATACGTGCACGAGACACGACTGCTTGGTTGAGAATCAATCGATCAGTATCCCCGAAGAATTTGGGGAGATGACCTGCCTTACACTGGTAGCGAGGCTGCTACGAGTACGTAGACCGTGCATATGCCGAGAGTGACAAAGCCGTTCCTCGTGAAGGACATGTGGGTGCAAGACTGTCACACTTATTTTTTGATGGCAGAGATATTGAGCAGGACTTCGACAACCATCTAGCGTCTGCAGGAGGCACTATACATAGTCAAGTGCTCAACGTGAATTGATGTTGTCGCGTCGGTCATAATAATTTGCTTACATAATAATCATTGAAACTTTTTTGCAGTTCATCAAAGTCCCACTACAGCTGCCCTCGAGTGAAAATACCTCAGCAATGGCGACACCAGTTACGCTACCTTCCCTGCCCCCGTCCTGGACCCCACCCTCGGAACCAGCTTCCTCCATCTCTCGTGAGTCTCTCGTTGTGATTATTTCACTTGATGGCATATCCTCATTCACACAGCATTTGTCCAGCGTAGGCTCATTCCTGCAGGCTCAGCCTACCTGGCTCACATAAAACGCACACTTAACAACTTGACCTTTGACGAGCATGACAAACAGCTCGAAGAGGAGCGGAAACGCCTCGAGTTGCTTAACGCAGATGGCCTGAATGGGGAGGACGACCTTGGCGTCGGAGATGAGGAAGAATCTCCTGAACTCCTTCTACTTGATGCAAAGGAGTGGAAGGTATGCATATCGGGTCTTTTACTACGATCTAAACTTTAGATATCATTTGCAGAAACAAGACCATTATCAGGTCCTCGGATTGTCACACCTGCGATTCAAGGCGACGCCCGAGCAAATAAAGATTGCCCGTATGTGGCGTTGCTAGCATCCTCGGACTTTCTGACGTATCAATACTCCACAGATCGCAAGAAAGTTCTAAAACACCATCCAGACAAGAAAGCCGGTGCATCGCACACTACGAACGATGATGCATTCTTCAAGTGCATACAAAAAGCAAATGAGGTTCTCACGAACCCTGAGCGGCGGCGCCAGTTCGACTCTGTCGACCCCGTCTGCCTATCTGTCGAAGAGGATGATCCTTCTGCCTCCGATTTCAAAGGCCAAGAAAAAGACACTGCACTCTTTTTCAGAACATTTGCACCTATCTTTGAGAGGGAGGCACGATTCAGCAAGAAATTACCCGTTCCAATGTTAGGCGAGAACGACGACTCAAAAGAGAGCGTCCAGGCTTTCTATGATTTCTGGTATAACTTTGACAGCTGGCGATCATTTGAATACCTGGACAAGGAGGTGAATGAAGGAAGCGATAAGTAAGTAATAGGGACCACGAGGCTGTGCCGTATCAGCTCATGCACTTCTCCCGCAGCCGTGATGATAAAAGGTATACCGAGAAAAAGAACAAAACTGAACGAGCTCGTCGAAAGAAAGAGGACATTACTCGTCTCCGTAATCTTGTGGACCTTACTCTTAATCTTGATCCTCGAATCAAGCGGATCAAACAGGAAGAAAAGGAGGCTCGGGAGGCGAAGAAGAAAACCAAAGGCGGAATGAGCGCTGCTGAACAGAAGGCCAAAGCAGAAGAAGATAAGCGTAAAGCTGAGGAAGAGGCTCAGAGGAAGGAGGAAGAAGAGAAGGTGGCACGGGCAGAGGCCAAAAAAGCAAAGGCTGCGGCAGCAAATGCAGCTAAAAAGGCAAGAAGACAACAGCGCGCCGCGGACGCCGATGAGGTTGCGCCATCATAAAATTATACTGTTAGTCGTCTCGTGCCGATACCATGCGCCTTCGTACTCTCACCACTGCGGAATGTCATAAGTATTGAGACCGCATTTGCATTTTGGAAATTTTGCATGTAAAACGTTGTTTGCAATAGGCTTCGAAGATATGATGTACCCGTAGATGGGAGTTCAAGAAGTGAAAGAAGGTAATATCTGATGGCCCCGGTCAAATTCCAGGTGTCACGGTTTCTATCCCAGCTCGCTAGAGTGCCAGTGCAGCTGCCACCCCTGACACGCGCCCAAAGCACAGCAGTGCTGCAAGGCAAATAGAACCATCGCGAGGACGGCAGATTATGATAGATTGGAAACTCGCGGACAGAGTGACGTTGACGTGAATCAAGTATCCACTTTATGAGGGGTAAGATGTTTGATCGAAGACAAGACCGCCGATCAGAACTGATGAATATTGGTTCACGTATCACCGAGTCGCATGGCAGGCTGACACGATACCACACTCGAAGTATATCAGGACACAGGGGGTATATGGTCCCTTAGGGGTGGAGATATGATACTAGAGGTGTGAACTGTTAGCAACATGGAACACGAATAACACTTAGCACGGGAATACCACGGAATTCAAGTTCAAAGTTTCAGCGGTTGCCAAAGAAAACAAAAATACAGCAACAACCGGTCCTCTGGCAGAAAGAGCTCAATCAACGGATACCATAAGTTGGTGTGTGCTAGTTCATGTTTGGTCGTTTATTGTTCTTTGTTTGGATTTCGTGGCAAAGAAGAGATGCAAGGAGCTCGATTAAAGGATGGACACTCCGGGCCTGTCAACCTTCGTCAACAGTCCTTTTTCTTCCAATTTTATGGTCCTTAAAGACCCTCTTGCCTTCGTACCGATGTTTCTCATATCCTGGTAACCTACACTTTACGTCGCGGGCGGTGAAGTACCACCATTTTGTCCGGGACGGTACACTACCCCTTGTATTTTTTTTTCTTACCAATATCATCTACAAACATGGTAGGAGACCCAACCAATCGTGTTCATCACAATGTCTTCTAATCCATCTATCATTCAGGTTCTCGTCAGTGATAAGAAATATGCGTGGTATGTCTTTTCATTTCGTCCTATCCCCATGATTGACCTCAGATGAACTCTTTGCAGTGAAACGTGCATAAAGGGGCATCGCTCATCAGCATGTAAACACACCGATCGTCCCCTTTTCGAAATTAAGAAAAAAGGTCGTCCAGTTACTCAGTGTGAGCACTGTAGAGAACTACGAAAAACAAAACAAGTACACGTCAAATGTTCATGTGGATCTCAAGATCAAGGCACCCCCGGCGCCCACGAGGCGTCCCACAGCAAGAAGGGTACGCCTCATTTGTCGCTGAAATTAAGTTGTCTTATCTTTAAGGCCTCTTCTTTTTCTCTAGGGATGCCGAAGTTACCGACTACTGCTGCGTTTCCTAATGGCCTTCCCGAGGCCCTTGAAACGCTAGCTACATTGCTGCCGGCATCGGACGACTCAGATCACAGCGGTAGGCCAGAAGCGCCATATTTCTCTCGCCATCATCTTCAGTATTGACTTTAAATAAGGTGAAACTTCTCCAACTGGCTGTAGATGTAGCTCCAGTGGCCCTTGCAATTGTTGTACCCCTCGCAAGCCTGCCACTCGCCGTCGCTTCTCCGGTGCAGAGCCTCCTAAACGAGACAAACTTCATTCGGACTCCTCAAAACACCACGAATCCCTATCTCCTCCTCTTTCATCTCACGTCTTAGCACGCATTGCTGAGCTCCGTCCAGTACTTCCCAGACCGGCTCACAGGCAACTCCCTCTCGATGGCTCCTTACATAATCCATCTTCGGGCGTCCCTCACGGTCATAGCATCCGCCATCATAGCTACGACTTCAGTCCTACGGTCGCGCCTACGGGTACACTCACTCAGATCACCCTCACGATCAAAAGGGGTCGTCATTAACTGGTGATTTACGCACATTTGCTGGACGTTCTGTTCAATCCCAACAGCAAGCCCTGAGAAGTCAGACGGTACCAGATGCCTGGTCGCCTGCTGAGGCCTTCCCCTCTGTCTGCGCCTGTGGTGACTCATGCATGTGTCCTGGATGTACCTTGCACAACAATCCACCAATAACCGGTGGGGCTACCTATGCCTCGTGCAGTAACCCATCCACCTGCGCCTTTTGTCTCGATTGCACCATATTGTCCATACCAGCAGGCAATCCGCCTCCTAACATTGACTCATCCTCTGATCCATCACAATCGCAAGAATTTGATGAATGGCTCAGACAAGTCGCACTTAGCCCGGGCATCTCAAATTCCCAACCGAACTTCAACCCGTATGAACTGACCACGCCTCAAATACAGTCCTATCAAAACGGAAGACCGCGGTTACCTGAAACTCCGTCTCCGCCGGCAGAGTGCTGCGGTGGGCGGTGTAAATGTCCTCGTAATTCTTGTGCTTGCCTTCCAGACTGCTGTGGGTGCTGTCTAGGTTGTCAGTGTGATAATCACTGTAATGACGCGCGGTCGCGAACGACGTTTGCGGTATCTGGTGAACGGGGTTTGTGTTGCAGAAAGGCTGACTCAAATACGAACGCTCCTTCAGCTGGGAGGCGCCTCCCTGATTTCATGGCTATGACGAATATCCGTGATCAGTCGTCTGCCTCCGGGGCGGGCGGTCAAGGGTACTATGGTCAGCAGGGAGCATTTGTGGATTACTCCGAGGCTCCGAGTCGATCGTCCTCCGGTTCGTCCTTGTCAAGTCGTATGCCCACGAGACCTCCATCCGGACCGGTGAGTATCCGAGGTTGTCCGTTACAGACTGCGACTGATCTGTAGTTTTCACGATCTTCTAGGATTCTAGGCTGCTGGGGCAGAGTGGCCCGAATTCCAGTAGTAGATCGCCGCCGGCGCACGTCGGACCTTCCGGGAGTACCCGTGGTTTTGCTACCTATGCGGAGTCCGAAAGGACTCGTGGGGCTGCAACGTACTCGAACTATAACCCGTCGCTGGATGCAATGCGCTTCGACTAGGGAAGCCTGCCACGGAGTGAATTCTTATGGATCTGATGCTATTGCTCTTCTTTCATTTTTACGTTGTGCTTGTCTACTTCTTGCGGCTCGCTGGTCTACTGATGGACATGCAGTGGCCGTGATTGCCCCTTATTTATATTTTCTTCTCGTTACATTTTTTTTGCCTTCTCTCGACGCTACGCCTTGCTCGATGGACGCGATAGAGACTCGTCTAGAACGTCTACAGAGCTTTTTTCTTCCCATTACCACACGTAACTTTCCATGTACCTTGCTACAGCAACAGATTTTATAATTATCCATCGTTAGCCGCTCGGTTTGTACGACGGCATTTACTCTGACCCAGCATCCCCAACATAAAGTTTATTTTCATTCAAGTCAGCATAAAACATCCATTGATTCCATTCGGTCCTCCTCGGTATAGGTCAAGACGTTTTCCTTGTCCTGATTGGCATGACTCTCCGCTTCTGAAAACTGCAACTGCTCCAATAACACACGATTATGGTTCTCTACATCAATCTGATGCGAAAAGTCAGGTAAATATTTTGGCATGCGAATAATATTGGACATGCCTTGATCGGCGGAGGCCACTGGAGATCCAGTAGCTCGGCGCCTTCTGGAAGCGCCATCGAATACAAGAGAAGGTAAGGCCCCGCACCTAGATGCAGGCCCACCGAGTCTTCCAAAACATTTGCCTCGGATACCTTTGGTGTGTGTGAACTTCACGACAGGTACATCATCAAGGTCTCGCATACCTGGCTAATGGATGTATCCTCTATCCTCCACCACGCACCCTTCTCTTGTACATAGGAATAGAGGTGCTTCCTGCCATACAGACCGTCGTGAACAAGTACTTGCGCGGAGATCATACTACCGACGGATTAAAAAACCATTCTGGTTGGGATGTGACGTAAAATAGGTGACTTACTCTGGCGCGTTGGAGTTCAGGGCAATCTAGAAGCGTTGCGGCTTGATCACGCATCTTCGCAATGTTGATGTCCGAGACTATGACGGATGTGGATAGTCAGTAGCCCGTCAAGCAGAACTACCTGCGTGCTACCTTTGATTTCCTTCTCTACCTGAGCGAGGATATTCTTTAGTTTTTGAGCCATAATTTGGGTGACACGAGCACGCTCGTCGTCGCCCTTCGCATCTGCTACATTCTCGTAATAGTATATCGATGACCGCAGGTCCGCTAGGGTGTCTTTGTCCTGAGAACCAGTCCAGGTCAGTGCAGGGGATGATACAGCAAGCTGCAAAGGACAAACATTGAAATGCGTCAAGGATTTGTTATGCAACACCAGCTTTTGAATTTCTGCATGAAGGTCCCGCTGCTGCACCCTCTTGCTCTCTGCCAGCTCAATATTTTCCTTAAGGAACTGGTCGAGATAGATGTGCTTCGGGTATTTAAATGGCTTGCGCTCGCCCGTGACAGTGCCCGAGCGCGCGAGATGAAATGCAATCATCTCCGAGGGCTCGAAAATAACCTGGCGCTTGATATCATCCTTATTACTGGAAAGCTGCGCAGAAAGGCGACCGACGAGGTCATTCGTTTCGCTCCGTCCAAGGGCTTCGACACGGACGATGGAAGCATCTTGCAGGAGCTCTCCGGGTTCGTCGTCGAAATTGCTGTTCCCATATTGGAACTGCATGATGCGCTGTCTGCGCATTATATATCAGTGAGACAGAGAAGAGCAGTCGATTCCACGTAGTACTTTGCCTGTCCAGTACGAATGAATTCATGGGTGAACACTTTGTCGAGGGCGCCTGCTACCTTTTCGAAGAATCCTGGTTCTTCATTGATTATCACGCATACAAGCAGCTCAAAGAAACGCACGTTGAGATAGCTCGCCCGGAGATTGCGCCGGGTTTGACCAGGGCTCAGGCTTGAACCCCTCCAGCACCTCATGAGCGTCCAGGTCCACAAGCTTTGCGAGATCCATGTTGGTGAATGTTTCGACGAGCTTCCACATGAGGAGCTCTTAAGCACTATTAGCAACGATTATAGAATAGCATAAAACACGTTTACCTGGCCCATTCTTTGGGGGTTCAGCTTCCGTTGCGCCTTCGGGCAGAGCTGGCCGCCAATTTGCAACGCGTTCACGAATCTGTGGAACATAGAAAAGCGCGTGCAGAACCAGAGCTGCGTATACCATCGTATGTTTCGTTGGACGTAAAGTGACAGGCCTGCGGGGATGCCTTTAGTAGAGGGAGATGAATGAATTAGAGACATACCAGCCTTCCTTCCGCCATTGCTGGTCGAGGGGTAAAGGTTGGTATTCATCGCCAGTATCAGCCTGCTCAAAGCTAGCTTGTATAGCGCGATCCAGGTCGTCCGCAGCAACATCATTCTGCTAAACACAGTATCAATATAAAGGCAGTAACATGAAGCACGGACTAACCCACATTCGAAGGCACCATCGCCCAATTGGCATCAGGAGGCCGTTCGCTCGGTCCAAACATCGGACCCTCTTGGGAGGCTGTCTCGAGTGACGCTTTCAAAGCGCGCGAAAACTCGTCATTCTGATCGTCGTCACCCGTGAGGTCGATATTGATCGGTGAGCTCGGGCGAACAGCAGCAGGAGCCAACGGTCTGGGCTGGTTTATCTCCATCTGCGAGTGCGACGTCCATAACGACGACTGTGTGTCTTCTCCCCTGTCGCCCTCGATCATGGCGGAAGCTGCTTTCTCTACATCGCCATCGAATTTCCGTAGGACGCGCCTGGCTACTTCATGGTCCACACTTCCATCCATCAATGTGGTCAAAATCTCAATGCTATTAGATTCTTTCGCCTCATCGTGATAGTGCATACTTGACGAACTTGCGAATAGATAAAGTTAAGTGTGCTGATAGTTGGCTAGCAGAGTGGATTGCGTCAGGATCTAACCTGGCTTGGTGGCCTACCCATATCAGGCACCTGCGCTCAAGGCATATATATACTTCTCGTTATCTTCATTTATTGTACCAAAAGTCTCATCGCTACATGAGTTATGCATTGCTATCCAAATCATGTATTTTGGTACTGAAGGGTTTACAATACAATACAGGCTGTCGGCACAACATTTAGTGGTTCCGGAACAATCTCAAACAAAGCGCCTGAGGGAAGCAGGGATATAACACATAAAAAACATAAGAAATAAGGTCCTTTCGAAGCGAATTATACAGTCAGGTAAGCAGCAGGATACAACGGATACAACGAGGGAATAGCACTGCGGCGAAAAAGGAAACATTTTTGGGGTGTCTGATAGGATGTAATACATTAGATTGTGAGGGGAGAAGGTCTACTAGTGCTTCTTGTCCGCTCGGGTAGATGTGGTACAATCCACTTGATTAGATTAAGATGTAGGATGATTATCTGCGTAGGGTGTCAGGACACCGCCCCTTCCTCACGATGCAGAACACTTACTGTAAATACCGCCATACTGCCCGCTCATATACATGGGATCCTGTTGTTGCGGCGGCTGTTGTTGTGGATGAGACTGGCTATAAGCCACCCCCATCTGTGGGAATGACGTATAATCATTCCAAAATTGCGGATACCGCCCTATCCCAGGTTGATCACTGGTATATGTACCAGATCCGCTCCCATGCACAGCCAGCCGCGCTTGTCCTTGATGCGAAGTCGAGGACTGCAAGTTCCCCGCCCGACGGCCGTCGACCAAGCCTGTGCTATACATCTGCGGAAGCACAGACGTAGACAATGTGCCCGGGAACGAGAGATATGAAGATCCATCAGCGGTCCACGGGTAATACGATGGCTGGGAAGTTGAAGTTGAGATAGATGCCCCGGCAAAGTCAGTATGTCGCACAGCACCAGACTCCTGAGAGTGACCGACATCATGCGACGTTCCGCTAAACTGAGTCGATCGCCAGGTGTTGGCATATCCTTGTCCCGATCCTGGTACGTGAGGCGAGTCGCTTGAGGGTAGGGCCTGCAACTGCGAACGCTCGTATGCGTCCTCTGAGTCGATTGAATGCTCAGCTGTTCGCTTCTGGCGATCCCGGGAACTAAATGAAAGGCACGCTTGGCTAGAGTTCGAGGGATTTGCCATGACGTTTGAGCCCCGAAGAAGCTCGTTGGCACGTGCTGCGGAGGGCCAGACCATTTCCATGTCTTGTAGTGCATCCATGCACCTGAATAGACCTATCCGCGATTGAGGGTCATTCGGGAAGATGGACGCTGAACATAGGATGAGAATACGATCAGCAAAGAAAATCAAATCGTGACGTACAACTCGTGACATGCATAATACCCGCCGTAAAAATGTAGAAGCAGAGAAAAACGGGCGCGCGTTGCAGACAGTACTTTTCTCGATAAGATGAAACTAAATCCATCTCGCATCAGAAATTGCTTGCAAAGGGGTGCTAAAACAATTTACCGATAGATGAGATGTGGTTTGCAGCACCCACGCACAGCTCATAATGTTTCTTGCTCGTCGCACACGCTTCCGCATCATCCACACTATCCGATTTCCTGAAAAAGCATTAACATAAACAACGGAGAAATTTCGAGGCACTCACCCCTTATTTAGAAGGTACGCATTCCTTATGCTATATGCCCAGTCACTTCCAAGGAATAATAGACAAACAAGAGGGAACTCACAATGGACGATGCAATAGCAATGTCGTACACCAATATTGCATGTGCAATGTCAAAATATGGGGCGGAATGGTGGCGCCCTGCTTCATTTGTAAATGCTCAGGCAAGTCGAGGTACCACTTATTCAGCAGCTCCTCAAGTTGTACTGCCTCAGCGTGCCGAGAAGTCACGGGATGGACGGCATACATGGACTGTACGAGCTTGGAAAGGATAGTCGCTGAAACATGAACTCAGCTATGGCGCTGCATGGTCAAATGAAGCTACTCACAGAGAGTTGCAGAAGCATTAAAGCTAGATAGCACACGTCCCGTTATTGAACACCTCATCTCTGCACTAGGTGGATACCCATGTCCGCGGGAATCAGGTGGTGGCGACTCATGAGGAATCCACAACTCCATCTCCTCCGCCTAAGTTTTAAAAATAACATCAACACACCGGGTTATAATTGATATAACGTATTTCCGTACCTCATCCTCGCCCGGCAAGAGTGTATCGTAATCCCGCTCGAAGATCGCAAGCGGTCTTCCAATATACGTGCTCACATACCCATCGAGTACGACACATCCCCACCATATCCGCCGCCGTTCCTGTAACTCCCGGGCGCCGAACAGACGCCCGACGTCCGCACGGGCCCAGCCGTCGGCTGCGCGATGCATACCGAGATCCTGCGCCATACGTACCGCCATACCCGTGTATACCCAGGCTTGTGCCATGGCACCAATGCCAATCTCGCGATACCCGAGTAATATAAGAGCTTGCACGGTGCTTGGCAACGAAGATGCATAGGTGTTGTCAAGAAGTTTCTTAGCGACGTTAAAGTATTGATCACCTGCAGTCCACATCGGGACTGACTCTCGGGGCGACGATGCCGATGGGAGGGGAGGGGAGGACGGTGGGAAGGAGGAAGACTGTGAATAGCGTTCGGCAATGGAAAACATGCTGAGGAGTAAAAGCGGAGAAATATTACGGCGGGCACGGTGGAAAGGTGACGGAGATTTCGAACCCTGACCATCGGACGCAGGTGATGGTGTATCAGCTGCAGATGGATTCTGATGCCTGAAACGGATGTCAGTGGCAGTCGGAGGAAACTCGTGAGGTGACCTCACGCCTTGTAACCCTCCCAGAAAGCCTCCTTGTGTAAGACCGGGAACGCCGAATGTACATAAGTAAAATATATCTCCAATAAATGCTCCTGAACAGCCGGATCAGGCATGACGCTGCTCAGATCTCTATCCATGACAGATAAACCCATCAAAGGGCTGTTGGTTGTGATCGGGCTTGCGGCAGAATTCGTCAGCGCATCAATGCTGGGGATTACGGGCGACGTCGCATTTGTAGCAGATGGAGGGAGTGGTGGCCAGACACGGGCCTTGGGGGAAGCGCCTGTGACATGTGAGACATTCATGCAACATATCATCGAACAAACCGCTCACCATATTCCGCCTTCATTCCGAGCTTCCTCCTTCGCATTATACCCCAGCAGGTAAAGACCACTTGCCTTTCCGTGATACCGGACTTGTTCGTCTTCGTTCAAGGAGAGCTGGCCCACGGCATCCGCGACGTCGTCTTCGTCCTCAGAATCTGTACTGGCAGGTGCTTGTACTTGCGAGTGGTCGGAGGGATCCGGAGATGGTGAACAACCGAGTCGCCGGCGTTGACGTCGTCCATTATCGTCAAGTGAAAGAGATGGCGAGGTTCTAGATTGCGAAAGTTGGATGGTGCGCGGGTTGTTAAGGGAGATAGCACCAGATGTAGGCGGTGTGAGATTGCGATGAGAGCGATAGAGATGACGAAAGGAGAGATACAACGCGATCCTGCCATTCATTTGAAGGGCTGTACAAAAATATTTTCAACACTGTTGAACAACGGGAAGCATTAGACTTACTGTGTGGACTGTAAGTCAATACCACTACCCTCCGTTGCAGTGGCATTATTTGGGCGTGGTTTAGTGCTGCCACCTTTTCGTCCTTTGACGCCGTATGAGGAGGAATCAACACGATTGAGGATTTCACGAGCAAGAGCGTCCTGATTGGAAATTTATTAGTATGCGCGTCTAGTCAGAGATGTATTTTGTTGGCAACAAATGTAAGAATGAATGCATTGGGACAAGAAAAATAAATTTAGGGTAACTGAGGTACTTCGGAACATCAAAAGTACAAATGCATGCACAAAAAATTAGAACATCGAGTCCACGAAAAACACTAACCTGTCTTAGGGTGTACAACACATCCTCCAAACCTGCAGCGCCGCCTGGAGGTGGCCTATCTGCTTCGCCATACCTGCACAAGATTAGTGAGTAGTTTTTTTTTACAAGGTGATGATCCAGATGCACCTTTCGCCATGCTCTGCCTCGACAGCGAGGAGAACACCAAGTAGGGCCTCAGTTTGGTGTAGCCGAGCTTCGATGGCGTCAATGTACCCCTTAGGGGGACCGCGCTTGCGCGAGGGTCCGAGGAATGTACACGCTGCAGGTTGATAGACGTAATCAGATCAGAAAATGTCGAGAGCGAGCAATCGGATCATCGTAAGCATGAAGCGTAAAGTTGTTGATGCGAAAACAAAAAGTGGTGACAGCGGCGTATCATACGTCAAGGATCGTCAGAGTTCCAGAACACCAGTCACACGTGGCAGGGTGTCATTTTCAAAGGTGGTTGCGAAGGCCACAAAAGGGAATTCATGATGTATCGATGATTGAAGAGGGTAACGAAAGGTGACCGCATCAAGGCGAAGTCAAGTGGCGCCGCGTGAATAATGATATGGGTGGATTCCGAGGAGCAGTTGAGGAGCCGCGAAATTCCAGAAATGGGGAGAGGGGGGGATGAGAAGGAAGGAGCGAGAAACTATAGTCAGCAGGTTGTCAACCGTGTGGGATTAGGCAGACTTACGCGTCCCTAGCATGATGCAACTTTTACAGGCCTCGCCATCTCCTGCGCGCTCGCACTTGCATTTGCTTTTGCGACATTGATCGCAAGCTGACATATGATAAGGCATGGATTGGATAGATATTTGAGACGAATATGGACGATACCTTTGCTGCTCCTTCTCCTAACGACTCTATCTGAATAACCAGATGAAGTAGTGGGCGCGCCAGAGGAGCCTGGATGATCAGGTAACTCGTCGCCATCATCGTATTCGTCCGGGAATGATAATGAATTCAAGTCGAGAGTGGAATTTGCTGAACGTTTGCTAAGCCAGGCATCCTCCGGGTGTGCCATGGATCCGAAGCGGTAGTACGGACGGTCTGATAGTGTGTTCGATGTCGTTGTAAAATTATGATTAATTTGCGCACTACTATTAGGCGCTGACGCAGATGACGGAAAATGGAAGGAAAAGGTGTGGGGAGGTGAAGGTGAAAGATCAAGATAAGGCGAGGAGGATAGTTCCGATTTTACACTGGCAGAATGTGAACGTGCAGAGTTGGTACTGCCTGAACTATTTGGTGGATCAAGACCGTAATGTGGTGCCGGATGCGAGTCTAGTATATAGTACGCATTAGCTGGGATGGCCATCACAATAATATGAAAGAGGAAGGGTTTGAAAGAGGACAGACTTGAATCAAAGGCTCAGGACCCGTATTTCAAAGATTTTGCGATCTCTTCAATGCCAAGCCAACTGTGCGATCTACGACTCCGAGCTGTAACGACGCTCCGAGATTTCAACCCTTGATTTCAAGTCCTCGGAAGGAACGACCCTTGGAGAGTCCATCCCCGCTTTCTGAAGATCAAGTCATCACTCACCGATTAATCGCTGTTCCAATGTACGTTATTTTGCGAATGTCGTGGCGTCAGAAGCATTCAAGTTTCAAGTTGTTTGGATTTTCTAATCTTCTACCGTCAAGACACTTAGTAGGTAGTCAAGGTCACCTTTGTAAGTCTGCTCCTCTCAACATGCGAACTTAATGCTTATTACAGAGCAATCTAGCCTCACTTCCTCCCTCTTCCCACTCACTTGATCCATATGTCGAATACTAATACATTATTATTAGAGCAGCTTTATAACAATTCGGTACCATCCGCTTGAGCCCGAGGAGAATATTATTTTTCTCTTCTATCGCCTTCAAGGGCGTCTCCCAGTGGTTCGAATGTTCGGCGTACACTCACCGTTTTGTTAGATAACCTTTCACCAAGCAATTGGTACTACCGTCCTACCGGAGCTTTCGAACCTGTTCGAATTTCCGATACTCAGCAACAGCACATTGTCACCCGACAACACAGCAGACAATTTCTTTTGGAGAAGTCAACCATTACCGACTAGCACGGTACGTTTTCATACGACTATCTTGTTAAGGAAATCCCCTCTAGTTTGCCTATGCCCTATGTCCGTGCCACCAAATCAATTTTTGGCGTCCAACGGCTTCCGAATCCGAGGACCCGTAATCCTCGCACTTGAAGCCCTTGTGTCATTCCGAGGATATTTATTCGTTCTAGCTCGGAAAAATTCACTGTCACGAGATTATTTTCAACGAGCTCCATGCTTTTTTCGTCCTTTGACATATCCGTGTCTGGGTCTAATTCTTATTTTTGACAGCTTTCGACCTCTTTCGACTCTCCAGTCTATTGAGGACATCAAATCCACTTGGACGACTCAGATCAGAGACCCACATGCAAAAGCTTCCGGGTGAGAAGTCTTCCCCACGTGAGCCGTCTCCGTGAGGTAGATTCAAGTAGATTCCTATCAGACTGCTGTAGATCGCTGTCTTCCTACCTATCATTATTTCGTAATTTCCAGTCTGGCGGCCGGTACCGTCCAACGCCTCTCTCCAGGCACACCAATTTGATTTTATCAGTTCTCCGTCTTCGGTCGGCCACGTGGTTATTTCCGTGATCGACCCGTTTCCTCCCCATCAGTCTCCATCCAGCAACCAATCTCGTCGTTGCAAGACTGTGATAGCCCAGCTGCAACGGGCTGCGGACCATGTATGTATGTATTAGACACATATCATTCACGCCTAGCCATATGTGACATTTTTCAAGCTATCCTTTAAAGTACAATCAAAGCAAACACAACACATGACGGTTTCGTACGTACATTCAATTAAAACTAGCTCCGAGTCGAAGATTGCAAATCTAAAGTTCAAGACGACCAGGGACGTTAATTCTTCGATTTCCCTGTTCCTGTTCCCAATCTCAGCTCGAGATTCATTCCGTTGGTTATCCCGAAAGACGCACCTCTGGTTGCACATGCGCAGCGGAAGACTATACCTGTAAGTGCCATACGCACAGATCATCCATCATCGATCACCGCCGTGAATGAAATCTAGTAAAGCGTTCGGTGTTTCCTTATAATCTTTTAATTGGCAACTCCCTGTTTGCCGTCGTAACATCTAGGAGTCGAATTTGAATTGCCCATGCATTATCGTTATTGTTTAGGTGCCGGATAGCGCACGAGTTCTGGCTCGTTCGTTTTATTGTCACCTGCAATGTCCGTGCTATCAATATATCGTTTTATCGCGCTTGGAAACGAACGTCAGGGGCTAGCTGGACTATGTAGCATAAAGTCAGTCCGCCGTCGAGTAATACCGTACCACCCATGCAGTCAAATTTTAGAGTCGTGCTCTAAGAGATGAATCAGGCAAGCGCCAACAACGCTAGTATAATGATGTTTGCAAATCTCGCCTTAACCGGATTGCAGGTCTACATCCACTTGTAGCCACTTCGCACGCTCTCACATGGCACATCAGTGCCACCAAGGGAACCACGTGGAAAGAAGAGGAAAACACAGATCATGATGAAGATACGTACTTGTCGATTGAGATGAAGTTCTGTCGGCTAGAGGTCTGACCCTAGTCATGTGGGGTGTGCGGACAATCATGTCCAAGACAAATTACACACAGAGCAGGCGGACGAATGCGGCCTCATTACCCGTCACCCCCCCTACATCCGAAAGGATCCCTCCCGCGAAAAGCGATGAGCAAGTATGGTATGGACAACACGGGAAAGTGGGACTTGGGGCTAAATCCGCGGGCCGGTTGCTGTTACCGTTGGTACGATGGTTCGCGGTATCTCTCTTGGTGACCTTGATTCTGCCAATCTCGTGACGTCATGCAGCAGTGTCATAGTTCTGATATAGAGGCTGAAACAAGGTCCTGCGGAGTGGGGCAGTCGTACGATAATCGGTCAAACGTGTGAATGCCCGCGAACTTTACAGGCCATTCCGCAAACCACGCATGATTGGAAACGTAAATCATTCCCGCGAACCACGCATGATTAGACATGGAAACCACTAGACTCGTCTGATCGAAGGGATAGGTAATTAGATCTCGGTCCATTCCGGTTGTAGACCAGTTCCTGAACATTCTCGTAGTAGGGCAAGCGATATCCGGACGCTTGGGTTAGGGAACTACAATGAAGCTTGCATAATTCATAGCTAGTGCACTTTTTGCTGAACCGGGAGTTGGGCTGAGGAGATACATATGTATCAGCGGCACCATGTCGTGTTTGCATCCGTAGCTCAGTAAGTAGTGTATATGCACAACCTCATAAGCGACTCACCCAATTCAGCCAACGTAAAAACTTGCTGCAACCTTCTTGGTAACTCGAGCTTCAAGGGTGACATTGACAATCATGGCACACCAGTTCGACCGCGGGAACCAATTCCCGTCGTACCATAGGTATGAACTCGCAAAATTTTCACGGAACCCCCGAGGTCCAGAACGAAAGCACCGCGTCAGCGCTGTGTGGTAGGTGAAAGCGACATTACCGGAGTATGCACAGCACAGATAAGGTCCTGATCATGGCTAGATCTGTATATAACGAAGCGCCTAGGCTTGCGTTGACCTTGGTTTGATCTTTTGATCGAAAAGCTATGATCACGAAAAGTGGGCGTCATACGATGCTGGGCTCACTGCTTGGGTAGACCAGTTTCTGATCACATAGAATCTACGAGACGGTGAGCGGATCCCGGTGACCGTTGTTGTTCAAGTTTTCAAACCGATGGAAAATGAAAGAATGGAGTAGAGGCTAGTGGAACAACCAGGAAACTTCCAGTTGAACGTGACGTTCAAGTTGGACCGGTGTTGGGTCACGGGTCTGTCCACATTTCATCATCGTCCATGGCGCAAAACTCAGAACTGGAACTTTCAACCAACCGACTACGGTCGACTGCGCCTACACAATCGTTCTGCTAATCTGAAGCTCATCCCTCTAATAAGTTAACCATCATGTTCGGGTGTTGCGTTGCTGGTCGTCTCCTGCAAACCAATCTGCAGCAGGTGGATGAGACACATGCACTCTTTGAGATCCCAGCTGCTGAGAAAGTCAATCATGTGTGCGTGTTTTTGCTTGGTACAGGTCAGTCTTTCATACTCCATCCATCCTTTAAATGACTTATCTCATACTGGTCTATAACGTAGTTCCATTCCCTGATGGATTTGGTGCAACCGTCCACTTTTTCTGGCCTGGAAAAGGTTCACAAGTACTTGGCATGTGCGTTTACCTTTCATTAACGGAATGCAAAGATCATAAACCTTACCCGCGAATCTCAGGCTCTCGAACGATAAACCATCAGCCATATTCCGCCTTCGGTCCGTCTTCTCTTCCACATCAGCACCCCCATCAGGGATATCAACTCCTTCTGCGTTCGCATCAGCAACTTCGTCTTCTGCATCCGGTCAAGTCACCGCTATACTTGGACTTGCACTAGAACCTCTTGAAGCGATAGCCGCACAACTTGCTTCTCTCCCCCAAGCACAACCCCAGAACGCTATGAATATCACCCCCACCCCAACACCAACGTCATCACTGACATCAATAGCCAAACCTGCAGATCCATCGGTGCTTGCGGAGAAAATAGCCAGGCACCTGTTTAACTATATAGCGGGTTTCGTGCCAGCAGGAACCAATGTAGGTCCGGAAAGTACCGTTTCAATGGGTGTCATTGCTCGATGGTACGAAAGCTTTATTGGGAAGGTGAGGGCAGGCGGTTGTCGGGTTTTTGGAACGTAATGAATAGCTTCAGTCGGGAAAGGGTATCTGACTTTCGATCGATTATGATGAACTTGATTTTCCTTTTCATTCGTGAGAGGTTCAGGCGGCTGCCACTAACTAACTTTGAATCTAGTATCTGGTTATCTGGGAAACATCAATCTGTGAGCCTGTGGTGTGGCGCAGTCGGCGATCACCGGCCACGAACCAACAGCATGCATGGGAGGTTCATAAACCTGAACTTTGTTTACTGTGGTGTCATGATGAATAATTCATCGTATTGTTCGGGTTGTGGTTCATAGTACCTCATACGGTAACTCACTTCTTTGGTCAGGGGCACTCAGCTGCTTCAGAATTATTTGTCAGGCCATTTGTCCTGAGTCGAATAAGGCAGCGATTGTAAATGGAGTTGTTTCAGGATCAAGCTACCATATCCAGGTCAGCAGCCGACTAACTCTTTCGCGCAATGGACTGGAACAGCTAGAGTTCACCGCTTCCGCGGCCTTTCGCGTCGACTATGGGCTTGCAAACACGTGAAGCTCACCGTCAGATAATGAAAACGAGGTTCGTAGTACGGTACTGATCATTGTAACAATGGTGCCTATTTGCAAGAAGCTTATATTCCTGTTGGTCCATCACTCCGTCACGAAGCTGGTGCGTATGATGCAGCCCTTTCTCCGCCGGTGGAAAGCTGACGGGTTTGTTATATTTTTATTTTTATTTTCAGTTATTATCCACGAGGGCAACATCCTATGTCAGACAGTAAGTGCATATGTAGGTTACCTAGCGATGTATGTATTTTATTGCTTATGTCAAAGCTGACGTGCTGACGGATTGCAATGGCTGCAATGCGCACATGTAGAAATCTACGCTATCCTAAAAAGTTTGCCTCGATGACCTCTTGTTTAATGTGAGTGTACACATACCAATCCACTCTATAACTGAAAATGGCACTCAGAATCGCGATGAATTTAATGCATCGTTCCGTGACCATTCAGTAATACAGCCTTCTAGAGAGCATGTTAATCTCTTCCACTCGTGACGTGCTCGACAACCTTTTCAATGCTCATCAGGTTGATATTCTACCACTAAGCTGATGTTACGGGACCTGCACAGCTTGGAGGACGCTTATAAACCACGGCCAACGAGAGCGTTTTGACAACGCAACTTGGACAGGTTCATGCGGTCCACCGCCATCGTTGTAATCGCCATATAGCACACACGTGACCTGCCGTATGGCAGCATTCCTCCGAGGGAGGCAGACCTCGGTCCTTCCCCCTCTACACTACAAGCAACTACGTAACGTACAGTCTCTCTTTTGACTAATCACTCGTTAATTTTTACTATCACCTACTGCGCACACGTACAATAGCATGCTTACACTTTACATAACCGCTTACAACGCTAGCATATAGTAGTCCGTACCCGCGGTGTTGCAACCTCAGTTTTTTCCACTCTGACCGAGGTGAGATCCTTACCTTCATTATCATGCTCGATCCTTACTCACGTCTCTGTAGTTTATTGTGTTTCTCTTGCAGGTACTTACTTCGATGTCAGAGTCTTCCATTCAGACTGAATCTTTCGTGGTTTGTCTCTCGCAGCTTCCGACGGCCGTTCTCCGTATTATCCTGGTGCGTCCAAGTCGCTAGCTACGATGTGACAATTTAATGACACTAGCGAGCTAGCTCACGAATTACCAATGGCAACTTGTGCCTCTACCCCATTTGACCATGCTCAAGCAGACGTTATCTTACGAACGGCTGATGGAGTTGAGTTCCGAGTCTTCAAGCTCTTCCTCTCCCTTGCCTCTCCATTCTTCGAAACATTGTTTAGCCTCCCTCAAGCACCTGATGGGGCTACCGATCAAGAGATGAAGGATGGCCTAGCAGTCATCGCCGTGTCTGAGGACAGCAAAACACTAGATTCCTTTCTCAGGTTTTGCTATCCATCGACGCTGGCAGATGATCCTTCCCTCGAGAACCTGACGGATGTCCTGTCTATGCTCGCAGCTGCGAGGAAGTATTCGCTAGACCTGATCGAGAAAAAAGTGTGTCAGGCTCTGGCGAATCCGAAGGTTCTCGAGACGGAGCCCATTCGCTGCTTTGCAGTTGCCTGTAACGCACGGCTCACGCATGAAACAATCACCGCTGCCAGATACACCTTACGTCAGCCCTTGATTCCGGCACAGTTCTCAGAGATCGGGCTTATCACCGCTTCCGAACTTCTTGCCCTGCTAACATACCATAAAAATTGCAGTATCGCCGTACAACCTTTAATGAAGGACTTGAAATGGTTGAAAGATCATTATACCAATCGCAAAAAATGCACTTGGCTATTTGGCCCATATGACAACGACTCCTGTCGCTGTGAACGGCCTGCCGACAACAGGTTTTGCTCTGGGATACCTACACAGTTAAATGGTGGGCGGCATATATGCGGGAGTTATCCGAGTTGTTGATGAATAGACCGTCTGGCGAGACTGTGAGGACAGCAGCGGACAGGACAATCCAGACGGTTAGAAGCGCAAGCTGTGCCGCTTGCTCTAACTCCGTGAAGGGGAACATGACAGAGCTAAGTAACTTGCTTGCTCTGAAAGTCGATGAGGCGGTCGCCACGGTATGTAGCTTGCTCTATATCAGAGACAAACCCTGAGACTTTTCAATAGATCAAGCTGGAGATGGACTTTTGACCGGCCTCATCAGTAAGGTAATGCACAGTATATGACAAAACACTTTCTGAATTCTGCATCAGGCAGTTGACGTCCATGAATTTATGTACCCAAGAGCCCCAGTACTGTGTTCACGATGACTTTTCGGGATCTCACAGAAAGAGTTAGATATGTTGTCCTCGATAGAATTGTACCCATGTATCAACGGCCAAGACTCATGTGTGCACGACGATATATAATTGAAGCAGTTCATCAGGGGGGTATTGAAACTTTTCAGAGCGCTCCTAAGTTTCTCGTGCACAGAACTAAGTTTGCATCATCTTCTTTGTGCTTGTCGACCTGGTAGTCCCAAGTCAACTTACCTGGTCGAATGGCGGTCAGACTCCAGTCAACTTCAAGCTCCAGGAATGATGAATACAGTTGCAACTGATCCGTGTCACATACAGTAATGAAAATATTGATGTTATTCTATCCGCCACATCGTCCGTATCAGATAACAATAATCAGATCTCTGGTATCACAGGTGGAATAGCACCTGAAACTCGCCCAGCACGCTCAAGGGCTCCGTCCTGTAGCTCATACGCGGGCCGATAACGCGGTGGGAGGCTGACACCATTGGCACTCCTGTTATTAACCTCGGCGTGGCATTGAGTATTTGGATCGCTAGCCAGGACCTTGAAAGGTCCTAGTGTTTCGGTAGAGCTCCTAAGTGACTCTGACTTCCTCAAATCAAGACAGGGTCGGCAAAGCATGTCTGATCGGGGTTATTGGCAATGATCGTAAAAGGACCAAAGCCATTCATAAACGACTTCGGTGGAGTTGGTTCAATAAAACACATGGCATTTGGATTGTTCACCACAGTTGTAAGTGAAGAAGGAAGAGTGTTGGACGAATCAGAATCCGTTACAAGTAGGGCTGGATTTGGGAATGTATTATATGTGGATCCCAGAGACGTGTAACTGCGCGGGCGTCAATCGAGGTTTGCGATATAAAAATGATACTCACCCTTCGTCGTACAATGTGCAGTACGGAACATTGAGTTTCCTTAGGAATGTCCAGACATCTGAGTATGCCCAATTGATGATTGGGTTTATTCGTTCGAAGGCGGGCCATCCCGGATCCGTTACATTCTGTGTGATAGCGTTGCTACTCAAGTCATGAGTAATTGTATCGCGCAATAACAATGACGCTCACTTCCATGGGGGTCCGTTCGTCGGGTGCCCACCAAAATCGCTTGAACATCTGGGAAACGTGATTTGTACAACTCCAGGGCTCGCCGCATCCCTTCGCCACCCCTAGCAGCTCCTACAGGCCGAGTCTGGAGGCTATGTCCTATGTAGTCATTGCTCCCCTTGAGCGATGTCGGGGTCGACACACCGGGCGTCACACTTTCTACAGGCAACTGAATGTCCGAGGATAGGTTGCATGTGAAAAGATCGAGGTGGTAGTCTTGCGTAGCTATCTTGATAAATTCCTCCAGTACAAGGAATGGTGATGGGTCTGGAATGTATAATGCGAATATAGGCTTATGCGTGGATAACACCTTTCTGGTGAGAACCGCAGCATACAGATGGAGTAGGACGGTGCCTACGGAACGAAGGCGTCAGTAGATGCACATCTCAGGGGTCCTGTCGACGCACAATCCTTCCCGCCGTTGAAACTCAGAGATACATGGTCTTGCCTACGAAGTAAAATATCAGTGTGATGAATCGTGCATGAGCAAAGAAAACACTGCCGCTCACCCATATTGATCCAGACACTGCTCAATGACCTGCAAGGCCTCTCTTACAATGGGTGCTATGGGTTCATCTGACTCTGCAAGATTGTAAACGTCGCTCGCTATCTTCTTGTAGTCCATATCGCTCCGAATGACACGGATGAGGATGCAAAGGGGGAAACCCGACGATGATCCGACGTGGAGTATCTAAAGAAGATGTTACAAGTAAATACGGCTGAGATCTTTCATACAGCAACGTGTGGGTACACTTGAGAGAGCTATTGTGGGAACACACAGCTCGGTAATCTTCGACCAATACCATTATCTGATCAATCTCACATAAATACCGTTCCTCTCATAGCACTGCGTAGTTCTTTTAGAGTCAACCACGATGGCAGCCGTAGTACTTGTCACTGGGGGCACCGGACTTGTCGGGAAAGCTATCGAATACGTTATCGAGCACGAACCAGAGGGCTCGCGCTTCGGAAAGCGGCCAGGAGAGAAATGGATCTTTGCTGGCTCTCGTGAGGCCGATCTAAGGTACCGTCATATGATTATTGTCCTGATAACAAGCATCACTATGTAGTGCAGAGACCCAGAAGAAACACAGAAGTTATTTGAGAAGTACCAACCCACTCATGTCATCCATCTGGCTGCCCTTGGTACGCTTGAGTTCGGGTCAGAATGAGCCCATCTGATCTGCATTTCTATAGTTGGTGGCCTCTTCGCGAACAGGGAGCGAAAGGTTAGGACAAATATCCTCTGTCGTGTGCGATCTGACCCCTTGCAGATGACTTTCCTCCGCGACAACATGCTGATCAATGACAATGTTCTCCACACTGCTCACATCAAAGGGACAAAGAAGGTCCTCTCTTGTCTTTCGACGTGTGTCTTCCCGGACAAAGTCGAGTACCCACTCACAGAGGAGAAGGTTCACCTTGGACCACCACATCCGAGTAACTTCGGATATGCACATGCGAAGAGAATGGTAGATGTCCAGAACCAGTATGTCACCATTCCTCTTGGGTATCTTTGACTGCGGTTCATATACACTACGTAGTGCTTACAAGGAGGAATTCGGCTGCAACTTCACATCTGCCATCCCGACCAATGTGTTTGGACCGCATGATAACTTGTACGCTTAACCACCGCAAAGGTCATTACGTCTTGACTGATCCCTCCAAAGTGATCTGAAACATGCGCATGTGATGCCCGCGCTGATTCACAAATGCTACCTATCACAAAGTCCATTTCCTCTCGTCTCAAACGTTCTGCACACTGACACACTTATAATGCAGAGAACAATACACCACTCAAAGTTATGGGCGACGGCTCGCCCCTTCGTCAATTCATCTACTCCCGTGATCTGGCCAAGCTATTTATATGGCAAATGCGCGAGTACGAATCTGTCGAACCTGTTATCCTTTCAGGTAAGCTTTCGTATATCTACTGATATAAAATTCACTGATGAGCTCTCAGTGGACGAGAATGACGAAATTAGCATTCGCGATCTTGCGAATTCCATCGTCAAAGTCATGAACCACCCTGACAAGCCCGAGGTACGTTCCTTTGTACTGTTCACGAAGTACCTGAGCATGGATGTTCTCGTCATGAAGTTCGAGAACGAAGTTAATGACAACGGCCAAGACCGCAAACCCGCGTCGAATGCAAAGCTCATGAGCCTGATTGGCCCCGACTTCAAGTTCACGCCATTCGAACAAGGTTTTTTGTCCTCGTTTACTCATTTCAGTCCCTGAGCATTGACTGTGTTGTGCAGCTCTTCAGGAGACAGTGGCGTGGTTCCTTCAGAACTATGCCAACGCGAGGACTGGACAATCTCATGCTTAGACAGGTTGGGGGAAATGGACGATCCTTCGATGTTGTAGAATTACAGTTGCGTTTCACTATTTGCCTGCTTTGCATTCCTTTCCTGTATATGCAAAAGTACTTACCACTGCTGACCGAGGAGTGACAGTTGTACCTTAGATATATCAGTCGGACTATACATAAGGATGTTGATCAGTAGTGGAGGAATTTCTGGTGATGCTTGCCCCAGTATTCTCGATCTCATCAACCGTCAACTCCTGAACGTTGGCTGTATCAAGATACTCTCTCGTCCTACGCGCCTTGCTCGAAATACTGATAGATATTGAGCGAGTCTCCGCAACACAGTACTATCAAAACGAACAAAACTTACAAAAACTATGCTGCTGCAACCACTTGTTGAGCACCTGAATCGACTGACACAGGCTGTCCTCGAGTCGGACTCAAGGCGTGCCCACATTTTGCTTGATGACGGAATTCAGGGGCCTTCATATATATAGGTCAGTACCACCATAAGAGGTCATCATAATGTATCTATTCACCATGATTACAGACACATGTAAGGACTTCCATACTTTCTGGGGGGTTGTTAAAAGTAATACTGACATGGCCAAGATTCCGCTCACCTGAACAACCGAAAGCGGAAACGCAGCACCCTCCAAGTTCATGGGAAAGTTGAAAAATCGACACGCCAATGGACGTTGACAGTCCTTCCCCTAACCCTCCACATGATCCCCCTCCTTCAGCCAGCCCACGTGGCGGCCGGGCCGGTGCAAAAGGTTCATGCCGATGTGATCGATCCAAGCCCGCTTCCTCCACAGCGACCCCTGCAGCATGTTTTGACTGTGTGGCCGTGCTAGAGTCGATTGAACTTAGTGGTAACGAAGAGAGCGGAGCGCGACGTGCCGTAGGTCTTGATGGCGTTGCCCAGACTATCTTCGGTGAAACTGTTTGACGATGGTAGTTGTTTTTTTGCATCTTGCTGGAAGAACGCTGTGCCAAATGTAATCCAGGGGAATTAGTTGCCGTCGTTGTGAGTGAGTGCGGATATAGCCTGTCCGCGGAAACAAGGCTAAGGGCTCCAGGAGATTTGTGCAAGACCATGCAGTGGTAGTACTTGTTTATCCCTGCAGGGAGAGCCGTATCTATCAATTCCAAATGTACGTTCCCTCGGCCTTGAGTGGAGTTTGATGTCACCGGGTGCTTTTTTAACACGGGGGTCGGAGCCTCGGAGGTAGAATTTCCGATTGCTAGTCAGTTGAGAGAACTAAATTACTGTGTCGCTGAGTACATAGATAGGACAGGAAGATGTGATAAATCAAAAGGTTAGAGGGGGAAAGAGTAATTCCATCAAAATACAGGGACGCTGGCTCGTATACAAAATAGTACCAGAATGCGAATCGAGACCACACACCAATTTGAACGAAAACAGATGCACATCCTTCTTGACGATGTGAGTACCGAGGCTGCCTTCGTACAACCTACGAGGTCGTGTTCAAAGATGATCAATCTTCCGACAAGTTCTCACAAGGGGTGTTACAACATTATCGTCATCGACCACCCGCGGAGTGCCAGTGACTCTATTGAACCCCGAGGACTGCAGACCAGCTGCGAGGTTGACTTCATCGGGAGTTTGCTGAGGGCCGACGACGGTAATAAGTATTGTTCTCCGTGATATGAAGTGGCATAAGAGGTTTATCCCTAACGGCGAAAGTTGTATTAATGGCATGGCGAGCGACTTCCACCCACATGTTGCGCCACAAAGTTCCACATATGTGCGCCTGCGTGGCTTCATCGATCATCTCCGGATAGAGTGGTGCACCTGCACCTAGTATACCTTATCCGGTCGTCACAAAAGACAAAACGTCATCGTCTGTCAAGCCCTGATCAGAGCCAGAAGCGTGCCACATAAGAGAAGATATGGATACCCGTTGCCGCCATCCGCCTGTGACCGAAGGGGCGAACACCATAGAGATGGTTCAACGTTCAACAACGAGGCTGTTGTAGAACACAACCGGACTTGACAGGTATCTCGAAAATTGTGAGAGCGATAGACGGGAATAGAGCATAATCCAGGCTAAGCGGAAACCAGAACATAAAGGCCAGCAGTGGTGCAATGCGAATTTGTGCTCAGTCGTTCTGCAGGAAACTGTCAGTAGCCTCGATACTGGGAACCATCAGGATGGTTGAGAGCAACTTGAATATTCTGGGCTTCCATCCCACTGGAATCACAAAGCTCGCAATGATTATGATGAAAACAAGTTTGAGCCTATACTGTGCTTTCCGCGTTTCAAAACAGCTCCAGTCAACGATCACATAGCCAAATTTCAGCGACAGCGACAATTTGGCTGCTAGCACCAACGAGCACCTCATTTCTAGTAGTCAACTGAACACACGCCGCCACCTCGAAAACGAAAGGAAGGAAGCCCATCTGACGCAGTCAGTGCGTCCTGAGATGACGACCGCGACTGCGTAGTTACTCGATTATCAGTAAGGACAGTCCCATTACAAGAGGAGGAAGATGAGTGACAATGCTTACAGTTACAGATCGTTCGCTCGATGCCGACGAAGCAGACCATTATTGAAATAAAATATAGAGGGCCGCCGAAGGCCTGATAGGCCGACTTGCAGGAGCAATAAGAGTGCGATAGCACCTAACTTCGTGAGCGTGGATACATAAGGAACCAGTGTACTTGACTGAAATTCTGGCTCGTTCACTGGAGGAGACGGCCCTACTTTTGTGTTTGTACTTGTTCGACAATGATGACCGGCAGTTACCGCAGCTTTCCCAGACTACCATGGCATTGTGAAGCTTTCCAAGGGTCGAGGTTGACGTTGGTCCCCCGTATCGTTTATTTCTTTTTCATGTTAATGAAGCGTCGTTACTGATCTATAAAGACTGGCTTATATTTTGTGAAATGTTTCAAAGTCGGCTTTAAATACTGAAATTGGACTTATTTATGGTAAATTCAGTATATAGTATTACTAAGGCTGTATTAGAATTTAGGAGTGCCCGTCACATCTTGAACTTCCTCATGGATGTGTAGTGCGCTCGCAACGATGTCATTCAAAAAGCGACAAAGGCTTCACAGAAACTTTACATTGCAGGGCTAATTACAAAGGGCGATGCACAGCACTTCAAGGCTATGTGGTAGAATTGGCGCTCAGGAACAACTGGCAGTATTTTTGGCTCTACCAAGTTAGCATTATTCCGAGTCAAGGCGCTAACTACACCTCTGCATCCAACTCTCAGCACACCATTCCCGTCAGCAATGCATGACTCTGCCTCTCGCAAGTTTATTGATCTCATTTTCAAGACGTCATCCAAGTGGGCTAATTGGGACCCGCCGATCACGATCAAGGTCAGTCTACACGCTTAAGTGAACACTATCTCGAGTTTGCCTGGTGTTGAGTGGCAACAGGTGGGACACTATGGGACGATCGATAGGAGAACTGGAGTGCTGCAAGTAGAAGGGAATATATATGACGAACCATTTCAAGAATCATTGAAGCAGCAAGGCTTGACGATCGATTTGTCTGATTCATCGTGCCAGCCTATAAAGGGTGCAGTCGAGGAAGACATGATCATGTCCTCGATTGACGTTAAAAAGGGAGAGATTTCCCTCACGCCACATGTGTGAGTGCGCGCACTTCTTGTTTGCGTCTATCATTCAAACATTACTCTAATCGATCAGCTCCGCTCTCGACTTGGCTTCTGCCTCCTTCAAGGCCGAGTTCCAGTTCCAGCAGGGCAAACGAGGTGCCGTCTTGGTAATGCACAAGCCGCAGCAGGAATATATTCCTCAGGGCAGGGTTCTGAACATTATCCACGAGGCGCGCAAGCTGAGGGATAAATATATTGTCACTAGCACATTTACGTGTCCGGGGTATTATCTGTACTTGTCCAACAAGTGTGCGTCACGGTTTTGCCTTGTACTTCATCGGTAACAGTATGCTGAAGGCCTGACGTAGCCGGAGAGAGGGTGGCACTGGCGCTTACTGCTAATGCACCGGTTGCAGCTGCAATAGGCGTATCTGCTGGCGGAGGAGCTTCCGTCGATTGGTGGACGGACGCCCAAGCAGCGTTTCTCCGAAAGGCATTTGATAAGGCTGGACAGTATCGTTACACGCCTCTCTTCGACCTCAAGCGCAGGCAACCTTGGTTCGAGCGAACATTCCGTGGGGCGGAGGTGCACCCGACAGAAGATGATCTGTGCGTTAATGATCCCTGCTTAAAAGTTCATCATCTATTCTGATAATCACTCAGGTGGCCTAATTGTCCAATACCATGGGATCCTCTTGATGAGGACGGAAACGAAGATACCGTGTACGACGAAGTACGTCAGGGTTTGCTAGCCCCTCATATTGATCTTGACCTATGAATCGCCTTTTAGAGTGACGAGGAGACCTTTTCCCGCCGATCTGCGGTGGAGGGCCGTTTTCCATTCGTGTGATGTACCGAGAGTGAGGCTACATAATATATGTACTCACCCCTTGATCAGATTGTGATTGCCTGTTATGTCGTTTATTTCATGCATCAATTTCTCTTATAGTTGTCCATTCCATATTGCATGCTTATACAAGTGAGTGTTAAAATTAAACGTTAACGAATGTGATGTCACTTTGGTGCGACGTTGTGGCGACCCATATGGCATGTCCATTAGCTGCGATATCGACTGCGTCAGGTCTCCGTCCTTTTGATATCTTAACTCGAATAGATTCGTCTTGCTATATGATATCGCAGCCCGCCCCTTCGTCTCCGAGGGGCAGGAGGGACTATGATAGATGTTTTGAAACCCCTGACAACACCGTTTACTAGATCGTGCGCCTGTAGTACGTAAATGTCCTTCATTTCCAACCACTGATGTCCCTTCAGATACCGCCCCTCCAGGTCATAGTATTTTGCGTTCGAGCTGTCATACTTGCGCAATTAGTTTCTCAAGTTGGTCCTTCACAACGCTCCAGTAGACTGGACCGTTTTTTCGCAACTGTGCAGGAATGGGTGACGCCCCTTGAACAGAGTCACCGTGTCAAGTTGTCGCTAGGCTGTGTTAGCATCAAAAGGTGCTCTAAGAACCGCTTGATGACTGCACATCAGCAGGGCCTATCGTGGGTTACTTTCTTTCTATTCACATTTCGCCTATCAGAGACAAAGGCACACTTCACGCTCGTGTGATCTGAGAAGTTACCGTGTATGAGGCAAGGGTGGAAATTCTAATCGATATGCGTGAAAGGAGATATGCCTCGCGTCTGAAAACGTTGGAGGTTTAGGTGACATAAAGCGAAGACACGCGTCGTCAACAGACCTTTAATATCAGAGCGCTGTCCTAACACAGAAGGAACGGTCTTCGTTCTTGAATCTTTTGAATCCGCCTACTCAGGCAGCGGCTAGGGGAGACTACTTGGTGCTAGTTATAGCCAATTGTCGACTGTGTGCATAGTATCAGGCGAAAGCTGGGGAACATCATTGTAGCAGCTTATGAGGAAGAGCAAGTGTAAATAGGCCTAGTGCACACTTGGCGCTCGGCCTTCTACTCGGGCGTGCTTCCTTTGCCACGTTTTTTTATCATTTGTCGTCGATTGGCCGTTAAACTTGCTCGTTCGTCGAGTGGACGTACAAAAAGCAGCTCAATCACTATAGGAAGGGTGTTTTTAATTGATAAAAGTGTGAAATCGTGTCATGAGGCAATGCAGCAGGTGGTGGTACCTGGTCTTAAAATTCGGACGTTCTCTGTCGACGACGGAAACGTTCAAAATCGCTTCACCGTAACTCCACTCCCTCAAGGTTAACAGCCTACTTAAGTGAACCGCGATATCAAGATCTCATTCAGCGCAGTCCTTCTCTCGATCCACAACCACAATGCCTAGAATCCAACAAATTTGCTGCAGTAAGTCCTTTGATAGTATCTCCTATTCATCTGGTTGCTCATTTGTCACGTCCAGTTGGCGCTGGATACGTCGGTAAGCTGCTGCTTCATAGGATCGCTAATCGCTTTGAATGCTTTGAGTTTACGTGTGCTTTTCAGGCGGTCCTACCTGCGCCGTGATCGCACTGAAATGCCCTCACATCCGGGTCACCATTGTTGACTTGAATCAAGCCCGCATTGATGCCTGGAACTCGCCGGACTTCGACCTGCCCATATATGAGCCTGGTCTGGAGGATGTCGTTCGCGAGGCTCGCGGACGCAACCTCTTCTTCAGTACCGATGTCGATAAGGGTATCCGGGACGCAGACCTCATTTTCGTATCCGTGAACACTCCGACCAAAAAGAGCGGTGTTGGTGCTGGTTTTGCTGCAGACTTAAAGTAAGTTTTCGGTTTCTCCCCTTTTGTTGCATCTGTCCTCCCGTTATATGATCGTATGCTGATGAACTATATCTCAGCTACGTCGAGCTCGCTACTCGGCGCATCGCAGCTACGGCAACGTCATCAAAGATCGTCGTCGAGAAATCTACTGTGCCTTGCAGGACTGCGGAGTCCATGCGCACCATCCTCGATGCCAACAGCAAGCCCAACGCACGCTTCGATATCCTCTCCAACCCTGAGTTCCTCGCTGAGGGAACCGCCATCGATGATCTTTTTGCTCCTGATCGCGTGCTCATCGGCTCTTTGCAGACACAGGAGGGCAAGGAGGCGTGTGCGGCGCTATCCGAAGTCTATCAGAATTGGGTACCGTGAGTGTATCTGTGGCAGTGCGGAGCCTGATGATGCGCTGACCGACCACATAGCAAAGAAAAGATTTTGACTGTCGGCCTGTGGTCTTCTGAGCTCTCGAAGCTGGCTGCGAACGCCATGCTTGCGCAGCGCATCAGCTCCATCAACGCACTTTCCGCCATCTGTGAGGCCACAGGCGCCAACATCGCCGAGGTCGCTCATTCCATAGGACAGGACTCACGCATTGGCCCGAAATTCCTTCGTGCATCCGTTGGTTTCGGAGGTAGCTGCTTCCAGAAGGATATTCTCAACCTTGTCTACCTATCAGAGAGTCTTAATTTAAAGGAAGTAGCCGAGTACTGGAAACAGGTGGTAACGATGAACGAATATCAGAAGAGGAGGTTCAGTAAGCGGGTTGTGGATACCCTGTTCAACACTATCACTGGCAAGGTACACAATTTATCTGTGCACCTGTCAAATTGACTTTGATCTGTTGTAGCGAATTGCTGTCCTTGGCTTTGCCTTCAAGGCTGACACGGGTGACACCCGCGAGTCGGCTGCCATTACGCTTATTCGCGACTTCCAGCAGGAAAGGGCTCTTGTCAATATCTACGATCCCCAAGTGGAGTCGGCCCAAATATGGACAGACCTCACCGAGGCTAACCCCTACGTGCCCCTTGCGACGAGTAAGCCACAGTTTTTTACATAACATGTCCGCGACTCATACTGTTGGCAAAGCTCAACGCCAAGTTTTTATCTGCTCTTCTGCATTGGAAGCCTGCAAGAACGCCGAGGCAGTCGTTATCGCCACCGAGTGGGCCGAATTCAAAACGATTGACTGGGAGGCCGTGTACGCGGGTATGAATAAACCTGCATTTGTCTTTGATGGGCGGTTGCTTGTAGATGCAGACAAACTTAGGTCGATCGGCTTCAATGTGGGTTATTGGATCTGGTGTCCGTCCGAATAACCGTTACTAATGCAATGCCGTTCTGTTCAGGTGACTGTCATCGGCCGTGGCGAACGCCTCTAGATCCACTCTGATCCACCCCATTTCATTCAGCCCCAGAAAGGATATATCATCATCCACGAGGACGGTTCACCCACTTAGCTTCTTACGGACACAGTGCTAATATCTCATGTACCCGGATATCCTTTGCTCTCCCGAGTTGTACTGTTTAGGTCGTACTTTCTTGCACAGATCTAGAAGCGAACATTTGCGAATGAAATCTCAATTATTTTCTCTTTTTGATTTCGTTCTTTATAGATGTGGTAGCTTGGACCGTGTAACAGGGGCAAGTTATCCATCTAACTGTTTTAGTATACCGTAGGTTGAGCCCAGCCCTAATATCCCCTCTTATCCCATCACGGCCTGGATTCATATGGACATCGTTGACACGAGGGGAATCGGCGTTTCGAAAGAGGCAGATATAAATCATGATATATGCCGCATGGCGCACGACATGGACACTGATAGCACGAACAAGTGGGTGTATACATAACGACAACACCAAGTACATCGCAAAACTCGAAACAGGATCAAAGTCTAATCGATCTGATCATTTGTATGTAAACTTTACGCTTTAAAGACCGAATCATGACATGCTACAAAAAAACCTGAAGCAGTATAACACAGATCTGAGAACGAACAACACAACAAGACAGGCACGGCTATGAAAGAAGATAAAGGTCTGACAGGCATGAAATAGATAGAGGAAACTTCTGATTGTTCGGAAGGCTACGCATTTGGCCCTTGAGCACCGGACACTAATACTCCTTGATCAGGAGGTGCAGCCCTGCTACGGTCTGGAACGGCGTCTGGCACCATTCGGCTTGGGTTCGATGGTAACGAATTCAGGCCACAGCGGGCTCTGCACAAGCGTGTTGTATCTGCTGTATCCGCGAGCATGTAGCAACGTCTCAGTTAAACGACGAAAACCTGGCAATGGTCATCACCCGATATTTCCCCAAATGGACGAAGTCGGATAATGCTGCATCGGCCGAGGATACTGCGGCGGCGGCGGCAAAGGCACCGCAGGAGAGAGGTTGAATCCACCCTGTTGAAGGTGCAGCCCCGATTGTGGTGGCAGAGCAGCGGGGGCGATCTCCGCATTCAAGTATAGTGACTCCTGTGGGTATGCAAATGGTTGATGACTCACTGCATTGAATGCAGTCTGATATGAAGGAGAGTTCTGAATCGTACTAGCCGAGTGTGACGGATGGTGATGCCCAGGACCGGATGGTCGCGAGGCGGAGTGACTAGTGTGAATGTTTGATGGATCGTGCGTGAACTCGAAGGAAGGTGACCACGGTGACCACGGGGACTGTGAATGTGCAAAAGAAGACACGGGGGGAGGTCGGTTAGCGGAATGTATAGCCCGGTTGCTTGGCGTCGATAAATTGTGCTCGACACTGTAAGCAGGCAGGGCCTGGTTGGTCGACAATGCAGGTCTGGGACTGAGATTTGGAGGGTTCTGATCAAGAGCCCTTGACCATATGTTCTCGGGCCCAGAGCCGAAAAGAAATTGAGATGGAGGTGCGATAGACTGATGGCGGGGAGATCGTGCAATATCGCCACCACCTTTGGAGAAACTGTTTAATAAATCCTGAGCTGTCGTTCCTGTGAAGGCAGAAGGTAGCGATGTCGGGGCCGCACGACCTGGGGACACAACAGAGGATGCACTGGGGCTGATGAAGTTGCCGTTTATCATGCTTGATGACAATATAGGTGTCGTTGGCAGGGCCGATGCTGCTCCCGGCGGCGAAGTGGGAGCCCTAGAAATCACATCAGACACATAAAAATAAAATAGGCACTATTTGACCTTGGATCCCAAACTACGACATCATCGTCCAGTTCATCATCTTCATCTTGTGCCTCGGCGTTAAGTACAGTTCTGAATGCGTCTTCAACCGGATCATCGTTGTCAGTACGCCCTGTGTCGGTCATAGCATCGTCCTCCGCACAAGCCTCCAGTGGCGTCAGGTCAAAAACATCAGGACACAAGGCTACAGGCATGATAGGCATCTTTACGGCCTCCGCACTGATTGCCTTAGATTCAGCCTCATGTACAGTGGTAGCGATTTCAGGCAGACACTTGAAAGTATCACCCTGCAGCTGGATCGGAGAATTCTACGATAAGGTAAACCCAATTAATTCAAAGGCAGAGCAATCGGCTCTCACTGGTGATTCCGCGAGATTCTTGACATCTTTGAGCAAATCAGATATTCTCATTAATTGTTCTTCATTTGGGTGAACCTTCTCACGACCCTGCGGCCCAACAGCAGCCAATCCGTTCCCCTCGCGCACATCAGCATCCACGATCATGGGAGTATCGCCAATCATGAGGTTCCGCAATGGAAGAAAGCCCCTAAGGTCGACGTCCTCATCCAGGGGAGATACCAACGAAGGTAGCTTCTCTATAGGGAATAGCTTGTATAGGGCGTTGTAAAAACGCAAGAAATGTCGCCAAAAGACTGGCATGTCTGAGACGAATACCCCTGGAATTTCCTCGACCTGGCTTGACCCCGCAGGGGGTGTGGCATACACCACATACTTGAGATTTGCTAACAGCCACTTGCTCGCAACACGCAACGCGGGTAGAGTGCGCCTGAATGTCGCAGTGATACACTGCGCAAGGTTGTTCTCTGCATCTTCTGGTGGAAGGTCAAGTTCATTAGCGCCTATCTCCAGGAGAGACTGGTGAATGGCAAGAACATGCTTCAAAATCTGGGATTCGACGGTAGCAGGGTCAGGAATCCCTCCGGATCTCCTATTCGAAGGTGGAGACGTGTCCCGGATCATGCGATGTTTATATAGTGCTCCCTCTGAGAGAACAATGACCTTGGTCACGGTATCAATTGGAAGAACGCGCTCTGAAACAAGAGCCGCGAAATCCTTGACAACATCCGCTGCATGCACGATGGGATTTAATCTTGATCTAAAGGGCGACGCGGAATTATTTCATCTCGACAGCTGAAATTATCGATCGAACTCAATCACTCACTTATCTGAACCTAATCGCCATAATGCATGCAATAGCACAACTTTCTCCTTAAAGGACTCGACTCTTAAGCGTGGTGGTAAATCACCAATATCGGGGGCTGCTTGTATCCCTTCCCGTGTCCTCTTGGCCTGTTGATCGAGCGATTTATTGAGAATTTTCTTGACATTCTCGGATGCAGTGTCATAAGGCTGGCGAACGCAAAGCGCTCTATAGTAATGGAGAAGCGAACTGAACATGTCATTCTGATAGAAAGCGAGAATGGCCAGCTGATGTGATGGATTGCCCTCCGAAGGGACCAAAAGGCGCGCTTGCTCGTAGCACTGGACAGCTTTGTCGTAGTTCCTGGCGCGTGGTATTGAATCAAAGCCCGGGGCACCGCCTCTTCTGTTGCGGCCGCCTCGCCTAGCTGGCCCTGTGCCATCTTCCTGACCGGCTCGCGGACGCCCTCCACCTTCGTTGTAAAGCTCCCGATATCGTGCCATGTCACCCAAACATACTATTGCCTTGCTAAGAATCGCGAGGTTGGTTTCACGTTCGGCAGAGCTCGCAGGAGAAGGCGTATTGCCTTCAAGGGGGAATTGAAATTGGTTGCGACCGAAACCGGAGCTCGGGACACCTTCGTGTCCCCCAATGGAGCCATTGGGGACACCAAGGTCATCTGGAATCGCAATGTTTAAGACAGAGAGAATATGTTGTGCTTCGTGAAGTGCAAAGGACCGCTGGTATCGAGCTACTAGTTGTGTCCAAAATTTGTCTTCTTCAGCAAGAAACTGGCGGAAACGTTGCATTAGTTTGCGATACTCCACTGGGCCATGGTTACTCTGCCTGGGCTGATGGCGGGGTGCAGATTGCAGTGTTCGATCGAGAGTTGCGACGTTCTGCTTGTAGTTTGAAATAAATTGATAAGACGTCTGCATCCAAAGATGCGTCTCCGCATCTTTAGATTCCTTGGCGAATGGCTCGACAAATAATAGGCGAAGATACAGACGTCGGAGACTACGGATATTGTCAGGGAAACCCGTCGAAAAAGGATCTTTGGATGCGAGTACCTCTTCCTTTGAAACTCAACCTCTTTATCCCATGGAAGGTGAGTTTTGAGAAGCTCTTTCAGACTTTGGTGGATTGATTTTGCCTCACTAAGTTGAGGATCAGTTGGGGATCAGAGAAGTTGAAGATAGCAGCCAGCACCTTGCAAGCTGGGAGGCGGAATCGGTCATTGTAAATAGCGTGAGCGCGTCTAGATGGACTATGTGTCCATTTTTTTTTCTACCTTCACGGACGTCGAAGACAAAATCCAGCGCCCAAAAGTCGTCTCAGGCTGTGATGATGAGCGACCGTGAGACAAACCGGTTGCTCACATAACCTTGATTATTAGAGTACACTTTAAGGGTTCGGCCCTGCCGACTTTCACCCACCTTGCCGTACGTAGCCACCGCCATATTATTGCGAACGTACTAGGGTTTGGAAAAGTACAAAAATACATGTTGTATGAAAGTGCCAGCGACCAGTGATACTAAGCTTTAAAAGCTCTGGACAGTAATGGAGTCAGAGACTCGGATGAGACTTCCTTTTTTTATTCTTTATTCACGCCTTGGAAGGACTAGCCACGCACGTTATGGCATATCTTTTTTACCTGTGGTTCATCGAGCGAGTTGTCAGTTTATAATTGTCACGCTGGGAAAATGGAGGCACTTGGATTTGAACAAATTCGGTATTGCGATGTTTTGTAGTAAGTAGATTGGTGACCTGCAGCCCGTCGCTTTGTAGGATGAAATAAACACCGTATATATAGACTAGCGAGCGCTATGCATAAATATTGAATGTCTAGAGCGCATGTACAACGTGAAAGGCGCCCTATAGTTGGGATTGATCACGTGATTATTTAAGAGGAGCTAAGCCAAGATCCGTAGTTTGACATTCACGTTGTCACCTGGACTCCATCAAGACACTTGGACACGCCACCAGTGAGTCTAGAATTCATTCGAATTTCTTATTCAGTATTGGATGTCGCGCGTATGGACATCTCCGCTTGATGCTCGAGCCTCGCTGTCTTACTGGAATTTTCTGTGGACTGGCAATTTAAGGTCGTATCAGATTCTAGTTGGTCCGTTTCCATTGACACCGTGATCAGCCGCTGATTTTTTTCAACGAGGCTAAATTGCAGAAGTATATGCGCGATTAAGAAATCTACCCGGCACTTTTCCCCTTAAGCTTGATGGGAGAATACGTTTGTTCTGACTGTGGTAAGCTGTCTTTTTAGCCTCAATTTCCTCACGGTCAAACAATTGACACCGACCTGCAGAGATTTATGATTCTCCCTCAGGCTAGGCTATTTATATGCCCAAGTTCTACAGAGCATCCTTGCGAGAGTTGTCACAAGTACCTTCGTACACATGATCGCAAGGAATCCCAGGAGTCCTAGTCCTGCCCTGCATCGCATTTGCGTAGGGGGGCGTGCCTTGTATTTCGTGAACCGAAGCATGTAACACCGAGGCTGGAAGCAGACAGACGGCTTCCTTCATTATCGAAGAGGGGCCTTTACCACGATTCTCACATCCCGCACTTTCGCTTCAGCTTGATTCGATTCGGACCATCCACCAATCAATCTGACGGATCGAAGATGCTTGAGGGTATGGTTTGGTAAAGTTGTTACTCCTGCGCCATCGCATCCTGCTTAAGCTTGTGTTCGCGCCCTGGAATCTTTCAATAAGACTTTTTCGGGATAGATTAAGCGACCAATCTTGGATGTGAGCCCATGTTACATGCCCACCGAAATGTAGTGCTGAGATATCTTATTCTTGCATGCTTGAACGGGTTTGATTGTCAATAGAACACGTTAACTCGGAGAATTGTTATAAAAGCTTCCAAGTACTATGCAGCATATCCCTCCCACCATTAACCATAACTCGAAAAGGGACGGCACCGTTATCGTCGACCCCGTCTATTACACACAAAAGGTGCCAACTCACTTACTTCCATACCCGTCCCGCACCCGATGCCCCCGTTCTACGAAGTGGCTGTCGCCCGTTTTGGGCAATCATCCTCGAAAGCCAAATGGGTAATCGCTGTCGTATTCACACCATCTAACCATTCATTGGTTTATCAAATTGCTGGCTCGGCTGTGGACTACAGCCTCGAAGCACCGCAATCAGTCACACTCAAAGATGGGGAGAATGGTTATTTGGGGAGAGCACCTATAGGACTGGTGGACTCCGAGAATCTACATCTACTTCACACCACACTCGCATCTATTCCAGTCGTTCGAGGAGATGCCTCCTGGAGCAGCCACAATTGGGTTATGGAGGGTATAGCTGCTCTGCGGAGAGTACAGGGATATCATATCGACCAGCATGTGTCAATGCAGTGGATATCAGAAAAGCTAGGAGGAAAGTAACTCGGGTCATTGGTGACCGAGGGAGAACCCGCTTGCCGTCATCAAGATCTCTAGACGGAAAGTGGAGAGGGATAACTATATCAGGGACATTCAGGGCAAAACACGTATAAAGGGTACCGGATGGGATGATAAGTGTATTTTGGGACACTGTATCGTATCATTGTAGCGGATTGTACTCTTGTCACAAGTATTCCAATAGAGCTTACCGTATTCGTCGACGGAGCGCTGGTATAGGCGCATACCATTGGTCACCGTGTTATCTGACTTCGTGCAATTATGTAGGATATGCAATGTGTTATCCATAACTGCCGGATCTTTGCAAGCGGTGCGAATCAGAAGTGTACTGCCAGTGGCAAACGCTGTCATTGCCTGACATAAGAATAGTGACCTCGTAAGCACCGGTATTTGTGGCACCGAAGAATAAATAACGAGACCTATAGTGTTCCACTTGCCGAAAATACTCACGTCCGTACAAACCTGGATCCCATGTAAACACGTAATTATATCTTGTCTGAACAAACCATGTACCAATGGTATGATGACGACACAAACATAAATAATGAGTTTACGACTGCTTCACGGACGACATGCGTCGCAAATTTGTCGCGATCTGAGGCCATACTGGTGTTTAAACGGGTGAAGGAGCATCAATCATAATCATGTCGGCAACGGAAGCTGAAGCCTTCATTAAAGGATCAATCTACTGCGAGCAGAAAACAACCACCCACTACATTTGCTTCGGTTAGTAAAAGTCATCATTACCACCGTAGTATGCGTCATTCAAAAGTTCACGTCAGAATTGACTGTCGACTTCCCAGGGTTTCTTCCGCACTGAAGCTATGGAGGTGCTGGGAGGTGCGTCCTGGAAGGGTGTGGTAACCATATATATCATAATGTTTAATCATGTGACAGACTTACATTAAGCGTTTCGGGGATGACTTTGTTATTGGGTATGTTATCTGTCTTCCCCTGTTCTATCAACATCGTCAGCTCGGCGAACGTCATCAGACAAGTTTCGCCGTCTCCAGAGTTCGAGGACGGAGGTGACAAATCCATGGTCACAGTGAGATTTGGAGAGTCCACGGTATTCTGATGGGACCGAACATCTTCTATGGTCAAGTTTTGGCCGGCCACTCTGTTAAAGTAAAACAGCTGTGTTCGGAGGATGATTTCAGATTTCTCGACATCTGTCTTGCCACTCAGTGCACCGTGCGCAAGTAGGTCCGCTAGACCTTGCTTGCCAAGTAATTTTAGGAAAAGAATATGTATGCATCTCAGCAAGAGTACCTACCTGATAAACTTCATCAGAGGAGAATGGAAAGGTGAAGAAACTGCGCAGCGTAGTTTCTTCCCCACTAGTTTCATTGAGATCAGACCGTGATAGGCTTTGTTCTGAGAAGTTATTTCCGTCCCTGTGGAGCAAGTGAGCGTCGTAAAAGCAAAGGGTGGCACTGCGAGCTTTACATGAAAGTGGCAGAGATAAATGTATGGAGCAAGTTGTTATCGATCTCCGAGAAAATCGATGGTCAAACTCAAGAGTGGTATAATATTATGACTTAGGTTTGCTCGGGGCCCTAACTCTTTTCGGAGCGCCGACTGAAGGTATTACATAACATACATTCACCCGTGTGTTGACAGTGGAGCACGACAACCTTTCTCTTTTCACTGCAGTGATGTCTTCGGGAATCTCTAAAATCACAACCGAGCGAAACCAGCGTACTTTGCTAGAGTTAGTAATGCAGCCAGGGAACGGTAATGCTACTTCCCAGAAATTACTCGGCCAGTCATAAACTCATTACTGTTCAAGACATTTGTGCGGATTGTAAGTCGCGGAACCCGCGATGGGCTTCTCACAATTTAGGCATTTTCATATGGTATGTATGGCACGCGATTCCGCTGTATACTTGCAGACGTTCATCAGATGCAGCGTCAACTGTGCGAGCATCCATCGCAAGCTTGGTACCCATATTACGAAAGTGTGCGTCAGAAAAACACATAACTCAACTTTCAATTATTGACTGGCAATTCTGCACAGAAAGAGCATCACCCTGGACGCATGGACCAAAGAACAAGTCGAAGTAGGCGTCTTCATATCTGCTGACATGAGAAATTAAGCTCGGAGAAATTCTCTCCATGTTCACAGATCATGAAGCAAAACGGAAATATCAAATCAAACGCCTTTTACAACCCTGACGAAGCTCGCCACCCCTCACCCACCAACATGATGGAGGCAGAACGAGATAGCGAAATCGAGAAGTTCATCCGAGGTCCGCGAGCCTTCTTTAAATTCGTCTTCGTATGTCTGATGTCTTATCACAGCCAAGTACGAGTTTAAGTGGTTCATGAACTGTAAACCTTCTCAATCCGTTTCCCCTGCTCGTCTATTTTCCAATGCTGTGATTCCACGACCGAAGTCGACTCCTACGACGGACCCTGCACCATTTAAACGCAAGTCCTCTCCTATTCCTCCCCCTGTTCCTGCCAAAAACGTCACCCGTGGGGGTACTGGAACGTTTAATTTCCTTCCTGGCGTATTATCTCCAGGATCTGCACCAGTGCAACCCGCGAGATCCATCTCCCACCCGTTGCCTACACCCAGTTCCTCTGCTCCGATCCAGAAGCCTTCTGGGAGTCAGGTTTGGGATGATTTAATTTCATTACAAGGCCCTTCGCAATTCTCTTCTCTTCCACTGCAATACCAGTCGCAGAACCCATCGCTTCCTTCCCAGCCCCACTCTATGCCCCTTGCCCAGACAACTCTCGGTGTCTCACCCACACTGTTCTCAACTTTTCAGGGTTCCCACATGATGCCCTCGTCGATGTCATCGACGAGGAACACCACTTCAGTTACACCCATGCATGCCGTAGCTGCTAGTGCGAACACAATCGCAAGTCCACAGACTCCGTTCCAACATCAAACTTTGGGCTATCCATCTTCTAACACTCTCATCCCGTTTCCTCCACAGATGAGCGCTGGGTTTTCAGCGGGACACCCGCTGCAGCACCCCTACCTCAGCAGAATTATTTTGCTCAATCATTTGGACAACCCTCTCAGCCAATGCTTGGTCATATGCAAGACCCTAGCTTCATGTATGCGCAACCGCAATCACAAGTAGTTCAACAGCAATACTCCCCGCAGCCGCCATTTGCTGCTACACCAGCATCTGTAGCGCAGCAGCAGCAGCAGCCACTGTTTATGAGCAACACATCTTTTGGAGGCTGGCAGGGTATGCATGGCAATTTCTAATGGATAGTTAAACTTCAGATGTCGCTTGGATTCGAACTCTCAATATCCCTACACCTTTGCAACATAGATATGCTTAGTTGCACTTTTATTACTCATTCGAAGCGTTGATTCTTGCACAGTATCCCAGCTAATTATGTATTAGGTATGTTCGAAGCGTCCTTTATGTAGATCCCAATCTCCCACATGCCATGTCATATACTGCAGTTCATTAGGCCCAACGACGGCGATATCCTCCCTGAAGCTTGAAAGCGGTTTGGATTCCTGTACACTTCTTCCTAGTTTCCCTAGTACAACATGGACTCGACCGGGCCTCAATAACAATCATTGTTGCAATGGATGTGCACTCTTGGAAGGAAGATCTCACTGTGGGCAGAGGACCTGTAGGTACCTCATGATCAACCTGTCTTGGTGCTTCTGATGTCCATTAACTTGATTATAGCAATCTGAAATTAACCTCAGCGATGCTCCAATCTCTTACTCCAGAGTACTTTATGGAATCTGGGACCCCACCCCGAGGTTATATGTAAAGGTTTTTCTTTCAGCACGCGTGTATTCTCCTGATTATTGACATGTCAAAGATTGGTGGTTATAGACTTATCAGCAGGTAGACCAGGTCTTATACGGAGGAAATTACAGCACCGAATACAACACTGCTGAAAATGGCTGATGCTCATGATTCACACAGATGCACGTCAGGCGGACAATGGAGCGAAGGATGGGATCGTGATACTCTGTTTCCGGCGTGCGGCACAGCGAGATGCCAGGGGCATCCTACCTTTGCAGATTGGATGTGATTCTCTTATTGTCCCTAACTCGCGTTCGTTAACAGCAATGCAGCTTGCATTACCGTGGTGCAGGATAATTCAAGAAAGGAAAACGAAAAGCTGGCGAAGAGTATTGTTCTCATTGAATTATGTTTGATCAAGATACAGGGTCCTTTAAAATCTGGAGGACATCTTTGTAATAATACTTGAGACAAGTGAGCAGCTTTTGCTTGAATTCTTAACGATATTGATCCCTTTCTTGAGCGACTTCAGATGACCGATCTGCGTTGCTTGTCTTTCGCAGGCTCAAACCCCCTGCTACGGCAGCGGGTAGAGTGGCGGGTAACCAGAGCGGATGTCAAGTTCCGAGAGAAATTATCGATAACACTCTTAAACATCCTCCAACAGGAAAGGGTTGCTTCGCTGATGCGATGCGAAACAGGGACAATCGACCTAAGACAGATTTTCAGTGTTGGGCTATGTAATAGTGCACTTCTCATGAAGCACTGAACAGCGGTAGGCCCCTTCCAGTTCACAGGTCACTGCAAACTCCCGCTGCATGCTTTTGTTCGACCACTGGATCTACTTCATGTTCTAGATAGTTTGTTTCTAGATCATCTGTAGCCTGTTGTATGTAATGCGTTGTGGCGGTGCGATAAGATTTTGTTGCAATTTGGAAAAATAGGTCATATGATTAATCATTTGTTCGCTATTTCTTTAGTGCACAACGACAGCCCGGAAGGTAGTTTTAACTTTTCGGTTGCAAGATGACTAGTATGTCCCTCCCTCCGGGAACCGCAGCCGTAAAACAACAGTACGTTTTTCGGGCTCGTCACTACCTTTGAAATGGTTCACCGTCCGTAGATTCCTGTTGTCCCCTGCTGCCTTTCCTGCGGTTGATGATGATGCAGCAGAAGGTTCAACAGCTCACACTGGAAGATCATGTGCGGATGTGGTAGATACTGACGCAAGGGGCACGGGTGGCCGCAAAAAGTGGACCAAGGCGCAAAAAAAGGAAAAGCGTGGTGCCAATAAGGGCCGCAAGTTTGACAAGGTACATGATCAACTTGAGCTATGCTTGAGAGTCGCCAATGGGAAAATATGCGAGCATGGAGATGAGTTCGTGTTCTTGTTCTACCACCTCTCTGGATGCCTCTTATGTTGTGTAGATGTCGCTTTACGCATGACATCGATGCGTATCTGGCAGCAAAACCAAGGGATATTCGATTCCCTTCAATCACGACGATATCGGATGTTCCTCCTTTTATCATGGACATGGAGGAAGATAATTCTACGGCTGACGATAATCTTCACTCGCTCGAACAACACACATCGTGTCCCTCCTTTACAGAGTCGGGGTTCTGTCGTCTAGGACTCAAGTGTCGTTTTCTAGGAGCTCACGCTAAGCGTGATGCCAGCGGGGTAATCACGCTCGTCGAAGATGAGGAAAAGAGGGCTCAGACAGCGCTGAGCGCCACGGAACTTAATTTTATTAGTGCAGACACCTTGAAATTACTTAGATCCAAGAAGGTTAGCAATCAGCGCAAATCCTCCCCACTAGCATCAGAACTTAACCGCATTGCAGTATCCTAAGCCAATAACAGACGCATACCTCAAAGAACTGGAAGCTGCTAAAGGAGACTCTAATGGACCAGAAGAAGATGTGACTGTTGGTAAAGATAACTTGGCCATGAATGATCCTCCGCCTATTTCGTCAGAACTCGTTGCAAAGCGCACTGGAAATTCTGATTCCAGTGCTCAGACTGATACTCCAGATGTCTCTCTCCGCGTACAAGAGAAACGAAGGTTGAACTGGAGTGGTAAATCATGTATGATAATCTCTTCACAACGGATTGAAACAAATTAACCAAACACTTATGGTCAGATCTCGCGCCGTTGACAACGGTCGGCAACTTGGTACGAATATCGTTGCCCAAACACTAAATCAGTTAACCAAGTTACTTAGCCATTCAGACGCCTATGTATGACACTCGGAGCGGATATAACATGTGGTGAAAGTGCGTTATTACTTCCTGTCAGATTTCTCCTCTCATTCACATAATGTCCCACGTCATTCAATTTCGTGCACTAATATTGCAATCCTCGTACAGTGGGCCTTGCGACCTCATTTCTCACCGCTTCTGCATCCGAATTCTCGCTCGTTCGGCGGCATCCATCGGAGAGCATGTTCGGAATTCAGCTTGCAGGAAATAAACCTACTACGTTAGTCGCAACCGCCGAAGTCCTCGGACGCGAATTTGGTGATGCAGGAGGTATAGACTTCGTCGATGTGAACTGTGGATGTCCGATCGATCTTGTTTTCAAAAGCGGAAGCGGGAGTGCTTGTGAGTCGTCTGACATGGGGTCTTCCGGAACAGTGATAAACTTAGTTGGATCCGTAGTACTGGATGCACCAGCGAAACTCGGCAAAATTGTCACCGGGATGTCCAGGGCGTTGGGCGAAATTCCGGTTACAATAAAGCTACGGACAGGCGTCAAGGACGGTCGTAATAATGCACATAAGATCATGTCGCGCGCTGCCACGGAATGGGGGATTGGTTGTATCACAGTGCGTCGCCATGATTTCTCTTGATACCTTGTCGGTTCATGCGACAGAGGAATAGCTTCATGGCCGTACACGCCAGCAACGGTATACAAAATTGGCTGATTGGGAGTACATCAAACAATGCGTTGACGCCGTGCGGGCTAAAGAGGCGGATGAGGGCCGTAAGTTCTATCCACCTTACCTACCTCTACCATCCTGACAGTTGCCTGTCGTTTTTGACGTAACACTTACGGTACATTCATCCAGTATCTCCGATCCCAATTTTCGGTGGTGGCGATTGCTTCTCATCGCATGATTACTGGACCAATGTCTCATCCACTGGCGTGGACGGAGTCATGATTGGACGGGGAGCACTCATCAAACCATGGATCTTCACGGAAGTGAAGGAGCACCGAGAATGGGACATCAGCTCGAGGGAGCGATTACAGTTAATTGGCAAGGTAACCTTCCGTTTCTTTCCTCATATATCCCTCCTAGCTCATATCTTCAAACAGTTCACTGAATTTGGATTGAGGTTTGTTTTCTGTTCAATTTAATGACAATTGCTGGTTAAGTCTGTATCATCAGTCACTTTGGTACAGACACAACAGGTGTGAACACGACCCGCCGATTCCTCTGTGAAGCGCTTTCATTTCAATACCGTTACGTCCCTATCGGGCTACTCGAACGACTCCCAGCCAGGATTAACGATCGAGCGCCAGCATTCAAAGGAAGAGATGAATTAGGCATGTGCTTAATCGGTCTTGTTGGGACTGAAAATTGATGTTTATAACGAGTAGAAACACTCCTTGCAAGTCCGAATAGCCAGGATTGGGTCAAAATCTCGGAGATGTTCCTCGGTCCTGCGCCAGAGTCGTGGTCATTTACACCGAAGCACAAGAGCAACGCGCACGGTGAAGAGAGCCAGGGCTGATAATTTTCGTAGAACAAGTGGGAGGTCCTGGAGAAGTAAATCCCAGGGGTCATTGGGCTGTATAACCATAATCTCTTCTACACAGATCGTAGTCGAATGAAGATAGTCATTCCTTCTCTCTTTTAAATCTCTGCTATCTTTGCCATATATATTCGCAAAGTCTTGACTACTCAGACAAGGAGGCAGCATCCAGCTTACTGTGTTTTCTTCGTCTCTCATTCTCCGCCCGAATCTTCCTCTCCATATCATCCAGAAGTTTCTTCTTTTCTTCATCTTCCCACCCGCCCTCGGCCTTCCATTTTTCGGGCATGTACATATGTACGCCCATGTGCGCCTTAACAGCGCCCGACCACCCGCCCTCGCTTGCTTCCCTTATCACCCTGTCCACTAGCAGTTGCTTTGGTGTCATGAGTTCTCGGACGTGTGCAGGCGGTGCGCTCCGCCGGCGTTTAATGGTGGCAGCAGTGACTTCACCAGAACGTTCACGCTGTCTTTGAATTGTTTTGTTTGCCACCTTTTCTCGACGTGCTTGTTTACCTTGCAGTACAAGTCCAGCGGGCGGTGCAGCACGATACCGTGAAATATCGCGCATCATGCATTCCTTTAGTTCAGCCTGGCGCTTAAGGAAGGGCTCATCTAACTCACCAGACGTTGTTAACGTTATTAACTATCCGGACAAATACACAGCTCACCCCACTCAGATTTTGCCCCTCCCGTGTACACTGGGGCCCACAACAAGTGTTCTTTACGAAGCAGTTGAACAACCTCTCCTGCACATCGGTTGGCATGGTCCCCCAACATCCTGCCCTTCATGTGCCGAGCCGCACCCACGGTCTCGCCTCGTGCACTCTTGAGCAACGCGTGCTCAAAAAGACTCTCGTGCCGTAAGTCATGTGCCCAGCTCTTCAATGTTTCCCGTTGCTCCCATCGACGGTCGCGCGCGAGACGTCGACGCACGATCATTCCAGTTATGTGAGCAGGCTGAGGGATCAGGCGAGGAAGAAGTTTATTGTCAAACGAGGGACGGATGAAAGAGCCTTTGAAAATAGGACGACTGCGGAGCTTGGCTTCCCAGTTCTAATAGAGTTCTGTGAGTAGACAATGAAGGAGGGACACTAGGATACGTACGAAAGCCTCTAGTATACGCATTTTCCAAGCGGTCTTCTCGCGCTTGGTGGCAATCATTCTTTCATACCTGCTGAAAATGTTCTGAAATTTGATATCACCTTGCTCCGCGCGCTTGAAAGATTCTAACCACTGTATTTCCTTTGCATCATGCCGATGATTATTTGGGAGAATCGCAATACCTTGTATCCCATCACAAGTTGCTCTTTCGCAGAATGCGCCTTCACAACGTGCTGGTTCTTCCTGAACATCATTCGCACACGAAATCGGATCTGTACCCCATGTTAGACAACGCAGAATGAAAAATCATACCGCTCACATTTTCCCCCGGTGCATGTCTGAGCAAACCCCGATACAGTGACCAGAGGGTTGGAACACGGTGAGCAGAGAGTTCATAGAATGGAGCTCTTGGACGAACGCGCTTAAGAGGAGAGATGAGGGAAGCTATGCGAATACGGTGGGCGGCGGAACATGGGAGTGGAATCGGAACCACTGACATCAAGAGTCAGCTTGCCTGACAGTAAAACTTTCCGCTCAAAAGTTGGTATTCTTGGCTGGAATACCACGGTCTCTGGCTGAGTTTGTTCCCCCCCCACACTACGAGCAATTCGTGGGGTCCGACCAAGTGACCATGATTATTAGTTTGGGTTGTGTTTGGATCGGGTATTACTACGCCATAAAATGATGCACATGAACCAGAAATATGGATGAATATTACCAGATCTATTGGTATCCCAGCATACACATGAAAGCAGATAGTAGTACTACAACACAACAATTGCAAGGCACAAAGTCAGCAGTGGCATCTAGCCTAACAAACGTTTACATTGGTTAATAACGCAAAGGACCCGAGATCACTGGTACTTCGCGCAGAATTCCCGGTGGAATTTCTCTAACTTCCCGACATATTCGTCCACGCCAGGACACAAGCAGGTAAGACGGTAATGGTACTCTCCTTCCTTCTGCCCAAATCCACTGCCTGGCACGACGCAAATGCCTGTTGCGTCTAGAAGCGCGAGTGCATAGAATGCATCTGGCTCCTTGCCAGCAGCTCGTGCGGCAGCTATCGCTTTTTCTGGGAGCATGATCTTGGGGTAAAGGTATAATGCCCCGGGAGAATCAACGCATGAGACGCCAGGTAGACTGTTTAGGCGCTCTGCCATGAGCTTGGTGCGCTGCGCGAGTACCTTGTGGATTCGGGTTGTCTCTTCTTTCCATAGCGCGTAGCTTTCGCCGCCTTCCTTGGGGGGTCGGACAAGGCAGTCCACGCCAATTTGCCCCTGCAGCGGAGGGCAAAGCCCAACGCTCACCATTTTGTACATCATCGCGCGGACGTCATCCGAGATGTTGTGGCACTCGAAGTAACCACCACGCCGCCCACACTCCCCTGTTACACCTTTGCTGATGCTATGGAAGGATACCAGTGGAACTGGCGAGCCCATGTCGCAGACAACCTTCTTGAATGACGTGAATGGGAATTCGGCCGCACGGTGTAGGTTGCTCTGATAGACTTCGTCCGCGAGGAGCACGAGTCCATGCTCCGCGCACAATTTCGCCACCTCCCTCTGCGTCTCCTCCTTCAACAACGCACCCGTTGGATTCCCAGGGTTGATGATAACAAGTGCCTTGGGGTCAATGCCATCTTCTTTTGCCTTTTTAAGTGCAGCCTTGATTTCGTCAATTGACGTCGACCACTCATGTGCCTCATCAAGATGGTATGGAATTGCCACGCCCGAAAATTGCGCTAGTGTCGCTGTATACAAAGGGTACTGCGGGATCGGGATAAGGACGCCAGATTTGTGGGGTTCCGAGATAAGCATTGAAATCAGAAGCGAAACCCCAGCGGAAGCGCCGCCCGTCAAGAAGATGTTGTCCGGCGAGGATGGATGGCTGTCGCGTTCTGTGATCACGCGTCAGTTACATGAAGAGTGACTTTCAACCCTGAGAGTATCATGACTCATAGTAAGGCTGACGCTACGCCCTGTCTCGAGGCAGAATGATCCAAACCAATGCGGGTTGTGACTTCCTCGAGAAATCAACAGAACTCGGCTGGACGGGTCAACTTGGCACGTGGCGCATAAACGTTCCAGGGGCGTTGCTGTCAGACCTAGTGGAACTGATGTAGCTACTCACCCTGAATAAATTTCGCGACATTCTGACGAATGAGAGGGACGCCCTGAGAGTGCGAATATGCACCGATGGAACCAATTTCCTCGTGCAATTCCTTCGCACGGTCAATAACGTCTTGTGGAAACGTATTGGGTGCGAGTTGCATCAGCTGTGGCCACTCCATGAGTGCAGCAACCTGTTACGGTGGTGAGAAATGTGCTTCCGGCACCTCTGTGACTTTGAGAGGATAAAAATAAAAATGAAGCTAACCTGTCGATTAAAGGTAATGGGAGGTTGGTCGAGCCCCTTCTGTTGGGGGTTTCCGATGTTCGAAGAGATAATTCGATCAAATGGCAGACCGCTGTCCTGACCCTTCTCCTTGAGCGTGACCCGATATTCCTCTGCCTTTATTGCCAGTTCACCACGCACGGCATACTGCACATTGCGAACGGCAGGGTTAAGAGAATCAACAGTGAGAGATCGCATGGTGGTTCTTGTCCAAGAGTGTGCCAGTGGATGAAATGGCGATAAAGATCTGAACCTTCCTACGGTCCCAGATGCCTGGAACATCGGCCTGAACTTTCTTTTTCTTGACCTAGTGAGAGTTGGTTTGGAGACCTATATATGGTACATTGGTAACCAAAGTCAGACGTTCAGTCACACGTGACCCGGCACACTCCGCTTCCAGATTTTTTTGGTCGAGTGACAGTATGTAGGGAGCTCAATCTGCAAGACAGGATTATGCCAGACTCTTTCTTTGCGTCGACAAAAACCAGGAAGCGGAAGCGGTCTGTCAGCACGGCTGAGGGAGCTAGAGGAGCTAAGAAAATCCTGCGCAAGGGCAAATCTAGTTCTCAGGACACAAAACTTAGCAATGCAAGCGCAAGGAGGGGAGCGAGGGGAGCCGCAGATGAAGAATTGAACTCGGACAGAACAGATTCGGAGGGTGGCGTAATAGATGACATCGATTTACGCGCGGACATCCAGCCCGAGACCAGCGGTGACGAAGATGAACAGGAAACCCCTGCAGAAAAGCGATTACGATTGGCGAAGCTCTACCTGGAAAGTGTGAAGGGTGATCTAGGCAAGTGCAATTGGACTGAATTTCTGTTCTGAGTTTGCTCAATGTTATGGGAATCAGCCGAGGGAGAATTTGATGCTGCTGAGATCGACAGAGAGCTAATATCAGAACGACTGCGACAAGACGTCCTAGAGCATTCTGGCAAAGTTCACCTCTTCGTGGCAGATTTTGTTGGTATTTTTTTTTACCTTCGGTGATAGTCTGGCTGACGTAGTTTTGGACAGTATGATTTCACTTCAACGTCATCCCTACGATGCAGGGGTCACCGTTTCTCTGTTACATCTGCTGTCGCATCGGACGATGCCCAGTTTCTATACACGTCAGGGAAAGAAGGAACCATAAATAAGTGGTCTCTCCAGTCTGGGAAAAAGATTGCGACGTTCTATAAACAGCGCATTTCCAAAGGCAAAGAGAAGGCGCTCCCTCAAGATATTCAAGGGCACACGGACGAGATTCTCTCTCTCGCCGTAAGTAGTGATGGTCGATACCTCGCCAGTGGATCTAAAGATCGGAGAGTGGGTGTATGGGATGTAGAGAAGGATGAATGGGTGAAAGGCTTTGGAGGACACAAGGATTCGGTTTCAGTATGTATGTCCTATGTGCATGATGTATACAATGCTAACATTGCATTTACCTCTAGAGCGTTACATTCCGGAAAGGCACACAGCAATTGTATACTGGCTCGTTTGACCGGACTGTCAAACTATTCGATCTCTCAGCAATGGGATATGTAGAAACGCTATTTGGACATCAAGATACCATTCTCTGCCTGGATGCTCTCCGAGGAGAGACTGCTGTTACTGCTGGAGCAAGAGATCGAACGATTCGATTCTGGAAAATTGCAGATGAGAGCCAGTTGGTCTTTCGTGGCGGTGGAAAAAGTGCAATAAGGGAATTGCTTGAAGGAGGTGCGTTCGAAGGCCACCAGGATGAGGAACACGTGAATGGAGTGGAGGTTGATGGTCCGAAATCAAACAAAAGTAAGGAAAAGATGAAGGAGAGCAAATATGCGGAAGGGAGTATCGAGTGTGTCGCAATGATTGATGAAACTACGTTTGTGAGCGGGGGAGATACTGGGTATGTTGCTCGACGTCCTATGAATAATACCACTGAATACCGCCTGAAGCTCAATATGTCTTTGGAACACCCAAAAGAAAAAACCTGTTTACACACAGACAGTGTGCCATGGGTTCCACGAAGTACAGTCCACGACCGAGGGGCTTGTGCGGACACCCCGCTGGATAACGGCCGTTGCATCACTGCGCTATTCAGACATGTTTGCTTCCGGTAAATCCATTCTTTATTATTGTCATAACAACGACGTTGCTCAGTTCAATTTCAAGGCTCATGGGATGGCGATGTGCGATTTTGGAAGCTCGACCAAAAACTCAGATCGTTTTCACTGGTTGGGTCGATACCTGCGCCCGGTGTTGTCAACTCCCTACAGCTTCTCGTCTTACCCAAAGGCGCATTGGACAATGCTTCTTGGAGAGAAAAGGAACAACGGCCTCCCACAAAGAGCCCAGTTCAACCTACATTATTAGTTGTGGGATTAGGTCAGGAGCATCGCTTGGGACGGTGGCTGAGCATGAAGGGGGAAGGAGTTACAAATGCGACCACAGTTCACATCATATATCCTCGGACATAGACACCGAACCTTTAGGCCTTAACGTTAACATTATCGCCTGCAAAATGAGACTTCAGGTCTTTCTAGTCTACTACATAGTACAAGCGGCAACACTCAGGGGCTAAAATTAAGCAGCGTCGTGACGCGTGACAACAGACCACGCGACGCGACGCGTCCAACTGAGTGGCACTCTACTTGCACGTCGTTCTCGTCGACTGACACAGTACATACAAAAGTCTCCTGACGCAGACGTCGACAATTTCAACGGCTTTGTCCTTCACATCATGTCAGACAATGAGGCACCAGCGACAACCCGCAATGCCTGTACGCCTGTCTCACTAGCATAGCCCACTCATTCACTCACAGCGTTGGGTCAGACCAGGAGGATATTATAAAGATATTGGTTGCGACAGACAATCACATTGGATATCTTGAGCGCGACCCAATTCGTGGACAGGACTCTATCAACACATTCAAGGAAATTCTTCAGCTTGCTGTCAAGCACGATGTTCGTGCTATCCCTCCTAATTTCATATCTTTTCCTAGAAATGTTTACAGGTCGATATGATTTTACTCGGCGGAGATCTCTTTCACGAAAACCGCCCGTCACGCGACTGCTTATACCAGGTTATGGCTCTTCTCCGGGAGTACACACTTGGTGACAAGCCTGTTCAACTTGAGCTCCTTAGCAATCCGGATGACGGGCGAGCAGAGGGATACAGGTACTTTCGAACTTTTCTTGACGTCCCTGAACGAATGATCACGGCCCTCAGCTTTCCAGCGGTTAACTACGAAGACCCAAATCTCAATGTTGCCATTCCCGTCTTCAGCATTCACGGTAACCACGATGATCCACAAGGTGCTGGGCTTGTAAGCTTCATTCCTTCCATAGATCCTTACTGCTCAGAACCTAGTCCTTCCTCGTTCCCTTTGCGCTAATCCACTCCTTCGCCTCTCACACGTGAGCACTCATTTACATTTAACAGCAAGGTGCTCTCTGTGCGCTCGATGTCCTCTCTGTATCAGGGCTCATAAACTACATGGGCAAGTTTGACCTCCCACTATCCAGCGCGTCGAACCCCAACCCTGTAGAGAGTGATTTGGGTATGCTCACGTTCTGCGTGCGCGGCGACTCGACACTGATTTTTGCTTTCCTCGCTTTCGTTCTGTCTCTTCTTCGCGCGATATGAACCGTGTCTCCATTGAACAACCACGAAACGGTACTCAGGTATATCTATCCGCCCTGTTCTTCTTCGCAAGGGTCAAACCCGCCTTGGACTGTATGGAGTTGGCAATGTCAAAGATGCACGCATGCACTTCGAACTCCGCAGCAACCGTGTGCGGATGTACATGCCTAGCGACAAGGAAGATTGGTTCAATGTCCTTGTGGTGCACCAAAATCGGTACGCGAATATTGTCCTCTGCCCATGCGTCCTACTTAGTTCATCACTTCGCGTGTCTTTGCTCTTGCGTATCCGTTTTCCTGCGTCCTTCCGTTCCTCAAACTGATCATCAACACTGATTGACAGTGTTCCCCACCCTCCAACTCCAGCTGTACCAGAAGGCCTCTTCGACGACTGTATCGACCTCGTCGTTTGGGGCCATGAGCACGATTGCCGCATTGTACCTGAGCCCGTCGCTGGTCGTCCATACCATATCACGCAGCCCGGGTCGAGTGTGGCTACGAGTTTGGGCGAGGGCGAGGGATTGGAGAAGTAGGTGTCAGACACTTCCCAGATTTCCTTTGACTCACCATCCCCTTCCGTATCTAATTTGCCTTTGGGCCCTCGAACACCATACATTTTGTGACGAAGGCACGTTGCTCTGCTCCAAATCCATAACAAAGAATTCGAGCTTAAGCCTCTTCCTTTGCGTACCGTACGTCCGTTTATGTTGGGTGACATTTTTCTCGCGGAGGCGGCAGAAGAGGAAGGATTCGATGTAAGCGACCAAATTGCTGTGGGGAAGTTTTTGAGAGCAAGGGTGGGTCCCTTTTCGTTTTCACTTAGGCCTGGTGTGCAGGTTGCGGACTCACTGTATGATCCAGGTAAACGCTCTCATTGACCAAGCGAACCAGTTATGGGACGAGCGCAATGCGCACGCGGTGGAAGAAGGTGAAGAGGAGCTCCCACGAATGCTGCCGCTTGTACGACTCAAGGTCTGTTGATCTATTCCTCTACATACTGCGATACAGAATAGGCAGACCGCACCCATACTGACACTTACCATTGATAGGTCGACACCACTAATGTTCCTGCAATGTCCAATCCCATCCGGTTCGGACAAGAATTTACTGGGCGGATTGCAAACCCACGCGACGTGCTCTCTTTCCACCGATCCAAAGCCCGCTCCGCGGCCTCCCGTACCGCGACCTCTGTAGACCAACCCGAGCTATCCATCGACGATCCAGACCTTACGACGAGCGAAAAATTGGCGAAAGTTCGCGTGCAAACATTGGTACAGGAGTATTTAGCAGCGCAGGAGCTGCAGGTCCTCGGTGAGGCAGGTATGAATGAGGCGATTAGGATGTTTGTAGAAAAGGATGATGGGTGGGCTATACAGACGTGAGTGTCATTTGCATTTTCAGGATGTTTTTCTTAGAGGCCTGATCATGCCGTGTATGCTGTTCTGATGTCGTCACTCTTTTTGTCCTACTTTGATTCACCGTGCTAATATTATGAGCTCATGTAGACACGTCTCAGGCGCTCTGCGCGCGCTCATGAAAGGCGTACAGGAGAATGGGGAGGTAGACGAGGAGGAGCTAGACGACGTTGTACGTTCTAAGCTTCCTTTTTTAACCTTTTGCTGAATCCAAGCTGTTTTATGTAGCTTGTCAAACTGAAGGAGCAGCACAACCAGGAGTACCTAGAAAAAGCAAAGATGGGGAGGACAGGTAAGGGAAAGGTGGGTTCGAAGTTGGCCCGTGAAACCGCACCTCATACCACACTTTAGGGCAAAGATAAAGCTTCCGCCCCAGCGGACTCCGACGCCGACTCAATGCTCATGGACGTCGATGGCGGGGAAGAGGACGGATCAGATTTTGACGAACCCGCGCCCCCTCCGAAAAAAAAGAAAGCTGCACCCGCGAAAAAGGCTGCACCGGTAAAGAAAGGGAGGGGAAAGAAGGCTGTTGCTGTGAGTTTACGAACTATGATATGGTACACAGAATGCTGACTGGAGTTAACGCAGAGTGAATCTGAGGAAGTCATAGAATTAGACGAAGACGACGATGAGGAGGAAGACGAGGCACCGCCGAAAGTTACCAAGAAGACAAATCGTGCCGCGGTATTGAGGTTGGTTCCGGTCATATTCTGGCTCCCTATCACTAAAACCACCTTAACTCTAGTCAACCCGCAAAGAAAGCTCCTGCAAAAAAGACGACGACGAAAGCGAAAGCATCATCGTCGGGACAGGGCACATTGAGTTTTGCGCCGTCAGGGCGGTCCTCTACACGGACCGCGGCAACACGGGCAAGGGGTAAAATGGCCAATGTGGTAAGTCACATTGCAGTATTTTTCAGACTTTACTCGATTGATTCTGTGATTTGTAGGTCGAGGTAGATAGTGATTGATTTCACGGTTCCACATGTTTTGTGTTCTCAAGATCTCAAGCTGAATGCACTATCTTAGAGAATGGCATTGTCGCACTTTTTATCAGATTACCAAATCTGACGCACTGGGCACGCAGGTACAATCATGATTAGGTACGTTTATGAAATAGAAGCCACGGACAAGGATGTGCGGTTATAAGTTATTCTCGGAATGAACAGTTCTACCTAGTTTCCTACTGCGAGTCGCGTAAGGTTTTGCCTTTTCAAAGGCTCCGAATCGAATTCAAAGAGCCGTTCTCAGTGACTAACAACTCCCACCGATATCCAACTGCCGATAGGCTCAGACCCGGCGTTCGTCTACCGTTCATTCGTTTCATTCACCCTGAACGTACCCTCTTCTGAAAGCCCCAATGCATGTGACCCTAGGCGATCTGCCACCTGAGATCTTACTCCTCATAATCGCATACACACTCTCCAGTGGATCCGTCCCAAGCAACATCCTGTGCGTCAACCACCAGTTCCGCGACGCCGGCGTGGAATGGCTTTATAGGAACTTGTGCTTTCGCTCTCCAGAGCAGCTAAGGCTTTTTGCACAGACCGGCCAGAACACGGGGGTGGTGCTGCGCTCGGTGACAGTCGACCTGACAGGCAAGTTTGCGAGATCAGACGTCTGGCAGCATCTTCGCGAAGCGTTGTGCAGGTGCCGCGATCGTACTGAGAAAATGGGGCTGGGGAAGAAGCAGATCCTATTGAAGGCTCTTTGTCTGAGACTCCATTCATACTCACGGGATACTAGCCACCATGTGTTCGAAGAGGCACTGTCTGTTGCCAAGTGAGTAGATAATAATGGATGTCTTCCCAGAGGTGCATCGCCCTGATCAAAAAATTGTATTCTGTAGTCCCCGAGTATTTCGGTGGACCGGACCCGACCCAGATCACCACTTTTCCACTGCAGTGCGTGCATTTCAAAAATCTTGGGTGAAGAAATCTGACGAGACAATTCAAGATCGTCGCGCCCGTAGCAAGCCGCCTGTGTAGAATATTTGGCACCTGGTCAAACATTCAAGATATCACGGTCACCAACATCACCTTCTCCGTAGACCCGGATAATTCGGTGATGCCATTACTCCCAGAGATTCCCGGTCTTCGCACTTTCTATGTGGGTCAGGCAACATTCCTGAGTGCAGGGTCTGTTGCGGCAATTTTCTGTATCAACAAAATGCCGAGCCTGGAGAGGGTGAGGCTTGTGGATGCCTACTGTGAGAGTATTTGGGGCTCTAGGATTCGAAGGTCGGATATCGAGAAGGCAGCCCAAATTATGATGTTTCCCCAGAATGAAACACAGTACGAAGGTGTACTTTCACGCATTCGGAAGCTACTTACATGCGAGAAGAAGACGGAGCGCATCATTGGAGGGGATCGGGTGGAGGGTAATATCTTTCTGGTTTGAGCGCATCGATTTAGAGGTAAGAATAGAGATATACACAGACAGAAGGAGACGCCGGTACATTGCAGTACACATTGCCAAGGGGGACATTATATCTCGACTTCTCGAATACCGTCTTTGTCAACTACTTTGACCTTGTATTTGCCTGGGTCAACCACCAAACGCTTCGACACCTCGTTGATGCAACGTTTCAAGGTGGCAAGACCCTCTTCCAGGGGTGCTTCTGGATCATGGTAACTATGTAAGAGTGGTCAGCACACCATTGCACTAAGTAGCAAGAAGGAAGGAACTGGTAGACCGAGATAAAGAATCACAGTAAGGAGCAACGACGTACCGGTCAAGCAAACTCAGAGCGAAGTAACTACCATACCCATGCGCAGCAAATGGTACTTCCACCGCTGTCCCCATATAATCAATCCAATACAAGTTCGGTGTGTGCGAGGACGTGTCATATCCGCCTAGCAGCAAGTTAACTGAATACGCGTTTCGTGATCTCAGAGATTCCGCTATTGAACGGCGGATCCAGGATGCGGCCGCGGCTGGGCGAAGAGGATACAGATTACGAATTTGGTACAGACGAATGTTGCGCTCGACGTATTCGGCGAACTGGACGGTATCACCTATTTCAAGTGTGTATTGTCAGAAATAATGCAATGGTCATTCAGGTTTGTACTGACCTGGTTCACCCGAGTACGCCATGAGAAGATGAGGACTGAGCTCCTTGATTTTGTCTTGATCAATCTGCATCTTGACAATGGATCGGGCGGCAGTAGTGTCAGCAGCTACGATCACGTAGCCCTTGCCAGTTAACGCAAATGACGTTTCCATGTTGTACTTGTGGTGGTTTGAATGAGGCTTAAGGACGCGTACTCTAGGACTTCGAGGACACGACGCGCGTCACATTCAATTTTGGCCTAATTTGTTAGCCAACTCCCTTAGCATTGAAAATGTCAGAAATAATGAACCAGTTGCCTTAACGGGTTTTCCAAGGTCTGCTCAGTACCTACTAGTCACTTTCGTGCCTAGTAGGCCCTAGAGGTGACAAGTTAACCTTTACCAACCATCTGAAACACCTTAAATTCGTCTAGCCAGGCAAGCGGGCATGCAGGCCTTCCATATCCCTGAAAATTCCTGCGCTCTACCGGCTCACCGCTTTTTACATCTTTGCATGGGGCGATCCGAGCTCGTCGTCTTGTGTCCAAATCAAAAAAAAAAATGACAAGTCTTACAGAAATTCTCCTTGCTATGTAATTGCTGTGGGTCTCTGCAAATTTCCATCTACCCCTTATGCCACCTTTTTTTTTCCCCTTGAAAACCGATGTGACGGCGCCAGCGACGCTGCGATATGCCGGCCGCGTGTCTCGATATCCGCAGCGCTGTCGTTTTCAATCAATCATCCACTTTCGGCAAACAAAACGCGCGTACGCATCACATTGATCATTATTGTAAGCAGCATCAATCATTTGTCAGTTACTGCAGGTCACTTTGTGCTTCCTCCCCTCGCATAAGCAAGCGAAGACGGACATTCCCTGTCGCAGCCTGAGTTCCCCGTGGTCGGTCGCCGAGGGGTTTGAGGACGCCTGTGGACATCCATCATAGTCAGTCTATTTTCGTCTGTTCCCCTTCATACATCTGAACTCATCTCGGACCCTGTGAGATGGAATTAATGACATTTCGCGTTTGACTGTAACTAAGCTTCTCTAATAGTAATACTGGCAAGACCGCTCAGTCGTGAAATATTGGCCGAGCTGTGTGCTGTGTGGTGAGCTGTGCTAAGGACAATATGCGAATTCACATATTACGCGTGACGTGGCGGCTTTCCTAGTCCAGCCGCCACTTTGAAGATGAACCTCGTCCCCGACGCCTTAACATGCGTAAGTAGTATCCATGATGACCCATATCCGCATTTCAAAAGCATTCAATTACCTCTTGGCTGGTGACCGACAACAGCTCCAAGAAAACTGCGGTAGATTAGGCTTTTTATTATACTCCCAACAAAGTTGACATACGCACGACTAATCTACTTGGCGAACATCACGATGGGGATCTCCATCAAAATAACAGCGCCACGCAAGAACCCATTTTGCCTGCAATCTGAATATTAAACCTAAAGCTTGAAGTTTGAAGAGGAGCTTGCAGTATTCTATGCACAGCTTATCTGGATTCTGGAAGTCGTGTCATATCACAGGTTCATTATCTATCAGTTATCTACCTTACGTTTTAGCACCAACCTCGCTTCCGCTTTGTCCTGGTACTCGATGGTGGACACTGTAGCGACAGCCTATACTTTGCATTGCAGGTAGCCAACCACTTTGCGTGTACTGCATGTCGAAGGACCTATGGAGACTCCATTTCCTTCTGATACAACGCGTTTGCAGGCCAGTGGCGACCGAAGACAGGAAGACTCGGAGATGCCCCTGCTGCGATTCCGTTGATGAAAAGAAGTTGTGAAGCATTAACCTGAGGAGACGTTGACGTGAGGATCGGGTCACTCATGACTGACCGTAGGACACCGGGTTCCCTCGACAGAAGATCCGATACTCTGCTAGGGTCTCCTGCCAGTGTGTGATTGAGAATCAGATAACCGCCTTCGATCGTCATGAACCTGAAATCTGTAGCCTTGTTAAACTGGCCTGTTTAGTACCCTGACTCCCTAAAAATTTGTAGTCCATCGAAGGGGTCACTAGATCCACGCGGATCTTGAGGACAGCCTTGGTGAATTAGTCGGAACATTTGTCCAGGAGTCAAGCAAGTGATTCACACGTTCTTTCTTCCAACTGTTCCGCCGGTCTCACAGCACTCCTCGCCTCAACGTGGCCGCATCTTCAACTTGGGAATTCGTTAGGTGGATCCCCCATAATTAGGAAGCTCATGCTCAACGAAGACGAGCACACAGCTATTTCAAATTTTCGTGACGGTATCTTGCAAATTTTAGGCTCGCGTTTCTCATGGCCGCGTAATAATCAGATCATTGTTTTTGTTGGCTCTGCTAGCTGAAAACTGAATGTAAAGATAAAGTTGGCTAGGATCTGGATGTACCCTATCCATCAGTTCGTACGTAATATAATTTCGCCAGTAGCTCGACCCCAGGCCTGACTCTCGGATTCACAGGGAAACTCGTTGCATCCCTAGTTTTAAGACTCACGTGGATTACGAGATCTTCCAGACTTAGCGTGTCACTCAACCTGGTACCGGAGGCTGACAACCAGTGCAAAGCCGCCGCATCAAGAAGTTTGCTCAAAACACACCAGGGCTTCTCATTACGCCAGCAAAACTAATTTTAATATAGCCGAGCGAAAGTCTTGATGTGGGTCAAGACATTCGATAAATATCGGGTTCTCGTTTGAGGTATGCCAACTTACCGAGTCTCTGTCAAGTTGAAATCATGCCGAATTCTAGGTCATCTCCCGTTTATGCCAGCTCTGCCTCTCCTGCTTATGATTCATATGCTTCCTCTTCTTCACCCTCTTCCGAGAATATCATCTATGGCAGCTCATCATCTTCATACACACCACCGCGTAAGGCATGGGTAGACCCCAAGAGCTTGGCCAACTGCGGGGATGCATCCCAGATACAGGGCAATGTATCTCCCTACGTCAAGCAACTTATCCTCAATACATTCATTGCGTACGGGGCTGGTGACGAGCACTGTTTTGGTCATTCCGTTGCCAAGGCAGTGAAGTTCATCGACATCAGCGCCCATGAAAGCTACGAAAGACAAGGTCGTATGGAGGCAACGACCGTTGCAGAAGTTCTTGTTTCAAAAAGTACGTCGGCGTGTACGAGGCATATTTAGGGATGCTCACAAGTCGCTTAGGCATGTTGAATGGCGCGGGAATGCTCCATGGAGGTTGCATGGCGTTTCTGATTGATAAGTCAGTACGAAGTGGTTCGACGCTCTTCGGGATGTTCTGACAGACTACTATAGCTGCTGTAGCACTCCATTGGTCGCTCTGGGACTCATAAAAAACATTAATGGAGTGGGAGTCACTCAGTCGATGAACATCATGTTCCACTCCCCTGCACCAGTGTACGTCGGTGTGACCAATTCCCGTTGCTACCCACTCACTTTTATTACTAGTGGATCGTGTTTGCGTATTATCAGCACTTCAGTCGCTATGGGCAGCCGAATTATGAGCGCTCGATGCGAGGTTTGTTCTCTTGATCAATTGATTGACGATTGATTAATGAGTTTGCTCAGGTCATTAACCAGAAAACAGGCAGTGTAGTTGCCTCAGCATACCTCAACAAAATGCAACCCACCATGTCAAAGCTTTGATGGTTTTATCTCTTTTCTGTTATAGACTCCTGGCAGACACTGTATCGAAAGCAATCTCTCCTCGCATGTACCAAACTAAGTATAAACAATGGGCTTGTATGATCATAGATGCTGTATTTCATGGTGGTACGTACAGGTAGATAGACACATTTAGACACGATAGGTATCCAACAACATACATGGGGCGGGCCACAGTATTATTTTTAACTACAATGTGATTATATCTCCCTCCCTATGCATTTTAAGGGTCGATTCCAAACAAAGTGAGTCGCCAAGTCTTAAAGTCGCTCTCATATATTGATCCCTACGCATTGGGAACATGAACGAACGGAGAAATCAAATAGAGACTCAGCCCCGCACCGTGAGGACGCAAACATCCCTGAATAGCCCTCAGGAGTATCCCGGTTGGTAAATACCGTTCTTGCGGTGAGCGCTTTCCAGATTCCTGAGGCCGATCAGAAGGCTAGCGGTTATTTCCGCTCCAAGCCAGGCCCGGGGACGCTATTGTGGGTGCTTCGCGGAGCTTTTGCTTCGTAGTCGCATTGAAGCGATATCTTGAAGTCTTCAAGAGTCAAGACCCGCCTCGTGTCGTGGATATAGGTAGCATCAATTCAATCCTTCCAATGTCATGTTTGACGCGATGCACCGGCACCTCCCATCGATGGGAATGTTAGAGCAATTGCAGTTCTCTGCTGTGAACGCCGCATAATACTTGTGATAGGATTAGATACTGAAAATGCAGACTGTTGTACTTATATATATCTCGTCGCTCATGGAAGAGGAAGACTTCATAGATTATCCTGATTGAGTAATAAGATGGATCTGTGCATGTGACGGCCGAAGGACTCGAGCCGTATTCTTGCCGCCATCCGTAAACGGGGTTGAGAAGCAATCGGTGCTGGGATTTTACGATGCCAGAATCGAAGGAGAGCAGAAATGTAGCATCGCAAGACGGCAGCCGCTAGCTTCCGCTATAAAGAATACGCGTACGACACTGGTGAGAAAGCAGAATCTGTCACTAGAAGGAGAGCGGAAACGTAGCATTGAGAGATAACAGCCGCTAGCTTCGGCTATTAGTATGAAGAACACGCGTACGAGTACGGGAGCGGTGAGAATGCAGAGTGCAGGCGAATCCTGGAGGCAGGAGCTGCGAGACAGGAACCATCAGGGAACCATAGTTAGTTGCAGAAGGTGTCAAGGACACATAGTAAGTGTGCAGGATTGTCCTATACTAGCGTGCGTCGCTCAGTGAGACGAGACACGGGGTAGGTCTGGTACACTGAGTTCTGTTATCGACCCTTAAGTGCTCAACGTTCAACGCTGAGTTTCGTTTTGAATCTGCTTCCTCGAGATACCTAATTCCATTTGATTGACATCCATGAGAAAGTGCGTGGGTGGCGTTGCTCCGTTGATCAAAACGTCAGGCTACTGCCCAGTCCGACTCGGATGTGCCTCCACCGAACCGCTCAACATCCAAGTTGTCATTCTGACAAGGCTTCGAAAGAAGCAGTCGGGCATGAGAACCCATGTGTTCACCCAGACGAGGCACAGTCTGATAATAAATTTCCCACAAGGGGATTTAGTTCAAGTAAGCTTCGTGAGGTCATTAAAGACATGAATAAACCAAACCAGGCCTACGCCACACTTCCAACCAACGTATATCATCAACTAGGCCAATCATTGCGTCACATGTTCAGAGTCCGCATGTCCATCGCGGTACTTCTTGTCTACAGCAAGGCGCTCAGCCACTTTCTCCACCTCCCTCTTCCAATTTGTTCTGAGGCAGAGCCAAATGCTAAGGGTTGACGCGTAAAGCAGGGCAGCGGTGAGACCACACCAAAGCCCTGCGAGTCGCATGTCTTGCTTGAAGGTGAGCCACAACCCAAAGGGAATCCCAATGATGTAGTAGGCGCTGAAGAACGCGTAAGTAGACATCGAACCAGATGAGTGGATTTGACACAATTTACCTAATATTGAGTAGAGCTCCAGTGAACTGACAAGTACCAGTCAGTCAGATGACGGGCGGAGTATGGTAGAGCGCGTACCTGTTTACCCCTAGCTCTCAGTATTCCGGATGTGATAGCGCATGCAAAGTCGGGTACTTGGAATAACGCTAATAATGGCAGGATAGATGCCACAAGTGTCACGACCTCTGTCAGTGTGAGCTGTACGTGAGGGGGTAACTTCTGCTATGTGGTATTCAGACATACCGATATCGTTGTTGAATAAATAACCCCATGACTTGCGGAAAGTCAGCAAAACGGCACTGGGCAACGTCTCAAAAAAACAGCGTCAAACACAAGTGAAGCAGAACAAACCAAAAGAATCCTGCTATTACAGCAGAGAGCAGGATAGCTACATTTGCAGAAACTCCAGCACGCCTCGCATTCCTTTCCCCAAGAAGATTACCGATACTGTGGTTTCAGTTAGACTCAGTATGTCACCCGTGCAGAACAGGAACGAACCGGACGGAGGTCGCAATACCCAGAGAAAATGGGGCTTGAAACGTAGACGAACAAGTCGACAAAAGGACTGATTGGGTTGCCAACGCTGTAGGCCCAAGGCTATATACGGAACATCGCTTTAATTCGTTGATACTAGAACGTAACGCTTACAAGCTAGCAGCAACTGTGAAATCGAAATTCAGTATGTTTCCTCCCAACAACGAACAAAGGGAAAATATACGCACGCCCGATTAGTTCCCACGACCACCACTCTGAAGCAACCTGACCTATATGTAGATGAGCTTGGTAGCGTGCGATATTGTCTCAGTTACTCACCAACGCCACCTAATCCAAGCTGGACAAGAAGACCTAGCGAGGTGAAGGATCGCCTTGACAGCGGATGCCAGGCAGTTCTCTCAACAAAGAAAACGCCGTAGATGACAGAGATTATTGACACAAGATTGTAGGAAACTGATGTCGCTATTGGGGCGCCGATGAAACCCAACCTGATTGGTTCCGGGCCCCATACTGCGGTGAACGCATAAGTGTGAGATGATCAAATCCGAGCATCAAAACACACCCAGCAGATAATTCAAAAGCACGTTAATAGGTGCTACTGCTACGATAATACGAGTCGGCGTATTAAAAAGACCTTACGGATATTGATGGTGAGCGTCAAACCACAGGTTAGAACAGATTTACACACCTTGCGACTGGAAATATCGGCTGACGATGTCAATCAGGACAATGATTTATAAGTAAGAAAGCCAAGCTCACCGGGAAATACAATTGAATGCATAGGCCGGCAGACCTAACGAGGCCCATTTCAAGTAGATACCAGCGAGCCTGCGCAACCTCCGGCTCTTGCCTCAGTAAGAGCAGGATAGACTCTGCATTGAACCAAATAGCAAACATAGGCTAATAACCCGATGATTCAGTGAAAAACACGTTCAACGGGATTCGACGACTTACTATGAGTGCAACAGCCACGACAATAGCTTTTAATAACAAAGGTAAGTAACGAGAATCAAACAAACAAACAATCATGCTCACTCATGCGCTGCGTCCATAGTCCAACAAGATGCGGCTGATCAGAAGTCCAGGCCCCGGGAAGCATTGTGTCCAAGGTTGAAACGAGGCCATGAATAATGCTCAGACCAGTGACGTTAGCAGTCATGAACCCAATAGTGACGGCAGCAAGAGAGACGGTTGAGATATGGCCTATGGAGACCACGGACGACATTATCATGCTGTGCTCAAGGACATGGGTGCTAACAGAAGGGTTTGGTTCAACTGACAGTAAACTTGATGTATGAACTCACCCAAAGACAGGCAAGGAGTATTTCACCAAGATACATAGTTCTTCCCAGTACATTTGAGCGGTACTAGGTTCATGACCATCACTAGGAAAGTCCACGTTTCTCTCGGATGCGTGGCATCAATGGAGCTAAGAGGGGTGTGTTCTCAGTCGGCTGAAGCACACCCGAAGCTGTAGGAATGATATTCGTGGACGGTTGCGGTGGAAGGATATACGATGAAGGGAAGCTGGTGCGCCTAATTTGCTTCCTTGATGCAAGCAAGGCATCCTCTTCACCGTATTCTTCCTGGTCGTTCAACCTGGCAGAAGAGGCTTCAGTCTCTTCCTGCGTTTCTCCTGAAATGGGAGCAGCAAAACGAGAGAGAATGGCATAGTCCTGGGGAAGGGACGATGGTGTGCCAGATAAGTGTGCCATTAATTCAACTTGGTTGTTGATACTATCTCGGAGTCAAAGAGCTACTAGATTGACGTAAGTGTTGTCTGACATTCGATAATCGATTGCTCACCTGTTCGAATGAACTTCTGATATAGATACTCGTTGAAAATGAGAGAAAAGATAAGGGGGAGAAGTGAAGGATTTAAGTCAAAAAAGTCACCGCCAGGGTCATCCGCAATTAAAGGGTTTTACATAAATAAGGTGCGGAGCTCAGGTCAGCATGTGATACCTGCAGACAAATCGTCAATTTCAACTTCTACACCACCAAAATATTATCCTTTTGATTCGCCGTTTGAGAGGATTAAACGTTATCAACGTTATTATACGACTCACCTGCATATATAGCTAGATCCAAAACTATACTTAAATTTATCAATGAAAGATTATGCTAAGGAAGCGAACAAGATGACGAGGGATGTATGTATATTTGGCCATATTACATCACGTGACAAGGCGCGAGACGCGATTCAACTTCAACTTGGCGTTGCACCCAGTCGCGATAGCTGCTAATGGCAACAAAAAACCGCGTCTTTTCTAATGCAAGGGTAGTCTCTCGTCAAGGTATCCTCCAATCACCCACTCGGAAATGTACCAACCCAGAGGTTCGCGATTCCGAACACACTTCACAGCCACGGAAGGCGTTTGGCGACACAGTGGATTCTGACAGTTCAATCGAGATATTAGAGGGTAACCTGTTCGCACAGAAGAACCTGAAGGGTACAAAGAACTCAAGTGAGAAGCAGCCCAAGCCGTACGCGTCTTATAGCTTGTTCTATACCTCGAATTCAACTTTTCGATACATAGAATCCACCCATTCTTTTTGGAGCAGTCCAGACGTAAAGTCGCCCTTACTTCTGCACTGTCAAAGTCGAATAACAAGGTGGCAAATCTCGACGAGAACCAGAGAAGTACAGAATGCGTTGCGCTGCAACCCGATAAAGTACTGAAGAGATCCCTAAATCACACAAACACTATGGAGACCGGAATATCAAGGTCAGTTTCTCATGGCCGATCGCATAACCGAGTGTAGATCCTTATTAGAGTTAGACGGGGAATTGCTCCGAAGAAAATGGGTGGCGACATTAACAAAGCAGGAGTATACAACAGCGAAAGCTTCACCAGTATGACGGTGGCTCGAAGCTCAGGCCCTGGAGGGAAAATGCCCGAATCTTATAAAGGAAAAGGTAGTCGAGTTACAATGTCCAAGTCGAAGTCGAAGTCCGTTGTCGAAGCAACCTCCTCAATGCCTAACTTGCCTAACTATTCCTACGTGGATTACTGCGACCCCTCACCCACCGTTGTCTACACGCGCTGCGAGGATGAGGCGAACAAATTGGTTCAAACACTTGAAAGGTATGTTCACCTGTAACTGTTATCGACAAGCAGCACCGAAGCATTCACTATGGTCTTGTAGTCCCCTTGGATTTGACCTCGAGTGGCGTGTACTCTGGAATTCCGGTGCCCAGGAACGACGAACAGCACTAGTGCAACTGTGCGATAAATCAACTATCTTGCTGATCCAGGTGAGCCAAATGAAACGTACGTTATCCCTCAGTTATGGTCTGCTACCACCTGAATACTTGGCCGTGCGGCAGGGTTTCCGGAAAGGGTCTTGGTAAGCCCAATTAGTTCATCTGTGCTGTCCCATTGACAGCCCGCAAGGAGGTAATCGAGTCGCCAAGCATCGTAAAGACGGGGGCGAACATCCACAGTACGTAGCTTGGAGGTGTGGACTGTGATTCACCTGACGCAAAATGGTAGATGATGGCGAGAAATTGTATCGTGACTTTGGGATCACAACCCGAGGACTCGTCGAGCTTGGTGCACTTGCGCATGTCGCAGATGATACTTTCTCTAGCATATACAAGCGACGAGTAGTCAGTCTCGCCAAGATGACTGCTATGTACCTCGAGTACAATTTAACGAAGAGCAAAGAGCGCACCAATAATTGGGAGGCAGACCTGAACGACAAGATGGTGCATTGTGAGCTCCCAAACGTGATGCAGGAAAACTTCGATTAATGACACCCATCAAGATGCGGCGAATGATGCGCATGCAGCACTGATGGTGCACCTGAAGCTCCTGGACTTGGCCAAAGCTAGCAACAAAGAACTTGACCCGACCAAGTATACTTGCTCAGTCGATCCACCTAGTCTAAGGACGGGTACTACCAAGGTGATAGCATCACCTACGCCGCCGGAATCCAATGCGCCGAATTTTCCGTCATTAGCACCGGCGCCCCCTCGCCCGCAGTACATGCGGGCTTATAACCTATGGCACCACCGGGATACGCCCCTTGATAAGATGTGCGACATATTGAAGACAGGTGGTCGAGTAGAGCCTCTGAAAGAGAGTACGGTGATGTATGTGATATCATTGTTACGTTGTGTTCGATGCTGAATTGTAGCTTGGACAGATCGTACGTGGTGGGTGCCATCCAGGCAGATACGTCGCTGCCGTTCGATATGAGTAAGCTGCTGGAGCTGGTGAAGATGGAAGCGGGAAGTTGGTCACGACATCGAGCATGGTTGATGGATGCAGAGAGGAGCGGTCGTGGATGTTGTGTGCCGCTGGAATCGCTGACTTGTTGAATAAATCAACAGGCCGACGGCGGCCTGAGCCCAGGGCTCTGGCCAGATGCTGGATGCTCAAGAGTTGGAAGCAGGGGTGGTAGCGGCGCTGCTGCTATGTCTCTATGGAGGTGAAATCGTTGTATGAAAAGGGTTGCCCAGGATGGCCGCATTGATGAGTATATATGTACAGGTTGTATGGTACGGGTAGAGAGGACACAGTTGCGAGGCAACCCATATTGCAAGAACTCAGGAAGGAGCAACCGTCCTCCTTCTACATGGTCTAACTAGGGGAAACCTGGGGAGATTAATTCCAAAATCAGTTCATACTATGTGCAAACGCATAGCTGAGCCTGGAAAATGACTATGTAACACTGCCACGCTGCTGGCACGAAATTGATTGTTCCCGCTCCAACTCCGTAGTATACATGAATTTTCCTACTCACGACGCTCTTCTTCACTTCAACAGTTCATGATATAACTCTTCATACTTAAGATTCCTAGGCTACCACAACACATATTCACAGTACCAACAAGTGTTATAATCCTCTCAAACTAACTGGCACTTCGATTGTCACAATGTCCCACAAGCATGATACTCGTTCGCAGTCGCAGAGCAGCAGACTTCTCGTCGTACGTCCCAATCGTCATATTCCATTGCTCTCCAGTGACCAGGGACTCTAATTGCAGATCGGCACAGTGCTCTTCTACCTTGTAGCAGCACTATGTGTACGTCCGTCTCCTACTTACTACCCTCCTGTTCGTTCATTAATCCCTTTGCATGCAGATGGTCATGGCGTAATTTTCTTTTTCTGTCACAATGTTTACCAAGCTCACTCATCCGTCTTGAAATACAGGAACAAATGGGTTCTCAAAATCACTGATGCCCCGCTCTTCTTCCTCTTTTCCCAACTTGTTATTGCCGTCATTCTTTTCATTGCCGCACATACAACCCGCCTATTAGTTCTGCCTTTATATGTGGACACCCAGCTTCTCATCCAGCTCGCCCCCAACATTGCGTTGAATGTCGTGGGATTGAGGTATGACTCCCATGAATCAACAACGCCAGGTTTTGACATTGGCTCATTTGTCTTGTTACCAGTTTCAGCAACTATACCCTCAAGTTTGTCGACGCATCTGTCTACCAAGTCGCACGTGGTCTCGTCCTCCCCTTCACAGTCCTTACCTCCTACTTCTTCCTCTCCGCGCGCCCGTCCCTCCGCATTCTCTATAGCTGTTCCATTGTTACCCTCGGCTTCTTTGTTGGTATCTTTCTTGATTCTGTCCGCATGGTTCTCGCCGGTATTGTCTTTGGCGTTGCAAGTTCCGCAATCACAGCAGTGCACAGCGTGGTCATCAAAAAGAGTCTGGATGTAGTCAAAGGCAGCGCCATCAACCTGTCGTGGTATACAAATTTGTTCAGCGCGGTTGCGATGATCCCCGTCATTGTATTCGCCGGCGAGGTTCCAGCGATTGAGGATTTGATTTACGGAGCAGGTGCTATCGCCAAGGAAGGAAAGCTGAGCGAATTGCAGACGTTCATTTGGGGGTCGGTTATCACGGTGGGTTTTCACTCCAGCTTTGGTAATTTACGCTATTGCTGATTGATGTATCATTAGGGTGTGCTTGGCTTTATGATGAGCCTTGCCAGTCTTTTGTCCATCAAGGTTACTTCGCCCATCACACACATGGTGTCCTCCGCAGTAAGAGGCGTAGCAGCATCTATATTAGGGGTGGTGTTATTTGAGGATATCATCTCGGGGTGCGTGTTTTCCGTCCGCATCGTGTCATGTGGCTGCTTTCTCTTTCTTCCGTTTGTTGCGGGCCGCATCCTATTTTTTGTTGGCAAGATTTGTGATTTACATTTTTTTCTACAGTGGCCGTGTCTGCTCCATTGCAATCATCCTTCTAGGGTCCGTTTACTTCACGTGGGTGAAACACGTCGAATCTCAGCAAAGTCCCAAGGATGGGGGCAAGTATGACCGTGTTCCGCTGGAAGATATAGAAGCTGGAAAGGAATTTGGCTCAAAACCTGAGTGAGAGTGCGGGAGTATGGATTACCCGCCCACGGAGCGAACGCTGATGAAATTGGACCTTACTTCAGGACAGGACATCTGATTACGAGTTGTGATACCCTGAGTACTTATTTGATTCGAAGCAGATAGTGTCATAGAGGAGAACGGTACATGGGTTGTCACAGTGATAAAAAGTATGCAGGACGATTGTGGTCTTCGAGGAAGATAAATTCACGTCCGAGTCTAGCGGACAGAGTCAGCTTAACTCGCAAAAGGGTACTCGGAAGCGTCGCGATGTCACAACTTTGCTCCTTCCTTTCGTTTACGTTCCTCTTCTCTCTTCCGTCTCGCCAATAGGGCTTTGCCAGCACGACTCGTGGTCTCTCGCCCGAGTACCCCAGAAATCCACTGCCCGATTTCTGCGAGTCGCACCAGGTCAACAGGACCTACATCCCATCGACTTTGCACCGTCTTGGCGGGCTTGCCATTGCCTATAATATATTATATGATCAGCTCACACAAGGAGAAACATGCACAAATGGATGCTTCACCATATGGTTCACCAATATCGCCGAATAACCTATCTCCAGTAAGAGCATAGACGACATCTTCTGTTGCAACATTACCCGTGGCGCCAGGACTATACGGGCACCCTCCAAGGCCACCAACAGACGCATCGAATGTCCGCAACCCAAAGTCAAGAGCAGTCATAATATTGGCAGTCGCTGTCCCATTCGTATCGTGGAACTACACAATCCAGAAGAACATTGAATCAACCATAAAATAAGATATAAGCGAGTGAATCTTACATGTCCAGCAAGGATCCCTACGTCTACTTCTTTTGCAACTTCCTCAAGCATCCCACGGATGCTGGCAGGTGTCCCTGCGCCTGTCGTATCTCCCAAGCTCACCTCGTAACATCCCATCTGTACTAGCTCCTTCGAAACATCCCTAACCAGTCTCGGATCCACGCGTCCAGAAAAAGGACATGTGACGACTACTGAAACATACCCTCGCACCTTCAACCCAGCATCAAGAGCCCTATGCGCCACTGGTGCGAGACGTTTGAGAGAACCTGAAACAGAGACGTTGGTATTTGCGAGAGAGAACGCATCTGTTGCAGAGGTGAAGATCGCGACTTCGGTGACTGGAGGTGGGGGCTTTGCGTGTGAGTTCGGAGAAGTGCTAGGGGAAAGTATTTCTAAGAGGTCGTCTAGCCCTTTCTGATTTGGGACGAGCACCGAGTAACCGGTTTTCGGGAAACTGTCTATGAGAGATAGGACCTCTGCTGTGCCTGCCATCTGTGTGCCACGTCTGCATATTAGCACGAGTGTTGAGGTGTTGGAGAGTACTGGTAGAGACGTGCCTGAGGCACCCATTTGGGGCTCACGAAGCTGCCAGCTTCGATGTTGCGGATCCCTGCGATAGCGAGTTGATTTATGAGTTCTGCTTTGATGGGAGGTGGGATTGGCTTGGGTTCATTTTGGAGACCGTCGCGAGGTCCTACTTCGACTATCTTTACGAAATTAGGATTGGTTGAGCTGGCGGTGCTTAATGTGGGCTGTGAGGTGGAGAAGGACTTGAGGGGTGTCTTGAGGGATGAGCGCAGGATTCGAATGCACGAAGAGGTGACGGTTGGATAACTAAGCATCATTCAAAGTTGTAGAAAGTTGAAGCGAACAGCGACTACATAACCGGTCCGGTACCTTCTCAGGAGGAGAACCATTCGCCGCATTGATTGCTGCCGGATACTTAGCCTGGCGCTTCTACCATGCAAAATATGATATGCCTATTCTACGTACATATCCAGCTGCAGGTCATACCGGATAGGCTAAACGTCTATCGTCTCAAGTACCAAACTTGAGGGAGATAGTAAATATGAAATTGACGGGTATTATGACTCGGAAGACATCGTAGTAGTCAAGGGGATCCTCCGAGTCGGCCAACTATCGGTGTATTTGAACAGTACATGTCGCATCTGCATGTACAGTGGCGGGGGTACTTCACTTTAGTATTGTCACAGCACGACTTTGCATTCATCCAGTCCGATTTGCTGGCAAGGAGAACGGTAAGCCGGTAACTTGAACATGAAGTCCCCCGCAAAACAGTGACACACCTGCAATCACATTGCCCAACAGGTTGACGGCGTCACGGGGGTCGAGACTGGCTCTTGTAATACTTAGCCGGGTGACTCTCATTTGGAACGCCTGGAGGCAATGCTATTACTATGGGCCTCACAAGCGAGGAAGAAATCAAGCTATGCATCATCTTACCGCCCACATGGTGCCAATCGGACAGATTAGAACGTAAATTTGTTGCCTATGGGCATACGTTTTAGTCTGTTATCATGGAAAAGGAACATCATTGATGTATCGGATTAGGAGAATAAACACAGCAAACTATTGATGTGGCATGGTAAGGCACTGATGCAGCATGAGTGGGGCTTGTCAGGGGCGTTGGGCTTTACAAGGTGAGGAGCTTGTCGCGGCACTCTGGCAATGCAGTGGGAACCTCCTAGGCCTGACATATTGACTCATTTGATTAATATTAGCAGAGAAAGTACAGGAAGCAAACCAGGCTCCTTCCCACAACCACATCGCCTCGGCTATCATTTGGCACGTGCTACAACTTGAAATTTAAACGTTACATAATAACTACCGTCATCATATTTCGCTCAGTCTACACTCCCTCGCAGTTCGCTCCCTCAAGGTCTCAGGCCCCACCCTCGAAGCAGCGTTGGCAAGGAGCAGCAATGAGCCCGGGTACGGGATATCATAGGATGATAGCGTCGCGTTAGAAGTGCGGCTGTAAGCACGCTGGCTTACTAGAGTTACATAAATACTGTTCGCGATACTGAAACGTGAGCTTTCAGCATCACTGCCTTTTGGCGTGACAGTTAAACGGACGACAGTCTTGATTCAGTTACAGCGGCCCATCAGATGCACCCTGGCTTGGATAGCATAATGCTGAACAGTAGCGATGACCCCCGGGACTTTCGTGATAGTATGATCAACTATACTTCCGCTAAATGACCTTACTCCCGTTCCAAATGGCCCTAAACCTTCAATTACCACCGTTTCCAGTGGCATAGATACAGCACTCCGCCAACAATATTATTCGAAGTCTCGCGAATCACGCACAGACACGTGAGATAAACAAGTAGCTGTCATTCAATATCAATGATAATTCATGAAGAACAAGTGTCTTCTACGGTCCTATGGCTACGGATGACCGCTTGGAGCCTATTTCTAAGATGATCGACAATCAGTGCATCGCGTGGGTACGAATGTGTCTACCTTCATCCACACTGATGACACTGTCTTTTCATAATAGAGTTGCATTCTTATCGGCAGGAGAAAACTCAGCCCCCTGAGATTCTGTTAATGTGCTGTGCTCCACATCATATCTGCAGGGGGTTGTTATGGTAAACCAGCTGGGGCGTTTAGGAATCAGATCGTAATCGCTGGCGAGAGTTTCCCTGCATATATCGTGACACAGGTTCGATCTTAAAACATTGTTGTTCTCCCCGTTCCTTCATCGTCCTCGAACGGCGGTTTATTTGTTTTACAGGACAAGAATATGCCGTCTCCCATCACGCTGAATCCTCCATCCTCATCTCTATCCATCTTTAAGGAGAAAAAATTACCCAGCCAGTTGCCATCAACGCCGACGGCAGTGTCGTATTTTTCTGCTGTTCAACAGGCAGACACTCGTGCGCGCTGTCACGATGATTCCTCTGTAGCATCAACTCCTACACTTTCCTCCTCGCCTTCCATCACAGCTTCCTCCGAGGACAACGCCCTCAGCGAGGACGATGAGAACAACTGCCTTGTATACCCCCTTACACCGCCTACCTCCGAGCAGGTCTTCACTACCGCTCACACAGAGTTTGGTCACTGTGCGAATGAGGCATATCGTTGCGTCTCTGAGCATGACTACACGAAACCTTTCGAGGAGCAAGCCATCGAGGAGCCCCCATACTATATATTCCTCGCCACACACATAAGTTTTGTCATTCTCCACTTGTTAGGTCATATGCGCGACTTCTTTGGAAAGCGGTTTGCGAAGTCTTCTTTCGCCCACCTTATGCCCCAGAATGTATGTGCCATATTTTGTCCTCCTTAAACTTGTTCATCACATCTTGTTCCATGCGCAGGGTTACGCGCCATTGAACACAAATTTTGATTCATTCTACACTCGGCGGCTCAGGGGTCGTATGACTGACTGCCTGTGCCAGCCTGTTACGGGTGTTCCTGGCCGCACTATTGTTATCCTCGACCGTTGCTCCACAGATAACAACTACACTCAGATCCGCACTGGTGGCAAGACGCGTGCGCTAAACATCTCATCGTACAACTACCTTGGCTTCTCCCAGGGTCGTGGCGGCTGCTCAGATGCAGTCAAGGAAAGCATACGCCGATATGGCGTCTCCACCTGTGGCACACGTCTTGAGAGCGGGAGCTCCGAGCTCCATGTATCTGCCGAAGCCCTTGTTGCGCGTTTTGTCGGCATGGAAGATGCGTTAATCACCTCTATGGGATTCGCCACCAACTCCACTTTCATCCCTGCACTGGTGGGAAAAGGGTCCTTGATCATTTCGGACGAACTGAACCACGCTAGTATTCGCATCGGTGCACGACAGAGTGGCGCACATGTACGGGTATTCAAGCACAATGATATGTCAAGCCTTGAGTCCCTGCTGCGTGAGGCAATAAGTCAGGGCCAGCCCAAGACGCATCGTGCGTGGAAGAAGGTCTTGGTCATCGTCGAGGGTTTGTACTCCATGGAGGGCACGGTCGTAAACCTGCCTAAGATTGTCGAGCTAAAGCAGATATACAAGGTCCGTTTTGCAATGATAGTTATTTGTTACCATGTTTGATCTTCTGTTTAAGTTCTACCTCTACATCGATGAGGCGCACTCAATCGGTGCGCTTGGTCCTCATGGACGGGGTGTAACGGACTACTTCAACATCCCTCCTAGTTCGATTGATGTCTTGATGGGCACTTTCACCAAGTCCTTCGGTGCCGCTGGCGGATACATCGCAGGGCCGAAAACTCTTGTTGATTGTCTCCGACTGCGCGGTCACTCCGGTCCATATGCAGAAGCAACTTCGCCCCCCGTGCTCGCCCAGATCGTTGTATCGATGGCCAGTATCATGGGCGTTGGTTTGGCACCACAACCAACCAATTCCAAGCTTTCCCTCAGGCCTGTGAGCTCGATCGTCACGCCTGAGAGACAGTGCAAAAGAGCTTCTAGGTATGGTACCTGCAAGCAGCCTGCCGACGTGGATGAACCTTCCTCCGGCTCTTGCAGACGGATCTGAAGCTCGCATGCGTATCCGCCGTCTTGCCTTCAACTCCCGTTATCTGCACGCGGGCCTCAAGAAACTTGGCTTCATCATCTATGGACATTCCTTCAGTCCGATTGTTCCTCTGCTTATCTTTAACCCGGGAAAATTGCCCGTGTTCGTGCGTATGATGCGTGCGCGCCCCATACCAATCGTTGTCGTTGTTGTAACGTACCCCGCCACTCCGTTTGAGACGGCCCGTGCGCGGTTCTGTCCCAGCGCGTCGCACACAAAGGAGGATATCGATACAGTGCTACGGGCATGCGATGAGGTGGGTGGAATTCTGGACTTAAAACATGGTTCGGGCGAGAGGTGGGGGATCGATATGGTCTGTGAGCGTGCCGTGGAGCTTGTGCATTCTGTGTGAACGTTTAAATGCCTGTGTGACCGTCTCCTCTAGTGCCTCCTTGATCCACCTATCTAGGCCCATCTATCCATATTCCATATTCATGATTTAACTCGAAGGACGGAATCAAGTGCGGCATTTTGCCCGCTCTGGTGCCTCTTGGCAGAGCCCTACAGTCTTGTAGTAGGTATTCTCTAACTGGGCTTACTCACAGCTCAGGAAAGAGTTTACCTGCATGGAGAGAGATCGGGGCGAAGGGCATGGTCATCAGTACACATTTATTTGTGTTGACGATGTCACCTCGGTGTCACACCCTGCGTGGTGTTTGCAAATTCGCCATTCTCTGTTGTGCCCGCATAGGCAGTGTTCTGTGTTACCTTCGCCAAGTTATCCTCCAGCATTTCGAGATCTTTGAGAAGCAGTGGCTTGGCAGGGTTCTCTGACACCGAGACATGAGGTTGCATGAGTAATGACTCGCAATGAAGATGATGACTTGGACCTGGAGCACTGCCGCATGCAAGTCGTACACGCGGAGGTGTTAGCAACTGTAGGTTCCCATTATTTGATAGTGGGTCTTTCATTGCCTGAGGTCTGGGCTGACGTGAGCACGTGAGCATTAGGAAGGCGCTTGCATCGCTTCAAAATATTTTGCAAGCCAAGTTCCACGGCCTGTTCAACTTGAAATTCAAGTTGTTCTTGCCAGTGGACAATTCCGATTCTTGGGTCATCATAATATCAACCTGATGACAACATGGGCTCTCCTGGACTGATTGCTGATACCATATGCCATGATGACATCGTGATTATCGAAAGCCACTGGTAGAACTTCAAGTCGAGTGACTTACTGACCACCGTGACTAATGCTATCGTGCCAACTAGTGCTAGTACTGTGCGTTGTTCTGTGGCCCAGCAGTTTCGCCGGGGCACCTTCTTACCTGTGTCGTCACCATTTCTTTCGATTCTAATCTTAAATCAAGTGCTTTCCGTATTTCACTCGTACTAATTGTCGTGACATAGTTCATACCCACGGCGTTTCCGTCTCAGCTAGTTGCTCTCGCTCTATCGTCCGTGAATCGTGACCGCCTTTGGGTTCACGCATGCACAAGTCGTCGTCAGAATGATCACGTTGTTGTTTTAAATTTAAAACACTGCGAACGGATGCGGGCTCTGAGATTCTTCCTCTTGCGTCCAAGCAGGCTTCAGCAGAGACAATATCTTGCCCAGAGAAGGAAAGTCAGCGCCGCCTATCGAATGTATTTGACGGTCCGATGGCTGAAGAACTTTCCAGACGTCTCGCAAGTCCTTTATCATTTTCGATGAAGCCGATCCGAGAGCAAGCAAAAAATGCAGAGGATCTCGGAGTGCGAGGTTGAACGACGTTGAACGTTCGATGTATTTGCAAAATACTGTTCGATGTCCCATAAGTTCCGCACTCGACGGTCTGCGGAGCATGATACGACTACTGATGACAGGCCGTTGATGTGCGGGCCAATGTAGAATGCAACAAATTGGGATGTGGTACTACCGTGATACTACATCATCCCAATGTGTTGCATGCATGAGTGGATATCCGGATGAATGACAGACAGGTGCCAAACAGAGAAATCCAGGGAGGAAAAACAGGGACCAGGGTTGCCCTGCAGGTTGCCCAGAGCCAGATCTGAGAGGGCCGTTCTATGGTTATATACAATAAGACAAGCCTACTAGACATTCAGGATAACCTACGGGCAGACCCGTTCGCTGTTGTCAGGAAGTAGCCTATAGCTATCTATAGAGAAAGCATTGCCTAAATGAAATAGGCACGTCCGAATAAGAGGAGCGAAATGGACAACACTAGCGGCTGGCGGCCTTCCCAGGACAGGACCCGTCCGAAACGTTTGGTTCGAGCGCAACTTACAGTGAACTCACCATTGCATGGATCCAGATAAGTGTATCCAAGCTTTAGGTCTACGAGTAGGTGTTGGCAAGTCACTGGTACTCCGAGTCATTTAGCCGATATGACTATATAAGTTTGAAATACAATTTCAACCAATTTTGATTGGTACTCGATCTTATGAAGACCCTCTTTTCACTTAATAGTATCTGCCTAAACCACACCTAACTGCTTAAACGGCATGCACGCATAATAAATCCCGGACGCTAGCTATAGTCTTTTTGATCAACTGAGCTATGATACATAACGCAAATTAAATCAAATGCACACAGTCACGGTCCAGCACGATGACACGATGAAATTTGTATCATTGGGAAGTTCTTGATATCGATCAGACGCCACTAGCGCAACGCGCAAAAGTGTCAAGATAAGAATGCGAGGATGCACATATGCATCGATGAAGCTGGCCATAGCATGTACGCCCAAAAGGCAGTTTCAAAGAGAAACAGACTGGAGCAAAAATATCAAATAAATATCAAATAGATTTTAAAAATCCGGGATGATCGGTTGTTCACAATTCTTCACCCAAACCAGTACCATTTACTTATACGATAATAGCTCTCCATGAACGTTTGAACCTCACATATTGGGCACGCCTGCACTTTTATTTTGTGACGTGTGCTACGTCTTTTCATGATACAATACAAGGTTTACCAAACAGAAAATGATTACATAATCCACAGAAAATAACAACATATCCTATACTTAAGTAATCATCCTGTTGTTTCAAAATCAGCGCTAGCACATAGTAGCGCATGCGTTGTTTTCCACATCCACTCAGTACTCTTCCTGTTTGACCATGATATACGGCTTAGCAGATCAAAAACAAACTCGATCTTATGACTTTGGCCGAACTTGATCCCCGTCGCTGAACTCGATCCTATGCCAATGTGCCACCGGCACACCGCACACCATCACGCCCAGCAAATCCTTGAGTGCTGTACCGAGTGCTTCTATGCATAACCTCATACGTATTCTGCTCCTATGTGAAGCAATTCAATGCCCACCCGTGGTACAAATGGCAAGATATTATCGATGACTTCTAGGACAGGAGAAGATTCTGGGCCCTTTGCGCTAAATAGGGAACAAAATACATGCTTAAGCGTCAGTTGAATTCATTAATATATGGTTGCAACAGGTTTCATGCGACTAATATTGAATACATGTCACATCATGATACATCGATCTCAGGATATGACTTTGTATCCTGCGCTGCCATATTTTAGCCGACAAAGCAAAAAACGCGCAGCAAGAGGCAGCACCATAGCATGACGTGGCCCAACATTCATCAAACCGTTTCTGCCATTGGACCGCCATATTATCGCAATTCGTGGATGACTGTTGGAATGTTAACGTTCAATCACATGCAACTCCAATTTTGTAGGTGACGGACAGGCTTTGACGCGACAGCTTATTATCTTGCGCACGAACAAAGCATGTGCGGCCAAAAAAGTCCGCATATACGACAGTCATAGTCACCATATCGTTTCCTGCAGCGGTTACACATACCGTCATCGGTATAGGCGCTCACGGTGCTCATACCATCACTACGTGGCAGCTAAATCCATCATATGTTCGATGCCGATCCGCACATATTATAAAACGAGCGAAGTTTTATAACATCCCTGTTCTCCAGCTCCAGTTACTTCGTCTCCGAGGCTTGACAGATGTTCCTTTCCCCTTTGAACAGGACAAGAAAATGCCGTCTCTCATGACATTGAATCCGCCATCCCCTTCTCCGTCCATTTTCAAGGAGAAAGAATCACTCAGCCAGTTATCATCGATAACGACGGCGGTGTCATATCTTTCTGCTATTCAACGAGCAGAGTCTCGCGCTCGCACTCGCGACAACCCCCACGAGACACCAACCCCTGCACTTTCCCTCTCCTCCTCTATTACGACTTCATCCGAAGACATCGCCTTCAATGAGGATGATGAAAACAACTGTCTCGTGAATCCCCATACGCCGCCCACGTCTGAGCAGGTCTTCACTACCCCCCACACAGAGTTTGGTCATTGTGCGAATGAAGCCTATCGTTGTGTTTCTAAGCATGACTACACGAGGCCGTTCCAGGTGCACACCATTGAGGAGCCCCCATACTATATTCACTTCGCCACCTACATAAGCTTCCTCATTCTCCATATGTTGGGTCATTTGCGTGACTTCTTTGGAAAGCGTTTTGCCAAATCTCATTTCACCCACCTTATGCCCCATAATGTATGTGGCATCTTCTGTCCTCCTCAACCTTGTTCGCTACTCTAACTCATTTTGTTCTATATGCAGGGTTATGCGCCGTTGAACTCAGATTTTGATTCCTTCTTCCCTCGACGGCTGAAGCGTCGCATGGATGACTGCTACGGCCAACCTATCACAGGTGTCCCCGGCCGCACTGTTCTCATCCTTGACCGTTATTCCCCTGATTACAACCATACCCAGGTCTACACCGGTGGCAAGACACGCGCCCTGAACATCTCATCATACAACTACCTCGCCTTTTCCCAGGGCCGCGGCAGCTGGGCAGATGCAGTCACGGAGAGCATCCGTCGATATGGCGTCTCCAGCTGCGGTACACGTCTTGACAGTGGGAGCAACGATCTTCATGTGTCCGCCGAAGCTCTTATTGCACATTTTTTGGGCACCGAAGACGCGTTGGTCTGTTCTATGGGATTCGCCACCAACTCTACTTTCATCCCTGGACTTGCGGGGAAGGGGTCCTTGATCATTTCTGACGAGCTGAACCACACTAGTATGCGGGTTGGAATACGCCAGAGTGGTGCGGAGGTCCGGATATTCAAGCACAATAATATGTCAAGTCTCGAGTCCCTGCTGCGTGAGGTGATAAGCCAGGGCCAGCCCAAAACGCATCGTGCGTGGAAGAATATCTTAGTCATTGTCGAGGGTTTGTACTCCATGGAGGGGACGCTCGTGAACCTGCCTAGGATTGTCGAGCTGAAACAGAAGTACAAAGTATGTAATGCAATTGCTGTTGTGACACGATGTTGAGCTTTCATTCGAGTTCTACCTCTACATTGATGAGGCGCACTCGATCGGTTCGCTCGGTTCTCGGGGACGGGGTGTGACGGACTACTTCAACGTCCCTCCTGGTTCAATTGATGTTCTGATGGGCACGTTTAGCAAGGGTTTTGGTGCTGCTGGAGGATACATCGCAGGGTCGAAACCCCTGATTGATGCTCTCCGCCTGCGCAGTCACTCAGGTCCGTATGCGGAAGCTATAACTCCATCCGTGATCACACAGGTTGTTGTGTCGATGGCCAGCATTATGGGCGTCGCTCCGGCACCACAACCCACCAAATCCACGCTTTTTCCTAGCCTTGATAGCTCAATCGTCGCGCCGAAGGAAAGTGCAGAAGAGCTCCCAGGAATGGCGCCTGCAAGCATGCTGCCGACGTGGATGAACCTTCGTCCGTCTCTGGCGGACGGATCTGAAGCTCGCGTGCGTATGCGCCGCCTTGCCTTCAACTGCCGTTATCTCCACATGGGCCTCAAAAAACTCGGCTTCATCGTCTATGGACATGCCTCCAGCCCGATTGTTCCTTTGCTTATCTTTAACCCGGGCAAATTGCCCCTATTCGTGCGTATGATGCGTGCGCGTCCCATACCAATCGTTGTCGTTGTCGTTACGTACCCCGCCACTTCATTTGAGACGGGTCGTGTGCGGCTCTGTCCTAGCGCATCGCACACGAAAGAGGATATCGATATCGTGTTACGGGCGTGCGACGAGGTGGGCGGAATTCTGGACATGAAACATGGTTCATGCGAGCGGTGGGGAATTGATGAAGTCTGTGAGCGCGCAGTGGAGCTTGTGCACTCTGTGTGAACGCCTGCATGGCTGTCTCGTCTGGTATCTGCCCGGCATCTATTTATTTGTCACTCCCCGCTGGCCGACATTCGAGCGGAGCATTCACGGATCATTGCACATATCGTTCAATTTCGGTGAGATACTACATTGACAATTCGAGGACCATTGGCGCGCTGTTTGCTTGTACAACGATAAAATATGATGCATTATATTTCACAACAGTACTTACAGCTTTCCAGAAATATATAATGTTTTGTTTTTGCAGGCCGTGAAATTCGACTCTCATATTCACCATTCAGTTCAGCATGCTTGACAGTGTATCAGACACAGAAAGTACGAGGTATTCACTGATCAGACGCTCGAGTTCGTATGCTCAACCTTAATTTTATCATCGATGGGACCAATCGGTCGCAAGTCAAATCGTCGCCGTCACCAATACCATATCTCAGAAGGTGAAACTCACCGGCACCGTGGCCAATACACATCGGAGTCCGCGTTTAATCAAACCTGGGAACACAGCCAGCCCTGGTGCTATCGACCCTTGTTATCCACGCTTGCAATCAATTTGTCCCAGAAGTTACAAGCCAAGCCCTGCCTGAGCATACTCACTAAGCTGTGACCGTTGCATGGTGATCTGCAGAGTAGTTGTTCAACAAGACTCTACTGATGCGGCGTTGGATTGCCTTCGCAACACTGATATATGTACATATATGTGCAGAAGCGCGAGGAGTTGTACGAGTATAAATCATAGTAATACTATCGAGGAACAGTCGCTCACTACTACGGGGAGTATTCTTACTACGGCATTGGTCATGATGGATCCGGCATGAAGGACGACCTATGCATGTTCTGGGATAGACGCGGCCAGCGCACGGTGAATTTAAAACAAACCATCCGATAGATGCATTGAGTATAAATATACAATGCGCCCCAAGGCCAGCTCGGAGAAGGTGTGAAGCAACCAGCGTGATCCGGAATTACCGGATTAGACGCCCATGACTTGGGCATCTATGAATCTCCAGACGAGGGATGATTGATTCAGTAGTGAAACACGCGTATCGCACGTCTGCAGCTCAAAGCAATCGCAAGACTGTCGAGTACTCTGCAAGAATCTTTTGAAGACGGTTGGTTTCTTTGAGCTAGCGCTATACCTGTATTAGTGCTCTACGTAGTACGTGGTGACATTGTCATCTGTTAATAATGTGTCCTTCAGTGGTTATTTCTCGCATCATATGGCAGACTCACGTACGCACAATGTGGATACTTCTGCGGTGGCTTTTCACAACTGATGATGCATCTGCTACACAAGTAGCCAAAACATATCTATTGGCCCATCATGATACCAAGCACGAGTGAGATGAATATGACACCACCATAGTTCTTTTGCCCAGCCTGCCAGAATCAGCCTGACCAGAATCCAGAAGGCCGATTCAGAAGTCTGAAATATGATGAATTGAGAAGACAAAACTTACTACAATTGAGCTATCAGTGCTGCAGTTCAAGACGCCACTGGCAAGTACTGAGTAAGGTTATCATGATCATGTGAGGTCTTTCAACGCTCTGATAAATGCGCCATACACGAGCATATAGTACATGATGCACATGATGGTCAGCAACGAGCTTCGCGGCAATTACCGCGGGAGTCGCAGCAGTGGCGCAGCATTTTTCTATGTAGTAATGTACAGATGAGTCCCGTTGAATTCAAGTTGATGCAGGTCCGAATTTCGAAAAGTGACTCGCACCCTTGGCCGCAGGCTGAGCCCGTCTCGCCGCCAGCCACACCCCAGTGGATGAACTCGGGAGACAGCGTCACTATCAGCATGCAGGTCCAGGTAAGTACTTTCATACAGTGACAGCTGCCACTGGCTGACTGAGCGCTCGTCACAGTAAACAGGCTGAGGCCTTAAATATCTTCATTCCTGCAGGCCTCTTTTCCCATTCTGTCTTCTCCCAGTGACATTCAGTGTTTACTTCGTCTCTTGATTTTCTGCTGCACAGTGCATTAGGCTCTTTCATCTGGTGTTCGAGGTGTACTTGCACAAACCGCCGCTTTTGTTTCCATCTTTCCCTCACGACCATCCACTCCCGTGGTATCAATTCAGTCGAACTCATATAGACTGGATCAGCTCTTCTGTGCGCTTGATGCCGTCTTCAACGGTTTGTATTGTATACTTTACGAAATACAATGGATTCTTCATTTCGCCTCATAGCGTGCTAAATGAGTTCTCTGACTTGGGATGATACCAGATATGAATAACCTAGTGCCAAGGAGCGTCACAGGACATTCTCAGACTCGTACCTCCGCTCCAGCCGACTGTTAATAGTGCTTATCAACAGCCTCCGGCGTTCTACGTGACTAGCCTGGACAATGATATTAATACCGACTTCATTAGAACAGGCCGTTGCCGTTAGCACTCACTCTAGAATGAGGGTCATCGTCTCTGGGTGCCGAACAGCTATCCGACGGTATACACGTGGAGCACGACCTGAATCCCCTCCTGTTCTTCTCACCTGAACTTCATCCATAATTCTGATATTGTCTTGTCCTACTGCTCGTTCCGCCCACCAAGCACTCAGCTCATCCACAAACCTCTTTGTCGTTTTCCCTCAGGCTTATCATGGCCAGTAGCTGGGAAGGCCAATCTATCAGACTTGAAGGTCAGTCACTCCATACTGCCTCAGTATTTTTTTTCGTGATCCTCACGTTCTGCTACAGTCGTCGGTGGAAAACAAATCAGTGTCCCCTCCGGGCGGATGCCAGCAGGCATTTACGTGTCGGTCAACGTCGACTCGAAGAGATGCTGGAAATCAGCTGTCCGAGTTTTATCATCCGACAGTTGTGCAGTGTGGGGCGATGCCGTGACCTTGTAAAGCTTTCTACACATACTTGTGGACGCGACTCTGGTACTCATTATTGGCTTGCAGATCCCCAGATGTGTCACCTAAAATATCGGCGGAGATTCGGGCATCTTTTGAGCTCGGCCGAATGCTAGGTCGTGGAGAACTCGTTGGAAAGCTTGAAATATCGTGGGAAGGGCTGCTCGATCGTGGTGACGAGCCTTTCGGTGAGTGATCTACTTCACACTCATCTACGTCTCCTCACTGGTTACAGATCTATCATTTCCGCCCATTCGAGGTGTCCGCCCTTCTCTCACGCTGAAAGTTACTTCTGTGATTGCTTGCGCAAATGATGGCAGTCGATTGTTTGATGTGAGTGACACCACGCTTCGTACCGTTGGCTTTTGCTGATGGAATGCAAATTCTAGTCTATCGATGACTGCAGCATTGCTCGAGACACAGATGTGGGCCACATACGATTATCTGAATACATCAGAGGGAGGGGCGAGGTCCATATCCTGGACGATGCTATGAACCGTTTTGAGTTAGTTCTGGATCAGTGTCCAGTCGATCATCCGGATCACGCAGCGGCCCTCACCAACCTTGCGTGGGCCCGCCTTCAAGGGTATATCCACAAGGATCTTCGAGGCATCTACATTGCTACCTCTCTATTATGTGATGCCCTCGCACTGCGTCCGCGAGGCCACCCCGATCGTCCAGTTTCTCTCTATTATCTTACCGAAGCATTGATTTGGCGCTATAGCTATCATGCTACCACCGTCGATATCTTCAAATCTGCCCAACTCTGTTACGAGCTACTACCTCTCTGTTCCGAAGGCACCTATCTTCATAAAATCGTGATCGGCAAAAATGGTGTCGATTATGTGATACGTGCATGCAACAATCTTCCCATAGATGCATCTGATGAAGGCATCTACCTTCGACAGCTCATGCTCGAGCTATGTCCTCTGGGAAACCAACACAATCCCAGCGCCCTCGACAAGCTTGCAAACACAGTAAAAGCACGCTTTCAACGATGCGGCAACTTTGATGATCTAGATCAGAACATACAACTTGGTCGTGAAGTTGTTTCTATGTGCCCCGAGGGATATCCCAACCGTGTTACCTACCTGATTAACTTGGCCGTGTCCCTCCGTCGCCGCTTCGATCACCGAGGGAACCCTCGTGACCTCGACGAAGTCATCTCTCTCTATGAAGAAGCTCTTCCCCTGCGCCCTGTTGGGCACGAATATCACGATGCGTCATTGGACGGCCTGGGGCGCGCCCTTCTTGCCCGTTTCAATGAATGCAGTGACATTGATGACATAAACAGAGCTACCGGCCTCTTTCGCAAGGCATTGGCGTCATGCCCATCTGGGCGTCCAAATCGTGACACCAGGCTCAACAACCTTGCCGCCGCACTCATAACTAGACATGATAAATTGCATGCCAGCGATGACCTTGATGAGGCCATCGACCTGTGCCGCAAATCGCTTCTGTTGCTAAAACAGGATGATCATCCAGAGCGCCATAAAAATCTATTCAATTTGAGCATGGCACTCTGCTCTCGTTTCGCGCAAACACGGAAGAACGAAGACTGTTGAGGAGGCCATTGGTCTCTGTCAACATTCATTGGTGGCTTTGCCATCACTGCACCCGGATCGTTATTTCAGTTACACATGGCTGAAGGAGGCCTATCTGTCTCGTTATCGGATCCTACCCAATACTGGTGATTTGTCACTTGCAGTGGGGAACTTCAGATTGGCTTCGAAACACCCCACTCAGGGATTTCCAGAACGCATCAAGGAGGCTATCCAATGGGCTCGCCAATCGGAAGTTTATGAACACGAATCTGCCCTTGAAGCATACCAAACAAGCTTGGACCTTTTTGACAACCACGTGACGCGAGCCTCGATTATCTTAAGGCGCAATGCTGCAACCGCCTTTGACGGTGCACAATCCCTACCAATAAATGCAGCATCATGCGCTATTCGTCGTAATGATCTGCAACGAGGGGTTGAATTTGAGGAGCAGGGTCGTGACCAGCAATGGTCACTGGCCTCTCGACTCAAGACTCCGCTGGACGACCTCAAGTCCATCAATATCCCACTAGCTGACAAACTCTCGGAGCTCAGCAAGTGCCTATCTGATGCTCAGAATTCCACAGGCAGTTCAGACCGGGCTGTTGCTGATCGTGCAGCAATGGCGTACAAGAGACTTGCGGCGCAATGGGAAGCCGCAGTGGCTGAAATCCGCCATCTGCAAGGTTTCTCACGGTTCCTGCTCCCGCCGTTGTATGAAGATTTGCAAGTAGCAGCCCGCCGCGGGCCAGTCATCATTCTCATTGCTAGCGAATACTCCTGTAATGCCATCATTGTTTCAGCGTCAGGGCAGCCCCACCACGTTCCCTTCCCATCTCTCACTCTCACAGATCTGGAGATGCTCAAGAAGCACTTCGCGAACGTGATACGGGACACGGCTCGCACGGGCTCAAAGGAGCCAAGGACAGCGCTGATAGCATTGCTGCGAACGATATGGGATGAGGTCATGTTACCTATTGTCAACGTACTACAACATGATCTGAAATTGCCGAGTCGCTCTCGAATTTGGTTGTGTCCAACGGCAGCCTTCACATCCATTCCTCTCCACGCAGCCCACCCATTTCGAATGAATGCAGATCGCCCTGGGCGGGAACCATGTCTAGAGGATCTCTACGTTTGCTCTTACACTCCAACACTTTCTGCCCTGATCAGAGCTCGACAAACGATGACGACACGTATCACTCCTTCCTTTGCGGCGATCGGACAAGATCGACCTGGCGCAGGGCAAGGCACGGTCCTCGCTGCTGTCGACAGCGAACTTGAGCTTGTCCATAAACATGTTCCTTCCGGCATCAAGTTCACTCATCTTTCTGGCGACGCTGCTACACAAGCCGGCACACTCGAAGCTTTGCAATGCAACACCTGGGTGCACCTCGCTTGCCACGGCAAGCAGGACCACTGAAATCCTTCCAACTCACGTTTCGCCATGAGGACTAAACCTCTCTCGCTACTCGACATCATAGAGAACGATGCGCCGCAAGCCGAATTCGCATTCTTGTCGGCGTGTCATGCCACCTGTGGTGACAAGAAGATACCCGACGAGGTAATTCATCTTGCAGCTGGTCTACAGTTTTCGGGGTTCAAGAGCGTTGTTGGCACTCTTTGGGAGGTCGATGACGCTGTTGCCAGACATGTTGTTGGAGCTTTTTATGAGAATATGTTCAAGAATTTGGACCAGGGTGTCATGGACTGTACGAAGGCGGCTTGGGCACTCAACAAGGCTACTTACGCAGTGAAGAAGAAAGTGCCACTTGAGCAGAGAATTGGTTTCATTCATATTGGACTGTAGTTTTCTGGCTTCCATGACCTATTGCTTTCATTGCTTTCATCTGGGACGGTGTTGATGTCGGATTCTCTACCATTCGAACAATTTGCAGTGTACTACTAGGAATTGCTTGGAAGTATCATCTATGTAGTCACTTATCTTACTTTTGCATTCTCTCGTCCTTATGTACTCGGCATGATAATTTGCTTGACGAATATTCGAATGTTTGCGGTAACGTCTTCTGTCAAAGGTGGGCGAATGCTCTATCTATCTATCTATCTATCTATCTATCTATTTTTCTATATTAAGCACGAGATACCGCCGGCCCATCGGGTGTCCACCACATCATGCTGTGTTGTTGCGTTCTGTCTCCTATTCATGGCTCTTTCGGTCCACCGCGTCATACTGTCACAGCCTAGTGAAATTACATTCGAAATGCAATCTAGAACGCTCCAGAGCGTTCTAGCCTAGGTCTAGATCTGCTTTTGATTGAAAATTTCCAAGAGGTAAACCTCAAATGTGCGTGTTATTGTGTGTTAACGTTCATGTTCTGTCGTCTTACGGCTCTTTGCTTGATCAGTACTATGGGACCTAAGTCCAACTTCTCAATACATTTGAAAGCCACTGCATACCCGCATTCCATACAATCCGTTCGTCATGGACAGTGAATCGAAGACAGTTTCCTCTGCGAGCCGCATATGCAACTACATTTAAAGAACGTTAAGGTTTGACGCCAACGCAAACCGTGCTCGACCTCCGGACTGATCCCTTCACTCACGGTCGATTGCGCACAGCGTTGTCGAAAGTGAGAACGCGAAGAGACACTGTCTATTTGCAGAGACGACGCTAATATAGTATTTCCTGAGTTGCTACTGTAAACCCAATATATTATCATAGAGCCGACCGAAGGGGAGTCCTTGTAACCTGTAATCCAGAGATTTTATCACTAGATAAAGGCCGAGCTTCGCCGGCAGCAACCTTGTCTCACAGGTAAGTAGTTGCTGTTTGATTGCCGCGGCTGTATTGGAAGTGGAGTAATCGATGCGGCCATCTTAAATTCTTCCTTTCACCGGAGATGTGAGTGAGAGTTTAGTTATATGTCCCTTCAGACATTGTCAAAAATATTGGGCATATGTTCGAGTTAACACCCTTCGAGGGCAGGAAGGCTTCACGTTGTTGCCCAGTTTATCGTCACCCGCTGTGTAATGTTTGGGTACTAGAGCCCGGTTTGTCCCCGGCTTGCCTGCTGGGTATTGTTGAGGCACTAGACGTTTTGCCCCCGGCTTACCCACTGCATATTGCTTAGGTACGAGACGTCTTGTCTCCGGGTTGTCCGTTGCGTATTGCTTAGGCACAGGACGCCCGTCCTCCGGGTTACCTGTTGCGTATTGCTTAGGTACAAGACGCCTCTCCTCCGGGTTACCTGTTGCGTATTGCTTAGGTACAAGACGCCTCTCCTCCGGGTTTCCCGTTGCGTATTGCTTGGGTACGAGACGTGTTGCCTCCGGGTTGCCCGTTGCGTATTGCTTGGGTACGAGACGTGTTGCCTCCGGGTTGCCCGTTGCATATTGTTTAGGTACGAGACGTGTTCCCTCAGGGTTGCCCGTTGCGTATTGCTTGGGTACAAGACGTGTTGCCTCCGGGTTGCCTGTTGCATATTGTTTGGGTACAAGACGTGTTGCCTCCGGGTTGCCCGTTGCATATTGTTTAGGTACGAGACGTGTTGCCTCCGGGTTGCCCGTTGCGTATTGCTTGGGTACGAGACGTGTTGCCTCCGGGTTGCCTGTTGCATATTGTTTAGGTACGAGACGTGTTACCTCCGGGTTGCCCGTTGCGTATTGCTTAGGTACTAGGCGCCTTTCCTCCGGGTTTCCCGCCGCGTATTGCTTCAGCATGAGACGTTCTCGTGCACGACGGGACTTCTTCGCAGATTGCTCCTTTATAAATTCCCCAAGTCGGTCGAGTCTCTCCCTTTTTCTCGCGAAAGCATCCGGTGCTAAAAATCATTTATCGATCTAGGCCTGAATATCGTAAAATGTTCACTTACGTAGCATGATATCGGACACCATGTCCTCCTGTCTTTGTGCTGACGATACACCAGTAGCAGGAACTACATGGTGCATGGTGTTCTTCCAAGCAGCTGGTACGTCAGGAGGGGCTGGTAATCCCTCGATGCCCAGTTGGGCACGGGGGTCAACTCCCCCGCAGCATATGACAAACCGGGTATATAGAGGATCCAAGAGCCTGGATATTCTTTCTGTACGAATGGTGAGAATGAATAAAACAAAATAACGACCGATATTTACTGTCTAGTTCAGAACTAAAGGCGTTCTTCCGGCGTTCGATGAAGAGAAGCAGTCTGAAGTATGCTGCCTTGAACGGTACGAGAGCTTGTGAACAAGCAACGAATAGGTACAATTCCACTTTTAAACGTTTAAGAGTGCTGCGTGCAACCTGAATTACAGGCGGCATTATTGAAAGAGCTTGCGACAATTAAAATTATATTTACCTCAGTCAAGGAGATGATCTGCACGGAAATCGTCAGTTGATTATAGAAGATGTTTGACGGCAAAGACAAGACCTTTCGATCGTAGCGTTGTATTTCATGGTCCTCCGAATGCTCGAATTTCATTATGTCATTGATACCACGCAGAAGATGGTCTTTAGAGCAAAGACGTGTAGTCAGTTCACGAGTGACTATTCGACTATCGAGTGCAGGGGGAATGTCGTTGTTCATGACTGGTGGAAAGTAAGTGGAAGGCGAGGTGAGAAGAGAGGAGATACTACCAACGCTGAATATGTAGTGCTGTGACACTCTTGGTCCACAAATATGAGGACAGTGGCCCGATGGCCCATCAAAAGAACAAATAGCACATAGTTGTGGTCATTCCGAGAACAGTGGAATTACACATGTGACTCTGGGCTGTCTTGGAGGATTTCTACCACAGTTACTTGAAGCACGCCGTTCGTGTCCTCCTATCAATGCTCGGGCAGTTTCTAAACTGGGACGTAAATGGAAAGTTGAAACGCGTGTGCAACAACATAAAACAACACGTCCACAAACCACAATATGAATCTCACGCGATCGCCAGAAATCTCAAAATGAAGCACGCTTGCAAGCTTGACTCTGCTTGAGCAACCACCGCATCAACCAAGGTAACTACGCAATCACGTAATGAAATTGTCTACGCATAGAACAGATTTAGAGGAAGAAATACTAGAATTCGGAGAAAGATCAAACACTTAGTCTTGCAACTCAAGCTTAGGCTAAGTCTCAGTAGTAAGCCCTGGCTGTTTCCTCTTGGGAGTTCGATTGCAAATTGTGCAATTGTCACATTGTTAGTGGAGTCAGGAGTATTAGGCTCGTAGTCCGTAGAGTATGAGCACATACTATTGTCCGAGTGTGGGCGGGGAATATAATTGCTTTTCATGTGTTGCCGACGATTCATTCTACAACCTGCTTCCGTTCCCAAGTCACACAGGTGCGATGTTCTTTGCACAGATCTTACTCTCTGACGGTTCACAAACTACATTCGAGAAAGTATCAGAGCAATCTTTTGGATCAGGTTACTGTAATCTAATACACAGCCTACAATTCAAGTTCTACGAGCAATCTAAACGTGGTATCGCAAATGAAAAACACTAGATAGAAACCTTTCCTCTGGGCTCATAGGGCAACAAGATAGCCAGGCTACCAGCAAAAATTATTAGAGCTCCAGCGATATATACAGGTACCGCCGTCGCGAGGTTAGCATATAGCGCAATGACGGGGGCCTGAGATTCAGGATATCATAAGAACAAGTAGTGCGAGATGGCAAGTGAGCGCACCAAAACGCCAAACACCCTCGAAGCTGTGGACGTCAGACCATTCCCCGTTCCGCGATCTTTGGCAGGAAAGATCTCAGGAGAAATAGCATACAAGACGCCATACATAATCTGGCCACATTTAATCTAGTCTCCCAGTCCGACACACTCATTCACTCACGTTGCTGAAGAACACATATCCGCAATTCCACCCCAGGAGTTGGTTGGATGTCCGGGAGGTGGTGGTCGCGAACAAAAACGCGCCAGTGAGCCCTTTATTTCGCGGGAGGTCATTGAGTAATGGAATTGCTTGGAAGCACCGTGTTACTTACCTGAGGCAATGGCAAGAGTACCCCTGCGCCCAATGTATGGGAGTTCTACTGCCCAGCCGGCGAGCAAGGCAGCAGGGACACCAATGACACTCAAAATGGCTTGCTGTACAGCAGCTTCAGCTATAAAACACAGGACAAAGTATTATACGTACGTTACGATAGGCAATGTACAGGGATCCATCCCCGAAGACAGCACCACGGCTGGAAAGTCTACGAGGCATGAGACAAATAGACGGTATATATCCAGATTGAAGACACACAAATATGGCAGGAAATTGTTATACAGCGTGGAGGCAAGTCCGATAACACCTATGTTTCGTTGGTCATTGCACACACAACGATGACTACATCATTACCCCAGATAGCAATCAAGAGACTAGTCGACCAAGCCATTTTGGGAGTAGCAAAGAGAGCTTTGATATGACCAGTGTCATACTTTGAGCTCTTGCTGAACATGTTGTGCCTTTCCCCGGGGGGTGTACGTCCGCCTGACATTGCTCTGTCGGGAGCTTCAAGCTCTTCTATTGTGATGAGAGATATCTTTCCGTTGAATTTCGCCAATTTGTGGATGACCTCGATGGCATCAGCGTCGCGACCGATGCCAGAGAGAAAACGCGGACTTTCCAACAACGTGAAGATGAAAAACCGAACGGCCCACAGTGAAAAAGTGATTCCGCCAAGGATGAATAACAGGTAACGCCATCCCATATTGTCGGATCTGGTGCAGTGTGAGGCGCTTGCACAGGAATAATTAGCGATCAGAGGCCAAGCCACCTTGAAGTCGCATTAGCAATCGCGCAGACGAAGATATGTGTGATACGTACGAGGCTGGACATCAATTGTCCGAGGCACCACCAGATGGAAAGGATGGTGAGCAAGTACTGGTGGGAACCTGGAACGAAATCTGGCAGGATTACAATGAGTTATCTGGCACGTGCAGATGTAGACTGCTCATCACCAAGAAAAACAGCAGAATCCACTGGCAAGTTGCCTGTGACATTGTCATAAAACGTGCTTTTTAAGAGAAATAAAAACGGCAGACCTCCCACGCCGACACCAACCATAGCGATCAAGGACGCTAGTGCAACGAAACTAGGGGCTCCACCTGATGCTAACCCGAATATTCCAGCGATAAACAATGTGATGTTGAAAGACCACCTAAGTATCGCATGAAGCGTGAACAGATCTAGATGTATTCTGTACATACCTCCTTCCCCAGATGTCACATCCAAGACCCCAAAACACGGCACCGACTGAGAAGACCGATATTCGAAGCTAACGACAGGAAAGGCCCGTTGAAGTGGAATTCATTGACAACAGGTGTAAGGATGAGTCCACTCAAAAGCTACATCCAACTTCAATCTAGTGAAAATATGCCAGAAACAGATGAACACACGGGCCAGACAGAGTCACTTTTTCACCGGACACACACTTGCATCAGAAATCATGCAGGGAGTGGTCACAATACAACTCACGCAAACCAGCCAAAGCCAGTGACCACGAAGAGATACCACTATCATTTCGAGTTCTCGCGATTGAGATAGACGTTCATTATAGAATGCTACAGACCTGATATCTACCCATGCCAATGTCTTGAATTGCACGATTCAAGATGCGAGCTTTCGCCTGATACACTGGATCATTGTAGCCGTCTTCGTAAAGATCTATTGCAGGACCTGTGATTAGGGCTGACGTCTGGAGGTATGTCGGGCAATGGGGAAGACTGTAGAATCCACGGATTTCGAGCAGATTTTTAGCATCTATCATGTTTACGGACATGATAGAGGAAGGGGTATGATCTGTTAGTGTAAACAGTGGTGGGAGTGACAGATGATATATATATCTTACATAGTCCACATAAAAGACGAGTCGCGTGCGGCGCTATAATTGAGCTCAAGAATTTCAAATCAATGTGGCAACAGACTTGGAGTTGAGTCCTCGTGACGTTATTATTAATGTAACTTATCCGGGACCCAGGCCCGCGTCCATCATTCAGATGCCCCTGTTCGAACGTTCAGACGTTCATGCAATACCCCAGCTGAGACTTGGGTTAGGAGCAGCTAAGTGAGTAATACATATATTATAAGAACGGGAACACTTGATCAGGCGGATGTCATTCGTCTGACAGTCTCCCATGTGCGCGCTCCACCTGAAAGTGGCGGTCGTACTACGATTCGCTTGCTTATGCTACCCAGCTTCAAGCCGGGTACATGTGAGATATCCAATTAAATCACTTGTATGACATCTTCAGAAACAAGGCAATATCAGACTGAGGGCCAGCGATGGTAGCAGGGGCAGCAATCTCGCACAATACCAGGTAGCAGGAATTGAGCAGGAACGTCACTTCTCCACAGCTAGAAGTCAAAAGGCCGTCGAGAAGCTCGAGCGGAGTGACCAATGGCCGCTGAGTTCCTACATATGCAAACCGAAAGAACATAAAATAAAGTTGGTATCAGAGCGCTAAAGAGTCATAACCGAAAAATTCGCAAGTGTAGTGATAACAAATGCTAGCCGCCCTTCTTTCCATTGGTTTCTCCGGCTAGTCGACGCTCTCGTCTCCGCTTAACATCCCAATTATAAACTCTAGCAGTGTTGACTTCCATCACCGTCAGCTGCTCTCGCAGAAACTCCAAGTCTTCGATCGTAGCTTTTAAGCTGGCCTCTGCAAGATCCAATTTGGATCGCAGGAGTGACGCAGCCTCTGCAACTTGTACGATAACATGACATTCGCCTTATACGAAACATCAGATGCCATCGGGAAACTCAGTGGAGGACAACTAAACTCACCCCTAGCCATAGATAGACAGTGTCGGTGTCCTCAAGTTCTGCTTCTGCGAAAAGCGTGTCATTAGTTCAAACGTTGTGGTAAGCGGCTTTTTAGGGATTGTCGGAGTTTTCCTCGTCACTGAGATCATCCTCCAGATCGTCGTTCTTGTTCTTGCCTTCCTACATGATCATCAGATAATGTTGATGCACGTGTTCGCGGCGATGGACTCACCCTTCTTTCTTGCAGGAACTCCACCATATGTAATGTCTTTCTGATGTCAGGGATCTTGTCTTCCAGACCTTTTCGTCGTTGTGTTAAGTTGGCATCCATATATCGGTACTTCCTGGACTTCCTTAGGTTCAAGATCGTCATAGAATTTACATCAGTTCAAACATACGCGATAGCATCCTGGAAATTCTTCAGGGGAGTCTCGACCACGCCATCTGGGCCTCCCAGATATTCTTCGACATTTGCCTACATTATTGAGCATGAGCAGAAGACTACCGATCTACTTTTGTTGATACGCACGATGAATGGAGCTTTTGGAATACCCCGTGGATTTTTCTCCTCTTGAAATATCGACTTGGCAGACATGGTCGTAGAGACTGACTGCAGTCTTGAAAGCTCGCCTTCCAATTTGCCCAATGAGTCTAACGAGCACGAGTACGTCCGGTCGGAGTTGGAATTGGTTTATGTACTTAACTTGAGATTTTCCTCTCGTCCTCATGAATTTTTCCAACGATGTCCCGTTTAATCGTGAAAAATCTACCCGCGTACCTGACGCCAGATCGCCTCAGAAAGCACTTTGAACAACAAGGTGCTCCCTCTGGAACCATCACAGATGTGAAAATTTCACTCAAGCAAGATGGCACATCACGTCGATTCGGTTTCGTTGGCTTCAAGACGGATCAAGAAGCAAACGCTGCTAAGGACTGGTTCGACCGCACGTTCATCGACTCGACGCGAATTAATGTCATGGTTGTTGCAGTAAGTTTTTTCTTCTTCCCAAGTGTCGGTATTTTGTTTTAAAAAATTCTACCTGCAGGGCGCGAAAGATGCTCCAGCTCCTCGACCAAATAAAAGAAGACGCCTAGAAGATATCGCTGCAGACCCAGGACCGTCATCGCGACCACATGTTCACAAGGTGGACCAGAATGGTAAGACAAGCGCTCCAGCCCCTTCGGCATCAGCGTCTCCGCTAGATCAGTTCATGGATGTCATGCAACCTCGCACGAAAAAGTGTCCGTCATGGGCAAATGAAGCTAAGGAATCTCATCCAGTACTGTCAGGCCTGGTCCTCCCGAGACAATGACGACATCCGATGGACCAGATAATAACGAAGCTGTCTCGGACCTCGAATGGATGCGACAACGTATGAACTTGGTATCAGATTCATTGCCCGATAAAGTCTTTGAGCAATCGGACGACGAGGCACCAGGTTGAGCGCCGTTCCTGAGGAACACCAGGACTCGACAACAAAGACGATTATGGCAGACGTCTCGATTATTCCTTCGAAATCTTGCCTTCTCATGTACGGAAGCCTGAGATCATGGAGCTATTTCAACCGGTTCGGGGAAGTTGCACAGGTGAGTATCCCGTAGCCTTGTCGTGTATTCTCCATTTCTTTCGCTTTTTCTTGATGATAAAACACTTAGGGACATCTGATCCTCCAAGGATATGCTGATCCCCGGGAACCGATAGTAGAAAATTTATCTGATATTTATTCTGATTTGTAATTTGTGGTTCGATGATCACTTCGCTGACTTGATCCCTATCCTGACAGGTCCATATAGTCATCGACCGCTTGTCTAAGCAGTCGAAGGGTGTAGCCTACGTGACCTTTAAGCAGCCGACGTCTGCCCTCTTGGCGTATGAGGCGCTGGACAAGACGTCCTTCCAAGGTCGTCTTCTCCACATCATTCCTGCTGTCGACCGTAAAGGCAAGTTTGAAGTAGTAGAGGGCGAGGGTAAAAAGCAAACAGTTAAAAGATGAGAGGAGTTCTCGGCGTAAAGCCACAGCTGGGCGGGAGTTCAATTGGAGTATGTTGTACATGAATGTTTGTCAAACCTTGTGCACTATATATCGAGATCTCATGCAATGCTTGTGCAGAGCGATGCAGTGGCATCGTCTATTGCCGATAGGATGGGAATTGCCAAGGCAGATATTCTGAATCCTGAGTCAGATAATGCGGCAGTCAAGCTTGCGCTTGCAGAGACACACGTTATCCAAGAGACGAAGTCGTACCTCGAGTCCCAGGGGGTCATTTTATCGACATTTTCTTCCCGAGCGCGGTCCGATACTACGATACTCGTGAAGAACATCCCCTACGGTACCACTGCGGAACAGATACGTGAGATGTTCGAGTTACACGGGGAACTCAGCCGCGTCATCGTACCACCGGCAGGTACCATGGCGGTGGTGGAATTCGAACATGCAGATGAAGCTGCCAAGGCTTTTCGAGCTGTAGCTTACCGACGTCTCGGAAGTAGTGTCGTCTACTTGGAGAAGGGTCCGATGGGCATGTTCCAAGAGACTGCGAATGCGGCAGGGAACTCTGACCGTACGCTAATAACTGCATTCAAGCCGATCAGCTATCGCCGAGCAGGAAGACTGGCAGTGGATGCTGATGCGGACGAGCCTACTTTGTCTGCTGGGACGACTTTGTTCGTCAAGAATCTGGCTTTCAGTACCACTGCAGAGCGTCTGATGCAAGTCTTCCGGGGTCTTTCTGGATTCTCGTTCGCGCGAGTACAGACCAAGCCTGATCCTAAACGACCTACTGTTCCTGGCGCTGAAGCCCCCCGGTTGAGTATGGGGTATGGCTTCGTGGGGTTCAAGACGGCCGAAGATGCGAAGAAGGCTATGAAGAGTATGCAGGGCTTTATACTGGACGGACATTCATTGCACGTCAAGTTCGCTGGGCGCGGAACAGAAGACGAGCCTAAGGACAATACAGTTGCCAAGAGCAGGTCGACGAAGATGATAGTTAAAAATGTTCCATTCGAAGCTACGAAGAAGGATATCAGAGAGCTGTTTAGGTCAGTACAATCTACTGTCTATGTGCCTAACACCCCATTCAAGCCGCATCTATGTAGTGCTCATGGGCATCTCAAATCCGTACGTCTTCCGAAGAAGTTCGACTCGCGTTCGCGTGGTTTCGCGTTCTTGGAGTTCCTCACCCGGCACGAAGCGGAGAACGCATATGCTGCACTACGGCACACGCATTTACTTGGGAGACATCTTGTACTTCAGTGGGCGGAAGAGGCTGAACAGGACATAGAGGTGCTACGGAAGAAGGCGGGCGTGGGGTATGGTGACGGTGCTGAACTGCCTGGGCGTAAACGGAAACTTGAAATTGCGGGAGATGATACTGGTGGTGATGTAGAATGATGACGTACATAGAACAACCTCATTTACCAGGACGATATTTTGGTAATCACTCTTCAACGCTTCAACGATGCACAGTGCTGACGAGGATATGCAGACATCGCCTCCTCCAGCGAAACGACAATGCACGAGCCACTGCAGAACATCCGAATCATTAATTGAGCAGTCGCAGTTTTGGTTTGCCGACGGGGACATCGTGATTGGTGTCGAAGCTTGAAGGGCAATCATGGAAGATTGACCGGAGCAAGCTCATGTGTTCCGTAATTTTTGCGGACATGCTCGAATTTCCGCAGCCGGCCGACATCGAGAGAATGCATCGGTGTCCTCTGGTCAGTTTGTCGCAAGATTCCGCGAATGACTGGCTAGTCGTCCTAAGGTGGATGTAGCAACGCGAGTAAGCCATCCCCTCATCCGTCAAACTATGATTGTACATGACCATGTCTCTAGGAGGTTCAATAACCAAACTGTCGTTTTTGATACCATAGCCGGAGCTCTACAACTATCCAACAAATATGACATCGCAAACCTCCGTCAATGGAACACACGTCAGCTACTTCTGCACTGGCCCCAAGACCTCACCAAAATGACCTATGCCGCATTCCCTCGTTTTCGTTCTCCATGACTGCTATCATTATGTAGTATTTCTTGGCTACATCAACGCGTAATAATCTGTGGGCTGTTGGGGGGCCCCGGTATCGGGGATTCCGCTTGCCTAATAACCGCGAGACCTTCATCCCTCCTTGATGAGTGGCGTCAGGCGATTTCACGCGCAAGTAATCAGTCAACAACCGTCTCTCGTGATGAAATCTGCGATATTCTAACGCGGGGATTCAAGCACGATCAGTAAGCAACTTGCCCAGATACCTTCTCCTGCACCTCCATCCGCGCCAGAGCCAACCGTCGCGCTGTCGCCTCATCCCGCATCTACATCACAGCCGGTTGCAGCCGTTGTCCTACCGCTTACAGTACCTCCATCTGTGTCTGTCAGTGCGACAACTGTCGCCCTGTCGCCTCCTGATCCTCCCTTAGCTCTTCGTCGGCCTCGTCATTCAAAGCAGGCACCTGGCAAACGCTAATTGGCACTGAGGAGTGCCGGGGCGTTGACCAGATCCAAGAAGCTATAGACGAATGCATAAGATCTGAAATCTGCGTACTTGGTTGACACATTCATAGCACAGAGAAAACATGTCCAGGAATTACTGTAATTCCGTGACGGGGATGGTAGGCATACGCGATGTAAATTCACCAAATACAACAATTGTAGAGCTTCTTCTTCTGTTACTCGTGTCATGCAGTAGCGCCAACCTCGTACAAGTAGGTACCCAGGACCTTTGTCTGTAATCGGACCATCAATTATCATCGACGTCTTCGTGACTGACCCACTCACCCCTTCAATGAAATTCGATCGATCCAGCTTCTCGTTGGTCGAGCTGGGGAATATGTCAACGAGTAAATAGGGGCCGTGAAAAATTTACGTACTGAGCACCGTCATCTGCTCTGCCCATAGGCAGCAATAATACGTTTACGCCCAAGCTCTCCGCAAATGTCAGCGTCACAGGGATCGAGCCTCCTTCACGCGTGTAGTCTGGTGTCTTCTTATACACAGCCTGAACGATTTCTAGTTTACGACGTGGAAGACAACCAGTGTTTCAGACGCACCTCGATAGCCTTCTTTGCAGCTTCAAAGTTCCAGTGCCTGACGTCTGCAACCCAAGGTTTACCGCCGTGTAGATACTCTACCTCCATCTTGTTCTTGCTGTTGAACTTTGCAAACTCGGCTTCGAGGTATGCATTGACAAGGGGTATGATCTTCTCCGGAGTTTGTGGAGGAACAAGGCTGGTAAGATCGATCAAACGTAGATGTCATACCGGATATAATGAAGTGAAGTGAAGAGCCACTATCAGCGTGTGGAGTTAAATAAAGTGTGAAATGGAGTCACCGGATACTGAACTTCCCGCCTATTTTGGAAGGGATGACAGTTTTACAACCGACCTCTGAGAATGCCCCCTGGATACCGTGCAGGGAAAGGGATGGCTGACGCATTCGGCCCATTAGCACGACAGTCTTTTCTGATGACAGTGCCACCTTTACGATCCAGTCAGATGCGAGCAATCACAAAGATAATCTCCACTTTCCTTTCCACCAGCAGCCTCCTCAATATCATCCGTCGTATAGTCCATCTTCTGGTAAAGCTTCCTACATAGAATAAGTCCAGATCCCAATGAAGAGTCTGAGCACGCACAATTCCTCCTCATCATGGGGTGGGACCATGTCGTCGATGCCAGGTATCAGAATGTTGCCGTTATGATCCACAAGCTTGCTCATGAGCTTGATCAAATCTGTCATGGGCTCGTGCACCGTCCTCCCAAATAACCCTGAATGCAGATCTTGACCAGGCCCAGTAATATTGATGCTGAAATACGCAATACCACGCAACCCATACGTCAATGCAGGCGTTCGAGTGTTCAACCAGTAATTGTCGCTCTGTCTCGTGCATCAGCACATATTTCCACACTGGCAGGCAAAGATCACGCACGATGCATACGCAATCAACCCCGTCAAACCACCCGTCCTTGCCCTTCTTCACCTCCTCCTGGATGCACTCATCTAGCCCCTCACTCCCATTCTCCTCCATACCCTCAAAGCAAATTCGCAGATTCACAGGCATCGCAATCCCCAGGTTCTTATGTGCTTCTATGACATTCAACCAGCCCAGAATAGGGCCCTTATCATCTGTCGAGCCACGACCGATCAAGCGACCCGAATCTTCATCCACCACAAGCGTGAACGGATCCGTCTTCCAGCCGTCCGTCTTCAACGCCTGGTTTCTGCGGTTCAGTACCATGCTCTTTTTCACTACAAAGGACTCACAGGCTGCACGTCGTAATGTCCATATATCAGCACTGTCTTCTTCGCAGGGTCGCTCCCCAGGCGTCCAATGATAGCCGGGGGGAGCTGCAGCGTCTGCCCCTGCATCTCATGTGTGCCGAGATCTATGAGTTTGGTCTCGACGCCAAGTTCGTTCAACTGGCCGTTCAGCCAGTTTCCCATCGTAATGACATCTTGGCGTCGACGAGCATCGCTGCTGATACTGTATGCACGGGAGTTTTGAATTAAATTGGATAATTGGTTGTACGCGACTGTGGAACCTACCTTTGAATAGCAACGGCATCGCCTAGACGCTTGATAAACGCATTTGCGTGCGTGTCGATGTAGTTACTGAAGCTTGCTGGAGCTGGCATTGTCGTTGCTGATAAAGAGGTACTGTATGTATTACGATCTAGGCGGTCACTGGACTGATAAGATGAAGTGCGCACGCCAAGGACCCTACTTATATCGCTCTGTGCTGCGGCCCGGATCTACGAAGGCACAAGCGCTATTGAATATCGAGCAATCAGTTCACCCACGCTCGTCGACCGTCTATTTATTACATCGACATCGCCAGCATCGCGCAAAGCTCCCTTCTCATTCCTCTTGATATATCCTAGACATCATCAATGTGAGACCAATAATTTATCTGCAAGAAAAAAGTGGATAAAATGTTTTGAACAGGAGCAGCCTAAGCGCAAGTATGGACATCGCCGTCGTGTGGTAGTGTATGTACTAGAAAAAAAATCCAAAATCCTTGTTAACGTATGTATGTTGTTTTTCTCCTAGCTTTCATCATCTAACCTGTACAGAGATCACCTTGTATTGCATTGTCGTGGTACGAAGTCGAGTCGCCGTCAATAACTACATGAAGAGGGAGACAGCAAGGGAGACAGTCATGCAGGCATTCACACAGAGTGTACAAGCTCCACTGCGCGCTTGCAGACCTCGTCGATCCCCCACCGCTCGCCTGCTCCATGCTTCAGGTCCAGGATGCCGCCCACCTCATCGCACGCCCGTAAGCACCATATCGATGTCCTCCTTTGTGTGCGCTGCGCTAACACAGAACCGTACCCTACTGGTAACAAGCGGAGTGGCAGGGTACGCGACGACAACGACAACAATCGGCGTGCTCCGCGAACGCATCATGCGAGAGAACATGCTCATCTTGCCCGGATTAAAGATGAGAAGGGGAACAATCGGGCTAAAGGGATGTCCGTAGGTGATAAAACCGAGTTTCTTGAGGCCCTGGTGGAGATACCGCGAGTTGAAGGCAAGACGGCGGATACGCATACGAGCTTCAGAACCGTCTGCAAGAGCCGGGTGAAGGGTCATCCATGTCGGCAGCATGCTTGGAGGTGCCATTCCTGGGAGCTCCTCTGTATTGTCCCTCAGCGTGACGATGGAACTAGCAGGGCTGAGCGCGAGTGCGGACTTGGTCGACTGTGATGACGGAGCGACACCCATAATGCTAACCATCGACGAGACGACCTGGGTGAGGACGGGGGGCGTCATAGCTTCTGCATACGCTCCGGAGTGACCACGTAACCGGAGAGTATCAATAAGGATTTTAGGCCCTGCGATGTATCCGCCAGCAGCACCAAAGGACTTGGTGAAAGTACCCATCAAGACGTCAATAGAACGAGGAGGGATGTTGAAGTAATCTGTGACACCGCGTCCATGGGGACCCAGCGCACCGATTGAATGTGCCTCATCGACAAAGAGGAGGAACTTGAACAAAATATCAACATCACAATACAACACGCCAACTGCAGTACAGACCTTGTACTTCTGCTTCAGTTCGACAATTCTAGGCAGGTTCACGAGAGTACCCTCCATGGAGTACAGACCTTCGACGATGACTAAAATCTTCTTCCACGGGCGATGCGTCTTGGGTTGACCCTGGCTAATCACCTCGCGCAGTAGGGACTCGAGGCTTGACATATCATTGTGTTTAAACATCCGGACCTGAGCATTACTATGGCGTACACCAACGCGGATACTAGCATGGTTGAATTCATCGGAAATGACAAGGGATCCCTTTCCCACGAGTGCGGGTATAAAAGTAGAGTTGGTGGCGAATCCCATAGAGCTGATTAATGCATCTTCCATGCCGACAAAACGCGCAACAAGGGCTTCAGCAGACACATGGAAGCTCACTGCTCCCGCTCTCAAGACGCGTGCCACAAGTGGAGACGCCATATCGACGAATGCTTTCCTCGACCGCGTCTGCACAGCCGCCACGAGGCCTGGGCAAAACCGAGGTAGTTATACGAAGAAATATTCAGCGCACGGGTCTTGCTACCAGTGAAGATCTGAGTGTGATTGTTATCCGTGGAATATCGGTCGAGGATAACAATAGTGCGTCCTGCAACACCGGTGACAGGCTGGGAAAAGCAGTCATCCATGCGACGCTTAAGCCGACGGGTGTAGAACGAATCAAAATCCGAGTTCAATGGCGCGTAACCCTGGGTACAAGATGGATTAGATGGGAGTATGGGAACAAGGTTGAGGAGGAAAGGAGATTGCACACGTACATCATGGGGCATAAGGTGGGTGAAATAAGACTTGGTAAAACGCTTTCCGAAAAAGTCGCGCATATGACCAAAACAGAGGAGAATAAGGTAACTAATGTAGGTGGTGAGGAGGATATAATATGGAGGCTCCTCGATGGTGTGCTCTTGCACAGGTTTGGTATAGTCATGCTTGGAGACGCAACGATATGCCTCGTTTGCACAGTGACCAAACTCCGTGTGAACGGTGGTGAAGACCTGTTCAGAGGTTGGGGGTGTTAAGGGGTACGCGAGACAATTGTTCTCACCGTCCTCGTTGAGAACGGTGTCCTCTGATGAAACTGTGACAGAAGATGATAGTGAAAGTGCAGGGGTTGATGAAACAGAATAATTGTCGTGGCTGCGAGCGCGCGTATCTGCTTGGTGAACAGCAGAAAGGTAGGACGCTGCGGTCGCCATTGACGACAATTGGCTAAATGATTTTTTCTTTTTGAAGATGGATGGAGAACGTGATGGCGGATTCAACGCCATCGGTGAAGGCATTTTTCTTGTCCTGTTCAACAAACGAACCACAAGACGAGTATGGTGAGGGACGGGATAGCTTATATTGAACGATTCTTCAAAAGGGATGTTATAAAAACTTTGCTTATGTAAGAAATATACACGCCCCCGCCCCTGAGCTTAGCTATCAGATCGTCCGGTCTTCAGTTTGAAGTATCTCTTGGACATTCTGTGTAGGAAACCGGCTTATATATCACTCTAATATCTAGTACTCACTCTTGGGAAATTTCTAAATCCAGCGTCTCCCTATGATTGACGGTGCGACAAATCACGTCGGCCGTAGTTACAAACCCTCCAACTGGTCATTTAGCCATTACACCATCGACGGGGCAGCTTTCCGAATACAATCAACTCCACGATCTGCGCGGTATACCACCAAGCGTCAAGTCCATCTTGATGGAGGATGCTAGGATTCCATGACTATTTTCCTTCCTCTATAAAGGTCTGGCTACCGGGGAGACTAGAGTAATATTTTCAGGGTGACAAGCTATACGGCAGGCAACTTGTTCCTGCTCGCCGCCGCCGTCTTGCTTTGAAGTCAGTACTTGCTCTTGCATTTGTGCTCACAGGTCGACGTTACAAATCCTTTGCGTACTTGGGGAAGCGATGCCTATAGCCACTTTTTTTCAGGCATGCCTCGTGTTTTCACGCAACGGGCAATATTGATGATAAGTATTCGAAGTCTTATATTCCTTCGACACCATCTGGTCCCCCTTGTCGATGCTAGCGTCCCCATCCTTCCTCGGTTCGACGCCTTCGGAATGCCCTCGTCATCGCCCGACAGCAAGCGAGTCCATCGCGCTGAAAACAGCACCCAAAGCGTAGTCTTTTCGCGTAGCACACTAGCCTATAGTCCGTAACAGTCGCTGCCAGAAGAAAAAAACAGGTAAGTAGAACGTTAGGCATCCCTCGCTCTGCTATATATACAACCGAATCTCCAGAGGGTCTACGTAGCGCCTCCCCTCTAAGGAGACTAATGCTCAGACTCGTCAGTTGTTTTCGGTGACAGCTCAACCTGCAGCTCAGCCACACTCGACTAGCTACAGCCAGTCCCAGAAAGTCCCAGCCTCAGGCCCAGACAGCGCCACAACAACCTGCTCAAGAAGTCGGGCAAATTTACTTCGTATTCTGGTGCATTCCGAGTCCATGCCGCACTCGCACCACTGTCTCCGAGTCTTGATGTAACTCTTTTAGATGTGATGTGCGTTTAGTTGAGTCATCAGAATTTGAAAGTTATCGAAGCTCGCTATTTTGTCATTTTCGCACCTGAGAATGCCGAGCTCCAAAGACTTATACATACATGTCACGGCGACTCGTCGCCGTGAGAGAGCTCTCCGACTCAAAAGCGCGTTGCATCGAGTTGGAGCTGGACGTGTACAATAAAAAATTTACAACGATCAATCAACAGCAAAAACCTAGCTGAAACACAAGAGAAAGATCAACTCGAAGTCCGTGGTAACATACTCGAAGATGTGCTGTTCTGATTCCTCCCATTCCTCCTGTCACGAAATCCCTTTGGAGGGGAGTCATCGGTCCGACCCACCTCTTTGTCCGTATCTGACGGACCTGTAGGACTACGCAGCACCGCAGACGCCGCAGATCCAGCATCTGCTCCCTTGCCACTACCGTTTCCTCACCCCGCGGCGGCTTAAGAGGTCATCACTGCCACGCTCGCTCGTCGTTCCAAATATTCGATTACGAGCTTCTTGATACTGAGCCTCACGCTCAGCAAGAGTGTTGCGTGTCTGTGAGGAGAGTGAGGTGGTAGAATTCGAGGCTGATTGGGAGGGAGAGGGCCGTTTCAGGATACGCATCGTCGGTTGGAAGGCAGCTGGGGGAGGGGGGACGACGCATGTCCCGGTGCTCGAGGGGGAAATGATCAGTTCTGGCATGGGCGCTTTGTTGTTTCTGCAATGTGCAGAGGAGTTAACGTTGGGGCTGACAGATGAAGGAGAATGATAGACTCACGCGTCTTCCCAGACTTTGGCGTTATCTTCGTCTTCATCTTCATCGTTATCCCAGTCGTCTGGGACGACTTGTTGGGGCTTCCGCTGTGGTTTAGTTGCAGCGCCTGCCAGTGGATACGAGCTCAGGCCAGCGTAATCCTGGAGAAGCTCCGTCAGGTCTCATGGTCACCCGGTATCAAATATCATTACTTGCATTGGGCTGGTCCCAAACATCTGCAGATGTGGATCCTTGAGAGCTGGTATCGATCATGTTCATCTAGGCTCTAGGGTTCAACTCTATCACGAAGCGTCTATGATAGCCCAAATCACTGTCTGTGGCTCTGCAAGCTCCGCTAATATTTCGATCAAAGTCGACATTGTGCCGAGCACGTGACCTACTTACTCCTATGTGAACAGGAACGTTGTAGTATGTTAGATCCAGACATTTGAATAACAAGCACGCATAATCGCAAAGCAGATCGTCAACTCGAACAGCTCGAGCTCCAATCTGTTCTGAGTCCTGGCACAAGACCTCACGAGATTAATTAACAACTTGAACTAGAAAAGGAAAATCAAATATTTCGACAGAACTCGTTCTGCGTCAGTCAACACTGCTCAGCGCTCAACAGCATAGAATAAAATTGGTACATGATATGTAGATCAAGACAACAGCGAGAACAGCATAAACGCATACAATCAAAACCAAATCTTCAACGTGTCCAGCACGTACGGACATCCAATCATTCCTCATCGTCATCTTGGTGTGTCCCAGGCCTGAACAACGCCAACAGATCATCCATGCCGAGTTTCATATTCTTCATCTTCTCTCCACTCAACGCCGCTTTCGTAAGCTCGCGTTTCTTCTCTTGAAGCTATATAGCACCATCGCTCAATTACAGCTTTAACCGCAAACGTCACATGGCTTACCTCGAGGATCCGCTCTTCTACAGTCTCGGGAATAGTGAGCTTGAAGATATTGACGTCGCGTTCTTGCCCGAAGCGATGAGCGCGATCAAATGCTTGGTCCTATCCCTGCAGTTAATGTTGAATTCAAAAAGTGAGCCTAGGACGGACCTCAAGCGCAGGGTTCCACCACATGTCAACGAGGACCACATTGTTGCAGCAGGTCAAGTTTAACCCTGAAGCGCAAAGGTTAGGGACTCGTCATCACCATGAGTTTGAGAAGGACGTACCAGTACTCCCGGCCTTGAATGAAATTAGGATACAGCGCGTGCTCTTGCTGTTTCGGATTTTCTCTAGTGATGCCTCACGTTTATCCTTGGTCATGCTTCCGTCATCTACATCGCGCCATCATAGCAAGTCAGAAACCTCGAGAGACGAGAAGCCGAAAGGACATACATCGTACAAACTTGATCCCCTCCGCAGTCAAGAACGGTTCGATCAGATTCAGCATGCTGGTGAACTGAGAAAAAATTATCGTTTTTTCAGCACTCTCGCTTCGTTCATCGATGTCCCGAAGAATTTCCAGCAACTTGCGAATCTTCGCCGAATCCGGAGGTAAGTTGGGATCACGAGCGGTTGGTGCGGCCACAGACTTGCGTCGGGCCTTGGCAGCGATTTCAGTACAGTCGGGGCAGTGGTCTGAGTCGGAAGAGGTAAGACTGCGCAAAGACGAGTTAGAATTCATACTGTATGTCAGCAAAGGCAACATACTCTGTCTGACATAACTGGCATTTCTTGCCGTTCGAGACGCCCATCTGTCCTAAAAGCGTCGCAAGCTCGTCGGCATCTTCATCAGCATCATCGTTCTTAGTGGGGCGAGGCTCAGCGGCCTCAGAGTCGATACGGTAGTCCTTGTACACGAGGGACGGATGGTTGCAAGCTAGTGAATCTAGATTAGCATGTGATGCAAAGTCGATACACGAGCCAGCTCACCCTGCCTTAGCCTCAGAAGCATAAGCAACACGTGGGTATAATTCTTGGACGCTTCGTTGGCCTGAACAAGTTTGTCAAGTTCACTTGTCATGCGTTGCGAGAGCGTATTGTAGAATGCTTGCTCGTCTGAATCGAATTTGCATTGAACAACAGACAAATGCCGTGACGGAAGGGAGATGATAGGTTTCCCGTTAAGGACGAGATCTTTGGTACGTCGGAGCATGATGGATTGGAGAACGACCTGCACATGGTGTCAAGTTGTAGGGCAAGTAAATAACTACACATGCACAAAAGGACGCACATGAAGTCGCTTAAGGGCTCGTACTGGTCGCCCGGCCTTGATGGGCTGTGCGATCTGTTCGTTGAAGTTTTGCCAGTCGTTAAGCGGACGCACACGGAGAAATTTGAGGAGAGAGAACAGTTCATCCACTGTATTTTGCCTGAAAAGAAAACTGTAGGACTGCCTTCACATAACACGATTTTTAACGTACATGGGTGTGCCTGTAAGACACCAGCGAAACTTCCCGTCTAGTTCGCAGCATGCAATAGCCGCTTTCGTGTTCCTGTTCTTGATGTTGTGTGCTTCATCTTTGTGTACTTGTTAGATTATAATTTAGCCAACCCCGATGGCGACGCACCAAGAACAATCCTAAACCATTTCACGCGGAATAATGCGTCCTTGCCCTTTGCCCTTCCGGGTTTCTTCTTCGTAACGACCTTGTCAGAATCAGAGTCCGAGTCTGATTGGGATGCTGCCTTCTTGGATTTTGACTTGGACTTTGATTCGTCCTTTGCGGGAGGTGCAAAGGTCGCGTATTCAGAAGCGACAATGGAATACGAAGTAACCACGACGTGTGCGGCCTTGAGTTTCAGAGGGTCTGTGCTGCATTAAGTTTGATACTATTTAGAGTAGAAGGGACCCACCTATGGTACGACTTTGGCCATGGTGCTCAATCACACGTAATCCCACAGCCATCTTCGCGATCTCGGAGGCCCATTGAGAGACGAGTGCAACTGGACAAACAACCCTAGAAATCATGGATTTAACAAACAAACATCGAAGACAATTGGACCTACAAAGTCGTGGCAGCCCAACCATCTGCTTTGTCAGATTTTTTGGCACGACCATCGACGATTCGCGTAAGGGTCTGAATAGTCTTGCCAAGACTGCACAAAAAAAAAGGTTGATTACACGCGAGTAGCAGTAGTACTGACAGTCTTACCCCATATCATCTGCAAGTATGCCACCTCTCTTTTTACCTGTTTCTTTATCGCGCATCCAAGCGCGACCAAGGACCTGATGCGGGAGAAGTGTGATACCGTCTTGAAAGCCCTCCACAATGGCTTCCTCCATGTCAATCTCAATATCATCATCAGGGGTGATACTATCCTCTACGAGAGCGCGCAACGCCTTTTCAGTCTCAGTGGCGGACATCCGAGGTTCATAGACGTATGCTTCATGGGACACATCCACCGCCGGATTAAGGCCGGAAGGCCCCGGAAGAATATCACGGTTCGAAGGAATGTGAATGGGTGCTGGGACTTGTGTGCGCTGTAGAGGAGGCACGGGAAGAGCCTGTTTCAAGACATCCATGACAAAGTTGTTACGAGCAGCCGGTGGAGGTTGAGCAGAGGATTGCGACTGGGTACTAGGAGGTCTACTTCAAGTTAACAGCAAAAAACTTGAGTCGCACGCCAAAAAGGACAGCTGAGGAACGCGAGTACGTACATGTCCTCGTTTTCTTCATCAGAAGAGATTACGATCGTTGTTCGGCCTCTGTGTCGAGCTGCTGGTGCCTCCGTTGAGGCTGCAGAAGATGTCGAAGAGCTTGAGGAACTTGAAATAGACTACGCAATATCGTGGTGAGTTGAGAGATGAAGTTGAAAAAGAGGACATACGATTACGCTTGGCGTTTCTGAAGTCTTTCCATTGGTTGGCTTCTTGAACTCTGGGTATAAATTAGGGTCAAATGCCATCTGTTTGCGACTGGAAAGTTGCTCAGGTGTTATTCAGAATCTTATACACAGTACATACAGGCGTTCCATGGTTGTAAGTGGTCGGGGTATGTGTTAGCTGAAGGTGTTTTGATGATCGCGGATGAACAAGACATGCAATTAAAACAACGCGTCGCACTTAATTGAACGTCACGTGGTCGTTTGTATTACATACTCAGTCCACGGTTTTGAAGCAGTTTGTTGCGTTTGTTTGTACATTTTTGACCACAACAACGCCTTTTGAACCGGTGGAGTCGGATCGCTTTCATGCACCATGAGCTCGCATCGTGCACGCACGCGTTCCAATTATCTTTTCTTCCTCTCCTACCGAACTCGCTGGTGCAGTCCACTCCTCTCAATGATCTCACATATCCATGAAATTTAACCCATCCCAAGGACCGACAACGACCAATACTCACACGTCAACAATTCCGTCTACTACCACCTCTTTGATTCTGTAGTAAACACTTTTCTCATCCAACGATGTGGACTCACCTCCAACTCCGCCCAAATTGGGCTGGTAGTCTCGTCCCATTGCCAGGTAAGTACTAGTACCAAGCGGCTCTCCGCCCCGATCAGGTGCTTACAACTTTGGGGATAGTTCTTCTCTCCCCTGTCATTTCCTCAGGTTCTGGACCTCGGACTTAGGGTAGTGAAGCTCGGTTCAAGTTCTGTGACGTATGAGGTCGCGGTATTTGAGGAGGGAAAGGATGCACCCGCAGCTGTTGGGGGTTATACCCATGTCTTTGTTGAACGGGGATCCAGGAAGAGCATTCCCATGAATGAGCCCCTTCGGGAAGGTCTTTCAATCCTGTTATCGACCAATGAGAGCTTGGAATCTAAGCTTTGAAGTGCACTTACACCAAATCATCATGGAATTCTTAGAGCTCACAAATGAACGAGAGAGTGCTATGACAAGAACAAGTACTTGCCTGATTCGCTGATTTTTCCAGTATGACGACTAGTCTGACCTCTACAGCCCTTTCAAGTGCGTAGTCCACAACATATTATAGGAGTCATATACGTAAGTCAAACGTAAGTCGTCCACCTCTGTGCACTTTTGTGATAAATATTGATTTTATTGATATTTATACTACCGCCATATCTCTGGTGCTCGTGTGCTCTCCGTGACCGATGTGATATATCGCTGTAGTGCTATGTCCCATGATTCGGAAGGCCTTCCGATATCTGGCTAGGCGTTACTTTACTTCTTAGCGAACGGCGAACGCTATATCAACTATATATATGCAGCTTCCCTGTTCCTGTTCTGCGTTATCGTGCCGTTTAAACCACGCAGCTCCAAAATCTCAGTCGAGTAATTTCAACACACTGACAAGGTATCGAATTTAAAATCAAGATCTATCCCAAAACACCGTGATCTTCGTCTCAGCTGTAAAGTTTAGAAGGTTCTCGGTGACCGAGCTTTCGTGCACACGCTTGACAGGACCGTTCTCAACACTACGATTAATGTCTTTGCAATCTAAGTATAGCCAATTCACTTGCACATTCGTTTGCAAGATGATTCATAGATTGGTTTTCAGCATAAACTACAAGACCTCGCTTACCTCCAACATTAAGTGTAAATAAATAAAATTCAGACTACGAATGTACATACTTGATCTAGAATGAATAGAACCTATTGACCAGAATTGGACTAGCTGCACGGCGGAGATCACTTGTATACATGCAGCTATAATATCTCAACTGTCCTGATGGAGTATAGCTATCATGTTGCGAATAGCATCGGCCTATCTTTTGCGGTGATAACCAGGTCATGAAGCCCATTGACTTCATGAGTGAAATATGTCTCTTAGCCTGGACCAGGTACCCGCATCAGTAAACTGGGGAGCCGCAGATATTAGTGGTACTTTGTAACCCCAATTGATGAGCATTTCAGCTTACAAAATATGAGAATATCAGTGACTCACCAGTAACTTACTGATGCCGATGACAGGGAATGCAAGGCAAAGTAGATGGAGCCGGCAATGCGCGAAACAAGCAGTGCTCAGGGACTCGAACATGTTGCATAATGTCAAAGCCAACTTTACGGCCCCGACACGCCGCAGCAAGCAGATCGGTTTCCGTATCTCTTTATCTGACAATAATGTGGCATGAATGATGGAGTTTCATGTGAAGTGATGTCAATTGGGAGGTAGCTATTGAAGCCGGATGATTTGCCGACCCAGTTCGGGGCAGTAATGTCACCTGACTGAGCCACGATCTCCTGCAATAGCCGCCCGAGAGCGGGTTTCCTTAGATTGTTGGTAGGAGGACGCCGAAGACATGATTCCCAGATAGAAGGCGAAAAGGGCCCGTGCATCTATGCTCGTTGAATCCTTCAGCTCCTGCATAATCACAACGAACTGCTTGTGGTTAGGGGACCAACCTTATTGATAGAAGATAATTTGTGTATTTCAAGCACTCTTTGCCAGTGCGCCAGACTTGGACGAAGGCCGAATATCGGACAGGTAGATGATCACAAGCGCCGAGTGGCGATACCACACAAACATAGAGTTTTGAAGTTCGACATTGTTATTCTTGTCGATGCAGCGTATCGCTCCACACCCATGTTTGTCACTATTTGTATAGCTTAGGGGTAGAGCCTTCGGCTGGCCGCTGTTGTCGTATGTCGTACGTAGCAGTCGTCATTAGATCGAGGCCACACCAGTTTCTGTCTGCCAGAGGTGGCACATTGCCAGCCGTGCCAGTCCATCCTTGTGAAGGCATTTATCAGTGTCACTCGAGTCTCGATCACATTAAGTACACGAGATGAGCGTTTTCCATTTGAGCGTCAATCACCTTTCAAACAGCACCAAAGTTAAGGAGAGACACACTGCTAGCGCAGCTCTGAAGATTCAGTCGAGCATATTGACGCAAGTGTGATTGAGGGCCTAACTCGTACTTGGATCCCGGCCAGGAGCATTTTCGGAGAGTATTACTTGGAAGGTCTCGGTAGCATAGTCGTAGCGTGGTGCACCACGTAGCGCTGCATGCTTCTGCCGATCATCATATTCAAGGAAGACGAAGGGTTGATTGGGTTCGATGACCTAGTGATTGCCAATATGAGTGCTGGCTACCAATAGGTAAGATCGTAGTTTCTGCGCATCAAGAAGTGCGTCTCCCGTAACATTTTTCCGACTTGGCCAAGTGGGCCTGGCCCTTACGGCGGTTTCCAGTTAATCATGGTGTTGGTTACCGAATCCTAGTACTTGTTGTGGGCAGAACCTCCAGGCAGAACCGTGGGATCAGTTCCGAACTTCCGGACATCAATAGAGACGTTGCCAAGCAGCTAAGACCGACTTCTTGTTCATTCCGTAACTTGCAGCAGTCTGTAGTGACAATCTCGAAGGTTCTTAATTAATCTCACTTGATGACATTGATGCTGAGTTTACCTTGGCTGGGATGTGTTCGGGCAGGAAGTTTGAGATAGAAGAGCATTTGACTTGGCGGAACTGCAACGTGGGGCTGTTGACGAGGGATTAATCACTAGTGCCTGCAGCAATAGTCTAGAGGACGAGACTAGTGACGGTCACGGATCATCGATCATGATACAAACGAAGATGGAACTTTGAACTTGCAATATTGATTTGATGTATACTTCCAGTACCATCAAAGAGAATTCCGCAATTCTGTCATTAGCTGCCAGGTTCTGCCATCAGTCATATTCTGCCAGTTCTGCCGGCAGAACTACTTCTCTGCCCACAACACTACCGGCGGCGAATCCAGGTTGATCGCCGCCAAGTATAGCTCGATAGCCTGTCGCCAGCAGCGAGAACAATATCTGCACTTGCAGCAAAGTTGACATCTTCATTGGCAACATGCAATGTTCTGTTGCTTGAACGTTGAGTGAAATGCGGTTTGTAACGAGAGCAATATTAAACACTTACCAGTACACCAACTGAGTTCATAATTTCATCACTCATATCTGGTACGCCTCCATGGCTTCTCCAAATCAACTCGCGCAAAGGAGTGCACCGCGACGGCAACCGCGACCAACAGCAGGTGGTGCGACTCCCGCGAAGTGTGCGATGCTTTCCCTCGTACTTGGGTTTAACATTTGCAAATCATATCATGGTGGCAAGAAGTTCGCCAGACCGTGACACCGAGTACCGGTTGCAGTGGGCCGTTGACCGGTACTCCACAAGTTACAATTCCTTGCACCTGCCACGTCTATGTGCTCCATGACTCAGTACTCAGCTTCGCCATTTGATCTGTTGACCCAATGACTAGGACTGAGCCGCATCTGGTGAAAGGTTCATCGAGCCGAACTCCCATGAGTGAGGCATCAGTACTAGTAATAGGGTTGTGTGAGTTTGCCAGCATATCCGTCCCAGACGATTGGAGCTCTCCATCGACATTACCACTGAGCGCTGACATTCAATCGCCTCGTAACACCGCTACTGACCAAAGTGACCATCATTACCATTTTCAACACAACACTCGATAATTTCAAAGTCCCATAGATGAATTTGAATCTTGGCTTCTAAACCCATTGATATCTGTCAGGGAAAACTACCCTTGGACTGCCCGTACGGATCCTTCATGATCTTCAAAGTCTCGAAAGGATGTGGTGATTAATGATAGGATAGACTGATTCTGCCATTCTCTTGCAGTACATAGTGGTTTTTCCAGGCTGTGCAGGGCGGCTGTTTCACAGCCTTACATAACTAGGACCTCTTCTCGTAACGCTCTCGTCAAAGATGCTGTGAGCTCTCTAACTTCAACCGCCATAATTGCATTTATGTAAAGGAAACATTCTTCCTGTGCCTCCATATCTGTGGTACCGTATGGTCTCTAGTTCATCCGCAGCTCATTAGTAACGGGATCAAAACTCGGAATCATGATGTGCGGTCGCCGGTTATATGTAACTTATTACGCTGCAGTTCACCGTCCAGCCTCGTACGTACTTATCAGTGTTTCACGGCCCTGCAGCGCACTGTCACTGTGCAGCTTATCCGACCAGTCGCATGTGGGGAACGTCGTTCCCCAGCCTTCTCGCCTAGAACTAGAATGGAAGATGAAACTGACATGCCCAATCAACGTTTCAACATTACAACTTCTAAAGTGTGCACACGCATTGAATTCGAGTCTTGCTTCTCGGCATATATTATTTGACTAGTAGTCCAAGATATCTGCTTTATCTTCGTGAGAGTAGGCATCATAAAAAACGTTCTAGTACTGTATGTAAATAATCGCATCGATTACGCCCAAGTCCAAGAAAGTAAATAACCATTATCATGCACTCGCATGCCCAAGACACGTAATCATAAATCCCAAACGAAATAGGGTGGTAGGTATCTCGCTAATTGCGTCCACGTGAAGCGGGCGCAGGCGTATTTTTAGATAACAATACACTGGAGGATCAGCGTTCAGCATCAAACCTTCTTGCCGAAGTCAAAGATAACCCCTAATGGTATTAGCCTGAACGACCAACTTGAAGTAGACTGCGGAGTATAGATTTGAACCCTGAAGACGCTCTGGGAGCCCGCGGTGATTTCGAAGTTGCAGGAGTTGGAGAATGCGGCGCGGTGGGTGAAGCAGGTGCCGTCTGTGGGCGTGGGTGTGGGCGTGGGCGCTTCAAGCGGGCCGTAGATCTCGTGGTAGGGACGGGGACACGGGCGGGGACGGGAACAGCTAGGGAAGAAGGTTGTACGTGAGGTTCGTGAAGCATCGGAGAGATTTCTTTAGCGCGTGGTGGGGGAGTAGCGGTGACCGTGACCATAGGAACTGTCCACATAGGATGAACATTAGGATCTGGTGCTTGGCTGTAGTCGTAAAGCGAGCCCGGGGCATTTCTAGCATCTAGAGCAGCAGGTGGAGAGCCTGATGTGGCATATGAAGAGAATGACGCGTAAGAAGTGGCGGTGCCAAAGGAAGATGAGGATTCTTGTAGTTCTTGATCATGTGAGGCATTAGGGGGGTCGACGGAAGTTTTGGGTGCATGTCTTGAGTTGTCTTGCTGGTCGCTGTCACTGTCACTGCTCCACTGCGCTACTATGCTCTGCTTCAGGTTTGACGGGACTTTTGGGTGGGAATACTCTGCGCCACGAGAAGCGGTTTGCAGGCTCGGAGCATTGATAGAAGTAGCGCCAGTGTCCCGCGACCCCATTGTCGTGCTACTGCCATCAGTCAAGCTTGAAGTAGAGTTTCCCGCACTTGAGGATACACTGGAAGAAGATGTGATAGGGGGAGGAGGTAACAGGGTAATAGTAGTTGCGCTACCTGTGAGGCTACTTAATGCACTATCTGTCCCGCACCGGGAATCAGGTTTAGGCACCTTTTGCCGTGTGTCACTCCTCATGGGAGACTTCAAGTCAAGGCTTGGAGTAATGCCTGAAGCCGACTTGGGTCGCCTGTGAAAGGAGGGGGAGGGAATGAACTGAAATGTCAATCGACGGCCCCGGTGATTGTTCTCCTTTCCGTTATCTCCTATCTCTTCGGTCTGCGGGACATTTTCCTGGAGCGATACGTCCGATGCGGAAATATTTGGCGTGTTCTGTTTTGCACTACCCCTGAAAAACTGCGAAGAAGGACGAGGTATCCAGGGTAATGACGGGGCAGCCAATCGTGCAGGTGGTACCTGAACAGATTGTGTTCGAGATTTGGTAAGTTTCCTGCGAGGTCTGACTTGTGCCTCGGCAAAAGTGCCTGGCGCCTCTGAGTCCATTTTTGATTCAGAAGCGGCCCGTTCGGTGGATATGTCACCGGAGACAAGTTCTTCACGATCATGGGATGAGTCGGAAAACCTGCTGTCAAGTATGGGGATAGAGGAAACTTCGTTGGCTTCCAGAATCCTGACCACTCGAGTGCGTTCTTGTGGTGCAGTACGTTCTGCTGCGGCGTCCGCCATCACCGGTTCGCGGGAAGGTGCATTGAATTTCTTTAATTTCCTCCTTCTCGAGCTCGCCCTTCTGAGCACCCCGTCATCCTCCGTCACAGAAATCTGTCTCTGACGAGGGCTGAGACCTTCATCCATATCGAAAAACACGGTATCTCCACTTGCCCCGCTCATTTGCGACAGGCGATTCACAGCATCCACGAGACTGATGCGTGAATGACGCTGGGTTGGGGTGGGATAAGACATCCTCCGGTGCGGTGTTACATCGGCATTTTCTGCCTCGTTCTCGGATGATAATGAAAAGAAGGTACTGATCGAACTTTTCTCGGACAATGCGGGTTCCCGAGAACCCGGGGGGAGAGATGTATGGGAGGCCTGTGACGACGGCAGCGAGGCACGCCTGGAAGACCTATTTCCGGATGGGTGAATGGAAGGAGAAGGACCGGAGGCCTCAGAGTCGGAGACTATGATATGAGGTACACCTTCCTCCATGCCCTCGGTGACCGGTGAGCCAGATGTGGCCGAATATACCGTGTTTGTCATCATGCTAGCGCATTTTCGTCTGCGGTATTCCCGAGCACTCAGGGGCATCACGACTGGTTGTGACGATATCGATTGCCTAGAAAAGCGGGGCGTAGATGCAGTACCAAATGGAGAAGATGACATCCAGTTCTCATTCGGATTTCGGGACACTGAGGGCTTTTGGGAGGTTGGGCGAGCGGCACTCGGTGAGTAGGCTTGTGGGACATGGGCTGGCAGGGGATCTGTTTGGCATGGAAAAGATGCTGAGCGACTATGCCCGAATGGTGCTTGGGTAGGAAGTGGTGCCGCTGGTTCATCCTTGGCCTGCCGTCTGAAAAGACCAAGTGTGGGAATAGCGCTAGTGGTCTTGGTTAGTCCCGTTGTGGAAGTACGGTGCGCGTGCGAGGAGAAGGAAGATGAGCTGGCAGAAAAAGAACCAGTATGAGAAACGTCAGACGAGGGTGGCGAGCGCGAATACAGGCGGGCGTCTAGGCCAAGGGTAGGAATAGCACCAGCGCTCTTTGACGGTCCAACCAAGAGTCCGGGGGCGCGGTGGGCATGGGAAGAGGTGGTCGCAGAAATAGAACCAGTGTGAGAGAAGAGAGATGACGGTTGCGAGCGCGAGTATGGACCGAGGTCCATGCTCAAAGTACTTGGGCATTGAGACTGACTTGACTCTAAAGAAGTTACGATGGATGTATTACTAGAGAATGCTGGGCCGGCGAGAGGAGAAGAACGTAATGGACGAGAAGCACGGACAGATGTTGGATATCCTACGAGTGCAGGTGTACTTAATGGTTGTCCTGCGCGTTCGTGCAATGCGGCAGGGCGAGGTACCACCGCCACGGCCTCAGGCTGTAATAGAGAATGTAAGGTACGACAAGCAGCAACACCCGGTGAGAAACTCACCTGCAGCACGCAAGGTTGGGACATGGCAACTTGGGAAAAGTCGCGAGGGGGAAATAGGTGTACATATAGGAAAAACCAAATGTGATGCAGGTTAGGATCAAACCGAGACTCGTTGCCTCGAGGCCATTTCGAGGCACATCATGATGTGATGGTAAATGGCGATTAGCAGAATAATAAATTTAGCCAACACTAATTATAATAATTCCGACAAGTCGCAATAATATTAATAGAAGGACAAGTGCACATGAGCACTGCCCCAGGCCACCGGTATCTCAAGTTGATTGATTCATATATCCCTGTGCAAGACTAGACCTTCATCTTCCATAAAGCACGGATCTCTTGTCAGCGGTGTATACGTAAATCATGTATTATCAATGATGTGTGGGCTTTTTTCCGTCCACAAACATGTTCCGTGTAGCACTGGGCAGGGTCGCTGTCATTTCGTCAAGTTCGCGAGTTATGTGCACCTGACACCCAAGTCGACTTGTGTCAGTTAAACCGAACGCCATATCCAGCATGTCATTTTCATCATCAGATGGCTCGGGGAGCAGATCATAATGCTCGGGCGAGAGAATAACATGACATGTCGAACAGGCAACTGACCCTTCACATGCGCCTAATGATTCAACCAAATCAGTTCACCTGACCAAATGACGTCAAATCAACCACACTAATACCTTCTAGGTCAATGTCATGCTCATGCGCAAGTGATAGGATATCATCACCCTCGTTCGCTTCGACGGTCTTCAACAAGTTACCCTTCGAATCTTTGAAATGCAATTTAATTCTGAAACATAGTCAGGGTCTACTCGGGTCACTTTTCCAGTATGCTGCGTACCCAGTGCCAGGTTCTGGTCTGGTCACATTCCCATGACGCTGTACTTGACGAATTGTGGTCGGTTTAATATTCCAACATCAGAAGGTGAGATACGCACTCTGCGAACCGTGTAACCATCTCCGCAAACTAGGATTCCCTAAATTTGACCGCGTCCAGTAATCCAATAGGTGTATTGGACGATCGCGGACAATAGCAGACATCCGCATACAGCGGAGAATGCGAGAGGACGACATGGTGAAGGACACACGAGTTGCAGAAGCGTTTCGAACGAGGAAACTCACGGTCGTAACACACGGAGGCGAATATTGACACCAGCATGCGGCGGTAGATTACATAAGCTGACAGCGTGCCAGCCCGAACCTGGCCACCTCCTTCCACAGTTCGTGCAGCACTCCTCCACACACAATGCACGACACTTGTCATTTGGTAGGTCAATACTGAGCAGTATAAGTATGGATCTTATATTGTACCACAGGATAGCGACTGGTTTGCCAATGCACTCGCCATCTTTCTTATCATTGGTCTTGTTATATCGTATGCCCCGCAGGTAAAATGTGAACAATATGCAGAACAGTAAACATCTGACCTTTTGTGGAATAGCATTTCAGAATAATTCAAATGGGCTCTTCAGAGGGCTTTAGCCCGTGGTTCTTGTTGCTTGGTAGCACGTCTTCTGCCGCGGGAATGCTTAACATGTGAGCCACCCCCGACGGTATTGACATTTTTTTTTTTTTGATGAACCGTTTAACAGGATCGCGCTTTCCTGGCCTACTATTCAGTGCTGTAATGATGTGGTGCGTTCCGCGGTGATATTGCCTGCTTCACGCCACTGAGAATCTACGATATCAGAGCGTGGGGAGATGCCTGGAACTTACTGCTGGAGTAACGCAAGTGACTTTGCAGTGGGTTTTATTCATGCTCATGTATGATTACCTCCTCTAGTCTGGCAGTTTAACTAACAACATCAAATGCAGCCTGGTTTTGTACATTATCTACTATCCCGCCCGGTTGAAATACGTTGATATTGACATCCCTGCGCACGGCACTCTCCCTCCTCAGCATGTCAAGACAAAGCTTTTGAGTGACGATTGGCGTCTTTCTATGAACGTCTCGTGGGCTGTCACCATCCATCTGTTTGAGTGACCTATCTAACCTTCTGGCTCCTGTATTCTGATGTGTGTTTTGAAGTGTCCTCATTACCATCGTCACATTTTTCCTTCTGTTCACACGCATCCCAGGGCCTGACGGAGAGGTTCCACGTCAAATATCCTTGTGGGCGACCTTTCTCGGCGTCAGCTCTGCATTACTTGCAGCAATTCAATATGCGCCACAGCTGTCGCGGACTTATCGTTTGAAGCTCGTCGGTGCGCTCAGTATCCCCATGATGATAATACAGAGTCCTGGAGCAGCTATAATGTCCATATCTATTGCGCTTCGGTGAGTAACTAGATTCGCCGTATTCGACGTTGTGCTCATGTTTATCCAAGCCCTGGCACTAACTGGACAAGTGCGTTTGCGTTTCTTGCTCTTATTGTCGTAATTAATAATGTGTCAAAGGTTGGGCGATGTTTGCTGTGTCCGGCATCATGCAAACCGCCTTACTGGCTATGTGCATTGCATGGAAGTTCCGTCAGCGTAGGCTCAGGATTGATGACTTTGGTTATTCACTAGATAGCGACTCGCCCACTCCATTGACAGACGACATTGACACCGTCGTTGGCGAAGTTTCAGATCCCCAAGTTGGCGCCATTTCTTACGCCAACAATGCGGAGGACGCCCGTGAAGATGCGCCACTCTTGGCGAAACCAAGACGTTCAACCAGGAGTTCCAGGTTTTTGGGTTGGCTGAGGTTATAAGTAGATATCTGGTTTCGGAACTTTATGTTGTTTTTCTCATTAATACTTAGAAGCTGAGCTCTGGGCAGATATAGTATACCCATTGGACCTACTTAAAGACTTTAGTATCGTAATGACATTGACATGCAGTTTCACTATGAATCTCAAAAAGGCAACTTTACTTTCGCGCAGTTTCGCGCCTCTCATCCACCATGGCCAGCTTGATCGCGATTCTCGACTTGAAGGGGAAGCCTCTAATACAGCGCTCGTACAAGGACGATGTGCCGTCGTCGTATATCGAGCGCTTCTTACCGCTTGTATTAGACATCGAAGAAGAGGGACAGCAAGTAACGCCATGCTTCTCAAGTCAAGGTATCAATTACATGCACATTCGACACTCCAATCTCTACAGTACGTATTGACGTGTCCTGTGGCGGAACCGCCTCCTTAATGATTTACACTGCAGTATTGGCTTTATCGAAGCGCAACTCAAATGCGGCTGAGATCATCATATTCCTCCATCGATTGACTCAAGTCTTGATTGAATACTTCAAGGAGCTCGAGGAGGAGTCTATCAGAGACAACTTCGTCATTATATATGAGCTGATGGATGAAATGATGGACTTTGGGTTCCCGCAGACGACAGAGAGCAAGATATTACAAGAGTGCGTATGAGGCTTGCTCGTATGTGTTGGGTGCTAATGCTGTGTTAGGTACATCACCCAGGAGTCGCACAAGCTTGAGATCCAAGCACGGCCTCCTATGGCTGTCACGAATGCTGTTTCATGGAGAACAGAGGGTATAAGGTATAGGAAGAATGAAGTGTTCCTGGACGTTATTGAGAGCGTGAACCTCTTGGTGAGTACTGCTCACTATGCGACGAGGCTCGACATAAATTGCATACATAGGTCAATTCGAACGGCAACGTGGTCCGGTCTGAAATATTAGGTGCCGTCAAAATGAAGTGTTACCTGTCTGGTATGCCTGAACTGCGACTCGGGCTGAACGACAAGGTCATGTTTGAAAGCACTGGTAGAAGTATGCGATGATTGTCTTATACTCCTCTTATTGTCTCTGATATATCATTTTTACGATAGCTGCTCGGGGCAAAGCTATCGAAATGGAGGACGTCAAGTTCCACCAGTGCGTCCGGCTCTCCAGGTTCGAAAATGACCGCACAATATCGTTCATACCTCCAGACGGCGAGTTCGAACTCATGTCTTACCGACTGTCGACGCCCGTTAAACCTCTTATTTGGGTGGAAGCTGCCGTAGAAAGCCACAAAGGGAGCCGCGTGGAATATATGGTAAAATGCAAAGCGCAATTCAAGCGCAGAAGTTCTGCGAATAATGTTGAGATCTATGTTCCTGTCCCGGATGATGCAGATAGCCCGAAATTCAGAGTTTGTTGTCCTAGATAATCTAGATAACTCCAAGCTGACGCCTGTCTGTTGTCTAGGCATCTACAGGCAGTGTGCAGTATGCTCCTGATAAGTCTGCATTCGTCTGGAAGATCAAGCAGCTCGGAGGTGGCCGGGAATATCTAATGCGTGCTCATTTCGGTCTTCCGAGCGTTAAAAGCGGTGAGTGGATCTGACCTTGTGCATTCGCTTTACTGATTAATACAGTAGAACAAGACATGGAGAAGCGTGCACCCATCAGTGTGAAGTTTCGAGATCCCCTATTTCACGGTGTCTGGTATCCAAGTTCGCTATCTGAAGATTGTAGAAAAGAGCGGATATCAAGCCCTGCCTTGGGTCAGGTATATAACCCAGAACTGGCGATGATTATAGGTGAGGAGCATCCATTTGGCTCTACTTGTGTGATGTTGACTTGAATCGTCCCAGCCTTCGAACTGCTCTTGAGAAAGGGAGTACGACTATTGTACAACAGATGTGAATGTATTATATTATATCCAGGAAATACCAGCTCCATTGATGCTTCGATTGGAACATTGATTTAGAAATCTTCAGGTTGGATCAAATTTCTCTGAGTTGTCTCTACACGTATAATCCTCGTCGACTGAGGTGTCCTATAGACGCACGCAGGCTTGCGTGATGAATGATAGTACGTTCTGTTCATCAAAGGTAGGCCAAACATCGACGCATCAACACGGCAGTAGATTTTCGAATTTGTGCGAAGAAAACTATTGGTACCAGATTGCCGCTGTGTTCTACTGCACATGGTACATGTAGTACCATGCTTGGGATGGTTTGCCGTGGATGGCTTTTGCAGGCTTTTTGTACGAACGACGTGGCTCAAGAACACGTTTGTACAGCGAGTAAGTACTAAGTATCAGAACAGCATAATGCAGGACTAACGAATTTGGGTATAATACGTCAACGGAATTATGGATAGGGGAGGAAATCATTGTAAGTTATTGGGACGACGAAATTGAGTTCATGAGTCAGGTGCTATACAAGCCTAGCTTGACACTTCGAGTGAGTAAAAGGCAACACCTGGTCCAGATCTACTTGCGCGCCATCTTATAACGCGATATTTCAGCGAATGACATTGACCATGATTCAAATCACAAACCTCGCAGCACGACGGGAAGAAGATAAGGCATTATACGCCCACATAATCCTCGAAATTATCCGCGCGTGTCGCGAGAGGGGTAGCTTCTCCCAGCTGCCGGCGCAGAACATGCGATTGACCGCGAAAAGCTTTGCATATGTCATCCTCCAGCCGGCAAGTGATCAGGAATCGGAGGTTTCTGGGAAGCTCGGCGCCTGCGTCGACAAGGACACTCAATATTTCCTTCCTTGCGGCTTCATTCCCTCCCAGCTCCAGACCGTCAATGATTACCAGGAATGGACCGTTCCAAATGACATCTCTAGAGGGAGCGAGGATAAATTCCTCAAACTGCGTCCTCGCCACCCGTGTCTTCCGCAGACTGGTCTCATTTCCTACGGTCCCTCCAGAGATTCTGCTTGAACTGAGCATTACGATCCGCTAGATCACGGGCGATTGTCGAGAACAGGTTTGAGTAACTCCGGGTGTCGTTGTGCCTGGTACCTCGAAAGCAATATGAGGAACCAAGGCGTGACGCAAACTGAAATTGTTCTCCAATCACTAGCGCTATGGAGCTGCACAACTCTTCAGGCCCGGACAAGAGGCAGATCCTCTCTGATTCCTTGCTGTCCCCAATAACCCAGCTCTGTAGGGATGTTATGAGATCAGATGGTGGCGCCGCACTGTTGGCCGGTAGATGAACGGCATATGATGCTGCACATCTGGCGTCTACGGCGTAAGACATATCACGAAAATCTGCTTTTGCGCCTGTTTGAAACGGGATGAAGACAGACGCGGGGGGGAAATAGTATGACTTACCAAGATCTTGAACATCTTCTAATATTTTCAGTACAGTGAGCTGTGTAGAGACGGCCATATAGCTTTGAAAATTGCGTTGCAGGTCTATGAATGCATTTTCGAATGCTTTGATCTGAGATTCCATGTTCAGCGCTGAATTCTTGATTGCTTGCGCAACTTTGTGAATCGCGTCCGACATCAGTCAGAACTCTATTGCAACTGGAAGACTCACAGCTGCCTCGAGTATCCACATAATCACGGATGAAGAACGCGCATTCGATTGTTTGCTGCATGATCGCTTCGAGGACGTTTTTTTGTTTATGCAGATACGGGAGCGCATCGACGGTCATAACAAGATCGTAAGTGTCTTGCATAGTGTGCATCAGCCGAATTATGCCGAATTCGCAAGCGATCTTTTGCCTGACGACCTAATAGCGATGATTTATACCACATAAGCATGAAAATGGTGCGCCCAAACCTCGTATCCTGTTGCCAGTATTGCAAATGCAATCCTTGCGTAGGGGTGAAGCTAAAAAAAGAGTCAAGCTAGTTCTTCCGGGTGTGGAAGCTGTGCCACACCTTAGCCAGTCTTTCAGCCACCGAAACAAAAATACTGATTTTTACCAGAAGGGGGTAAAGGTGTTCATCGCCACCAGTGTCTCTGCTAGCCCGAGAAATTGCATGTTCAATGATTCTTTTATCTTGACCATAGTCTCTTGGTTGATTTGGTTGGACATTTAGATCCGCAGTACGGTTAACGGCGGCAGAAAGCTCCTGCGTGAAAAAACTCAAAGACCTCGTAAATGACATAGCACCAGCTTGTGCTGCCCTGAAAGACAAAGTGGGGATTCCTTCTATGCGCACGGATGCTGCAGACGATAGAAGCGGACGTCTGATCACTGTTGGCGGATTCATCATTAAATTAATGTCCTCATTGGAAAATGACACTGACAGCTGTTTTGCCGGAGAAGTTCGTCGACGTCGAAGATAGCAATACCAATAGGAATTGGCTCGCTATCTTTTCCGTCGTAGCCGAGAACACGAAATACGAGTTGTGAGGTTTGAGAAACGTTACTGGGATGCCTAAATTATTGCACAACGATACAACATGGGAGGACTTACAACGTGAATGTTGTATCCCACATCAAGCATTTCTCCCCCTGTTGTCCTTGAGATGTGATGTTCTGAGACCCTCCGCTACCCGCTGCATGGACTTCGAGGAAGAATCGATCATCCCAAGACAGCTTTCCAAATTTAGGAACACGGTCGATGTCCAGGATAACAGCTTTTAATGCACCGTTAGCAACAGTGGAGAACATTATTGTCAACCGAGATGTACCAGAAATGTCCAATGCATCGATCGGCTTTGTGCTCGGTACGTCAGTTTGCTCGACCGTCGAATTGGCAGCTTCTTCAACGTGGTGATTACCAGCGGCAGACACACCCGAAGTCTGAAAGACCTTGAATTCTGCCTGAATTTTTGCGCCCCCAGACTCAAGAGTCTTCCGAACAACTGCGGAGGTTGTGAGTGGGCTACACAAAGACTCATAGATAACCTACCACCGTTGGGTGCAGCGAGCCAGTCCTTCACGAAACCTTCCACCACAGCTATCGGCTTGTTTTTGTGGAGCCAACGTGTTGCAAAAATTTGCAGTGAAGCATGCGAGTCGAGTTGGAATGGACTAATGACAAACGCATCAAACAGATGCATATGCGCAGCGTCAACCGACCTACAAATCATATCCGTCTGTCCATCTGGAACGTCCTTGATTACTGGACTTTGAGGGGCTTTCCCAGATAGTGTCGTCTATAGCCACTTGAACACGGAATGTGTCATGGTGGACGGAGGGCAGATCTTGCAAGTCAATGTCTGCGGGAATGATTTGAGAAATAGCGCCCAATAAAGGATGCTTGACTACTCACAAGAGATAGATAGCTTGTTGATGGTCGAAGATTGAATTTGTGCAATCCTAAAGTAAATCTCGATCTCTTGGCCGTGTGATCCATATAAACTGACAGTGCGCCTGATGGCTAAAGATGCGTTATATATGTTGAAGGGGAAGTTGTAAACCTCACTTACGACCTGGGCATTTCAAGAGTCTTTCGACGGTGTCCTCAAAGCTACCAATCCGCCGGGACTGTCGCATATCGCAGGCATCGATGTTGAATGTAACTTTGGAGGACTCTTCAACTTTGCTTGTTGAGGGTGCCGCATACTGTTAATTCCCACATAAATCCCAGTTAACGATAACTCACAAGCGGTGTGTCTTGTTCCACTTGTAAGATCGTAGTGCCCAGCCTGTTGTCTGCAGCTGGTTGCAAACACTGATGCGCACGCAGAAAAAGTCGTCCCAAGAAGACCTCCCAACTTTCGGTAGTTTCCCACGTAGAGAGATATCTACGCAGTGGTGAACCTTCCGAGTCGACAGCTATCATATACAGAGAAATGCGAACCAAATAACTCTATCTCCAAAACATTCGAGCGGGATTGGCTAATGGAACCAGTCAGCTATTCGATATCACGATTCGAAGTATAAAGATGAAACTTGCCGATCACTACGTAAAGATTTACTACGGTCGAAATGCCTGGGGACTGCGTTAATAAACCGCATGTGATTCGTCAGTCAAAATGGTAACGTACGATGAAGATTTGGCATCATCATAGTTGTTCATCATTTTTAACGGTGCGATCGTGACCTGCTTTCGGTATCAATTTCAATGAGCCAGAACATCTGGCGACGAGATATGATCATACCGTGGGTATTAAGTGGATGTAACAGCAAGAGTCAAAGCTGAATGGTGTTGCAGAAGACTAGAAGTGAAATCAGCGCTGGTATATATACCAGTGATTTATCCTGAGTCGGACCTTTCTCCACTTTCTTCGAATAGATGTGACAGAAGCTCGATAAATTGGAGTACGTACTAATAGGGGGATAGCCTTGCTGCTGGAGTCAGCTGAACACATGCAACGCTCGCGGAAGCAATACCTATCAGGTAGCTAGGCGGCTATCCGAGATATCGATTCGGCGTTCGATGAGTGTCGGGGTGGCAGTATGATCATGATGACAACTTGAGAGTCAGTGGGCCAAACATGGACCGAAACGAGGATGAACACCTGGCAAGCATTAGTCAATATTAAGTTAGGCTAGATCTCAATTATGACAGTTTTCCCTTGCCCAGGGCACAGGGCTCAATTCTGAGAAAAACGTTTGATGCTTCTAAGAATCTAAGTAGCGCCTAGAAACTGCTTTGAAGTTGTGACAAGCGCCACTTCAAGTTTAACCACGGAACCAGCCGCTCTGGAAATAGGTTCCGCGGCATGTTCCGATTTCCTGAAGTCCTTTGGCGCATAAGGACACTCACAGCTAGCATCTGTTCCCCTCCATGAAGACTCTTCAGTATGCTCCTTTCCTCACATCAAGGGACAGTCGTGCATGTGAATCTCGGTCCTTTACACGAAAACTGCTATATACGCAAGTTATAGTCGGAATTTATTTTCCAGGCATAATGAATTGCGTTGTTAATATAGTGCGATTATAACACGTTGTATTGGCATTGCACCCTGCAATGCATAGCCTGATGGAGAAGATACAATGCATGACAGTGAGCAAATTTCGAACGTCCACAATTGAATACCCAAGATCTGATGGTTTTTTCTGCGGCAGTGAGTTCTCCATTTACGCTGATGTCCGATAGCGCGCAATCTTGAGGTTCATCCTGATTAACAGGTCAGAGTGATTCACAATCACACAAGCGCGAAACAGCATTACTTAGATTATTCCCGAACTCCACGCTTCATGCAGTGATTCCATCAGTATGTCTCAAAACCCGTGCTTCTTCATCTTCTAGACGCCCTGCAAGGCGCAACCAAAGGCGCCAAAGTGATACATCTTGCCTCATGGAAGAAGATCGTACCTGCGGAATGTTATCGATTGCTTTCGCAGGCCCCACCTCTGGGAACACGGGGAATTAAACTACCGGATACCCCGGAATTCCGCTCCTCACGAAATTGCGAACATGAGCTCTCAGCCAAAGTTCTTCATCAACGGATCAAGATAGCTTTGAATGGTGTGTATCAAAAGCAGATACGTCATTGAAATGCTTCAGCCCAGTATTTCCTGGACAGAGGGTTTGAAGTTTAAAAATCAGAGGAATTGTAGCAGAGATCATTCAGATGCTGATACGCTGTCCAGTGTCCAGTTTGGCACTGGTGCTATTAGTCCGGCACCAGTTACCACAGCCTGAGCGTGTCCTATCTTGATAAAGATTACGATGCGGTCCCATGCCTGTAGCTCACGGTGATAGAACGTAGGTCTATAAGGTTAAATATGGCTCCACCGGCTACGCCGCGCAGCCTTTCAGAAATGAGTTGGTTTCAGGGAACAAGAGGAAAAGACTCATCGCCGGTCGACCAAATTTTCACCCATTGAATTTGAAAGTGAGGCCTCGAACCATGTAGTAGTACCGTAATTGATCGAAACCGCCGCGGCATCCTTCTGTGAGGGCAAAATCTGGCAAAATACGCAAAGTTGACGGAGCGATTGTGATACCATATCACAATCGCCCCATTAACTTTGCGTATTTTATGTCGATCAATGTCGATTCGGTCAGTGGAAAAATGATTTTTAGCTTGAGCATCATGCATCATGCACCACCTCCTTGTTGCATAGTAAGTGCTAAGTGCCGCTCGAGCCTTCTCAGTCAGGTTTTGCAGTCGGATTTCCTTGGCGAAGTGAGCGTCTATACATGACATATATGATAACTGCATCCGCTGAAAATACACCCGAGATCTACAGTGCGACTCTCACGCAATCAGTCTAAAGTCTGCGCCACCTGCATCATCTCGTTGAAAATCACCATGAGTCACTCGCACTCTGTCTATTGAATCTCATTTGAATACGTATTCTGTCATAGCCGTGCACCCGTGACACGTACTACTGCACCAATCAAAAACCAGCGTCAAATTCTTGTGAGGCAGGTGGTAGGATGATTTTGCAATTGCGATCTCAGTTCGATCTCGGGAAAGCCGTCTACATTTATTTCAGGATCCATTCGCAGCCGATACAATGTGCTGGGCTGGGCGCCCGAAACGCTCAACCGTGACAAGTGCCTCCCAACCCTTGAGCCAAGCTACGGTGACTGCGCTATCGTTGAATCACATCGTGTAATAGATGTGACCGAGAAGCAGAGTTCCTGGATTATCGAATTTCGTAACAGTGGCGGCTATGCAAATTGTCCGGTCCACCTGGACTCATGATCAGGTTCGGTTCTGAGGGTCAATAAACGAGGTGCACATTCATGGCTCTTCCTATCGTATAGCACGTTGGCTTATGCGGCTGCACCTCTCAACAATACTGCAAGTGCCATCCCTTAATTGCAGGTCAATCTATTCATATCTAGAAGTTTGTGGAGCATCATCATGAGTTGCTTTGTAACACTATTTGCGTGCACGCCTAGACCGCCGTGTATCTGCTAGTAGCACTTCATTGCACCAGAGCTCCTTGTTACCTGGGCGCTGCAACAATCTTTAGCTGCTCGTGACATTGAAAGGGACTGCCGCAGCGATTGATGCCCTATAAATTCACAGATCACTGACAAGCTTGATCTTGTGATGTTCAGTCACCTTGATACATACGACGTGAAGCGGTTGCAATGGTGACTCACATGGCCAAGCGTCGAGCTCCTACGTGACATGCAGCAGGGACCTGGTCGAGGGAATGGATTCAGCGAAGGGCATTTGGAAAGCCCGTTTCATTTTGAATGTCCATGACCTCGAATCAGCGACTTAAATTCAAATCTTCTTGCAGCCTGAACTCGAACTCATGGATTTTTCGGGTGGATGGGCGGATTCTCGCTCTGAACCACAAGACAGGAAGTTTGTTTATTGTGTATTTCTTTAATGCTTCTTTAGACGAGTCGTTCCAAGTAATTTGCCAACTCACTGCCAATTTTACTGTGCGCAAGGACATCAGCAGATGAGAAGTCGTATGATTTTGCAATTGTGCGTTGACTGCCTGCGTTGATTACAGGGACGGCGATCACACTTATCCTTCTGATGGAAGGTTTGTGTTACTCCATGTTTCGGCAATCATGAGTTTCGTTAGCATCCTCACAGGTGTGGCGAGTATGGAAAGCCGGACAGCCGCGCTCTGTGATCGTTGTATCGATATCAAACATTCATTCTCAATTTGACTGACTGTGATGTACAGGAGGGTGAGAGTGTGATGCATATCGTCAATTACCTGTCTACCACATTCTCGCGCGTTCAGTATATCTTGCTAATCATGTAATCATCATCTTGCTCGTTAATTTTTGTAATGCATGCGTAGTACTTGGCTCTCACTCAGCTTGCTAATCGTGTAATGAACACTTGTTATTGAAATATAATGTCCTTGCATGTACTTTGGCGTTCAGAACATAGTTGAAAAATTTGTGCACACTAACGCACGGTCCACACATGTCGAAAATACAGTACGCGAATGGCAAAGACGGTGCTGGAGATCGCGTGCTGGGAGCCATTATGGATCTAGTCATCGGTAAGACCTGAGCTGCAAGCAGCGGCCCATTGTTTCTGGCTGGTAATGGCGTAGTTCTGGAACAGTGGTATTAAGTAAGAGCAACTTAAAAAAACTAGCGCAGGTGCCTACCTCGATCCTATAGATGAATTCCGTTGCAGCAATGTCAGACTTGTGGCCGAAAGCGTGGTAGGTCTCGAAGTCGCCGCGGGTGCCGTTCTTGAACTTGATCCTGACGAAGTCACGGTCTTCAGGGGGAGGTCCGCGACGGACGCGTAGATACCTGGAGGTATGTGAATGTCGGATTTCTGGTATAAGTCTAAGCAGACGTCTAGGTACAAAGTCTGGGTACCCTTCGGCGAGCTCGGCAAATTCAAGCGGAGTTGAATCAGCTAGCAGGTGCGGCTCACCTAAGCAAGGACATAAACCATCCCGCCTCTTTGCTGCCCGCTGCCCGCCACCCGCCAGCTGGTGTCAGGAATGCTACTTCTGTGCCCGCCCGCCACCACTGGAGATGGTGTCAATGGCATCCTCCATTTAGATGCCACTCGAGCCATGTCTGCGCTGCTCAAATACCCTGCCCGCCTGTCGTTACATCCATTCCTTAGCTGCCACCCTCCTTGATACGGCCTTCGAGCAAGTGACAATGCAAGTGGGGGTGAGCCTGGGTTCTTTCTGCTCTCGTCTGTGCACCTTGCGCTGTGACCATGACTCGTGTGGAGTGTAATGTTGCGACAACAATACCTTACACACGAGTCATGGCCACTTGTGGGGCAGGTGGACAACTAGTCACTGTTGTAGTTATCTTTGGCAATGTATATCATATTGATTGATATCTTAACATTGCGGTGAAGAACATTGATGTGTAACTAATTCTAAGTTGAACTAAGGTATACTTACTGATCCCTCACTTGTGGCCGTACAACCTGAATATGTTCCTCCTCAACGGTGGCCTCTCCGGCTTTGGGCCAGCGTCTGGCGGCGGCGGGTGGAGGCGGGATGTGACAGGTGGGATAGGCGGGTCAGCCATGCTCGGGGCACCGGTATCTTCAAACTCCGTCAGAGCATCGCCACCTGTGGCAAGACCGCAGACCTGAAGTCTCCTTAGACTTGTACCCAGACCGGCCATTTCAGAGACGCCCTCGGAGGTATGCGCTTGGAAGGGATTTTGAGATTTTTTTCCGCTGATGACTGTAGATAGAGCGTGAGCTATGAGATGAATACACGAAGATGAAATGGAGCGACCCACCCTCGAGTCGGATAGATCGGCCTTCTATGCTACCGGGCATGATGGTGCGATGGAGTAAATGGAACACAGAATCGAGGATGGACTGAGCAGCGGGTGAAACGAGTTGTAGGACAAGGTCGATGGCTGTTCGGCACGATAGACGCTGATATGATTGCGCTGACGCTAGAAGAGGGCCGGTTGATCGACTAGTGGTAGCGGAAGAGCCTGTGCTAATCATAGTCTAAAATCGTTGGAGCAGGGCCAGCGGCCTAAGCCCAGAGCAAGGCAGACAAGCTGAGATAATGATGGATGCTAGCTACGAACATGGCGAAACCTAGTCTACGTGCTGACTAAGCTGTGGAATAACCACTTGACGAGGAGGAGCGGGGGGGCTGGTTGAGGAGCGGGGGCTGGTTAAGGAGCGGGGCCTGCTTGAGCACCTTGGCCTGCTTGAGCAACGGGGCCTGCTTGAGCAACGGGGCCTGGCCAAGGTGGTTCGGGAAGGGCAACACTCAAGTAGTATGCCTGTGAAGGGACGTCTCTTGGGCGATGTAGTACCCCCTCCTGAGGTTCGAAAAAAGAACATGAATTTGGAAGGATGTGAAAGAGGGTGTTGGCGTGTTGCCGAAGAGAATAGAAGCGGATTGTTCCGTAGAACAGACGCTCGAACCAATTCCAGGAGGAAATCTGATTCAGGAATCGTTGGGCCTGGATTACATAATGCTGTCAATGAAAAGTTCCACTAATAACTCAAATAACTCACTGAAACCAAGTCGTAATATAACGAGGGATGTTCATTCCGAAGTTCTCTCGACGACCTCCAGTACCACTCTGCGATGCTATATTTCCGCACTACCCTATTGTAGCATGCGTCGTTGTGCTATCAATGAATCAATTAATATTGTTGTTTAATTAATTAGAATTTATAAACTCACCCGCGATATTCCATATAGAAGGACAGCTGCTATCATACCGGCGCACAACATCTTCCATTTCATAGGTAGGTCGAACGGGGAAGCAATCGTTATTCCTGTAGCCGATACAAAGCAAATTACGACCATGTCGAAAAAGATCGAGATAATGTCGTTTTGGAACCCTATATCATCGTGAGGGAGGGCGGCGAGAGGGTGTACATATGACTGTAAGCGGAGACCTCGAATACCGGCTTGTTCTTGATTCATGGTGGGGGATCTTGAGAAATCAGAACGAACTTTTCATGTTTATATAGATAGCTAGTCCTTACCACTGTCAACCTCGAGAGAGGCTGACAGACATCACAGTGCACACGAGAATGATATCATTGAAATCGGGTGTCAGGCTAATGCGGTAATGTGGCCGGCATCAGAGGACTGGTGAGCCGCAGATATCGTCATATATGATGATATATAGAAAAGGTTTTCGTTATATTAATAGTCCGTGACACTACTATCCTCAAAATCCTTGAACATATTCTCATAGAAAGCTTCAACGTGTTTTGCGACAGTATCGTCGACCACCCACAGAGCGCTAATGACGCTTTTGCATTCCGAAAACCGGAGTCCAGCTACGAGGTGGATGACTTCGTCAGGTGTCTCCTCATCTCCAACAGCAGTATGACACACCGACAAGAACGCGAACTCAGCATGCGGAGTGTCGTTCTCCATGATATCAAGCAGCGTCAGAGGTTTGTCTCTCATGGCGAAACTTGAGTTATAAGGCTGCTTGCGGTCCTGCTTTCCATGACAAGCGAGGTGCACCCAAGTATTGCGTTGCAAAGCGTCGAGTGCACCTGCTCGCGTGGCGTCGTTGCCAGAGAGAGTGGTAGGGTTGGCCGTCGTGGGGACGAGCTCAAGCTCGTTGTCGATAGTCAAGAGCGCCTCGCCTTGCCCCGCACCCGGTTTACTTTGTCCAATTGCAGCGAAGGACGTGTCTTCATCATCTGTCTAGATCTGATCAGAGCTGAAAGTGTCGGGGTGTAAGGACAGATGTAGACGTCCTCCCACGTCTGTCTGCCTTCGCTCGAGAGGGATGAGTTGCGTGGAGAGGAATGAACGTGAAGGCTGCAGTCGGACACAGCCAGATCCGAGAGCGGCCCGTTACTGTGAGATCACGCTGGAAGACGATGACGATGGGTAGCATGACCTCGTCCCATACTGTTCGCAAGAGGACTTGCAATTCCTTCCTCGTCTCCTCTGGGCGTAAAACAGTGGCCTTTAGGGTGAGGGAAGGGCGGACACCATGAACGCGTGGGAAGGACGGGACTACGAGCTGTTATGTGCATGAATGAGAAGCAGGTTACTCAACGAAGGGCTCATCTCCATGATCGACATACCGTGTCATTTCTAGTTTTCCAACGACTTCCCCATTGCCTAGCATTCGATCGAGCTCGAAGGATGCCCATACGACCAGTAGGAATTGGGTGATGCGTCGAGTGTTCTACAAACAGAAGATCAATCCTCAAATTGTGTTCAAAAGTCTACATGGGACTTTACAGGGTCACGGTCTCACCCCACGCTACAGATTCGTTTGATGATAGAACTCCGATGGTTGATTTCCAGCGTCTCCTAGGATCGACATTGAGGGATATGTAAATGCCAGCGGGAATACGCTCGGAAGGGACTTTGATATTTTTGCTGCTGATGACTGTGAGTAAAGCGAGATGACCACAACAGACATTAAGGTGATATGGAGTGAGCGGCCAGACTTTCAAGCCTGATAGATTGGTCTTTCCTGTTACCAGTCATGATGGTGAGATGAAGGAAAACGACAAGGATCGAGGATGGGCTGGGTGGTGGACAGAATGAGTGGTAGGGGAAGATGGGAGTGAGGATATGGGGACTGTGAATGAAGTTCAAGTTCAAGATCAAGGGTAAGGTCATACGACACATGTATTTCCATGTTGTCATCGAAGGGTTGTTCGGCACGATAGACGCTGGCATAATTGCACTAATGGAGGCCACTGAGGCTAAAAGATCACCGACTAGTGCTGGGAGCCTGTACTGCTGTACTGCAAAGGTGGGCAATGGGCATAGTCAGTGAAACAGCGAAAGTGCGAGTCTCGCGAAGAAAACCCATCATCGAGTTATGCTAGAGCCTCCTCTCGCTGGTTACGATAGCGTAGCCAACATTAGTATTGATCGTCGATAAATCAATGGGCGCCCTCTCATATACCTAGACAGAACCTCGACAGATAATCTGAGTTAGTTTACCAGTGAAACTAAATCTCGAAGAGAGGGCCATTAATATTGGAATATAAAGTCATATCACTCATGCATGGATTCCTCGGAGGCTCATCTTAACTGGTCTTAACTAAGTGGTTACCACAACAGAATCAAAATCTGTTTCTCTTGCAGTCGGTTCGAAACCTGCTGGCAACATTTTTGCAGTGTATAGATCCTCAAAGCTCCGTCTTAATTAGGCCCAGTCATTGCGCCGAAACCTCCTTTTTATGTGATAGTCTGTCCATGAAATAAAATTCACCTTCACGCCTCGTGCGGATCGTCCCAGAAACATAAGGTATATCCCTGAGATGTGTACGTGCCAACCTAGATTCTCGACGGGAGGTGAGGGACGGGTATTTCACGACAGATCGTGGCTAGTTATTATTCTCACTGATAGCAGATCTCCTTGATGATGCTTGATGCTAAGTACTTTATTGTGTTTGGCAGTACATTGGATAATTATACCAGCCACAAATCGGAGTACATACTTGTGTCGGGTGAATATGAAGACAAGTTTAACGCACTTGTCGTCTATGAAGCTTCCATCCGATACGACTCTAACGAAAAATGCGCCGGGCATAGTTCAGTTACACTCGCTGAAACAACTCTCCAGCTGCTGTTACAAATTCCAAAGCATAGGCTCCATTTGACATCGAGAGTCGCCCTACCCACAAAATCAAGACCAACAGTCACCACTTACTCCTCCATCTCATCACCCCTCCCGCTACTCGCACCAAGCGTTGTCCAATTCTCGCTCCACCGCGGGTACACGCGCTTATACAACGACATACACACCGTGTCCATCTGATTGACGGGCCCATCGAAATGTGCCTTGAAATACCCATGCGTCCCAAGAGACTCCCGGATATGTCCCGTCCGCCCATGTTTTGTGAATAGCTGAATAGGCTTGAAATACTGGATGTCGTCTGTGCAAGAAAAAAATTATGAGCATGAGAAAAAAATAAAGAACAGGAACAACACAGACCTGGGTTGAAGAACATGTACCGCACCGTAGCGGTTTTTTTTGTGCACCTTGAACGGGTGGCCCGTGAGGATGATTCGCTTCGCGATGATACGTGTCGTATCAGGGTTCATGAACGTGCCCATCGCCACGAGTTCCGGTGCTGTTCGTTTTAATCAGCCAATCGCCTATCGTATCTCCGCTGGGAGAACGAGCGCACTTTGTGGATTTTTTGTCTCACGTAGGAGCATGCACGGCTGCTTCCCGAACGTAATCGGTGCGTAGACGCTCACGACAGTCGTAGTGCCGTGCCATAAGAACCTCTCGAATTTGTGGACGTTGTTCGCGCCTTTTCCGCCGCCGCGAGTGTGTTGAGAGTATACAGGGTTGACGCGCAACCTGCGGGGTCCGTAACACAGGATCAAGGGGTCCTTCGGGGAGTTCAGTTACGGCTAAGGGACCGACAGGCGACGAACCTTTGATCTAACAGAACCTTCACACTCTGTGTTCCGCTGCACGGTGAAGTGTAGGACTGTCTTTTTGTGCTCGTGTTTCAACAATCCGTATAGGACAAACGGCGACTCGGAGGGTACGCTGGCTTCTTGTGGGACACCCTCAATAAAGATTGATACGCGCATGCCGGGCTGCAGTAAGGTTTTTAGCGATTACTTGAACAGTAATAAGCAGATGATTCCAAACCTGAATACCATTATCCTCCAACTCACGCCACAAGTCTCTCTCGGTACGCTTGAAATCTTCGAATTCGAATATCCGTGCGTACTCGCCAGGCAGGTTCTCATACGGGTCCCACGGACTCGTGCGGAGGGATCGAAGCCCACGGAACCGCGCGAACCGTGTACGTGCAGGGATGTCTTGTGGAGTATCGATTTCATCTGGAAAAGCTTGAGCGTCTTGCTCTTCCTGGGCGCGCTCTCTCCATGATATAAGTCTGTGTTGGTCCAACAAATGTCACTGTTGCGAAAGAACAACTTGAGAAAGAAGAGCACGTACTGTTTTTGTTCCTCTTCCATGTTGAGTTCTTGGAACGCGACAACGCTTTTGCGCTCGCCTTCCATGTCCAGCGCGTCATCGAATACCATCTCCTCGTCCTCATCCATCTGCCCTCCTCCCTGCCCGTCCTGTTCCTCACGTTCCTCATCCTGGTCTTCGTCCTCGCTTTCATCTACGATCCACGAGGCTTGATACTCAGTCATACCCTTAGGAATACGCCTGATGCGCTTCGGCGTCGTGCCTTTCTTCGCATCTGGTACCTCGCCCTCCCCAGTGCTTTGCAGTGCACCCGCCATCTCCTCCTCCGTCGGCCATGTTTGTTCGTTCGCCATGTCATCTGCGACGTTTGTGCTCACCAGGGAGTCAGCAGAGGATGGGACACGTTCAGCAAGGAGCACAGGCTCAGCTTCCACATCCATACCACCAGGCCTGGCATGGTTTGTGCGAGGGAGTGGAGCGGACATGATCTACAGCCATTTTAAATCTACCAAACGGATCCACACACCCACCCATGACTCACCTTCGAAACTAGATAATCCCCATAGTTAGGAATGTGTACGAGCCGATCGGGGCTAAGTCTGCCCCCACGAACGACACCCGTCACCTTTAACACCCCGCCCTCTTCTCGTTCTACACTCTCACCTACCACCCACGGCCGCCCTGCGCGCCACTTGACCTCGCCAGGACAGCCCTCTGCGAGGGCTCGCAGGGTGTTGAGTGAGTCTGCTGGCGCACTGAGATCGAATACTCGGCGCTGAGCGGGATCAAAGTATTGTATGAAGGAAAGGAGACTTTTGAGTACTGCTGGCCTGGCTTTGGCATCGAGGTTTTCAATGGTCGTTGGTGGGATGGCTGCGATGGCTGTAGGGAGGCCTTGTGCTTGGAGCATGCGGAGGAGAGTGTCGCCTGCGGGGGTAACTTCGATAGTCGGGGAGAGCAAGAGGAGCGTGTAGTCTGCGGCGCGGGCTGCATCTAAAGCAGCGAATGGGTGAGCGAAGGGTACGGGGAGGAATTGGAGGGATGTTTTGAATCGGGATGCTCTGTGTGTGTGATTAGATCAGTATGGAATGAAGGAATTGAAGGGACGAACTTCATAGCCCATATGTTTTTGTTTTCGTTGATCCCGTATATCTCTTCATCTACGCATTTTCCGAGGGCTTGGATGCACGCTCGGGTATCGATGTCCTCGGAAAGGGGGATGATGGCGACGATTCGTGGGGCGCCATCGGTGCCGTTGAAGATGCGGGTCGCAGCGACGAGGGAGGCGCGTTTAGTGGCCTGAGCTTGCTTTTGGGTGTTGCGCCTGTTGAGGCGAGCCTGTGCAACAGTGCTTACTGCCGGAGATTTTGTGCTTTGGCGAGCAGTGCGACCTGTCAGAGGAAACGTACAGAGGGACTTTGAGATCAAGATCAGTAGGTAAATGATTAGAGAAGAGCACCTTTTGCGATGTCTTTGAGGGCAGATTTAGTGGCATGATGGGATTTGAAAGGTTTATTTTTCTGTAGTAAGATTAGATGAGATGTGATTTCGAATGAATGAATGAAAATGTTAGATGTCGGACCTGCTTGAGAGTTGATCTATGATGGTGTGCTTCTACGACCATCGTGGAGGTGCGCACGTCCCTAAGTGCAAAGTTCTTAGAGTCGGTGCCAGTAGCTCGTGGTGAACGCGATATTCCAGGACCCTATAGGGGACTGGTATAACGATTTTTTACAATGGCAAACCTAATATCGATGTCACCAAGTTTGGGCGGTCCGGATTTCACATATTTGTTTGTTCCTGTCTGTGGAGCTTTGAAGCTCGAACGTTCTCTTCGCTCGCCGCCATATCATCAAGAAATACATCATTCAGCTGTTAAAACGTTAATCACCATTGCGTTTGACTCGCCATAGCTCCAGCTTCATCGTCTACTGCTTCGTCGTCGTCTCCATCTTAATGCTGGTGCCTCCGGTTTTGTCGGTGGTGTCGGATCGAGAGATTCCTGATGACGGGTCTTCCGTCGTGTCTTCCTGCGTTTTATGCAAGTTTTTCGGTTTTTTTGAGGTCTCTCGAGTTCGACGAGCAGTTCGTGATTAGTATCCGGTTGGATGCTTGCTGCCTGTCACAGCTCCTGCCTTTCGGCACATTGTGGGGATTTGTTCTTACATGACTCGTGCTAACCACCATCGCCCGAGTACACTGTTCATGTTCAGACATCCGATCGGAAGGACTACTTATGTGACATGCTATGAGTGCACGCATGTGGTGTTCAGTGTGTCAACAATCTCATTAATATGTGTTTTGCGCTTAGTGTTCGTCTGGGACTTCGGGCCTACACAAACGTTGGGAGAGACTACCACAGCATGTCGAGATATGCCAATCATGCCTTGGTGCCTTGGCGGACAATATGTATGTTGGTATCGGTTTAACAATATATAGAGAAGCACTTAAGTACTGTGCCTAGTGTGGGCGGCAGAACTATTTGGATTTAGTTCTACCCGGCGGTTATAACCGGCAGAACTGGCAAAACTCTACTAGTAGGCGCTAGTATGTAGACTATGCTGCAATGTATACGACATTCCTAACGATGACATCAATGTTGCCTTGTCCCATTCGCCATTGTAATTAACCACCTCAACCTCATCAGGCGCTCGAAATTGTCGTTGACCAGTGATGCGAGGGGCCCTCCAGTTTGCACCATCTTACTTTTTTAAGGACGTCGATTTTCATGTTCTCTTGAATTCAAATCTTGTTGTCAGAGATCAAA